CTTCTTCTATAAACATTTAGTTATCTCCTAATCAAATTGATTAATAATCTTTTCATCAAAATTTAATTCTTTAGATTTTTCAAAAGCTTATTCTAGTTATTAAAGTGTTTAAGATTTGGCAGTTCTTATTTTTTCAACCTCTTAAAATTATTCTAGTCTTTTCTATAATTCTTAGATTTCAGGAACATCATAAATCTTATTCATTTATAGTTCTGCTTAAAACTTCTTTCTCATTTATTCATTTAAGTTCTTTTGTTCAATCATGCCTCTTAATTTTTATCTAAATTCATTTAATTGCTTCTCCACCTACTCCAAAGTCTATTTGTCTTTTTCTGAGGCATTGATTTCAATAGATAGTTATTTTAACATTTAAAGGTGATCCAATGTGATCTTAGTCTGAATATCTTTAGTCACTTAGATTTCACTGTCATCCTCATCTTTTTCTTATATCTCTAAATCTTGCATATACCTTTCATACAATTAGTATTTAGATATAAATTCATACAACTCTGGAAAATCTTTATAATGGAATGGCAATTCCTCAAGCCTACTTAACAATATCAATATTTCTTCAGTTGATTTAGTTTTTTCCAACTTTTAAACAATTAGTTATCCTTCCAATAATTCTTATTTTAGGGTTTCAACCCATGGTACTGAAATCAATAATTCATTAAATTCTTGAATTGTTTATTCAACAAATTCCTAACTTAATTTGATCTAATTTAATTTGATTCTAGTTTCTGATGTAAGATTATAAAATTGTTATTAATTTTTAATTTAAGTGATTTATAGACCTAAGTAGCTCTATAATTTTTCGTAATCCTCCAATTCATCTTCTATCTCGTCTTCTTCTTCTGAAGAATCTTAGACTTCATCATTCATGATCTATTCGAAATCACAAAACTTATCTTCAGCTTCTTACATTTTGTTTATAAATCTTTTCTTAATTCTTTTATACTCCTACACTTATTATTATAAATATATGAATTCTTAAAATTCATTTGATTTGTATTGATTTTAAATATTTGTTTTAGTTATTTTAGTTCTGGATGTAATAATTTAAAATGCTATTTGTAAATTATTCAATTTATTAAGCAAATCAATATAAAATTTGCACTCATCAAAATCTTTAAATAAATTGATAACTTAATTTAATTTATCTTTTAAAGCATTATTCTACAGAATATTGTGTTAAATGATTTGATTAGATTCATCTAATTAAGATAGAATAGTCCATTGATTATTATCTCTATAAGGTATTTATTATTTAAAAAGGAAATTCATAAAATCAGTTACATTAGATTTTTGTTTAATTTATGATAGTTATTATTGTAAGGGTTGATAGAATGGTAAATTACCCAAAATGGTTTCTATGATTGAATATTCAGATTCAGAATCTAATAAATAAGTATTTAATTATACATGATTAAATCTGTGCACTCAAACTTCTTTCACAATAAATACCTAAAAGAATAAGAGTATTAAATGTCATTTTTAAAAAGGGTGGCAACAAGGACTTTAAATTTTTTGCAGGGACATATTTAAGAATATGATCAAATCGAGAATTGCTCCATTAATTACAAAAAGGACAGAAATAATGTTCTTTATTCTTCTATTCTTCATAGTCATCTTGGTATTGACGTAAACATTTATCATGATACCATTCCATACAGGTTTCACATTGGACCATTTCCTCAGAATCATTAGCTAATTATTATTAACAACAACAATAAATCTATTAATTCTAATGAGGAGAACAAAAGAATTCCACCAATTAACTAGTATAACATAAATAAATACTCTTTTTCTTCTTCTATCTTTTCTTATTATTGATACAAATCATATAGTTAATCTATATTAATTTATTTATCCACTTTCTGAATTTCCATAAATTATTATAAGATAGATTGGGATTTAGTTTTTAATTGAGTCTTATCATTTCCTGCTTGTACAAGGTTACCAGTACAGAATAATTGTTTATAGTTAAATTGGATTTCCCATCCTGTTGGTCTTTATAGATTTTCTGAGTATGTTGAATTGTATCCACCGAAACTTACAATGTAATTGACCATACAATAGATGTGTGCATAAGTATTACATTCTGATTATTAACATTTAATTGTGGCTCCTTGAGATTTGCAATATGAACATGTTTATTTAGGAACTTGTATTACATTATTGGGCTTCTTGAATTTCATTTCCATAAATGAAGATAATTCAAGTTGTTTGGATAGCAATCCACAAAGAGGATGGACAAATTCATTAGTATCATTGATTTTCTTCTTCAAACCGGCTTTTTGATTACAAACAATGCATATTTGATCTTGCTTCTGACTAAATTTGCATTTGTCACATGCAAAATATCCTTAATTATTAGAATTGGGATTCAACTCTATTTCAGTGGAAATACCATAACAATACAAGTGGCAACTTAATTAACAACCATAACAGGATATTATTGTCATTCCTTTATAACTATTATTTTTCTATGTTTACCTCTTTCTTATTATTAAAATCTGCTTTCGAATCCAACTGCACAAATATCACAAGCTTAACTCTAATTGATTTATAATATATTAATACTTGTAAATCTCTTGAAATCGTTAGCTTTTTGGGTCTGAATCCAATATCTTTCTTATTTAATTGGTTATAAACTAAAGATAAAATAGGAATTAAAATTAATATATAATGGTATATATAGCGAACAAATGCATTATTTATAACACACCTACTGAAAGATCTTATTGCTCATTTTCTTCGTTGTCCATTTTATTACTTCTTATTTGCTTAAAATGTTTAAAAAAAATAATTAAATTATTTATATCAAGAAATCCTTAAATTATTTATATTGTGTAAATTATTTATTTCTTATACTACTTTGATGTCCCCTTCTACTTAATAAGTTTCTCATAAATAAATAATCTAAGACTCTCATTCTGTCCCTTTATTTTCAAAATATCTCTCAAGTATATCTCAATTGATATTTATACAATTTTTGTTTTATATTTAAAATATAAATTATCGTTAATGATTCCCTCTAAAATAATCAAGAGATAGGAATAACTTAACTCAAATTCAATCTAAGATGTTTCTCAAATGAAAAAGGTACAAAGTAATCTAATGTTGGTATCTAAAGCAAGTAGTTTACCAAAATAGTTTGAAAAGAATGAGAAATTAAAAACCACAGGAAATAAAATGGAATCTTTTAAGCATTCCAAAAATAACTCTATGAATCATTTATCAACAACTGAGAACACTAAAATCATAGATTCTATCCAAAATGTTTCATCCATTTATATTACTAACAAAACGGAAGAAATCTAACTCAGAAATGAGATCCATCTTAAAGCTTTAATCATTGCGGATTTAAATAAAAACATTGCTTAATTATAATAGTAAAATGCAACCTACTAAGTGACGATTTCATAACTGGAAAAAGACGTTTAATAATTAAATTAAACTATAGAAAAAATGTGTGAATAATTGACTGACTCTAGTAATGAATTTAACAAAGAGAATAAAATGCTTTAAGATTAAATTACAAGCAAAGATAAAATCATTAAGTTTTTCAAAGCTGAAAATTAATAATTATTAACTATTATTAAATAAGGTTCTTATAACAAAACTAAAATAGATAAAGAGAATCAACCCATTGTGACTTAAGCTAATCAATAAGATTAAATCAATTATCTAAAAGATTAGATTGATCTCTAAAGAAAACAGTTTTAATAAACTGAAGATTCCCTTTAAAAACAAATAACTGGACTGAACTTATTTGTAAATGAATTATTTCAATAATAATCATCAGACAGATTAAACACTAATATAAGTAGTAGAAACGAAAAAGATACGAGGAATAGAAAACTATCTTTATAATATGATATGGATTCATTTTAATCGTAATTATAGCATCTTGATAAATAAAAACATAAATTAGATCATAAATTTGATAATATTTAATGCAATCTGAATTAGTTAACTGAAAAACAATTAAACTCTGTTTGTACTGACAATACTCAAAATACAAAAGAAATTATTAAACTAAAACAAATAGTTTAAATATAAAAGAAATAAATTGAGCTACAACAAAAAACAATACTAAATCAACATTTCGAAATTCAAAATTTATAAACTCTACTTTATAAAAATGATCAAGATAGTGTATCTAAGAGAAAAGAAATAAAAGAAATTCAGGATGATATAATAACTAATGAATTTACTAATTCTCCAAAAGATGAAATGTAAATTTATGTTATTTATTATAGTTATCATTTGAATGACAGCTAAAGCGAGATTAAACCCAAATACTATTTGGATAGTATATAAAATACATTTTAGAAATTCTAAGTAATAACAGAAGAAAGCACTTTTAGAAGTTGAATCCTATACTTTATATCTTTATTAAATATTTTTTTTAATTAATTTTTATTATAATAGTATTATTCTATTAGAGGAATGAATTAACCTAAGAATAAAATGACACTAACAAGCGATCACACTGAAAGATTAAAATAATTGTAGATTAAGATTCAAGAAGAAATCCGAAATTTAGTAAGTGAAAATTTAATCTAAAAATATTCGAATGAGGATCATTTGGTTAGGTTGTTAATTGCTAGAGAATGGAAGATTAATGATGCTTTTGAATAATGGAAACGATGGGTTGAGTGGAGAAAATAGTATAGAGCTGATGAAATAAAAATTGAAGAGATCCAAAAAGAGATAGATTTAAGAAAGGCTTTTTGGAATGGAGTTGATAAATTAGGGAATCCCTGTTTGATTATTAAAGCAAAGAGACATTTCCCTGGTGAAAGTAATCCTGAGACACTCATCAGATTCTTTTTGTATATGATTGATTAAGGAATTCAGCAGGCAGATATGACTGGAACTGGGAGAATCAGTGTGATTTGGGATAGAGAAGGTGTTGCATTCAAGAATTTTGATTCATCAATGTTTACAATAATGAAGAAAATAGTGACTTTAGTGTAGGATAATTATGCAGAGAGACTGCATCAATTATTCATACTATATCCAAATTTTCTAGTTAAATCTGTTATGAATATTGTAAGACCATTCCTAAACGAGAAAACAAAGTCTAAGATAATATTGTGTAATCAGATGAAGGATCTACAATATTATGTTGGTGAGAATTATTAGATTTCTGATGGTCTAATATATGAGAATATTGAATAAATTTAAATACAGAACAGTGAAGAAGAGAAAAAATACATAAAAGAGATAATAAATTAAGAATAATGAGACTATTGTGATATAATATATAATTAGATTTTTATTAACAATCGCAATCAGGAGTTCTACAGTATTTTATGATTTCTTAAAGTCATTTGTTTAAGAATACAATTGATCTACTATTCACTTCCTTAGATATAATTTTAGTTATTGGAAATTCTATTAGAAATTAATCTATAATTTAATTAACCATCTTATATTTTACTGATGATTATTTTTAATAAAATAAATCAACTAATTAGAATTACTCAATTTAAAATAAAGCATCTATTGGTTTATCATATGGTCAAATAACTACATATCCATTTTATTTAATTGACTTTATATCATAAATGATTAGAAGAATAAAGAATTATAAAAAAAGAACAAAAATAATTATATTTTAATTATAGTATATCAGACTAGAAAGTAACCTTTTCTTCTTATTGTTGTTTATGGTAAAGTGGGTGTTTTTTCTTGAGAAGTAATCCATTATTGAATATTATTAAATTATTCAATGGTTCTGTTGATAATTTTATTAAACTTGATTCCCTCATATTTATTATACAATCCTTCATATCTTGGTGAGTTGACAAACCCAGTTTTATCGTTAGCCAATGCTATATATTAATACATCTCTAATTTTCTATTAGGAGTCATATGACTCATCAAAACTTTATCCTTGATTGATCCAAGACTTTGATGAGGATTAGAAACTACGACTCTGGATGGTTCGAAATTTTCATTACCGAAAAATTATGAATGATATTTTCTTTCGGTTTATCTAATATTTAAGTTTGCTTCATCTTTAATGACTTTAATATCTGGTATTTTCTTTTGAAAGTATTTTTCAACATAATATTTTTAATGAATATTATCTGATTTTTAGGGAAATACAATTTCATAGCACTCATCATCAGAGGATACTTATTCGACATCAACAATCATATGATCTTTATTAATCTTATTTGCTAAACTCCCTTATTCCAATCGACTCAAGGCTAGCAAGCGGACTCTAGAATTTTCATCCTAATGATAAGTATAGAGGTTACCTCACAATTTCCATTAATCATTCTATCATGGAAGAGTTTGGCCTTTTCAATTTAACCAACGTAAAAATAATACTTCCCCAATAATTCATAGGCAAGTAATTCATCATTCTTTTGTTTGAGTTTCCAGGCAGCCATCAAATATTTGGTGAAGTACAATTAGCTTAATTTTGGGTAGATCCTAAGTAGACATTCACCCAAACCTCTGTAGGATTTCATTTTATTACTGTAATGGGCATCAGTGTCTGATAATCGTTTACAGATTTTGAAATAGATAGCTCCTTGGATAGGGTTATAAAATAATTATTCTATTTTTCCAAAAATGTAAAGTATTCTTTGATGTACACAAATATTCTTTTATTTAAAGCATTCAACTAGAATTTCCTTCATTTGTTATTCACACTCTTATCTATTGAATTTGTAGGCTAACAAATTAGTTAAAGTTTGTATAAGTTATTCAATGCTTAGCCAGGCTTCAGTTAAGTACTTTGAAACTTTTTGTTCAGCAATAGCTTCATCGTAATCTTAGGAATCTCTAATGGCTTTGATATCTTCATTATATTATTGGATGATATATTAGGTCATTTTGTAAATTCGAGATTATTTTTTGAGCGTATCAGGATTAGTTTATAAGGTTTCTGGAGCCTTGTAAACATTAAAGAAATCACTTTATCTTGTACATTTTTTGGTAAGTCTCTGTCCAATCTTCCTTTGGGATTTTGCTTGTTTCATCTTCAATTCTGGTAAATGAGCAAGTGGAGTTTGATAATTGAATTCAGTTCTGTCTGTTTGAGGTTAAGATGATCCTTTTAGACTCATAACTTTATTGAGAGATATTTGGGTCTTTGAAAAGGTTGTTCTGGATATTCCCAAGCTATCAGTAGTATAATCTTGAGAAAATTTAATATTTTTCATTAATTATTTATAATACAAATCAAAACCCTGTTATTAATTCATCATAGTTCATTCTCTCTCAAAGTATCTGCAAATGTTCGTTCTAATTTAGTAAATTGATCTTACAGAAATTTAGGAGTTGCTAATAATTATTTTCCTTTGAATCTGTGCAATTTAGGAACTATAAAAGCAAAGTAATAATAAGTATGTCCAATCAACGCCCCTATCAAATTAGATTGGATTGATCTTCCAGAAATAATATTTAGAAAAATGAATATCCAAGTGATATATTAAGCTTTGACTTGAATTACAAACATAACTACATTGACAAACTAATATTACATAATAATTATCTTTCTTAATTTTATCTTCCCCAAACATACATCAACGATTCCACAAAGTAATCTGTTAGTGAATGCTCATTCAACCATAAACCAATTACAGTTATTGTTATGAAATTCAGAATCAAGTAATATAGGTAATTAGCAAATCCTAGAAAAGTATGGGATTCTAAATAAGATGAGATTTATTGACTATTTCTCAAAATTCAATATTTACAAAAAGATTAAGTGCATCACAGTTATTAAATCCAAATCTCCAAAATATAAAATACTTGTTACTGTTCTCCATGGCTATGCTTAATATTTTATATATTACTTAGAACTGATCTGAAAATGCTAATTTATAATTTAGGTATAGGTTTGACGGTTTCAAATACTAAATGTAGGTAGCATAACTCAATATCACACTACTGATTATGATAACTCGAGTTAAAGGGGGAATATTAAAAATTTCTTGCAATACCATTCTCTTTTAAAATTTTTAATAATTTCTATTTTCTATAATAACCAATTAAAACAACAAAATATCGATGAGTCATCAAAAAACTAATCAATTAATAAATTTCCCTTTTTTTCTGTTATGAATTAAACCTCAATTCGTTTATATTTTAGTCAATCTTCCTTTGTTCATACATTGTGATGATATAGAAGGGGAAATACCCTTAATTTCGAATGCAATTCCAAGTGAAATATTAAGGAGATTGATTTTTATTTTATGATATTGAATTTTGTTATTATAATGAATATCATCCCTTTTAATCAGCAGAGTTACGTTAATATCAAACACTATAAAAATAAAATATAATTTTAATACTAAATATTAAACTACTATCATTATAATTTATAAATTGCTTAATTAATGATATTAAAGCAATGTATATGGATGTATAAACTTATAAATAATAACAAGAACGCATTTAATGAATTGAATGCTACTATCGTATTTTAATAACCTACTTCTCTGAGTCCTAATTTCCCTATCTTATTATTTTTAAACCTAATATTTTAGAGGAATCAAATTATAAACTATAATCATTGTAGCTCATAATCCTTATAATGCTATAGACTTATTTAGAATAAACTTATTTTTTAAAATTATGTTGTTTTCTTATCCAAAATATGAAAAAAATAATATTGTTAAAAATATATAAATGTAGGCTTGCTCAACTTAGAAAATCGCAAAATCTAAATAATCAATGATCAGCATATTAAATTTAATTAAGTTATTAGTAGTAATTATAAACTTTGATGTTTTTAAATTCTACATGATTAGCCAACATAATTCTAAAACTTTGAATTTGAAAGTGGATTAATTCAAAGTAATAGAATAAGACTTTCAAAGAGAGTTTTAACCTTTTGTTCAATAGATGAAAAAAGAACTATGACATTTATATATATTATATATTATCATAAATGTTCAGTAAAAATGTGAAATTTATTATTTTATTATGAGTTCATGAATAGAAACAAGCATCAAATGGATTCTTTCCATTCTTTTTTGTTCTAATTTTTTGTTGAATTTATAAAATAATAGATAACTAATGTATTGCTAACACTTTAGTTTAGAAATATTCCAATATAGGCTAACTATTAGCAATATTTGAGCAGTAATGAAATGGCTAGACAATATTTCTGCTTTTGGAATGGTTAAAATTTGAAATTATATTAATTGATGCCCTTCATATAATAACAATTGAAATAATCGCTTTTAGGGTATTAAACTGTTAAGAAAGGTTGAGTTAGTAAAAAATGGAAATAAAATTGAAAAATTTTGAGCATCATAACGAGTTAATAGTGATGTTTTAAAAATAATTGGAAAAGAATGACATATTGTGAGGAAAGATCAATTAAGAATTGATTGTTAAATTAAAATTGAAGTTAGTAAGAAACTTGAATGGAATTTTACCATTTGGATGGAAATATGAGTGTGGAAAGACTGAAATGTATTTTTTATAAGTTTTATTGGAGAAAAGTTGGTTGATTTTAATTAAGTAATTAATTGTATTAAATCATGGAGTGAAATGAGAAGAGTAATATTTTTAATTTATGGTAATTTGATTAGGAGATGTTGAAAGTTGGACATAAAGTGATTAAAGGCAATTTTTAAGTTCAATTTAAGAGAAAATGGAGAGGAAATATTTATAAATTTAAAAAGTTGTTACAACTAATTAAATAATAAAATAAATTATTATTATTTTCATATATTCAATAGCATTAACATTTGGTAATCAAGAATTGATTCTTGGTAACACAAAACTCTATTATGATTAGTATAGATTATGTTAGATTGGAAACGGATATTATGTTTGATTAGGGGAACCAGGTTCATGCTCTTGTTTTACATTGATTTATTGTTTAACTTCTAGAAGTTACTTTATTACTAATTGCGATGCCCACAATAAATTTTGTAGAGTAATTTAATATACCTGGTTAGAGTTTTCCATTGGTCTTTATAATTATTACGATAATATGATATAGAGTTTTTAACATTACGATTGAAGAAGTGAGCGCTATTCTTTAGCTAAATTTACTTAGTCTTCCTTTGTAGGTTGCTTATCTATATAAATCTATATAATTATATTTAAATTTACTTGGCTAACTTCTGATGATACAATAGGCTCTGATAGTAAATATGTGAATGGATTTACGATAGATATTTTCAGAATATTCTCAACCTTAAGCTTCTTCTTTCTGGTTTCCTTTTTCCCTATACGACCATCTTTCTCGTATGCCTTTTAAATTGTCCGAACAGTACAGTATTTCAGTTTAAGTCTATTAGCTACCTATATTAAATAAATGTTTAAAATATCATATATATTAGTTAGAGATATTGATAATTTTAGCAAAATTTGATACCTCTTAAAGAGAAAGTTTGTCATTGATAAGCAGCTTTAATACAACTCTTCTTTCTTCTTTATTGATCTTTTAGTATTTTCTTGATTGTTTTTGTTAATCATCGGCATCTCCTGATTTGGTCATAATCAAAGAATCTTAATTTATTATATTTATAAAACAAAATTTTAAAAATAATGCTTATTAATTTAAATAAGATTCATTTTATTAATAATTATATACACTATTTCTCATTGATTTTGCAAATTATTAAAAAGTGATTCAAAAACATCTGTCAACCTCTGTGGAATAAATATAAAATAGGGGTATTAAAACCTTATTAATTCTATGTTAAATTTATGTATTTGTAAAACATTCAAAATTATATAAATAAATCACAGCGCTAAGTATAATAAATCATCTATAATTCTGATACTATCTTCTTTAATATTATTGAATTAAATTAAATATCCCAGCATATCAATACAAAAAATGCAGGTATTCTTGTATATTGATTTTAGACAATGTAGTCAATTTCGTTTTAATAACAATTCTCATACTCACTCTTTTGATATAAATTTGCATAATTTTCTTTAATTAGATCAACTATAAATAGTTGTTCTCACACTATTAAGAATAATATTGTTGCCTGGGATTAATTTTTCAACAGTTATATTTTATGAATAAAATTCAAATATTTCTTCTCAACTGAATTTTAAAGTAAATTTGCCAAATAAAGCAATATGGTTATACAAAATATTATCCATTCAGTTACAATTCTATTTTTGAATATTGTATTATAATTATATTTGATATGTTTTGGATCGCAAATAAAATAATCTTTATCTATTCTAATGATTTTGTTCTTAAATGAGATTAAATGAAAATGAAATAGAGATATGAATAAGCAAAGACAATTAATGATTAAAATTTAGTACTTAGAGGAAATTACTTTTGATATTTAGTTTAGGTGTGCAATATACTGAAGTAATTAATTCTGTTGACTGTAAGCCTATATGAACAACATTAGAAAACAATTTAAAATTGGAATGCTCTAAAATAAATACCATTGATCTTTGAAGATTCTAGAGTTGAATGAATATTTTATTTAGTATTAATTATTAAATTTTAAATGAATGAATAATAGGTATTGGTTAATATGATATATCATTTTATTTTTTTCATCATGGTGAAAAATTCTTCAAAACAGATTTGTCCTTTGGAATGAGAATTAAACTCTTTAAACACTTGTTTCCACATATCTTCAGAGAAACCATCAACTATATTTTAAAAATCATCTAAACTAATCAAACCATTTTTATCCTAGGTTATATAATATTTACTTTATCGAATATCAAAAAGGTTGTTTACAAGTTCCTAGTTGACAATAATTAACCTCTATCAATTGCTGCAATTACAAACTCTAAATAATACATAAATATTTTTGTACAAGCATAATCTATAAATCCAGAATTATCATTATCAACTTATTAAAAAATATGATTAACTTATTCTTAAGCTTCATTTACTTACATAATCTTAGAGTACCCTGCTATCAATTCTTCTATGCTTAATTTACCATCTTGATCGCCATCAAGATATAAGAATGCTTATATTAATTCTACTTTATCCTCTTTAGTAGCTAATTAGTTCACAATAAATTTGAGAAAAATATTTTGTAATTATTACTGTCCTGTAAAATTATACATATTTTTGAAAACCTTTTTCATTAATGGTTAATCAAATTTAAGATGATTACTATACTTTTAAATCCAAGGATCAGACAAGGATTCACGAGCACTCAACCTGTTGTCTAAGAATTTCGTAAAATTATCTACTTGGATCCAGTTATAACAGCTTTGTAATAAAATCTTTGGCTTCCATAGACACATCTTCCCATTCTCTTGAATCAAATGTATAAACTCCTTTTGAAATCTTCTTTTTTATTTCCTTTTTAGATTTTCCCTCAAAAGGAGGATAACTGAATAAAAAAAAATAGAATACCCAGATAAAAGCAAATATAAAATTACACCACAAGACCAAAGATCACATTTTTCATCATATGCCTAATTGAGGACTTCAGGTGCTAAGTAATATGGAGTTTCTGAATTAGAATCCAATTTCTGAATTGAAACGAACTCTTTTGAACTACCAAAGCCAATTATTTTAAGTATAGCTTCTTCTTTGTCTGACTCGTACAATATATTCTCAGGTCTTAAGTCTCTATTCAGTAGATAGATTCTAATACCCATGTATAATCTTCTCATTATGACAGTAATTGACTGCTAATAATATTTATTTCATTATTTCAGCTGCTTACTTTTCTGAAAATCTTCCCTCTTTTCTCATTTTATCAAATAATTATCCTCCTGTTTACAAGTCTGATACTAGATTGAAAGAAAATTTATTCTAATAAAATTCATGGATCTTGATGATATTTGGATGATTCTTTAATCTGTAAGTATTATAGATACCAATTTTTAAAGTACTCTAAATTCATTCATAGATCTCTCCTATTGGTTCTAGTTAGTTTAAGATCTTCTAATAATCTTAACAGCCCTCTCTTAATTAGAACAATGATGAACTGCTTTATGCACATTTGCATAGGTTCCTTGAATAATAATCTAAACATTTTGTACCAGTTACAAAAGGAGGATACTTGATGGTATAATCCTTTGTTATGCTTTTCAATTTTTCATTTTTTATTATTAATTTTCCAATGCCTGGATACACTATTTTCTATTTACATTCATACCATCATTCAATAAATATTTTTAAATAAATGTATTGTCTGGTTCTTATTTGTTCGGTTGGTTCCTTGATGCTGAACTTTTTTAAGGACACTTTCCTTAGAAGGTACCCATAAGTTATTATAATTAATTTAATAAATGGGAACTTGTACCCAAACCAATAATAAAGTACTACATTCAGAAAAGACTTTATAAAGATTGGTTATGCACTTCTATAATGTTTCTATGCATTCACATCCAGACATTGATAGTCTCATAAATACCAAATTGAATTCTTGCAAGATTACACAGAGGGGATTGAGCAAAGCCTTAATAGAAGAAATCGTTTTATTCCTAAATTCTTACAAGACCAGAACTCCAGAACAAGATGAATTGCTCAACCATTTCAATTATGTTTACAAATAATCTTTAAAGAAGTTTGATCAATTTGGAACCAATCTAGGCAAAGTTATATTAATTGTATTATATATAACATATACCAGACTTCAATAGAAGTGTTACTATGCTTTAAATCTCTGGAAATGGGGGACTTAACACCCGTGGATGTATGGTGGGTCTAAGAACATTTTCAAATTAGGTACCGAGTATTGTATGAACAGTATAATGTAGAATACGACCACTTTTTGGATATGAATTATTTGATTAAGTTTCTCTACCTTCTCAAAGAGTGCGTGAGAATTGAACTCAAAAAGAACAGCCTTGGAACAAATCATTTTTATCTCTCAATTAGACAAGACTATTAAGATATCCAACATACCTCTAGAACTTAAGATACCTAAAAAACTTAACAAAAAAGATTGGATACAATTTGATGATTACCTCAATTTATTAATTAAATTTTATCAATTTTTTCATAATATCTAAGTATTCCAGTTGATCAATTAAATGCCATTAATTTAGTGAATAAGACACCATATTTCAAAAGAGGATGCAACAATTAAACTTCTTCATTTGGTAGACCATCTTTGACATTAGTAATTATAAGAAATATTATTCACGTCGAATCATTTTTTTTATATAAATTAATTTCTTATCCATTTCATTGTTTATTTTTGGTTTTGCTTTGGTTAATAATAATAATTAAAAAACAATTATATATGAATAACTGATGATAACTGAGATGTTGAAAAATATTGAATTCTTTATAAATAATCATGAAGAATTCACATTTATTTTGAAAAATATGATAAAAATAAATCTACTTTTGATAAATTTTATTTTATTTATAAAATATGAGTTAAAGTAAAAAATAATCTCAATTTGAAGAATAAATGCAATCTTCTTAGGGATTTAAATAAGATTACCATATGTAATAATTTGCGTTGCATCTTTTAGGAATGGATAAATTGAAGAATTGATGGATCAATTAGATTAGGAACATGATAGTGAAGATGAGGGTTTGGAGGAGTATAGGAGAGAAGGTGAATTATTAATATTATGGTTAATTTAGGATATCATCCGGCTCATATTGGTGAAGTCTTACTAAATAGATATGTTGTTATATAAAAGTTGGGATGGGGACGCTTTTCTACTGTGTGGTTGGCTAAAGATTTTAAATATGATTCCTATGTAGCAATAAAAATTTTAAAGAGTTCCCCTAATCAATAGGAAACTGCATATGATGAAGTAAAACAACTAATCAATATTGTTAGGTCGAAATTCTATATAAAATTGCTTAGAATGTGTAGAATCCAGTGTGGATCTAATCATTGAAAGAATATTATGCAGATGTATTAATTGATTATATGTTCATTACTAGTAAGGAAGAACCTCATTCAATAGAGATGATACCCATACTGTTTAATTGTTGAATTCTTTTTTGTACAAAGGACCTTATGGTTATCATTTTTGCATGGTATTTGAGATATTGGGAGTCAATCTATTAGAGATTATTAAACAGTATGAATTTAGAGGAGTAATATATTGCAATAAACAATGATTAGTGTCCCATGAATATTGTTCGAAGAATGGCTTAATAGCTTTTGATTGGGTTAGATTATTTACACAGAATTTGTGGTGTCGTCCATACAGACTTAAAACCTGAGAATATTCTATTGTGTTTGTCTGATGAGGAGATTAAATATATAGCAGAAAATGGATAATTGACATCGAACTAACTGTTTTCTGATAGAATAAATATTTATAGATAAATTTTAGGAATAGGGGAAGACAAATCAGCTGTTGAAGAGGAAAATACACTTTAGAAATAAGAGGAAAATGATTTAGATTCACAATCTACAAATTTAACAAAAACTCAAAAGAGAAAATTATTAAGAAAAAAAAAATAATAGCAAGAATAATAAAATGAATTGAAGAACCAAAATCATGAAAAACCTAAATCAATAAAAGAATTATTTTAACAATAACAATAGTATTTTTTAAATAATATAGTAGAATCTCATGTAAAAAAAAAAGAAAATTGCCAGACAACTTTCGTATAAAAATAGCGGATCTTGGTAATGCTTGTTGGGTGCATCATCATTTCTCAGAAGTGATTCAAACAAGACAGTATAGATCTCCTGAAGTTTTGTTAGGAATTTCATATAATTAAACTGCAGATATTTGGAGCTCAGCATGCGTAATATTTGAAATGTTAACTGGAGAATGGCTTTTTGAACCAAGCCAAGGCCCAAACTTTTCAACAAATGAAGATCATTTAGCCTAAATTTAAGAGCTATTAGGCAAGTTTTCAATGGATTATATTGCAAGGGGTTTAAAAGCAAAAGTAATTTGAATTTTAAGTATATTTCAGAGATACTTTACTAATGATGGAAAGATGAAACGAATTCCTTAAATAAATTATTGGACTTTATTAACTAAGTTAATTGAGAAATATAATTTCAAATAAGAAGAAGCTTTGTAATTTGCTTCATTTATAATGCCTATGTTAAATGCATTACCAGAATATATAACAACTGCTTAAGAAGTTTTGTAGAGAGAATTGTGTTCCAAGAATGTGGATGATTAACAGAGATTTACTGTTTTGAAGAAATATTTGGGTCATATATTTTCATTTTAGAATTTCAGACATAATATTCCAAATTCTGGTTGGTTGAAAGCCATAACTAATTATTAGATTGGACATTTTATGAATGATGAAGAATTCAGGAAATATCGTAATCAAAAGAGAGAAGATTAAGAAAAGGAAGATGATTTAAACATTATGGGTATTCAAAACTCATTATTATCAAATAATCAAAGAGTATTAAGAATGATTTATTCATTAGGCTTAAAAAAGGTCTTATGATGGGTCGAATTCGTAAACTTCTTAACAGGATTAAAATATTAAATAAGATGGAAAATATGTGGATCATAGAGTGATTGATAGGTCATTTACAGATTTAGGATATATAGGATATGGAGACGGAATTGATTTAGAATAATTAGATAGCACAGGGAATTGGTAGTTTAATTGAATTAATCTATATATTAAGTACGTAATATTTTGAATGATTTTATAATGTAATTGTTTATTTCATTGATTGTGATGACCTTCAAATGCTCTGATATTATGGGCAGTATTAATCACAAAGTTAGATGTGTCAACCACATAACCTTTGGTAGCTGCTTCAAATAATTCAGGATGATGAACTATTCCTTCCTATTTCCATTTATAATTCAAATACTTTCATGAAATAGATCACTTCATCTTAAACTGTGGTACCCAATTCTTGGATATGATCAAGTTGACATGCTAATTCATATTTTAATTATCCTTCTTCTGTCAAATAATCTGCATTATCACGATCATCAAATTATGTGAAATCAGCTGTTAATGGATGGAATTAATATGTTTCAACCCAATAAGTGTTTTTATCATTAGCAAGAGTGTTTGTCTCAATCTTTAATATTTTGCCACCTCTGAGTAAAGAGAGTCTTTGTATTTTATATTACAATGATCTCCAATACCTATGTAAAATGGAAAGATTTATTACCACATTCTTGGAATCCACAAAAATGATGGTGCATAAATGAAAAGGTTGTTCCAATACCATGCAATGTCTAATGGGTTCTTAAACCAAAGGTAAACGGACAATGGAATGGCTGTCTCATATAGTATATATGGATATTTAAGGAAGATTGTAAGATGTTTATGGGGATCACATGAATAACTAATGATTAGTGACTCAATTACAGCAACACTTCTCCAATTCTATCAAACTCAATGGTGTATGTTGGTTTGTAAATTCGATCAGTTTTGACAACATATGAGGATTCATCATTCATGACCTATGCTTTGTGTGCCACTGTGGCATTGTGGAAACTTTTAATGTGGTTGAGTTGATAGAGATTCTTCAAGCCCAACCTCAAAGTGTTTATTGATCTGGTGAGCATTAATTAAAGATATTATTAATTATGTTTAAGTTTAGCTACAAGAGAATGGAATATGAAGAATAATTGTAAAAAGAATATTAGGATGAGCACCCTCTAAATGTTTAGTATTAGAGCATTGATCGATAGAACTATGCCATTAGATAAGAGGGTGAAAAAGTTATTGGAAATGAAAGCAGACTATTAAATTAGAAATAGATGTCTCTTTTTTTGCAGATGTTAGCGTAAATAGTTACTCAATATAAACTCTATCTGAGAATTTTCAAAATTAATTTCGACACTTGAGCATTATCTCAATGGGATTGCTGTACTTGTACTTGGTTAACAATGAAACCTGAATTTCTAGTACTCGTTAGATAGACATCTTTTGGGAATAAATCAATTCATACATAGGAATTAAAAAGTATAATAATTCTCACTTCTACCTTCAATGAACCTGATAACAGTAATTACAAAGAGCATTAGACTTATGAAAATGAATGTGAAAGAATAAGCTAGAAAATTTAGAGACTAGAAATATAAAATAATGTGATATTAAATCGTTTTTGAGATGTGTCGTTTTTTATTTAATAAATAAATGAAAGGAATCATCGCTATCATTCTTGCATTGGCTGTGGTCTCAAATGCCACCAGCACAAAAGATTAAATCTTGGCTCTCCTTTAAACAGGAACAAAGGCCAGTGATGCCATTGACACAGTCTTTGGATTGCTTAACGATTTAAAGTAATCAAACATCGATGCTCAATTCGCAGCTGACCAAAAGAACGAGACAGACGAATGGGTTGGTGCTTAAACCATTGAATAATTCACTAAAATCAAGACCCTCAATCAAAAATTGTTCCAATAAGCTGTTGAAAACAGAGCTGAATACGAAAACGTTCTTAAATAAACCAAAAATTATTTGGCATGGAATGAAGCAAGAAGAGATTCAATTGCTGCTAAAATTGAAACACTCCAAGACAACTAATGCTTCTCCAACCAATTGTTTGTTAAGTCCATCAAACATAACCAAGAAGCTTTGGAAGTCATCAGACTCCTCAAATAAGATGTTGCTGGATACATCATCAATGGAGATTCCTTTGAATTCACTTAAGTCTAAGCTCAATCAGTTGCCGAGAAATTGAAATAATACAGCAACCTCTTCTAAGAACACTAAATCAAATCATTCTTGGCACTTGCTTAAGAAGGATAAGTATCTATAATAATCATATATCAATTAGGCTTCAGAATCATCTGGACATGGATAAACATTGGCTGAAAGAGTCTTGGGTGTCCTTGAAGGATTACATTCTGAATTGGAAGGATCATTAGAAAATTTGAAATAAAACGAAATCAATGCCTCATGGGAATTGGCTGGATGGGTATCTTTATCTGAAGCTGAAATTGCCTCATTGGAAGTTGAATACGAAAGAAAATAAGTCTTCGCTGACAGAACTGCCACTGTAAGTCTATCAACATTATATTGTTTAGTAAATCCAAGCCGCCTTAGCTCAATAAGCTAAATCAAAGATCATCTTATAAGAATCCCAAGATGCTTTAGATTAGGCCCAATCTGACTTAGAAAGCAAGAGAGCTGATTATGCTGAAGCAAAAGCCAAGAGACAAGAGGAGAATGCCATTTTGGATGAAGTAATCATCATGTTCAAGAAATAAGTTGCCTCATGGTCTGGAAGATGATATTCTTTTTAAATACAAAATTAGTCAATCATAACAACATCACTAATATTATAGTTCTTAATTCTTTTGTGTTTTAGTAAGAGTAGGCTTTTGCAATTACTTACTTTGCTAATTAAATATTTTTTTGATAGACTTGCACATCATCTTCGTCATCGTCTTCCATATAATCATCTCCATCATACATAATTGTTTAAGGATTTGTAAACCTATTCTTAAACTCTATATCTTACATGTGATTTTTAGGATTATACGTGATAACCTAATCACCCTCCTCATCATAGTCCTAATACCTTTTCTAATGAGATGTTTTTTGTATCAGTTTTTCCCATGCCTTAATTTAGAGAACTTAATAACTACTCTTTAGATGACAGCTTATTTTCTGCCTGACTCTCTTTTCCAACAGATTCAGGAATGCTTTCCTTAGTATCAATATCTATGGCTAATTTCTTTGGTTATTATTGAGATTAATCCTATGATTGTTTCTTTTGTAATGAACTATTTGATGATGATCCAGCAAGTATATCTAACTACTTTTATTTAACTTCTTAGACATTAATCTGTTACTACTTGTTAGAACTAATTGGTTTCAACAAGTCATCCATTATCCTCTATTTGTCTTCTTTACTCATAAGTTGATTCGATTGTTTTTTCATCATCATTTCCTTTTCTTCAGCATACAAATCCTACAAAGGCTAATGCATAGGTTATTGATTTTAATATTGTGAGTTTATTTGAGCCATGTTCCAATCAACATATTATTGCTCAATCTATGATTTTCTATTTTACAACATTTTCTCATATTCTAGAATTGCTTATTTATCTAAGTCTTTTCTTGATATGCAAAAGTTATCAAAGAATTACAATTCTACTTCATTTTATTGTTATTCTAACTATTTTATTTAATCATCGTTAAAATTTACTGATAGAAGTTTCCTCAGAAAGAGATTCTCTGTCTCTAATTCAATTTGTTATGCTTACAATTCTTGCCATTGTTGTTCTTCCTATATTGTATGTTCTTCAATAACTTTCATCATTTGATTGTATTTTTCTCTTATTTATTGAATGCATTCATTCTTCTTCGCAATTTCAGCATCCTTAATTCTCAATTTCAATTATAAATGCTCAATACTATTGATGTGATCTTGACATGATTATGATTTGAGTTTTTTAATCATTTTAGCCATCTTTTTAATGATGTACATGCATTCTATGTTGTTTTCATAGAGTATCTTATTATCTTAACAAAATTGATCAATCTTTTCTTTTTATTATTCAATCATCATGATATCTGATGGTCTTATTGGAAGTGTGGCAATATCTTTTGACTTTCTTTGTTCTTATTTCTTTGTGATATAGACAGCTCTTCTTTGTCTTGGTACTTGTCTGGAAGTTGTTGAATCATCGTACTTAAGAGATTCCTCAGTTATTTATGCTTTTGAATTTTATTTATCGAATTCTTGTTGTCTATCTATTTTCTAAGCTGGGACAGCTGCTTACTCACAATGTCTGACTTATTGGAGTTAGACGAAGAATTGTTTAATTAGTTCATACTTTTGGATAAAGGCAGGTTGTTGTGGGTATTCGAATAACATAATTCAATTTAAAATTTAATTAATTAGTAGATAAAATAACCCTAAAATTCAATGTTGTTGTAATTGCAATGCTAATAGTTGCATTCCCTATGAATCTGTGTATATCTTCTAAGTTTTTGAATCAGCATCAATGTAGGCGCAAATCTCATTTTAACAAAAGTGACACTTTGGCCTTTAAAACTCCAAGGCGCATATATGGCATATCTAATTAATACAACAACATGATGATAGGATGTCTAATAGTGAATATGATACAAATATACAATTAAAATATTTAAAACATATTGGACATGACAATTGTGTTATTTGTGTAAGGGTCTCACTAAATACCAAATCTTTAAGAGGGTGTGATGTCTTAATCTTTTTGGCCTTGTCTTAATAAAAACCATCCACTAATTATAGAGAATATAATGTTGGATCCTTCTTATTCAATTTCAAATATTCACAAAATGTCGATGTAAAACTATATGTGTTTGATGTTACTTTTGGTTCTTAGATGTCTGATTGTGTTCCACAACAAAAATACTTTTAAAAAAAAGAAACCTTTCTATTCTTAGCCATTTTGGCAGTAAAAAAATTAAAAATGATTTTTAATGGTAATCAATTAGCCAATACAATTTTAAAAACTCTTCGTATTACTTCAGAAATAAAGCCGAAATTGGGAATCTGTTTAGTTGGAGATTCCCCAGCATCAAAATCTTATGTGAATCGAAAACTCAAAGCCTGCCAGGAAATTAATGTTGATGCAGAAGTATTTAATTTTTCAGAGAATGTTGGGTAGGAGTAATTGATTAAACATATCTAATAAATGAATCATGACGGTATATTAGTGTAAGTATTTTAATAAATAAAAATATTAATAGTTGCCATTACCATCACATCTGAATAAGTTGGACATCATACACTCAATTCCCTATGAAAAAGATGTGGATTGTTTACATATGCATAACTTATAAAGAATATTAGTTTATGGAGAATTATGCGAGATGTTACCATGCACTCCAGCAGCTGTATTATAGATTTTAGATTATTATGATGTGAATGTGATTGGCAAGAAAGTGACTATGATAGGTAGAAGCTTCTTAGTTGGACTGCCATTGTCTTTATTGTTACAAAAAAGAAATGCCACAGTCACTGTTTGTCATAGGGAAACATTAAATTTAGATTAACATATTATGAATGCAGATATTGTAATAAGTGCTGCTGGACATCCAAAACTAGTTAGAAATGTGAAGTAAGGAGCAATAGTAATTGATGTTGGAATCTCATAAGGGGAAAAGAAAGGCAAGATTGTTGGGGATGTTGATTTTGATGTAGTCAAAAATTAGGCATCGCTTATTACTCCTGTTCCTGGAGGTGTGGGACCAATGACTGTGTGTATGTTGATGAGGAATCTATGCAATATTTGGAAGAAGAAATAAGGATAGCCAGTGTACATCAATCCGAAATTGAGTGATGCTTATTTGAATGATTGATCAAAATTAATATGAGTAAAAATGATAAAAATCAAAAGTTGACTGCATATGAAAGTTATAAGAAAATAGAATCTGAAATCAAATTTCAAACCAATCTCTTAGAGAAATCAAATCCAACTATCAGATGTCCAATTCATTAATACAATTACTCCAAAACTTGTAGGTAGTAACAAATTTGAGTGATTAGATAATGTAAGAAAATTGTTGTGGAAGAAGTACCAACATACTAAGAAAAATCAATTAATATGGATAAATATCACTATGATGTTGGAGACAGAGGAGATAATATTATACCGATGTATTTGTGAAAATTTAATGAAAGTCGAGGAGAAAATGCAATCAGCAATATGAATTCACTAGTTAGATAAAATATACTTACATGTCCATATTACAAAGAATTATTATAGATTAGAGATATTAATGACATTGTCACTGAGACAGATAAGATTGTTACATCGGTTGGCACTTGGGCTGGTCCAGGAGTACCATCATCGTTCTTCTGTATTTTACATAAGTTGATGAGCATGAATCTAAATGGTATACAAGATTGAATATTGATAATAGTCAAATAATTACAAATTTTATGTGATTGGAAATTGAATCCATATGTTAGATGTTTAGGATTATTGTATTTAAGATATTCGTTGGATCCTAACTTTTTATGGGGATGGATGAAGAGATATATTTTGGATGAATAAGGTAATTCAATTTAAAAATATTAGAATTCAAACCCTCCAAAGATGAAGATATTACAATCGGAGATTTTTGTGAGAGATTACTTACAGATTTAAATTATTACAATACTCGATTACCTCGTATCCCATAACAGATTGATACTATTATATAAGCGAAAATATTGTTATCTTAGGAGAAGAGACAAAGGAGAAATATTAATCAAAGAATCATGGCACTCTTATAACCAGGAGTCTCAGTGAGAGCAATCTCATAAAAAGATGATGAATGGCATGTGGGTAAAATAGAAAGTGTTGATGGCACATATCTTATTATTTAATTTGAAGAAGTAATGGAACGAATTAGCTTAGGTGAAATTGAATTCATACCTAAGAATGATGAGTAAAGATTATATATTGCTCAAATGATCACTGAAGGAATGTAAGAAGGTTAAATCTAATTGCCTTAGGAAGTGGTTTAATAAAAATCACCGTCTAGATCTAAATCTAAAAAGAAGAAAAGATCATCTTCTAGCAGCAGTCAAAGTAGCAGTAGTAGAAGCAAGAGTAGACGTAAGAGTCATAAAAAAAAGAAAAATAAACATAAATCTTAAAAGGAGCATAAAAAAAAGAAGGATAAAAAGAAAGACAAGCAGAAGGAGAAAGAAAAACAAAAGTAAAAAAAAGAAAAAGAAAGACAAAGATCTAATAGTCCAGAACTCGGATAATATGAAACTAATAAGGAGAGATAAGAGAGATTGGAAAGAGAAATTAGAAGAAAATAAATGGATAAAGCAGTTGCACATAGTAAATAAGATGTTGCCAAGATACCGGCTTCGTATAAAACTTCTTTGGCTGCAGCTTTACCAACTTCTACAAAACCAGTTAGGCAAAATAGTCCATCTGCCATTAAAAAAAAGGAATAATTTATCGAATTAGGAAACTCAGAAACCAATAATCCTAAATTTGAGAAAGAATCAAAAACAGATGTAATATACTTATAATATTAATAGCAAAATAATCCTTTTTTAAAAGAATTAATTAAAAAATATGGAGATGACGATGTTTGACTATTTTTATCATTTATTAAGTTAACCATCAAGAGCTTTTTTAAAAATAACCAAAATTATTCTAAAATTTATTTTTTTAGAATAATTTTCTATTTTCTAAATTTTATTTTAAAGAATTTTCTAGAATATATAATAATAATTTCCTCAACTTACAAATATTAATTTATAACAAATGGATAATGGATTTAAAATATACTTGAGTGAAATGCAGTACAGTTATTCATTCAATGAATTTAAATGATAAAACTCTTAATTAATAAAATAGCGATAAAATTTTCTACAAAATTGGTTAGTTTAAATTAACGTACAATAATTATTAAACGAAAAATTTCGTTTAATCTAATTATATGTTTATTGCATATTCTGATAAAAACAATGCAGTTGTTTCATGGATTTCAAGTACAATTAAAAGAAATGAATAGAATGGAAATTTTATTAAATCTCTTAGAATCAAATTGCATAAATTCAGAGAGTACCAAAAAAGATATTGGTGGAGATAAAGTCTGTTAGTTAGATAATAAAAGCATTTTTGTTTCATCTAATAAATCAACTAATCCTTGAATATCATTCTTTTCATACTTGGTATTAATAGTCACAATTGCAAAATGATCACAGCTTTAAATAAATAGGTTAACATGATTCTGATAATTTAATTCAGAAGCAGGTTTAGGATGCGGAAGAAATGATATCTGTTAACCGATTATATTATTTTTATATTAATTTTTTATATATATTATATGAAATCAATTTCAGCATTATCACAAATAATGATTTTTGCAAAGGAATTAGAAAAAACCTCAATTATGTATTCGGTGTGTTTCGGATTGAAGATTACTTTAATGAGTGACTTGTATTTGGAACTACAAGATTCAAGAAAATTTAAGATTTGCTTCTATCGTGTTAATAAGTTGAAATTTTGATCATATTAGTTTTGCCCAGCAAACCAAAGGATACAGTCCTATATTAACATTTAAGGTGTCAGAATTTGACGAAACCTTAAAAAAGTTAATTCATTATGGTGCTCAATAAGAACATAATATTTAGGAATAAGACAATTAAAAAGTAGTTTATATTACAAATAATTGATAGCTTTTTTGTAAGGCATAAATGGTGAAATGATAAGTTTAATTTCAAGTTAGGAGAATGATTCAAGTGATGAAGAGGATGACTAAGGTCAATAATCTGAGATAGAGGTAGAAATACAACAAATGCTAAAAAAAATTAAGTTATGATTAATAATACGAAGATGTGTTCATTACAATTATAATAATTTATATTTTTTCTACTTGTTTTTATTTAAATCTTAATGTAAACTTTTAAATTGTTGGTAATAAAAGATAAAGTTAAAAAATAAGGTTCTCATTTCTGTGTTATTGTTATGATTCAAAATATTTAAATGATTTAATATCATTTAATTTTTCTTGATTTTCTAGTATTATTAGAGCATTACAAAGTGATCTTTACCAATCAGAAAGTTAATAATTTTTGATCTCTTTTGTTGCTATGTTATTTTTAATATTAATTAGCAATAAAATGTGAATTATCCTTTTAATTATTATGATGATAGAGTTTAAAAATTCTAATTGCATTTACTAAACAAAGAACTTAGCAATAATAAGGACTGTTCTTGCTGTGGTGATTGTGTTTTAGCCGGTATTCAGAGATAGAAACAAGTAATAAATCATCTATTGGATATTTTAAATTGAAATGATTGATATTGAGCAATTTGAATAGATAAAATGAACTTAGAATTGTTTATGAAGATTCCGTATTAACAATGAGTCTGATGAATTGCTGAAATCTAACCATTTATCTGGTCTTGAATTATAAACAGTACATAATTTCTAATTTCTAGAATGTCAGATTACGAAATACATTGTCCATCTAACTTGAAGCTTAATAAATGCAATTGATTTTCTGATTGGCTCATCTCTAGTCTCGTTGAAATATTGAATAATTTTTAATACAAAACTCGATTAAGGAATTTGATAGCTTCAAGTTGAGGGAAGTCATTAAAAATAACACATTTGAATGAGAGAATCAATCAGGAAAGAGCTGAAGTTGAATTAATTATACAGCAAATGCTAGTTGGGACTCAAATGAGGATTATTCTTTTTTTGTGATAAATTTATCATTAATAAAAACAACGAAATAGCTCTATATTTTTAAATTTACAGAAGTCTATCATATTAGATAGGAGGAACTCAATAATCTACATAATGTTCTGATTTAAGAGCGATCGTATTAGTGATAGGAGAGGAAAAATAATTAAAAAATTATCTTATTTTTCAGATAACTTTACTGCTTAGAATGCACTACATTTCATAAGATTGATTTGCGAACATTTATATCTACCCTTAAATGATTTATTTGAAGATATTAAAGGTAAATGCGTCTATATGTCATAAAATTTAAAAATAATTATAGAATCAAAAATAATAATTAATTACAAATTTAATTTATTAGATTCTAATATATTCATGAAATAAACTTTTATACTAACACATATATATCACTATATTGCAGTCTATCCTTTTTTTCTTATAATTGGGATGATAGAGGTCTTTTATAGAAAAAAAGTAGATGCTAAAAAATAGATAACCGAGGAATTATAAGCCTTATGTATCTTGTAATTAAATATATAAATAAACTCAATGCAATAATCTTGCTTAGAGATGAACTAATCAAAGAAATCAAAATTTAATTCAAAGTTTATAAGTATTCAAGAAAGTTCTATAGGTTTGAAGATAGTGGTAAGTTGTTTAATTAAATGTAGGATCCTGTTAGTAAGATAATTTAAGTATTTCTATTTTGGAACAATTCCATTTTAATGGATTGGAATAACTTTTTCCAGGAATTAAATGCTGGAAATCTTGGAAATCTACATTTCATTATTGAATGTGAAGAATCTAAATTTTTTATATATGGGACTGCTGAAGATTTATTTTGTATATATAAATTCTGTGCTGGAAAGTATATATTTAAAAAGGGATAAGCTAGTAAAACACTTGAAATAATAAAAGAGAAACATGATTATCAAGTAAGTCAATAATATATATTTACTAGTTGAAATCAATATTTGATTAGTCCAGACAGAAACAGTACTATGAGCATGTAATATTTGCTCAAATCAACGATAACTTAGATATGTCTTTCTACTCTTAGGTTACATATGATGGAGAGAGATTTATTCCTTAGGAAATTTAAATAATATAGGACTTACATATTACATATATACCTTAATTCTTAGAAGTAGATGCATTGTACCACGATGGAGTTTAATTTTCTTACATTTATTCAAAAAAAGATTTAATAAAATTATCTTTGTATTATAATCACACTCAATTGGATAACCATTGTTTAGTATCTCACACAGCATCCTAATTAGTACTAAGTAAATTATTACACTATTAAATCGATAGTATTGCTAGCTTTAGACGAGAAGGGAATAATACACCCTGGCCTTGATTTAAAAAATCTTTATATCAATCCAAATACATAGGATATTGTTCTTGCTTCCTATTACTAGGCTTATTACTAATTGAACAATGATCAAAGAAGATTGTAATTATATGTTGGTATTCTATAGGTGTGTAAATATTGGGTATTCGCCTCCTGAATATTTTAAGATTAATTAAAAACTAACAACCAAAGCTAATGTTTATCAAGTTGGAATTTCGTTATTTCAATTGTACTCTATTTAGTATCATATTAGATTGCTTGGACACAATCCCTTTGGAAAATCCTAAAAGGAAATGGCACTCAATCACACCAAGAACATTCTTGATTTATCAAGACTCAATGCTTTTGATTCTATTTTACGTGATTTCATACGAAAATTACTAGAATAGGAACCTCACAAAAGACCATCACCTTAAGAATTACTTAAGCACAAGTTATTTTCGATCTCCCACAAAGAATACTTGTCTAAATAGACAATATAAAAAAAAATACAATAAGATATTCAAGAGTTCACCATTTTTAGCAAGACCTAGAATATCTAAAGTGTAAAACCAACCTTAAAGTTCAAAAAGAGATAGTGATATATTGTTTTAGTTTAGTTGACAAACTATATTTCAATTCATATTCAATGTGATTTAGCTCTCTCAACTTTTCTCCCATGTTTTTTATTAAATTATTTAAATAATTAACTGCATATTATACATTTGTTATTAAATTATTTAAATAATTAACTGCATATTATTTAAAAACTTTTCTATACTAATTCAATTATTGTTATTAAATGATATATAGTGAAAATAAACTCATCAATTCTCGCGTTCCCAAAAATCTATAAAAAGTGGCCACATGATTTCTAAAATTATGCAAAATAAGATGCAACACTTACTTTATTGACTTATTTAAAAAATTGCATTCAAAAAATAAGAAAACCATCGAAACCAAGATCTCTCACTCACAATAACATTAAGACTTGATCCCTTTCAAATTAGACCCAAATGTAACAACAAATTTTAATCTATTCTAATCTTTCAATTCATTTGATCAATTTATGCATGGAAACTATATCTATATTAATATGATTCTCACTTAAATCTAATTTAGATTGGAAAAAGACCAAACACATAAAATTTCATATCAAGAAATTTATTTGTTATTTTTTTTTATTTTTTCAATTTTTCTTTTTGAGTAAATTAATCAGCCAAAATTTTAGCATCTTCTGAGTTTTCCCAGCATTACTCAACTAAGTTTTCTAGTGAGCCTTTTTTAGTTCAGGTCGATGTAAAATAGCATATAGCAATATTAAGAAAACTAAAGAAAATCTTAATATCCAATTTGAATGAAACAAGTGTATTTTATATATTTATAATCTTATAATGTGAGAATTGGATATGATAATTAAAAAATGATAAGAATATTCTGAGACCAACAATTAGGTACTTATTGTCCAGAGGTTCATGATTCTCATGATTCTTCCCTAATGAGAGGGTCGAAAAGTAAATGACACAAGAATTCAATATATATTGTTTATAAACTTCTCCAGACTTATAAAATATATATAAGTTAATATATATGTCTCAACTAAAACGTTTGATAACTTAAATATTAATTTCCGAATTTACAATCGGTGAATTACTTAGAAGAATGTTTTTTACTAATTTTCTTATCTGATATCACAAATTAAACAAGGCAATCAAAGGAAACACTATGTTTGATATATAATAAAATGTTTAGTTTAAATTTCTTTATTTTAGTGATATCACGAAATCAAACACGACCAAATATTACTTATAATTCAATTATTAATACTTGAGTAATACGAATTCTTATTATTAAATTGGTTAGAATAACATATATTTTGTTATTCAATTAAACAATTTTTGTAGCATAAATGAAAAATAGAAGTCTGTAAACTTATATACTCTATAGTATATATGTAGATGAATAATAATTTTTAGATAATAATAGTTTAGAAATTGGTTGATGTTATATTTTGTTATTAAATTTATATATTAAAATGCAACAATTTAGAGACACTGACAATAATAGTGAAAATCTTAATGAGGAAGATAAGTAATGTAATAAATAGTATAACAAAAGCAGCTCCATCAATTAGCACGTACCATAATTTCCTCCTAAAAAAGTCCCATCATATTCGATTGAGGTCACGCAAGTTTTAGTGCTTTTATAATAATTCAGATGTGCTTAAGGGAATGCGAGAAGAGAATTAGAATGCTAGTTGATAAAAAGATTAGTTAACATCAAAAAGAATTACTAGCCTGATTGCTACAGATTAAACGGAATTTGGGCTTTAAAATATACAAATTACCTTTACGAAAACTCGAACACTCTGCCAGGTCCCATAGATAATACAAGTCTATTATAAATCAAAGAGCCAGTTTGTAATAGAGATTATTTTGTTCTGACTCATACAGTTTGGAAGTTCTTGCTTGAAGAGTATGGTGGTGGTCCTGAAATTCTGGAGGAAAAGGTGCCACCATCTCCAGTATCGGTAATTTCATCGACAGCTGATAGAGCAAAATCAGCAGATATCAGTATGATGTCAAGTGCATCACAACAAGAGTTTCCATCAGAAATACCAATCAAAGGGCTGAAGAATGAGTTGTTTTATTGCTATATGCATTCGATCCTCTAATGTTTAATGTGCATTCAAGAATTGAATCATTTTTTATTAAACAGTATTAATAGACATAATGGGTAGAAAATGTTATATTGTCGAGGTTATAAGGAAATGCTATTGTAAATACGAGATGCTTAAACTGAGTACATAAAAATAAACACTTTGAGATCTACAATAAGCAAGAAGTTCAATCCAAAATATCAACATGATGCACAGGAGTTCCTTATACATTTGATATCGACAATGGAAGATGAAATCATAGATGTGAATAAGGAGTATGAAAAACTATAGTAACCAAAATTGGAGAACGTTGTAAAGAAGTATCTAAAAGGCTAAATAGTAAGTGAACTAATTTGTAAGAATTGTAAACATAAGTCTGTAATTACAGAGGAATTCCTGACTTTATCTTTAGCATTGACTAAAGTGGCTACAGTAAATCAATCATTAGAAGAGTTTTTGAAAGATGAATTAATTCAAGATTATCAATGTGATAGTTGTCATAAGAAAAAAATAGCAATCAAGAAAACTAGAATTACTAATCTACCCAGATATCTAATATTGCATTTGAAGAGATTTAAGTTTTTCCCAAAATAGACCAAAATTACTTAGCAGATCAAATTCTCAATTGAATCCAATTTCTGTAATACGGAATACAAATTGATTGGAGTAATTGTTCATTCTGGATCCTTAGAACAAGGGCATTATTATTCATATGGCAAGAGATAACCCTAATGGTGGTTGTTTAATGACTAACGAATTAAAAAAGCAACCAAGATGGATGTATAATAACAGTAATGTTACATTTTGTTTTATTAATAACTTTTTTGATTATATGAATTATTATTAAGAGTAATCTGATTTTATTGTAAAATATCAAAATAATTATTGTGATTCTATTTTCATTGTTGAAAGTAATTCATTTGAGTTTGAAAATAGCTAAATTCAATAAATAAGATATAAAATAATTGTAAATAGTGAGTTAACAATTGTTGGTATCTTGATAATCTGGTAAGTCTAAGAGTTTAAATAGTTTCATCCATTTAATTATCATTTTCTGTAATAATTTTCATCGTTAAGAATTATAATGATAAGATAGTTGTTCTAGATTCAAATTTAAATACTTAAGAAAATATAATTGAATAAAACAAAGGAATGGATAAATTAAATCACAAAATTGGACATTTGTTAATAATATTATGAATAAACTATAGTTGGCAAAGGCCATTAAAATCTAAAGAGGATCATGATATTTATTTGATTATATTGCTATAATTCACAACTCTATCTTAAAATCTTAATGCTTCTTACAAAACTATAATAGATTGTCTTAAAGGCCATTCAAATTATAATGAACAGTTTCCCAATCAACAGTGTACTCGTCTATAATTACTCGATCAATAATCTGCTTTAATTAGAGTGCATATTCTGGATTTTTGTATGTTAAATAATCTATTACTAATATTCCTTAAGTGGGGTCTTAGTATGTAAATGTAAATTGAGGATTGGGTTTGACTTCATACTCATATTAGAGATTGAAGTCATTGAGCTTTAATAATGTTCCATTTTCAAGAAGATTGAATGAAATATTTGGGATTGCGTCTTCTAGATCATGACATTTCCATAATAGGACGTTGTTTGTTTATGGAATCACAGTTATGATACCTTTGAATGTGTATGCAGAATATTCCAATTAGGATGTCACCTAGACATATTCAAAGCTAGAGAATAGAGCATCAACAAATGGAATTAATAATAAAGTAAACATTAAAATTATTGAATCACAATATTAATTATGTTATATTTTAACAATAATAATATCCTAATGATATCACAGTTTATCGACGATGTTTCCATACTCCAATAAGAATTGAGCAACACCTGGCAATTTAGCATTTCCACTAAGAGCCAAGAAATTTGGTATTGTAAAATAGAAGTCAGTCTCCAAATTTGGCATGTTCTATGATGACTTCAATTATTACCTCTTGAATTTATTTAAGGATGGCTATTCCAAATTCATCTTGTACAGCAACATCTCCATCTTAAATCCATTTCTAAATCGACTTTCCAAAGAATCCATTTTACCTAATGAATTCAGGACAATCATCAGAACTCTTAAATTCCAAATCCACTTTGAAATTCTTAAATTTCAAAAGTAAAGGGAATGGAGGCTTATTGGCAATACCAGGCTCAAAATTCTCAATTACATTTGTCACAGCTTATACAAGATCTTAAGCAAGATCCAATTTCAGAACGAATTTTAAACTCTTCATAACGACTGACATCAGTCTATCACCTTTCTTGAGTAGTTCACTTGCAAATGTGAAATCTGTATTTGATGACAATAGCAATTATATTGAATTCTCGTTCTTCTCTGCAAATTCTTCTAAACCTAATATTATTTTAAATTAATCTCATCTTTACCTTGAGCAAAGACCATATTGAATCCTTCCTTGATTTCTTCCATCTATTCAGGCTTCAATTAAAATGATAACCACAAGGTTGTTCCATCACTGTGAGTCTTGATTAAAATATCCTCTGCCTCAATCATTGGTTAGATTTTGTCATTCAGATATTTCTACAATTCTTAAGCCTTTCCATCAATTGTCTTGAAAGCCAACACGAAGCCCCATTCTGTATCCAAATTGCCACCTGTTTACTTTTGTAGCTACTCTAATTGTTATATTGCAGCTTGCTTATTGACAAGAGCCTTCAAACTAACTCTTATGATAGGTTCATACCTTAAATTCCAAGCTCCTTCTCCCTCATAATATGGACCAACTTGTACTGAGATATGTGATGAATTGATCGACATTTTATGTAATTAATAAAATCAAGTACATATGTTTCATATGAATTATAAAAGAATCATAATTTGATGAAAGTATAGGATCACTAAACTTGATCACGAATTTAAATACAAACTAATTTACAAAGGAGAGCCTTACACTCTCTTCTTGTTCCTAATCATATCCTCCACCCTTCCCTTTAAATTATATTGATGATCCTTTTATTCTAAATGGCGTTATTGTAATGAGATAATTCTACAGTGCCACTGCATAATTTTATCTAATAATTTTCAATTGGGTGATCTTTACTTGCTCGTCCTTACCTGGCTAAGTTTAAAAGTATTACTCCTTTAAAATTGCAGTTTAACAAGTTGATCAGATACGAAGATGATTTGAATACTAAAAAAATTCATGCTCTCTCTCTAAATCTATCACTTTATTCTATAGATAACTAACAGTCTCATTCAATATTTAATAATTATAGTATCATTCATGCGTATACTTACAAAAGAGAGAGTCAATAACTAAAGAATTCATAATTTCCTCTCATTTTTGATGTATTAAATATTTAATTAATTATATAATTCAGCATTTTTTGCTAAAAGATTAAAAATCTTATCTCTATAATCTCGCAGCTGATTATTCTTGTACTTGTCTAGGCTTTAGGATTTGGCCAATGCTTAAATTTTTCTGGATGAATGTTTCATGTAATAATTTCATTTATGCAATCCAATAATTCTATTGTTATTAATTTTACCACTATGAGACCATTTCTAAAATACTTAACTAATGACCTGATATAACTTCATTAAAATTCTAAATGGGCATTGATTAGATAATATTGTCCTCATTTCCATACAAAACTTTTTCAATTTTGATGATTTCTTGCCAAGGTTCTTCTACTTGGTTGTCATAAATGTTTGTTTTAAGTTCAAGCAGGTATTTAACAGTATTATCAATGGTTTTTGAAAGATTGGATTGTGATATTGCTTATTTATCATAATTCTATTTTAAAGTTTATAACTAAATTTTTAGTTATTAAATTTTTGTTGTTTTGTAAACTTTACTCTATTGTAATTGAATATTATGTTCATTTAATATTAAGTCCTATTTAGTTGTTCTATTCTCAAGGATAGCTTTCTGGTTTAATAATTATTGCTCTATTTAATTAATTTAATAAATACTATTATTTGTTAAATCCTATAAGATGTCAAAACAGCTCGATCTCTCTGATCGATGAGTATAGATTTTACTTTGACAATTTTCATTTTATAATCTTAGCTTCATAAATTTAATTATAAAATTAACAAAACATAAATATCAAAAAAATACCCTTTGACTTTTTTATTTGTTCATTTACTCTTATTGATTAAATGCAATTTAATTCCTTTGAGTTGCATTGACGATATTTTTTTAAAGTTTAATCAAGCTATCGATCTATAGTTTCTGAATAGGAGATTTAGTTTAAAGACTATAATATTATAATTATTATGTACATATCCAGATGGTCAAGACTATCCTTGATTTTTAATGCACTGAATTAATAGTTCATTACTTTTGGCAAAGACAAAGAATGCATAGATTTTAGAGTGTGATGAAAATCCGAGGCAGAGGTCAGTTGTTTCGATTGAGATTTCTTGTTTTGTTTCCTTACCTTAGAAGGTGGAAAGTATGGCTATTTGTAATGATCTTCACTTAGATATACAATATTCTCAACTGGTTTGTGTTGTTTTTCTATCCTCCTTTTATGTAATACTAATTTATCAGTTTTAAATTTGGGTAGAATTCTATTCAAATTGATTTCTTCTTAAGAGACCAAGGCTTATGTACAATAGTTTGAGATTTGCTCGGTATTAGGTCTGAGTTCAGGATCATAACACAACATCAACCTTAACAAATTATTTAAATTAAGACTATAGTTTGGATTGTATGTTATATGGATTCCCTTAAGAATTTTCTTGTGCAAAACATCAGTGTTGTTGGCTACTATTAATGGATCCTTGAACATCATCTAATACAACATGTATCCAAACATCCAAATATCTGATTTATAATCATAGATTTGTGTCCTGATGAATTCTGGAGCCAATAAGTAAGCATCAGTATAACTATGTTAATGTAAGTAATAAAGTATGTTCATCTCTCCAAGAATAGTGTTTTTTTGATTTTGAAACAAATTTGATAATTACAATTTCCCATGAACTCTTTTCGGATGAAATAATTATAATGTTTGGGATATCTAAATATATAACACTTAAATGGTACTTCTTATATCGCCTTCCAAATATCTCTTTCCTGCATTGGATATTCAGGCTATTTATCTAAATAATCGCTGACTATTCTAATAATCAATTTATGCCAATACCCTAAATAATTCATATCTTAATCCAGAGAGGCTTCATAAAACTTAACAATATGTGGACTTTTTTGATTTGATATTTTAGAAAGTATTTTTATTATACTTTGTACTCTTTCCTTTGGAATGCCTTCTAATGTGAATATTCTCAACATGTAATAATAACCACTTCTTTTCACAATGAGTGACTTCTTATATTGGTTTTATTTAACTATGTTAACTACCTCAAATTGAGGAAATAACTGTTCCACATTTTTCATTAAATAAATTAATAGAACTTCAAAAACATATATTACATTACTTAAATTACTTTCAAAATAAGTACTAAATATTGAAAACATTGAGAAAATGCAATTAATTAATTAATCACATGCTGCAGTGTTTGATAATCAATAGTGAAAAAAATGAAGTAATTATTCAATCAATTATTTAGTATCAACCTTAACATCTAAATCCAATAAATTACAATAAAATGTTAAATAGAAGGTATCGATTGGATTTCCTTCTTATTTAATGAATGCTTCCATGTAGAATTTATAAATAAAATATGAACCAGAGCCACTGAAGATAAGATATAGAGTTTTCGAAATTCAAAATAAGAACAATGTGAAATTACTGTTTGGGGTATTACTACAAAATATCTTATTCTTTAATTTTAATATGGTTTTCTTTAGCAATTTCTAGCGCAATAAAGATATCTATTGTATTTTATATATATATATTTAGATATCTAAATTTTGAAGGAAATAAGATGAGACATGATACACATAATTCAGGCGAAGTCTGTAGCATAGGATCGAATAAATTATTTACCGGATTTAATGGTAAATTGATGAGAAATGATCATGATAGCCTCCATCCAGATCAAATTTATAATGAAACAAAAAATTGTGTTAAGGGATGCCATTAGGACTTAACAAATGAATCACATTATTAATGTAAAAGTAGATCTTCTTTATTTGATAATTTAATATTATGGATATAAGATCAGCTATATGCAATCTCGTTAAGACTGTGTAGAACTTCATAACAGATCCGTAACTCAAGATTTAACTCAATGAACTTTATAATCTAGCTTCCAAACCCAATTCCAAAATCGATGACATAGAAAGACTTATGAATAACCTGGGTAAAAGCTAGACAATCCATAATAGAGTCGTCTCTTAGCCCAACCCGCTTAATTCTTCAAAACACTCTTATAAAATTTAAGCTCAATCTGGAGCAAGTGTATCTGCATTCTCTAATGGAATCAACCAAAAAATTCCAAGTTTCGGAAGCCGTATACAATATACTAGTCCAATCAAGACTTATAGAGAAGATAGGCAGAATAAAACTAATTCTGATCGATAAATTTGTTTAACTAGTGAAACTTTGACATAAACCCCCAAAAATTAAACTGACGTCAAGCCTTTTGACAAATTAACTATTGACTTACCTCCCAAATTCAAAACACAATCAAAAGTGCATAATCATTGTCCTACAGTTCCAGTGATCTCAGAACTTTTGGAATAATCTTAAAAAAAAATCAACATACCTGAATAAAACACTGAAAAAATGAGTATTTAAAAAAGTCCAAAATAATAATCATTAATAATAAAATAGTATGATCAATAAAAGGTTTCTGGCAGAGTATTAATGGTCTTAGAGTCATGTATTAAAGAAATGAGCTAGAATACGTTTAAATTAATATTAACTACGGAAAAAACAAATGAAATAGATACTTGTTCATCTGTTCTCCATAATAGTTCATTAGAAAATTCAATTACAATAGGTCAGAGGAGGTAATTTAATGTAAATTTTTTAAATTAACTACATAGCCATTGTAAAAAGGACTTCATTAGAAGATGTCTGATAGAGATCTTTTTAATATTCAATAAAATTTTTTGATGAAAAAGTTAATAGTAAAGGCCAAACAGATTGAAAAGAGTTCTCCTGTGAATCCAAGTTTAGATATATTTTTAAAATGAAATGATTTCAATCATATTTAATTAGTTGTTTGAATTTATAATGAGAATTAAGAATTCAGAAAATTATAATTTAAATTTATTATCATGAGACAGCTGAACAAAATAGAATGGGGATCTCTATTAGGAGAAGCTCATAATGTCAAAGCCTATTCGAATGTTGGAATTCATTATGATCATTCTAAATGGAATAGTTATAAGAGTATTTTAAAAAAGGAAGAATCAGGCTTGACCAAGGATGTATTTTTGGGAGTGAAGTAAAAATTAAGTTGAAATATAGATATCAATGTGTGGAATATGCAAGAAGATTTTTAGTCATCAATTTTGCAGCTGCATTTAAGGATATAAATTGTGCTGATGAAATTTATAAGTTAAATTACGTGGAGGATTTGACCACCGTAAATGGCACCTTACAATTTTAGACATTCCCAAACAAAGGAAATCAGTAATGCTTCAACAATATAAATAGACCTCCTCAAGTAGGAGATTTGATAATTTACCCAAGAACATAAAAATAACCCTATGGCCATGTTGCTGTTATAGTCGAAGTTGGCATGGGATACGTTTGTGTAGCTGAATAAAACTATGAGGATTCTGGGTGGATAAAGAAAAATTATGCAAGAAAACTGAAAGTGAATCAAGTCAATGGTTAATATGAAATTACATAAGTGAGAGTTGGGTAATCATTTGTATTAATAGTAGGTTGGAACATTAATTTCAATATTGGTGGGATCGAAATGAGTAGATTTTGGGATGGAAGAGAGTGTGCAGATGAAGTATGAAATAATTACTTTTTGTTATATGATATATTAATACTAAGGTTTTTAATAATATTATAGCATATAAATACTAAATGGGTATTATAAAATTTTATTATACAAAAATAAATATACAATTTTAACAAATTTTTCAATTACTTACGAATTCATTTTTTAGGTTTCGATTATTTAGTTTCATCTATTTAATTAATAGGAGATACATCATAAGATGTATGGGCTGAAGGTATTTGATAGCTGCTTTTTCTGCTTTAGGAGTCCTCAATCACTTGATCTTTGATTTGAATGAGCAGTTTTTAGAATTGCTTATGGGCATAATGAATATGATTGGAGAAATCAATTCTTATTTATGAGGCATCAAGATTGACAGAGGTGGTTATTTCACTACTCTTGTTTATTTATAAGTCATCTCTTGAAGTTGATTTTTAAGTGCTGATTTCATTGATCCAAGGATGCAAAGAGAATTCTTCAGCACTCAATCTCTTTTCTGGGTTCTTGTTTAAGAGTCTCTTTAATAAATCTACTTGGAGTGGTTGTAACAGTTTTAACTCCTTATTTTGATCAATGGTGAGATTGGGGTCAGTAATCAATTCTATTGTATCTAATTAGGAATCGCAAAAAAATGGAAATTTACCACAAAGGAGTTGATACAGGATGACTCCAACACTCCACACATCAACTACAATATAATAATGTTGATATACCTTTTTCATCATAGCCTCCTCCAAAAAAGGTTTCAGGTGCTTAATAGAGAAGACAACCAGTCCTTGTCCACATTTCATGGTATATTTTATCATTTTTCTTTTTGACCATGAATTTCTTAGATACACCAAAATCAATGATTTTGATATCAATTGAACCATGTAGTTTTACTAGAATATTATCTGGCTTTAAGTCTCTATGACAGATGCCTTTCTTATGGATTTCAGTGATTGTTTGAGCCAATTGCTTCATAATTTGCTAGATCATCACATCTGGAATGGATTTCTACATATATGAGTGGAGGCTTTTGTAATTGCAGTATTCCATCACCCAATAAGCAACTTGTTCGTTTTCGTCGATGTACAAATCGTATGATTTGATAATTTTGGGGTTATCATTCAAAGTTCTATTGATATTGAAGGTTTAAATGATAGTTCGTATTAATTCAGGATCGTTTTGACATGATAATTTTTTAACTGCATAGTTTATTTTTAGTTAATCTGAAATTTTATAACAGATCTTAACAACTCCATGAGCCCCAATTCCAATTTTTTTGGTCACCTTGTAGACGTCATGAAATTTGGTGATTTTGGTTTGCTGATTTTATTTGAACAATGTGAATTATTTCCACTATGTTATTGATTTGGATCTCTTAGTTTCAGCTGGTTATTAAGATCTTTCTGTCTTCAATGATTAGAATAGTGATTGCTTAACACTCTGTCTCAACTCAACCAATTTTCTATTTGACTATTATTTCATATATTAATATTATATAAAATTTAATGCATTCTCATACTCATTCATTCATATCTGTTGTTTTATCTTAATCCCAATTTATTTTCAATATTAATCACATTTAATAATTTCTTTAGTACATAAATTAATTAATGACATTTCTTTGGGCTGACATACCATTTGAATGGACCTGCCTTTCATTAAGATATCATAATGACATGATGTGGTAACATTCCTAATCCTGACATTTAGGTATATATGGAGTCTTATCTAAATGATACCGGTCTTTGCGGCAGGGTTCTATTAATTGTACAAGCATCAAACAACCCCTGATTATTATCATAAAATCAAGAAAGGCTCATGGGATCAATTTATTGTCATGTTTTTTGTATTCCAAAACAATACTATAAGGCTGCTCCAGTCCCCTTCTATTATTTAATTGATCTCACAATTTCTATTGTGGAGGGAAGCTTTTTTGAACCATGCAGATTCTGGCTCTGGTTTCATCACATGGTATTATACCATTTATTGAAGAAGCAAAGATTTCCATGATTGTCATTCCCCCCTTGATTCTGAGAAACGAGTATGAATGGTAAGACACACTGATCATGGCCACACATACCTTACTGATGAAGTATCCCTTCATCTTTTTATTTAATATATTATATGTCGGGCTGGTGTTTTATTACAATATTTTGCTCTACTTCAGGTATATTCCATATAGCTTATCTAGTCCATTGAATGAAAAATGGGTCAATAGGTTCTTGGGTAAATTCTTCCCCTTCATCTATTACAGCTTTATTGTCCTATTGGTTCATGATTGCAATAATGCCTTGCCATTCCTGTATTGATCATTCATTAAAAAACATATATCTTTACAATTATATAATGAATAATTGAAATTTAATTTTCAATAAATTCATAATATTCATTATAAAATGGGCTGTGTCCAAACTAGATAATACGAGAAGTGCACTATGATTTCATGTGAAGTCAAGTATCTCATCCCAGAATTAGTTTAAGCAATCAAATTAGCTCAACAATGTCTCTATTCTCCTGAATCTCCAATCAAGGTAATCGCAATTGCCATTTTTAGCTTACTCCCATCAAACCAATAAACAGAATCTATTGTAAAATCGAAAGTACACTACCATCAGGCTCGGTTAAAATAAGAGCCATCTACAATATGCTTTATAGATTGTAACAGAAAAAACGGCACAGAGGCGATGAAGAGCTAAATTTAGTAATATGCTCTTCTGGGAATGCAGCCACTGCTTGTATAGAGAGTTTGAAACTTTTAAAGTCAGAGAGAAAGTTGAATCAGAAATAGGAAGGAATTGCAAGTGAATTAGTCTAAGATGATACACCTACTGATCCAGGATTGTCTGCAGAAATTAAAGATGAATAGTTCCAATCTAAAATAAAACCATATGAATTGATTGGCAAATTAATAATATTCTCGAAGTATGTCAAAGAAATTCATTATACTAACGATTTACCCAATGTGACCATTATGCATTCAGAGTTAAATAAAAATGAAATCGAAAAAGAGGCAATTAAGTATAGTGAGGAAATGGGATATGATTACTTGGACATTCAGAACGATTTTGATGTTTTTGGAGGCTATGCCACTATAGGATTTGAGATTGATTAATGGCAAGTTTTAACAAATACAAAAATAGATTAAATTTTTGTCACTCTAAAAAGTGGAGCTATGATTGCTGGAATAGCTTTCTATTTAAAATACATTGCATAAAGTAAAATGCGCATAATAGGAGTGATGTTATGTGGAACAACTAGAAAGGATGCAACTTTATGTTAGCAGATCATAGAAGGGTTCATTGATGAGATTCTTTATGTAACTGTTGAGGAAGTGGAGAGGGCGTAATGTGAATTGGCAAAGGCTGAGGAGATTGCTGAGTTTAATTGTGCAATCGCATATGCTGGATGCAAGAAGAGTTAAATGAAAAATAGTTTAGTTGTTCTTTCGGGTGGAAATGTGGCTGTCAAAGATTTAGAGACCTTAATGAAAAAATACGAATGATTTAGTTTATTTATATTGAATGAATATTAAATAGTTCAAAAGTAATTTCATTTCTCAGTATTAGCAGCATTAATGATTTATAAGGGTATGCATAATTAGTGATTGATAAGGGTGCATAAATAAATAGTGATTTACCTAAGAGAATAATGACATAAGATGGTATAAAACGAATAGAGCGGGTATTCGGAAAAAGAAGGAGTGTATATGTAATGACAGTAGTCAATAATTCTTATATATCTACAGAAGATGATTCTCCATCTCTATAATTGAGTAAGTTGAGGTGTAATTAGTATATGAAAATTCCCATAAATTAAAAATTAATATTAAATAAATTGAATAAGGGGAGAGAGGAGATTATGATATTTCTTTCGCCACATGAAAATAAATATATTGTTTGAATATTAAATTAAATGGCTTCTCATTTTTTATCTTTTCTTTTTCTATCTTCTATAATATAAGAATTGAAATACTGTTGTCCTATTAAGTGCTAAGCTAATAAGCTAAAGTTTCTTTGATATATGGTCGTTGGATATCAATAGGTTTATCAATAATCTTGGCGTTAGCATTAACAGCTTAATCGTTAATGACCAATTATAAATGGACTGGAGGACGTAATGCCTCCTGCAATTAAGAGGACGATGAATACAAGAGTAAATAACTTGAAAATTAAATAGGTGCCATACTTCCTATTTTACTAAAACACATAAATCCCAATTAGATCTCCATACTTTTTAAACTCCAAATAGACATTAAAAGGAGGTACATCTCTATCTAATTCAACTTGCACCTCATAATTCCTCAATAAATCTTAAACAGGTCGTTATTTTTTAGCCACAACCAAAAGAGGAATGCCCTTAACTTGCAAACAGGGCCTCAAATTGACTAAAAATTGAGCAGTATTTTCATCCTAAAATTATAACTCCAAATATTGCATCTTATCAGAAGTGTCTTAATAATTTAAATAAATAATAACTCCAAGTGTGATTAATAGGTGCATTCTATTTATGATGAGTAACAATCTCTTAGATAACTTCATTCTCATTAACTTCCTGTGGTATCGAGAAGATATAAACACTATTCTTATCAGTGAACACCTGTTAAGGTTTGATAGGTTAAACATTCAATTAATCCTTATTTAACTCCAAAGAAGAACTCCTTGATGATTGTCTAATCTTTTTGACCTACTTGGGTTTTCTCGGTTCAATAGAAGAAGATGGAGATCTCCTTCTCGATCCTTATCCCTGAGATGGCTTGCTGTCCACTTTCTTACTCTTCTTCTTGCTGACACTTCTCTTGTGTCTTCTTGATGACTCACTACTATCACTCCTGCCCTTTGATTATTGCTAAAATCAATTGTCCACTGTTACATTTCTCCTCAAGGATCGTTCCAAATGTTCTTTTTCCAACATATTCTTGTTTTCTAGATAGTTTTTAAAGGCATCACTCAATTCGACAACTTCCTTTTGTCTTCCTATTCATAAGTTGATTTCATCATACCATTCCTGCCAAAATTGAAGTGCTTCTTGCCTATGTATACTAATTTCGCATTATCGTCATTGCTCATTCCAATTGCGATATCACAATAGGATCCCTGAGCATTGAATATTTAGACTATATCACATGATCCAGCCAAGTTCACTAAATATTACCATACATTACCTTTTCTCTTGATGAAACTCAAAAATTCATTAGTACTCATCCCATTCATGTGCACATGACGTACATAGAAGTGGGTCTTGAATTCACTGTGTGGGTAGTAACGTTTTCCAATCTTATTCTCAAAAGATGAAGATTAATTTGAGTATGAATCATTCGAAGAATCGCGTCTCTTGGATTGCCCTTTTCTACCTTCCTCTCTATTAGAAGAAGCATTTCTTCCATCCTCCTTTGTGTCTTGCTTTTGTACTTCCTCTTGTTAGCCTTACTACTAAATCATTTTTTAAAATATTAATGTTAAATTCAAATAATGAGGCGCTTCTCAAACAGGTCAATAAAAACCAAACTCTCCTCATCCAAAAATTATAAGAAGACATCCAAGTCCTTAATGAAGAAATAGAAGCGTCGAATCAATAAATTGACACTCTCAGATCCGAACATCATCTAGCCTTGTCTCAGCAATTATCCCTCATCGAAGATCTTAGAAATGAATCTTAGAACTATCAACAACAAAATATGGAACTCCAAACCAAATTCACTTAATCTGTCTTGCAAAACCAATTGCTTCAAACCAAGTATGACAAAAAGAACAAATAATATAAAGATTAAATCATAGAACTCAAGCAACAAATCAAATTGATTCATCTCAAAAATTAAGATTATCAAAGGGAAATTATAGACCTGCGTAAATCCTTAGATGTCAAAAAACTTGAACTTTCCAAATTCAATGACAACTCCTCAATATTAAACGAATAAAACAATCAGCTTAAGGCTAATTTGGATCTGCAAAAAGTTGATTATGAAAATAAAATCGAGCAAATCCAAAACCTAATCCAAGATAAAGACGAAGAAATCACTCTCATCTTAAATGATAACAAATTATTAAACAAAACCAATCTAGAATTAATAGAAGCAAATGCTAATCAATCCCAGACTCTTCAATCTTAGATCAACACACTAGAGTAACACAACCAAACCCTTCAAATTCAATTATCTGATCTCCTCAATGAAAACAACCTCCTAAAATAATAATTCCAATAGCAAACCTAGGAAATGCAAGTCATACCCTCCTCAATATAGTTGCAATCAGCTGCTGAATCTCAATAAGAAATGGTATAATTACAAAATTCCAATTTGCTGAATCAGAGTAACTAACTGGAGATTATATTATAATAGAAAGAAAGTGAGATTTCATCCTTTTAATAACTTATTCAAGAGCAAAAGGATAAATTAACACTAATATAATAATAGTATTAAGATCTAGAATTCTTACATCTTTATGAAGCCCAAATTATCGAAAAGAACAATTAAGAATTACTAAATTAAATCGATAATTTACAATAATAGATATCTAATCTTACATCCGAATTGAAAGATTCTGAAGTTAAACATATTTAAGTTAAACAAATGTAAGAGACGACTATATCGAAACTCAATCATGATGTTCGATTATTGGAATAAAAAAATGAAGACTTGATTTTGCATAATAACAAACTTATCAATGAAATCAAGTAAAATGAATTAAACCAATAGAAAGAATCTACTATTATTTGTTAGAAAAATTCAGAATTTGAAATCTAACTTCTAGAATCACAACATTAAATAGAAGATCTAAAATAAGAAAAACAAAAATAAGTACATGTTGTTGAAATGTTGAATCGTTAATTATAAGTTCAAGTACAAGCACAATCTAAATTAGAGGAAGATATAACTAAGTATTAAAACTTTCTCATATCCCACGACAAATAATTAGAAGCCATCACTTCTAATGAAAGTTCTGATTCTAGTGATTCAAGTGAAGAACCAGTTACTGAAAAATCACAACAATTGAATTTTGATGCGCTTTGTAATAAATTAACAGAAAAAATTCGATTAATCTAACTAAGATTAGAAATTTATGAAAAATAAATTAAGCAATACAAGTAAGAACTTCATTCTAAAACTACCGAAATTTAAAAGCTCTTTAGTGAAAATTCTGAATCCAATTTAAAAGTATAAAGGTTATCTTAAATTCAACCTAAACTAGAGAATTAACTTGAAAATTAGGAGGAATCTTTAAAATAAAAAGATCAAACTATTGAAAATCTAACATTATAAAACACAAAGCTATAAATTTAGTTTAAAGAAATTGAAGAATCAAAGTTAGAACTTGAAAATTAAATAAAACTACTTCAAGAAGATTAACAAAGCCAATCATTAGATTTCTAAAACTAAATTCTAGCTCAAGCTAAATCATAAGATTTAAAGATTGAAGAATTAACAAGGATAAATAATAACTTTGAAATTCAATTGATTGAAAGTGAGAACAAACTCAAACAATTGTAGATAGAAAATGAATCCTTGAATCTAAAAATTGCGTCATCAGATATAGAACTTTCTAATTTATAAAATCAACTTTAACTTGAACTTGTTATCAAAAATGATTTATAAAGTAATTTAAATTCTATTAAAGAAGAATAAATTTAAAATTTCAATTTAAGTAATGGTGAAACAACAGAAGTTTCAGTCTTCGATCAAGTATTTCCAAACATCAATTATTAAATGGTATTATTTACAGAGGAATTGACAGAAAAGATAAAGAATAACTTATAAATCAAGATGGATAGTTTAGATAAAAATCTTTTAAGAATTATTAACAAATATTAAAAACTATTAGAGAAGGTATAAAAGAATTATCATAATATTTAAAATTTATATGAACTAAGTTAATAGACCTTAATTTAATAGGAAAGTGCATATTAAGATTAAAAGGAAAAATTATCAAATTAAATTAACACCTTGTAGGAAGAAATCAATTCAAAAAACAGTCATATTCATTAATTAGAAGATTAATAGAAGAAACTATTGCTTGATTTATCTAACATAGAGTAGCAAAATTAAGATAAATAGATTATAATTAATCAATAATAACTAAAATTAGATGAAATTCATAAAACAAAAATAGTTGAACTAGAAAAAATAGTTACTAATTAGCAATCAGAGTTGGAGTAGATTCTAACAAAGAGTAATTAATTAGAATAATAAGTATAAGATCAAAAAAGTTAAATCCATTCAAAATAAAATAGAATAAATGAATTAAAATAAGAATTGAATCATTTAAAAAATGATTAGACTGGGGTGTAAATCGATTAATTGAAATTTTAATAGCAATAAAATCAGATATTAGAACTCATTTCCAATAATACAAATTTAACTCAATAAAATTTAGATATATAACGCAGATTAAAATAAGTAGAAGATTCCAATCAAGCTTTATAAGATAAAATAAATCAATTAACTAAATAAGGAGCTAGCTAAAAGGAAATAATTAACTAATTACAATAATAAAATCAATCAGAAGTTAAATAAAGTCTGGCCTTAATGTAACAAATGGATCCTTTATAAAAGTAGATAGACTTTTTAACACGAGAAAATCGAAAACTATAATAATCAAACACTGATTTTGAAAAAGCCTATGGAAAATTACCTATTTATGGAAGTCCTAGCCCTAAAAAAGTTTAAAATAATGATTAAATTAAAAAATTAGAAGATGAATTGTAGCAGATTTAATTGAGATTCTAAAAAGAAATGGGAGAAAAGGATAAAGAAATAAATCATATTTCTATCTAGTATGAATTTTAATTGCAATAATAGAAGGATTTAAATTAGGATGAAATTAATAAGCTAGAACAAAATTGTATAACTTTTAGCAACGAATTAAAGCAATAGTAAATTTTGAACAATAAACTATTGGAAGAAAATGGCAAAGTAGAAAGAGAAAAGTTATAATTAATTGAAAAGGTTGAGAAATTGACATAATAACTGAATGAATGCAGCCAAAATTAATAAATGTTTGCCTAATAAGAAAGCGAGTTGAAAAGATTTATTGTGCTTCACTAATAAGCACTAGATGAAAACTAAAAATTATAGAAGCTTTTTATCAATTTAGAAGAGGAAAATAAAAATTTAAAATAATAACAAAGTTTATTAAGCACATAGTTAGAATAATAATATAATGAATTTCAGTCTGAGGTAAAGTAATAAAAGGGAAATTATGTTGAATAAGAACATTTGCATTTAGAATAAATAAAAACGTTGGAGCAGAAATTATGTGAGATTAATGGTGAATTACAAAATAATCAGATGTAATTTAATAACACAAATGAGAGTTATGAAAAAGTAATTGCTGATAAGAATGAATAATTATAAAATTCTAAGAAGGACATTTAAGATTTATAAAAATAAATAAATAATTCATTGGACTAAATTAATCAATTTAAGAATTTAATTGAAGAAAAGGAATAGTAAATATAAAATTGTATTAATGAATCAAAACAAATTGAAGTTGATTATAAAAATAAATAATAAAGTCTTTAACAATAAATTGATGATTAGTAAGAATAATTATAGAATTCAAAGAATAATGTCTTGGATTTATAACAATAAATAGCAAATTAAGATGTTTAAATTAGCTAATAAAAGAATGTGATTCAGTAAAAGGAATAGCTTATATCAAATAAAATAAATTAATCTAAAGATTTAAATTTAGAATTATAGAATAAATTAGAAAAACTTTAATAATTAATTGATGATCTCAACTTAAAATTAAAGAATTCTTAAGATAATACCTTAGATCTACAATAATAAATAAATCTTTAAGAAGATTAGATTAATAAATAAAAAAATATAATTGAAGAAAAGGAAAAGTAATTATAAGCCAAAATTAATGAATCAAAACAGATAGAAATTAATAATATTAATAAATAATAAAGTCTATAAAAATAAATTGATGATTAGCAAGAATAATTATAGAATTCAAAGAATATTGTCTTGGATTTATAAAAACAAATAGCAAATTAAGAAATTTAAATTAATTAATAAAAGAATGTGATTCAGTAGAAGGAATAGCTTATATCAATTAAAATAAATTAATCTAATGATTTAAATTTAGAATTATAGAATAAATTAGAAAATCTTTAATAGTTAATTGATGATCTCAACTTATAATTAAAGAATTCTTTAGATAATAACTTAGATCTATAATAATAACTAAATCTTTAATAAGATTAGATTAACAAATATAAGAATATAATAGAAGAAAAGGAAAAGGAAATATAAGCTAAAATTAATGAATCAAAACAAATTGAAGTTGATTATATTAATAAATAATATAGTCTTTAAAAATAAATCGATGATTAGTAAGAATAATTATAGAATTCAAAGAATAATATCTTGGATTTATAAAAATAAGTAGCAAATTAGGATGTTTAAATTAATTAATAAAATAATGTGATCTAGTAAAAGGAGGAGCTTATGTAAATTAAGCTAAATTAATCAAATGATCTGAATTTATAATTATAGAATAAATTAGAAAATCTTTAATAATTAATTGATGATCTAAACTCATAATTATAGACTTCTAAAAACAATAACTAAAATTTACAATAATTAAAAAAATTATAAGAGGATTAAATGAATCAATATAAGAATTTAATAGAAGAAAAAGAAAATTAATTGTAAATTTAGATTAATGAATAATAAAAGATCGAAATTGATAATAAGAATACAATAGAAAATCTTTAAAAAGTAATTAATAATTAAAATGAATAGTTGTAAATTTCTATTAATAATCTCTAAGATCTCTAGAAATTAACTAGAAGTTAGGAAGATTAGATAAAACAATATAAAAATCTAATAGATTAAAAGGAAACGGAGATATAAAGTAATATTAAAGAATCTAAAAATTTAGAAATTGATTATAATAATAAATAACAAAGCCTTTAAAAATAAATTGCTGATTCTACTGAATAATTGTAAAATGCTAAAAATACAATCTAAGATTTATAAAAATAAATAGCAAATTAAGAAATTCAAATTAATTAGTAAGAAAAAGTGATACACTAAAAAGAAGAACTTATATCGCTAAAAATAAATTAATCAAATAATCTTAATTTAGAATTATAGAATAAATAAGAACATCTTTAAGAAATAATTGATGATCTAAGCTTATAATTAAAGAATTCTTAAGATAATACCTTAGCTCTACAATAATAAATAAAACTTAAAGAAGATTAGATTTACAAATATTAGAACATAATAGAAGAAAAGGAAAAGTAATTATAAGCAAAAATTAATGAATCAAAACAGATGGAAATTAATAATATTAATAAATAATAAAGTCTTTAACAATAAATTGATGATTAGCAAGAATAATTATAGAATTCAAAGTGTAATATCTTGGATTTATAAAAATAAGTAGCAAATTAAGATGTTTAAATTAGCTAATAAAAGAATGTGATTCAGTAAAAGGAATAGCTTATATCAATTAAAATAAATTAATCTAATGATTTAAATTTAGAATTATAGAATAAATTAGAAAATCTTTAATAGTTAATTGTTGATCTCAACTTATAATTAAAGAATTCTTAAGATAATACCTTAGATCTACAATAATAAATAAAACTTTAAGAAGATTAGATTTACAAATATAAGAACATAATAGAAGAAAAGGAAAAGTAATTATAAGCAAAAATTAATGAATCAAAACAGATGGAAATTAATAATATTAATAAATAATAAAGTCTTTAACAATAAATTGATGATTAGCAAGAATAATTATAAAATTCGAAGAATAATATCTAAAATCTACAATAATAACTTATTAGCTAAGAAGATTAAATAAAAAAATATCACAATTAGATTCAAGAAAATGAAATTGCTTATTAAGTCTAAAATTAAAATTCTAATTCAATTAATTAAACTTTAAACTAAAAGTTAATTGATTCTGAAAACCAAATATTGAACATTTAAAAGTTAATTAATGATGAGTAAAATAAAATACAGGAACAATAAAAATAGTTTAAGGAAGAAAAAGAGAAAGTAGAATTAGTTTTAGAGCAGTTAACACTAGAAAATAAAAAGTCCACATAATTAGTGAAGGAGTAGGAAGTTTAGATTAGTATGTTAAATGATATTAAATTAGTGAATGAGAATTAATTAGATTAAGAGTAATTAATAAATAATTAATTAAAGAAGGATAATTTAGAGAAAGAATAAAAGATTAACTAATTATTGATCATAGAAGAAGATTAAAAAAATTAAATTTCTAAATTAAATAGTTAAATTAAGAATGAATAAGATATTCTAAATACTCTAAAGATTCAACAAGATGAGGATGCAAAATGTAAAATAATATTATAAGATTAAATTAAGGAATATGAATAAATTATTAAAAACTTATAAGTTGAAGTTAAAGAAGTGGCTAATATTAACAAAAAAATTTTTGAATAGTAAATAGAGCTTGACAACAATAAAATCAAGTTAATAGAATCATAGGATAAAATACATAAATAGGAAAGTCTTATTAAATAATTAGAGAAAGCAGTAGAATCAAATTCAGAATCATCATCTTTTTAGAAAGAATAGCATTAGGCAGAGTTAAATTTTAAGTAGAAATAAATAGAAGACAAAGATATAGTTATTCTTGAATAAGATACTTAAATAAGAAATCTTAAGGAGGATTATCATAATCTATAAAAATAATTACAAGAAATGAATCATAAAATCTAAACCGATTAGGCTTATAATGAAGAGAGTTGTAGGTTATTTTAAACCAAATTAGATAAGTTGGAATCATAGAATAAGGATAAAGAAAATATAATATAGTAATTGCAGGTGTAAAGTTAGGAGATAACCAAGTAATATGATAAGAGCTAAGAATTGAATGAAGAATTAAAATAATAAATAAATGGGCAATCTGATTAACTAAATCAAAAATAATAGTAAATTCAGAGTTTGGAAGATAAAATAACATAATTAAGCAATACAAATATAACTTATGAACAGAAGAATACTGAATTTATTTAGAATTTCAATAAATAAGAATAATAAATTAATGAGTTAAATAATATGGTTAAAGTTTTAACTTAAGAAATTTCCGACAAAGAGGATAAATATAAAAATGAAATTGTATAGTAAAAAAAGGAATATTTATCTGATAAATTATCATTAGAGAATAGGATCAAGGAATCAATGATTGAATGGAATTAAAAAGTCGAGGATTAAAGGAAACATTACGAAAATTAACATTAAGATATGGAGAATAATTTGAATCAAGAAAGAATATTATCTAAGCAATTTGAGGAGAATAATAAAGAATTATCCTTAAGAATCCAAAACTTGGAAATGATTCTAGAGAAACATAGTTAAGATAATGCCGACTTATTGAGTAGTATTGAAGAGTTAAGAAGTGAGAATCATAATAATTAAAGTGAATTGGAGAAGATTAAGAAAGATAAAGAAGAATTAGAAGTTAAATATTAGTAGATGGAATATTAGAAGAATGAATCAGTGGATTCAAACAAAAGTTTATAAGAAATGTTATTTGAATTAAAATAGATTAATGAGAAGATTGTAGAATAAAATAGTGCAATTTAAAGAGAGATGGGTGAAATATAAAGTATGAATTAAAGTTTAGAAAAGAGATATTCTTTATTGATAAATGAGAAATCAAGTTTATTAGAACAAGTTCGAGAATAAAAATCTGCTTTGGCTGATCAATGTCAATAGTATATTTAATTAGATAGTTAGTTTAATCAAATGCAATAGAATTTCATAAGAATTGAATCTCAAAGCAATAGTTTAAAATAAATAAATCAGCAGTTAGAATAATCATTATAACAATAATAGCAGGTTAATACATAGATAATTTAGAAGCAAGAATAATAGTACTAGTAGCAATTAGATTAATTAACTCTTTAACTTCAAGATGGGTAGAATTAGGTTCGATTGCTTTAACAGAAGAATGGAGAGCAGAGGTAAGAGATACAGATGATCAGAAACGATCAAAAATAATGGGAGAACAATAAAGTAAATGAGATGGTTTAGATGAAGTAAGAGAGTGAGAGACAGATTCAGAAACTGATGGATTAGGTTAGTTAAGTAGAAGGGTTGAATAAGCAATATTAGAATGAAATTTTGGAGTTGAACAATATTATAAAAAAACAATTTGAGGAGAAGGATAAGAGTAGTGTAAATAATCAAGTGGTAGAACAGTTGTAAACGAAGCTGAAATGTAAGTTGTTAAGATTATTATTATAGTGAGTGAGGAATAAATAGAGAGATTGCTTATGACAAATAGGGCTTTGATGGAAGAGAATGCTAATCTGCAAGAGTAGATTAAGGATGATTTAAACTCTAGCTTTTGCAGCAATGCATCATAAAAGTGATTATATTAATTAATAATTAAAAATGGGTAGTTGCGCAACAAAAAATTAAGAAAATGAAGTTTCTCTCCCTTCTAATCCTAGATTACAAAGGGCTTACTAAGTAAGATAAAATTGATTTGATAGTAATATTCGTAAATCATCGAAATTACTCATCCACTGAATGTTAATCAGAAATACAATAGTTACTTTACTTTGATACCAGACCAATTTGTTGGCACAGGGATAAAAAAGGCAAATTCATATGAATCTCGTCTATCTAAGGAGGAATGGCAATAAAAGAGAGCTGAATTCTGGGGTATCTATGTTGTTTAAGAAAAATAGAATCCAGAATAGAGGGACAGAAGGAAAACTGGGCTACGATAAAGGCTGCATTGGAAGCTGATGAAGGTACTTGTTATTGTGAGTTAGGAACTGCAAAAACTATTTTGTAAGCTGCTGACTTAAAGCTAATCAAGAATAGTATGTAAATTGTTTTCGACAATCATGGTATTATTGTTAATCAAGACTTTTGTAGGATAGAAATACGATTTGCCTGTTTTTGTGATGCATAATCCTGTTTCTTTCCCTTAGAAACAATCTTACGATCAAAATCTTTACTAAAGTTTTGACCGTAAGGTTGTTAAGGTATTTGATTACGCTATCTAGTTTAAATTGAGAAGTACCAAATGGAACAATGACAAGGAGGTTTCTTACAACACAGGAGACAAGGTGGAATTACTAATAAAAGAGTTATAATAATAGGAGAATCCATAGAAGATGAGATTGTATGTGAATGGTAGAGAAATGAAAGGCCATAACATGTTTGGGAATTATGGTGTCCAAGACAATTCTGTAATTATTCAAACTATCATCTTTTAGGTTGTGCAAGCATTTATGTTATGATTATATAATAATATATATATTTATGAATAAATAGAGACGTTAGAAAATACTTCCTATTCAACAGCTTTAGGCCAAACTTAAATAGTTGAAGTAGAGCATAAGAGCTAGTGAAATCAAATCTCTAAGATCGTCTTGCCTTTTGACTGAAACCACTCCAATCGACAAATTGGATAAAATCAAAAAACTAAATCCAAATAGTAGCGTTGATGGCAAGACCATGTATCTCAAACCTTCCTTCAAAACAAAGATGAAAACTTCCAAAAGGTATTTCTCAGTCATTTTTAGTCCCCAATCCATGAAATTAAAAACGAGTTCTATGCTTACTTAAAAAAAAACACTACCTTCCCCTCAAAAACCCCTCAAAGATATCGTAAAACATTACATTAAGAGTAAAATCCCGAAAAGTCGGACTCCCTCTAAGTCACCACCACAAAAGATCAAGAAATTGTCGAGTCCATAATAAAGACAAATTAGAAGTCAAAGTAAGAAGAAGATCAAATATAAAACTACAATTGGTTCGCCTAATAAGCTCACTAAGAAAAACAAAAAATAGAAAATCTAAAATTAATATTATTAACCATAAATAAGCAAGGTCAGCTCTATTAGATTGAACACTTTCTCTGTCAGTGAGGATCCCCATAGAATGTTAATGAATCAAATAATTGACGAACTGCAATAGATGAATGAAAAATAAATCATAGATTTACAATAATTTTTAAAGAATATCAAATAATAAAAAGTTGATGAAGCATTACAAACTAGTTTGCATGAAAAAATAGACATCTAATTGAAGCATTAATAAAAGGCATTTCATGAAAGCCTGCCTCTCAATATCATCAATGAAATTTGCCAATAAAGAGAGTCCACTATCAACGTAAGAGTTAAAATGTAAATGGATGCATTTTCTACTTTATTAGAATAACAAAAGATATCACCACGATCTTTTAATAAAAATGGCTAAGTCTTGGAGCAATGGAAATCACAGTCCACAGATAAATTACATAAGTGTCAAGAAATATTGCAACAGATGCAAAGTGTAACAAATAAAATTCAGCAAAAGACTATTTAGGATATGAAACTCATTTAAGAATTAGAATCAAACAATTCAATTGTAATTTAATAGTTATGTAAACTATCAAATAAAGTTAGAATAAATGTCTGCCGATTCAAGTTATTTAGAGTCTTAGGATTTACACTTACATAATCCAATACAAAATTAGTAGTAGGATTTCAAAAGGAAGGATATGGATTTTGAATTTCAAGCCACTCCATATAATTTAGAAATCTAGACAAATGTTGGAACTGTTAATTTATTTGTAGAATTACTGTGTGTTAGCATCATAAGTATGATTGGTGTCTATTATAATTAGATGAAGATTTAAATCAATTTATAGAGAGGATGAATTACCCATATGGTTTATAGCCATATGATAAAATAAGGAAGATTCATGGATATAATATAGTCTAAGACAAAAAATATGAATTTCCAATTTAAGATTGTGTATTCTAAGAAATATAGGTATGATAATATCATAGATTAAGCAAAGTAGTAATCCGTATGAGTAAATTCATAATAAAGCTATTTTTGACACTTTTAATGAGATTCTAAATTAATATAGACCGTTCTATTATTGTGATGGTCAACCATATCCTTGGGAATTCAATCGCAATTTAATAGTTACTTTGTACAATGAGGAGAACGCGAGTGTGTTATTGGAGAAGGCAAAGGAGAAAGTGATCCAATATGCATCGACATTGTGTGGATTGATAAATGATGATGATGAGAATATATAATCGAGTTTAAATTATGAGGAAGTACTGCAGAGTTTGATGAATTCTGACTATTTATAGCAATTAAGGAACGAGAGACTTTAATTGTGCATAAAGAACGAAGTATGAAATATAGTAAGAGTGTAGTTAGAGGAGTATCAATATGAATGGAGATATCACGATAAGACAGAGACACTGGTGGAGATAACAGATTGCATCTTTGAAGATTTGGTCAATGAATTAATGGTTGAATTGTATTGATAATATAAGAAATCACTTTCTCATACTTTTCTCCTATTCATTCAATGCATAATATTGAGCCAGATGGATGTTGACTTATTAATTAATTTGTTCATTAGCTTCTTTTCTAAACATTCTCTTGTATAGGAAAGTAGTACAAATCATCAGGAGTAACATTGTAGTGAGTACCACTACCCAGATAACCCATGTGCTGGAACTCTAAGAGTGTTCAACCTAAGATGAGAGAAGACAATACCCAGACTCCGTCATCTATGTATCCGATCATTCTTTATTTACAAACACTTGGAAGGGATTCCTCTTTGAAACTTCTGCAGATGGTTTATAAAGGTCCGAAATGAGATGTGTCAATCAGTTGTTAGGCACCGGTTTCATAATTATAGGAATAAGTAGAGACAGTCAAGGATCCTTTGTATTTTAAGTCATTGATGTATAAGATGGGCCAAGATGTGGCAGAGTAGTTGAGGTTGATTTGATGCTATTCGCTAAGTAAAGTGTTGTCATCGAGTTCATCATCGCCAGCACTAAAGCTTTTGTCATAGCAAGACTGAATAGTTTCAGGATTAATGTTCAATTTCTTCATGACTTCGATTGAGCATTATTTTGCTTACATTTAAGTTAGACAGATGTCGCTGTACCTTACAACATACCTCCACCATTTGGACTAGTCTTATTTGAAGATGCACAATTGTCTGACAATTTCTCTTACTGCATCTTGACCAGTCAAAGGACCGTCTGCATCAGGGTCACTTGCACAATATCTACCTCCAGATAAGCATTGTTAATTGCGAGTGTTGTAATTGTTCTTTTTGCAAATCCCACATCTGTCTATAGCATAATGTGGAGTGAATTGTAATTGATCTTTCATTTCCATATGGAATGGATAAAACTATTCCAAGAACTAATAGCTCGATTTATCCATTGCACTAAACCAATAATGGTAGTTCACTTTGTCAGTTTTGATCATCTCTGGAAATTTCACCACTATATACACTCTATCACTCGTAATTGCATCCATATATTATTTTATTATATCACCCTACTTTTTGGAAATCATTATTGCTGGAATATCAATTTCCTTTGTTTCATTCAAGCTGACCAAATTCAATCCTGTTATTTCCTCATCCATATCATCCACAATCACCAACATTTAATAGCCAAACGATTGTGCATTGATAGTCTAATTATCATTATTATATACCTTGGTGTAAAATGTGCAATTCCCTCTTTACACTAGAAGTACCTTAACATTTGAATAGTCACTATTATAAGTACTAGTAGTATTGAAATTTGGTTAACAAAAATTAAAAGGTTATGCTACTTCAAGCACACCTGCAATTCTTTATCCATATGGCACAAAACCAAAATTTGCAATATTAAATTTTATCTTATCCAACTCAGGTCTCTGAGCTAAGTCTTAGGGGTACTTTATGACTAATGTTTCATTTTGGGCCAACACCAGTGTGATTAATGCAAAAATTATCATTTAATTAATTATTAATGATGTAAGACCCATTTAATAAGGTTTATATACATAAATCATAAATACTCGTGCATTTTATTACGTAGATTTTCCATTCTCTTGTCCATATTCTATATAGGTTTTGCCCTTATAGCTGTTCTAATATCTTATACTCTCTGTTTATTTATTAACATTGAGAGTCCATTCAAATATTTCACCAATAAATCTAGAGACCCATCTGTTTATACATCAACATATTGAGGATCAAATTTGGGTAGAATGATATCGTTAACTTCATAATTACAAAATTAATACAAGAGTGTTATTCCATCAGATTGGGGAATACATTCACCATCACTATATTAGGAAGATCATAATTTGAAAATTTCTAGTTGATCAAAGATAAATCTCTATCAATTCTGATTGGCTCAGTGCTATACTCTTTTTATGTACCTTCATATTATTCACGATTGCAGGTGCTGACAAAAAGTAAATTCCTAAAATGTTTTCCAAAAAAGGACTTGGCAAAGGCGGCAGTCTTGTCTCTGTCTAAACTTGACCATACTGCAACATCAAATCTGTCTCTATATTTAATCATAAGCGAATCAAGAAAGAATTCTCTTCCTGGTCTCCAGATTATACTATAATTTTCATATTTGTCATTTGGTTTTATGTTATCTAATTCTCTTCTCCGATCCAAGTACAACTATTTACCTAATCGTTCTGCTAATAGAAGAGTTCGAGATATATCTGTAATCACTAGTATTTTTTTGCTCATTATGTAAATTAATGGTATATAAATTTATTAAATTTAATTTTTACTATTGATAAACATGTATGGATTAGTAAAATATATGTAAAATATAATATGTTTCTGTAAGCAGGGAGTCAGTCTAATTATGAGAGGGAGAATATAGATGTATAATTTTTTGACTATAATTATGAACAGACTTATATATTGTTCAAATAATAAGAATAGATGTTGTAATTATGTCATTTGAATCATCCTATCCTATTTCTCTTAAGATAAATTCTACTTGTTATTCTATTAAATATCATAGAACTAACAAGGTTATTATTTAAAAATATGTATTAGTAAATTTAATTGTAATTAATCATATTTATAATTGCCACTGAGTATACAGTTTAAAATTGTCTTTTTGTTCATCTTCAACACTTCTTATTAAAGTAGATATTTGCTTAACGTTTTACATGAACTTCTACTTCACATAGTACAATCTAAATGAGATCTTGGCTTGGTTATTTTCAACTTCTTCCAATTCAGGGGGATCTATATCGCATCCCATCTATTCATATACTTCATATATTGCCCATTGCAATTAAATTCCAACTCCATTGTTCTATTGCTTTATGAGCATCAACAATTTCATTAACTTCTATTGCTAAACCTCCTTACAAAAGGGAACCAAAAGAGATTGAACTTTGAGATACTGAACCAAGGTATCTTCCTGAATGGTTGAGAAGATTTAAGGGATAATTTTTAAATTATTAGCAAATATTTATTCTGCGCTATCTTGTTTGTTTGGATCAAGAAGAAAATACAACCTTTGAAGCAAAAATATTAGTTTATAATCAGTCGATTGTTCTTTAAGTTTATCATAGACAATCTATTTGATTTGAATGTCATTGAATTTATTGATTTACAAGTGAAGTGCCAAAATTTCATAATGTTATTGTTCAATCAATTCACAAATGTAGGTTTGAGGTGAGGAAATTGCTGTTAAGAAGGCATGTACCAATTGTAATGATTTGTAAGGTGGTTCACTCTTTAGAAATCCCAGAATGAAATCAAAAAATAAATGATCACAATCTTCATCCGATAAACACGAGAATATTTCTTAGAGCTAAGTATAGTATTGAAGACCATCTGAAGCCAAGAACTCCCCCAATATTTGGACTATGTTTTCTTCATTCAAATCCATGAACAAATTAAAATAATGTGTCCTTAATTCTAGTTCGAAATGAGAAGTTTATATAGAATGATATCTTTATTAATTGTATTCTGATGTTAAAAATCAACAATCAACTGATGAACTCCATCCCATGTAAAAGCTGTGATCAGCGACTGATGGAATAAGAACTGAGTCTGAGCAGTTGGGATCTTCGTCCAATTAGCATACGGTGTATGAAGCTCTGTGGTACCAGATTTCTCTGTCAACGTGGTTGAATCCAAAGCTTTATGGGGGAACCTAAGTTTAAATGAATGAGGTTACGTGTGGCACAGCATCCTTCTCATGAACAACTCTGAAATGGGTCACTTTGGTGAATGAGGAGAAGTAATCATAATAGGCCTTGTCACCAACTCTTGGTAATCCGAAAGTAGTCAATTGGAGTGAGTTTCCAGCGATTGCCAATTGGGTAGCATAAAGAGTAGCCATAGCAGCTCCCAAAGAATGACCGGTTACATGAATGACGGCATTTGGGTACATGTTTCTATATTTGGCGAAGAGAGTGTCAAGTTATGGCTTAACGGAGTTGAAGGCCTCAAGGAATCCCTTGTGAACTTAGCATTTGCAGGCATCATTATAATCAACCTTATCGAATTGGATGTTGTCCAACCAGTTTTAGATGTTGCTTGAACCTCTGAAGACAACTGTGATGGCATTGTAGGTGGGATTGAAGGCGATGTATCCTTTTGTTCCCTAAGAATAATGTGTACTTTCTTACTTAAATGATATCTTCAAACACTTGAGGATTTTAAATATTTGGGTAATTTCCACTCACGTAGCCCAACTTCCAATTATTGATAGCTGAATTAGGGCAATAAGCAGCGAATGAGAGAGCAGCCTCTTCTTTAGCCAAATCTTCATTATAGATGAATGTTGCACTGACAGTTGCTGCCAAAACAACTAAAATCAAAGCTGATGATCTCATTAGATTTTATTATTTTATTATTGCAAAATTATTTCAAATCCTATACTTATGTATTACATTTAATTAGAAAACTCGAGAAAAAGATCTTTTAATTAATAATATGTCTAATAATCTCAAATAAAGAAATTTGATTTGAATATTATTGAGATCTTGAACATTGATAAATGATGTCATTATAAAATCATTCTGAAATTTGCTTCACAGGTTCAGGATTGCAAGAACTTTGCGACCAACCCAAATAGGAATGATGGTCATTCAAGTTTGTTCTTGTGGCAGAAACTGAACAGGTTTGATCTTCTCCTTTGACTTCTGCACAAATTACATAAGAAACTCCGTCATAATACCAAACCTCAGTGTTCACGTGTTCGAAACCAAATCTGAATGGGGGTAGATGAGGAGCAATGTCCTTCTTGTTCGTTAATCTTGTATGGGTCACTTATAGCTTAGTAAACCAATCATAAAAATCAGTATCACCTACCCTTGGAGCACCAACAGTAACCAGAGTCACCTTGACTCCAGTCATAGCCAATTCACTGGCAAATAAGGTAGCCATGGCACCTCCTAGTGAATGACCTGTCACATGGAATTTAGCATATGGATATTTAACCCTATATTCACCAAGTAATCCATCCAAATGTATTTTGAGTGATGAGTATGCTGCCAAAAAGCCCTCATGTACTTGGCATCTGCAAGCTGTATTGAAATTGGTTTTCTTGGTATCAATATCGGCGATGAAATTCTTTATGTTGTCCGATCCTCTGAATACTACGGTGATGGCCTATGTTTATGAGTTGTATGCTATGTATCCTCTTGTTTTCTAACATAAAATCTCGAAACTACCATATCAACGTTTTCGAAAACCTAGACTTTGGTCAAGTGAGGATACTATTCACTAATTGCACCTGTATTCCAATTATTTATGTCCTCAATTTCACAATAGGCTCCAAAAGAGAACGCTGTCAATTGACTGGCCAAACTCTCATCGTAGTCAAATGCTGCAGCCAAGGCTAATAGAACGACCAAAAATTTCATGAATATATATTTATAAAAGTAGAGTAATATCAATTCACTATAAATGAACAGTTTTATTATTAATCCCTTCAATTTACTAACTTTTATACATCCTAGTAATCTCCTTCTCCCTTTCAGTTTTCAAAGACTTAATAATAAATCGAAACATTACTTTATATTTCTCCCTTAATACTGTCATATCAACATTTTAATTTTATTAAATAGTATTTTAGTTCTTTAAATACTATTTTACATACCTATCGATTCTGGAATCTAATCTATTCTTACTCTTCCCAGGACTCTCCAATCGTATTTCTGTGCTACTGCCATATAAATTGCTCATAGATGCCTTCTAAGGTTATTGAGGATACTAATGGGATAATTAAGACTACAAAGTTCCGAATCTTTGACTTTTTGTCCTAGAAGTCGTTTGACTTGATTCTCCTTTTTATTTCGGGAACTTCAAATAAAATTTCCTTATCTATTTAGTATCATTCTCACTTGATTCTATCTGAGATGCCTTAATTGAATTTTCAGGAGACACCTCATGGATTTCCCTAGGCGTTCTCATTCCATTTTCTCTCAACTCTTCTATCAATTGGGAGAAGTGATTTCTCCTCAATTATTAACCAATATTAGGCACTTCTCTAACATGGAACACGTAATTATTCGTATTGAATAGTTCGCATTTCATATTTGTAAAAGTTCTCTTTCTATCAAATAATCGAGAGGAAGTGGATTTCTAAGCACCATCAGTTTAGGATTCAGTTCCTAAACACAGAGGATCTCCAGGATTTAATTATTTGATTTGCAATTTTCTTTTGATTGGGTAAAATGTTTAGAATGCTCTCATTTCTTGTATCAATGTTTTATTGTCCACCTTCTTATCCAGGTAATCCTCTATATCACTTAGGACATGGTAAAACCGTTAGCCTTCCACTTCCACATAGTCTTAAGGCTACTCATTCTTTTACTTATTGATTTATTTTAGTTCATTTAATTTTTATAACAATTATTTGGTGTCCATGTTACTGAATGCATATTTCTCACTTATATCATTATTGTATAGATCCTGATGATTGAGCTTGATCTTGTATTCGCTTGGACTCTGTTGTTCTTACTTTATTAATTCTTCATACTCAATTTCCTCTTCGTTTTTCTCCAGTTTCTTTATGTTATACTGTGGACCCAAGTCGAATTTAGAATCTCCAGCACCATTGTGCCAACCGTTGATCATCCCCTAATCAATCTTGGATGTCTTTATAATACGGGCACTCGACGGTCCATCATGTTTCATAGTAGAGTCTATTTTACACACCCTCCTCTATCCAAATTGCAATGCTATCTTTCTATCAATCTTCTGAAACCCTTTTAATTAAGCATCTTTTACCTGCTCTTTTAACCACAGGAATTGCAGAGCCCTATCCAAGGTGATTGGATGTGGTGCTTAATCTCTGAATTTCGTGCACTTGCTAAAAAACGCCACCTTTAATACTTATAATTATGAATACATCCTCCTTCTCCACTTATTTCAAAACATCCTCATATAATAATTTGTGTCTGTGCATCTTCTACATTTTCTTCTTCATTTTCTTATATATATATGATTTATAAAGTGGTTAATTGATATTATAATTTATACTTTATAATTGTGATTTGACAATTATGAAAACCAATCAATATACTATCAATCTCTATACCAAACTTCAATCTTCCCACTTTTCATAAAGCATTACCACCCTGGATATTGACATTTCTGCACTATCCCCAACTTTTGAAATTCCCCCTTAGCAACAATTCCAAGGAGAGTCTCTTACTTCTATTTATTCTTATCATTAATGGTCATAATTTCCGTAATTGTTGCCTTCCTTTAAGCGTATTTGGCCTCCCTGTAATTTGAATGTATTATGTGTTCGAATGGTTAAACCCCATGTGTTAGATAATCCTATGGGTTGTTGAAAAGAGTCAAGGTTACCCACGACGTCGAGTAAGAGGCCTAGACTCTTAGAACATTAAATATTTACACTTGCCCATCCTTGATCTTTGGTTTCCACTGTCGCCATAATAGCTGTAATTTTATCGTATATATCTGAAATATCTAATTCCAAGTATAACTTAATTCCATCATCCGTCACTTACTCTAGTTACTCTAAATGTATTTCCCTTTTCTTGAAATTTAAGAGATATTCTTTAAAAAATGAATTTGTTAACCCCAATTATAACACTTCCCGTACCAATAAATATTTTGATAACTAATAGATCAAACGGACATCAAGAATCCCAAGTAATCCTAATGAATTTAAATCTTACTAGTCCATATATTTAATAAAATAATAAAAAGTCAAGAATTTTGGTATTTATTAATAATAAAAGAATAATAAGCACAATCTTATCGCCATCATTTAGACAACCTTTAGTAAGCAAATTGTTCAATTATTAATAAAATATTTCTGTTAGTAAAACAATGAATCAAAGTTATTACCATAAACTAAACAGTAGTTTAACACCTGTGAAGAATAACTAAAACAACACAACCTAACTTTCACAGTAAGACCTCATAAAAATAATTAGAAACTACAGCAAACAAATGCGAGATTCAACTGATAATAAAAAGGGTGACTCCTTGTTCAATATGCTCCTATCCCAATAATAATAAGCAATTTAATCGGCGAGATAGTTTAGCATAGAAAGGCCTTTAAAAAGCTCTCCTCTGGAAACGTATTCAATATTTATACTCAGATCTCCAAATATATAAAATAAACCAACTATCGTTTCATCGTCATTCTCTTACATTAGAAAAAGCACAGAACAATCCTAGACTAGCTGTACCCAATTTGATAGATTGCTTAACGAGAACACAACATTGTTAATGAAGATTCAAGAATTGGAATAAAAAGTAAAATACTTCTTTAAATAGTAAGAATTCATTATTATAGATAAAATGTTAGTCAGCTAGAAAAAAAGAAATGGTAGTTAAACAAGAAAACAAAAGTTGCGATATTTAGTTATTATTATAAGCAAATAGGAACAATGAAAATGAAAATAGAATTTTGAAAGAATTAATTAATAGACAAACTTATTTAATGCATATTCCATCAGTTCTTTAAACATTGTCACTTGTTAAATGATTATATATATAGATACTTAATAATATTAATAAATTTCGAGGAATCATACAACTTCTAATTATTTCGACAATTATCTGGTTTTATTGCATAAGAGTCCAACTTGCTTTTGCTTTAATTCAAATATCCCTAACAGTTCTGTTATTAATCTAGGTTGTAAGGCCATCAATCCTAGAATTTGAACTGATGTGAATTGCATGAACTACTCCTAACTTACTGAATTACGAATTCTAAAATATAAGATTTAAAATACATCGAATCTGCAATAGATGACCCATTCAAATCAGTCTTCTATTATGAATCTATCAAATCAATCATTATTTGTTATAAAGTATCATACAAAATGTTTTGTATCTTCCTTTCTTTAATGATGCTGCTCTCATTTTTACTGTTATTGAGAGTACTCACATCAAAATAAATAGAATTGGCATAACCATTTTTATTAGTGATCTTTTGCTTGTTTTTAAAACTTTAAATAGATATGCTAGCACATTCAGATAATAAACCTCTGATCTAACAATATCTATTCGTCATTTTCTAAATGAATCGAGTAGATTATTATGTTTTAGACCTTAATTCTTACACTTGACGATAAATGTATACTATATCATTAATTTTCTATTCAAGGAATATATTATTCATATATACTTCTTATTGATTTTCCGATTGCACATTTTTCATGATATGAAGCAAAGTGCTTTTTGATTTCTGCTTCAATGGAAGGGAGGGTAGGATTTATGGTTTTGGAATGGAGGTTTCTGGGATTGTTAAGAACATATCAACACTATTTCTGTCAACTTATTAATAACTATATGCATACTGGAAACCGTTCTCTTTTCTTGTCTTATTTTAATCATATCCTCTTGGATTCTGAATGAGTCTCTTACCACATCTCTTATTTCTATTCTTTTTTAGTACACAGTCTATTTCAATTGGTTGATAGTCATTTTATTTAATTTGATCTCATCAACCATTTTGCTATGGTTCTCACTCAGAGCCTTTTCATACGTCGAAATCTTATGCAATTCTCCAACCACTTCTTTAACTGAAGGATGATTCTCAAGACTAATTGAATTACTCTATTTAATTACTCTTCTTGTGATTTCTTTTTCTCCTCTAACTTGAGTATTTAATACTTTAATCTCTCCAGTTGATTCATTAAATGAAAGTATCTTTAGTTTAATCTTTCTTCCTATTTTAATCGCTTTATCTTATTACCTCTTTTTCAATTGCAATTGCAGTTTTGGGATTCACTTACTCCACATAAGTTTGCACAACCTGATGTTTATCTTGTACCTTGTCCATTCCATCATTAATGCTAAAAGATACTATCAATATCATACGGTTCCATCAATACAACTGAACCTCGTTTCTGCATAATATGTAACATCGATTTCATTTTATTTAATAAATAATTTTTATGCTAGAATATATTAATAGATGCTTAGAGTTTTCATTATCACCAACACCCATTTTCCCTACTAATCTCTTAACCAATATCAAGCATTTGACAAACATCGAAAATTAAAGCATATAATCTATAGTAAATTTGAATCCTCCATTAACATAATAATCTTTTATATTGCATCCACAAAGTAATTTCAGTATATAATAAGTAGTTAGCGAATCATACGTTATAGAGGAGAACAAATTAAGTTTTTATATTTCAGAATCTCCACAGACAAGTTAAAATGAAAAAAATTTGAATTAATAAACAAAATAATCAACCAAAACTTTAAGAGAATAGATAAATGAAAGATTGCAAAATAAACAAAGACAATCACATGTTCCTGAAGTTTCAAATTCTCCTTTCAAAATTCGGTCAAAAAGTCCTATTTTGTTGAAGACAGGAACAACTCCTTAAAAATAGGAATCGAATTAAAATAAAGAGAATTAGATGCCTACCATACATAGGAAATAGTTTTCATAAATTAATGAGAATATCGAAACTCCAAAAAAAGGTTATTTGCCTTTTCAAAACACAAAATTCAGCAAGACTCCTTCTAGGTAATCCCAAGCGCAAAGTAAAGTAAAACAGGAACTCTAACCATCTTAACAATAAAGACATTCGTTAAAAAGGGAATTAAAAAATGGAGTTAGCCATATTAAATTAACATTGTACAAATGATAACTAATAATTTATGTTTAAAACTTGAATTTTATTAATTTTATTTATTTCTTTCAAAGTAAATTGATAAATAAGAAGGTATAAATTTGTGAATTTAACTGAGAAACATGCTGTTAGTTTTGGGCGAAGAATTTAATGCATAATAGCCCCCATTTTAGATTTGATCTTAGGGTAAATAAAATACTGTAATTTGAAATTCTGAGGATGAATGTTATGTTTAATTAAAAATTGTAATTGTTTGATAGATTTAGTTTTTGTTCTCAAATTAAAGGGATTATTAATATGAATTAGAATAGGATTGTTTTAATAAGAGTTGAAAGTATGAATATGTCTTAAACAAAATTAGGTTTTAAAGGAGTTATATTTTTAGTTTTAATTGGAAGGAACAATAATATGATGTTTTATTATTCTAAATTTCTCATTGATACATTAGTAATGTCCATATATTATGAATTAATAATATAAAATTAAATTTATATAAATAATGATAATAAATAACAAATTTATATTCAGTGATTTTATCTAAATAATCAAATACTTTGTTCTATTTTTTTTTTTTTCATAATTGCAAGTTCTTTGAATTTACATTCAACTATCTATTTAAACTTTTTTTCTTAATTTGCTTTATTTTTAAGACTGTTTCTAGCATTTATAAACCAATTTAAGACCTATTGGAAATCGATAATTTTCATACTTATTTGTTAGTTAAATTTGTTTGTTAGACTAATTACTCGACCTATTAAGGTTTTGGATAAGGATTGTTGTAATTCTCAATCAGCCATTTTTTGAGTATCATATTAGCAGATTTTGAATAAGTCCTCTTAGTGTTTGCTAGAGGGAATATCAAAATTATAACTTACTTGGATAATTTTAGAGCAATTTCAATTTCTAGATGTCTTCATAGAGTTTGATTTTGTTTTAAATTTAGGTTGTGGCTTCTTCGAAAAATTGGGTGATTTATGTTTGAGTCATGGTAGAATACAATTTCTCATTTATTATTCTCGATTTCAGGATTTCAAAGAAGGTTTTGAGTTAAGCACTCTTTTCAACTGCCTATCTTATAATTAAAAGAAATACATTTGTCTCTTGAGTGCATTCTACATCGATTGACTCATTTTTCTTCTGGATGTCTTCATTTTGGATTTGAGACATTTGTTGTTGGCTTAACCACTAAACCCAAATGTGCTCTAAGCTCTGAATATCTGATTTAACTTTCTGTTCCTTTTATTCGTTAACTGCTTGAATAGTGAAGTATATATTACCCTGTTGTTGTAATTACTGGTAAGAGGATAATTTAATGGGCTCTTCGAAGAAATTTTAGAAATTCATAATTAAGGGAATCTTTTTTTATTTTTTAAAATTGATTAATTCAAGTCAAAATTTTACTGATAAATTGCAAATCAGCACTCTAGAAGGATGATATATGTCACAATTTTTGCGGAATTACAACATCGATCTTTCGCGATTACTAATTTCGAATCAAAGCTTGTGGTATGTTCCCAAAAATCAAAATAATGACTCCATAAATAACTTTTATATATTATTAATTTTAATATTTAATAGTGAATTAAGATGAAGTCTAAATTTCAACAACCAACACGAAATTTAGTATCAATACCCAAATATTCCATTTACCATTTCTTTCAGAAGAAAGATACATACAAGGATCCTAAGGGTCAACAAATAAGAATTTTTAAAATGCCCAAGTTCCTGATCCCGACCCTAATTCTCTTGTCATCAGCCTTCATATACCACCAAGCATTCTCAAAAAAAGAGACCATTATCAAAATAAATGAGGATTAGTGAATAAAATGAGAATAATTATAAAAATAATTAACAATATTTTATTATATGAAATCTCACAATCAAGGCAGATAAGATTTCCTTCAATGGATAAACGAACTAACTGAATGCGATTATCCCAAAGTCGAGGTTCTATTCTAATTTTTAATTTAGTTATTGTCAGATGGAATTGGCTATTGTTAAATAATAGATGCATTGCATCCAGGAGCCATCTATCTTTCAAAATTGAACTTCATGGCCAGATTCCCAGATGAATACACCAAGAATCTTAAAGTACCTGATAATATTTAACACAGGTTCTTGATGATGCATTTTCTAAATTGAAAATTGACAAAGTTGTTCCAATTGACAAATTAAGCAAATGCAAATTTTAAGATAACATGGCTTTCTTGTAATGGATGTACAATTATGCATCCAAAGTTAATCCATTTGTTAAGAATTACAGAGGGTATTCAAGAAGATTGGAGGCTTTTGAAAAATAACATCATGGTCGTTATACATAAATGAGTGCACATCTAATTCCAAATACTGAATTTTTAAAATTCAAATAGACAGATATAGATGGCAGAACCTTCTTAAAAGTTGAATCAACCAAAGCTTAATAGGCTGAAGATGCTATCAAAGAATTGGAAATCGATATCAAAAATAAAATGGATTACAATTGGAAATTGATCTATGCTCTAGATGATCTGTAATATTAGAGAGATGTATTGTATGGATTGCTAACGAAAATTGATTAATGCGTACAAAAAAGCAGTGATCCTGCTGCTGTTAAGATGCACAATGTAATTATGGAAGAACCTATAGATTTTTCAGAAAAATGATATATAGTTATATGACAATTTTACTTTACAAATTTCTTAGAGATATTATTATGCCCAATTCTAGATGTCCACCAAAGCAATCAATATGAATTCCTTCATATTTACAATAATTTTGATTGTCAAAGGTGGATTTGACATCAATATCAAATAAAAGCAAATAAATAAAAATTTATTTTAATGTTATCAAGCTCACAAAAATCCCAAGTTTACAAAAGAACTTCATATTTGACTGAATCAGGTTCTTTACCCATTACAGCCAGACCTTAATCATCCTACGTTAGCACATTAGAAAAGAAGGAACTTAGAAGGTATATTGAATTATTATTAGATATCCTACTGAATGGGCTGAATAGGTTGACAATAAAACAGACAACAGGTTTCATCACGTGATCCTCAATTAGAGTAAGGCTGAGCACAATCCTAATTTGGCATCTCCTAGTAAAATATTTGGATTGACAGAAAGGTTCATTTTACATTCTATTTCAATAGTCGACGATTGAACACACAAAATGACGATTTGCTCTCAGCTTTCAGAAGAAAAAATTAATCTTTAAGCAATTTGGGAAATTGGTAATTCAATAGCACTCCCGTGGCTAATCAATCCTAAAATACGTAGAGCAAAGCTTCAACAACTTCGAAACCATAACCCATGTTAACTAGAAAGTTGGATTAGTCTGTTCCTCTTAGAGATTTACTCGAATTATCAAGATAATTAGATTAGGCCTCTCCAGAAGAGATATAATAATTATCGAGAGGATATGTTAATGAGCTCGTCCAATTATAATAAACCATCACAAGATCCTTAAAATATGTTTCAAGATGAGATATATATATTAATATTAAGCTAATCAGAATATTATTATATTATTTTTGGTTGTAACGATTTCTTATTGTATATTATTTTAATTTAATTGTCCCACTTAAAAAAATAATCTAATTAAACAGAAATTATATTCAAAAATAGATATTACTGAGTTTGAATTTGATATAAGAGATGTTGTAAAAAATCATCTTTAGTATTTAATAATAATATTGAAAGTTAAAGCACAAAATATGTTAATTTTGTAGATATGTATTTAAATTTTCATTATCCTAAGTCAGTATCTCCGGCAGCAACTCTTTGAGCAATGTATTCTTTCAAGTCTCTCAAATTAGTGTTCAAGTGACCAATCAAATCAGATACGGTTTATCTGTCTGCATCTCTAGCGGATCTTCTTTATTAGTATTCTTAAGCTGCTTATTATCCTTCAGCTCTTCTGTCATCTCTTTATTAGAGTTTGGCAGCATATCTATCATTGTTATCGTTTAATGAGGAGTGAGTGGCAGCCAATTAGTCAGCCAATGATTGGATTTCAGCATCCAAATTAGCAATAGCGCTGTTCAACTTGTTGATGTCTCTTTGTAATAAGGTGCTGTAGGCTTAGAATTGTTATCTTTTAGCATCTTCTTATTTTCTGGCCAAATCGAAAGCTTATTGGAGTTGATTTTAGAGATCATCGATCAATTGAACTATTCTGCTAGTCAATTCTTGGTTGGCGAATTATTAAGCCTTGACAGACAATTAAGCCAAAAGCTTGATAGCTTTTCCGTATGTCTTGATGTGTTTCATTTAAGCAGCCTTGTGAGCAGCACTATTTAAATGAGAAGCGACTTAAGCGAAGATGGCTGGGGTAGCATGGACACCTTCTGATTATCCCTTTTATAAGAAAGCTGGAGCTTATAAGTTATCTGTGAATAATCTTCTGGCTTCAGCAAGGACACCTGAAACAAAGGTGAATTCTTCTCTTTAGGCTTCGAAGTCATTGTTTTCTGATTCTCTCTTCTCTGTGGCTTCATTCAATGTCTTTTAAACGAGTGCCAATTCAGCTAATTTGGCAACTCTTTATCCAACCTTTTAGTCGTATTGTGGTTGTAATTCATCTATTCTGGCTTGTAATTCTGTTCCCTTTTATTCAAGATTGGCAAGCTCTTAGTTCAAAACGGCAAGATCACCATCTACTTCTTATTAAAAGACTTTGTTTTCAGCATCGTCTTCTCTTTAATCATTTTAGTATCTTTCTTCCAAATCATAAAGTGTTTAGAACACTCTCTCAAGTGGCTCACCTGTTTGCATATGAAGGGCGATGGTATTCAACAAAGTCTTTCCCAATCTGCTCTTTTCGATTTTCTCAAAAGCTGAAAGGTTAGTAGCAAAGGCTGTTGCGACTAATACTAATATGATGATGTTTTTCATTAAAATATTTATGTTAAGCTCTTCCTTACTACTAAGTTAAATAGCAAATAATACTAAAAAACGGATAAAATGATTGATAAAATCAAATTATCATCATTAAGAAGTGACAATTTTAAGGTTACAGTTACTATTAATTTTTACGTAATAAAACTTTAATTGTTAATTTATTATTAAATGTCATCAATTATTAATTATATTTGAAATTATTGGAAGGTTCATTGCCCATCCTTCTTAGTAAAAATACTTAAATCTTATTCCATATCAAATTACACAAATTCAGTAATTATGAATAATTCATATCCATATGCTCAATAGCAAGCATATTATTACTAAATAATAATCGGAATATGAAGAATATGCATTCATGAGAAATATAATGAGAATCAATGATATTCTATTTTTGTCAATATATATATATATTATTTATGGATAAGAATTTATATATTATTTACTTTAGGTATTGAGAGTTATCCTCCTTTTATTAATAAATGACCATCTGATTTTGGGAATCCGAATAAAATAATTTAGATGAAAAGCTCGCTCTGTCTGAATGTATTTTTTTTTAGAATCTACATCCCAATATTAAATATAATATATTTAAAATATTTGTAAATTTGGGTCTCACAAACTTTGAAAATATTTATAAAGTATCAAGATTTTCAAAAGGAATTGTTTATGGTTTATAGTAATAATTATGAATTTTGATAATTTGCAAACATGTGGAAGTGAACTCAAAAAACTAGAAAACCATAATTTTGCTAAGAATGATTCTCCAGAGAATTCTTTGGTGGAAGACTTTGATTTTGGTCTGAGGAGACATACATTCTCTTTATATTTTATGGCAGCAATAAAGTTTATTATAAAAATGAGAAAGTCTTTTGGTAATATCTAATAGAAATCTAAATAGCTCTAAATATAGTAGATATGAATATTGAGGTGATTAAATCAGATAATAGTCAGGGTTTTAATTAAATCGTACAATATTAATTTTATTATAATAAATATTATTTCAATTATTTTTGTAATTATCTGTTTCTAAAGATGCTTCCGATTAAAGTTCAAAATTATTATTCGATAATTTTAATTATTATTTGAATAAGGATAAATACAAGCATTATTATCCAGATTATGAGAATTTTTGAATTCGCTCTATTTTATTGTATATATGTAGAAATTCTTATCTGGGTAATAATATTTCGAGAAAAATATCAAATAAATAAATTAAACTTATTAATTAAAGGATAAGTGCATCTACAAATTAACAAAGTCTCCATTAAATAATAATCAGAAGGATCATTTGGAATTTTAAGTTTCTTCTGTATAAGTACATTCAATTTGCCACTCAAAACATCTATTTTACTGGAATTTATTCATTCGATATGATATAATGATAAAAAAATTACTCTATTCAACTGTTTAAACGCCATTCCTTATTCTCATCACTATATTAGATTTGTGCTCTTATATAATCATCAGTATCTAAGATTGCATGCTATAAAATGATTCAATTCTGTCACTTCGATACTAAAATAAAAGAAAAAATGTTAAACTTTTTGAACTTGTTGGACATTATAACTTCTTTAATAGATGTAATGCTAAATGATGCGGGGTTAAGTGAAGGAATAAATAAATCAATTTTGAAAAAATATAGATAGGTAGATTCAAAAAATAAATAATAAACCCTAGAACACAATAAATCAAATTCACTCAATGTCATACAAAAATTGTAATTGTATAATTTTAATAATTATGGTAACACTCCAAGTATCAACAGTTTTTGTATAAGAGCCTGATAAAAAAAGACCAGAAGTCTCGATCTTTAGATTAAGTACTTGAATTAGAGAATCTTGAACAAGAATGTATTTAATTAGAAAAGTTAGTAAATTTCTCAGTAATTTATTAAAATTACTGTTTCTTAGAGCTAAGAAGCATTTAAGAGTAGAATCAGATTGGGGATGATCCAAATGAATCACGTAATCGATATAACTTCTAAGACTATTCCTAATTAAATGAATAATTTACATTTGAAAACCATATTAATATTAAATGAATATTGAACATATTTTATTAACGGGTGCCTCCACTGGTAGGCGAACAAGGCATTTCTCTTTAACAAAGCCTATGCATCCATCTAATACAAGAGATTCACCTGAGCCGTCTTTGATTTTAGGTTTTGCTTAACCTTGGAAGGAGAACGCATTATAAATATTTGTCCTCATTACCAAATTTATAATCAAATTGAAATAGGCTGCTGAATAATACAGATTTAAATTAATAACGCATCGTATCCACAACATAATAGGTGACAAGGCTTCAGATTTTATTTATTATCAAAGAAAAGGATTGGTAAAAGCACCATTTACATTTCTGGATTTTATAACTTCCATGATTGTGAACAAAATGCCCTCATTGGATTTCAGTGTAATCAAACCAGATAGTAAGTTTAAATTGATTATGGATTTGGTCATCCTTGTCCTCATCATAATCAATATCTTTTATATTCCGATGCAATTGTCATTCTAATTAAATAACAATAACACAGTGGTGGATTTTCTATTCAGCACACTTCCTAGTTGGGTATTTATAAATTAATATTAAGGATCTTCCTAATAGAAATACTTCTTAATTTTAATACAGCATACTATTCAAAAGGCATGATCCATGAGAGCAGACAGAAAATATTCAAGCATTACGTTCAAGGAGAATTTGCTTATGATTTGATAGTGGTCATACCCTTCTTGATATCGTAATACAAGATTCCTTATATCAATTTTATGCTGTTGTTGAGAATAACAAGAGTGAAGAAGATCTTCGAATAAATTGAAGAGATATCATTAATTAGAGAGAAATTTGCAGCTCCCATAGACATATGTAAACTCCTGTATTTCTTGATTCTGGTTTCCCATATGCTTGGTTGTGCCTGGCACTTTGTTGGTTAAATAGAATTACAGAATAACATAGACAATTGTTGGTTGACAAGGTATGGCTATGCTGATAAGGATTGGGTAGTAAGATACATAGCCTCATTGTATTTTGGGACCATTACTGCCTTCACAATAGGATATGGAGACATTGTTCCCCAAAATTAGTTTGAATAAATGTTTGTGATTTTAACAGTGTTAATAACATCTCTAATATTTGGATACACTATATCTGCAATCTAATAAATATTTGGTTAATTGAGAGAGAAAACTGATCAGCATCGTAATAATATGGCCACTGTGAATTCCTATTTGAAGAAGAATAAAATTAATCCGCTTCTATAGATGAGGATAAGAAAGTATTTTGAATATTTCTTCACTCTCGATGAAACTTAAGACGTATTAATGGATCATCTCAATGAAGACCTGAAGCAAGAGTTAAAAGCTAGTATCTTTATTCCAAAATTGAAACAGTGTTAATTAATCAATAGGTTTAATGATTCCCTTTTGGCTCAGCTGAGTAGAGTAGTCAAAACATAGAAATACATCCCTGGTCAAATAATATTCTAATAGGGAGACTTTGTACCCAAAGCAATGTTTCTTGTTAGAGGAGAAATAGAGTCTCTCATCAATAAGGTCTCAATTAGAACCTAAAAGCAAGGGTCATTTGGAATTAGAGAATTTTTTCTCAGAAATGCTGTCCATTACACGACTAAGGCGACTAAGTTTTCTGAAATTGCGTATATTACACATGAAGAATTTATTGAAGTTGTAAAGAGACAAACTAGCAATTATGAGCAATATTGTTTATTACGAGATGATTTACAATTCGATCTGTGTCCTATTTAATGTTAAGTGTGTTTGAGAAGTCATAATTTCATGGATTGTCCTGTTGTATTTTACAGTCCAAGTAGAGGCAAGATCGCAATAGACAAAGGATAGAATATTAATTAGGTTAGACATAACTTACATGAGAGAAAGAAAAAGAAATCAAAAAACAGTTATTTTAATATGGTTGAAAAAATTGAATTAGCTCTCGATTTATAATTAGAAAATGGCTTGCTCTAACAAGAATAGATTAATTCTCATTATATCTTAGATCTTGGATTACCGACTGCTATGGATGACTTTTCTATTGATTCCTTGACTAAAAGGAAATAATAAAATGTAGTTGATTAGTTTAGGCTTTCAAAGGTGAAATAATTAATAAATTAAGGTAAACTTTTGAAATTAGAAAGAATACCTTAAGTAATCAATGACTTGTACTCAGACTTCTTAAATATAAAGAAGGAAAGTTTGGACAATTTTGATAAAAAGGCAAATCTATAACACTATCACATAGATGACAATGTGTTAAATGTGCTGAAGAACTTTACAAATCGAGAGTACAAAGTTGTAAATAGAAGGGTTAATAGGATGAAAACATTTTATAGGAGAGGATAGCATAGTAAAACTTGAAAACGCTATGCTTTTTTGATTGTATAAATAATTCATTTTTCATTTGTTATGAACTTCATAAATTTCGATTTCTTCATATTATATAATTTACATATATAAACGAAGAAAATCAGAAATTTTGAAGTTAGAGTGCTTAAAACAGTCAGATCAATCAATGAGTAATCAGGAGGTATTAGGATGACAATCAGAATTATGGTAGTTACAATTAGGTTACCTTATACACTGGAATTTTATATTTAGAATTTGAATGCAAAAATAACAGCAATAATTAATAATTAATATATTTAAATTCAAAAATGAGCAACGAAAACATGTATTCTAGTGATCTCTTTTAATCTACCGTGATGTCTAAGTCTTATTATTAAGTCTTACAGGATTCAAATTTGATTGAATCATAAGTGCTTCAACCAGTTTGTCAAATGGCTACATCTCAATACATGACTCACTCAATGTATAAACCTAAAAAGATGGAATTGTTTCATCAATTGGACGATGAACATGACTCAGAAGATGAAGGAATAGAAGATTATAAAATTGGAGGGTATCATCCTGTGCATGTTGGAGAAGTGCTTTAAAATAGATATGTGATAATTTAAAAGCTGGGATGGGGTCACTTCTCAACTGTGTGGTTGTGCAAGGATTTTAAATTTGACACTTATGTTGCAATTAAAGTACAGAAATCCGCAGAGAATTATTTGGAGGCTGCTTATGATGAAGTGGAAATATTACAAAAAGTGGCTTAGAATGTTACCAGTCAATAATGGCTTGAAAAACTAAAATAATATAAACCCAATCAAAGACTGAATCGAGATGACAGTCACGTTGTGCAATTGTTAAATTCCTTCGTTTATAGAGGACCTTATGGATGCCACTTTTGTATGGTCTTTGAAATCTTGGGAGTTAATCTGTTGGAAATAATCAAGAGATTTGAATTCAAGGGAGTTCCAATGAAATTATGTAGAAAAATAGCAAAAGAGGTATTGATTGGCTTAGAGTTCCTTCATGAATAATGTGGAGTAATTCACACAGATTTAAAACCTGAGAATGTGTTGCTTCAATTGTCTTAAGACGAAATCAAAGACATCATTGAAAATGGTTAGTTGACAAGCAATTAGATATTCAAGGAACGTTTGGAATTTTATCATTAGCTTTTTGATATCAAAAAGGAAGAGCCAGTCAAATAAGAGGACAATTTACTACTAGTTAAGACTGAGTCAATAAAGACTACAGAGAGAGTTAATTCTGATCAATTGTAAGAGGAGTAGTAATTAACCAAAAATCAATTAAGAAATTTATAGAGAAGATAAAAGAAAAAATAATAGAAAATGTAATAACAATAATAGTAGACAGATGAAAACATGAAAATTTCAGATAAGGAGAATACTGAAGTAATACAACAAAATCAAAATTAACAAGAGAATCAGAAGGAGAATAATAATCTATTTTAAATTGATAAGAAATCCTTATTTAAATAAATTCAAAAGAATGATTTTTCAGTTAAAGTAGCAGATTTAGGAAATGCTTGTTGGACTCATCATTAATTCTCTACTTTAATTTAAACTAGATAGTATAGATCTCCTGAAGTCTTAATAGGAACAAGATATAATGCCACAGCTGATTTGTGGAGTTTTGCTTGCATGTTATTTGAATTATTAACTGGTGACTTTTTATTCGAACCTAGAAAGGGTGCAAATTTTTCAAAGAATGATGATCATTTGGCTTAAATTTAAGAACTTACAGGCAAATTCCCATTATAATTTTCTTAAAGAGGTCTGAAATCTAAGAGATATTTTAATAAGGAGGGAAATCTATTAAGAATTCCAACCCTAAATTGCTGGTCGTTGACAGATGTTCTAATAGAAAAGTATAAGTATAATCCCAAGGAGGCTAAGGAATTAGGTATTTAAAATATTTAATTATTTTAGCTTCCTTCTTAGAACCAATGCTTAACCCATACCCAGAAAAAAGAGCTACTGCATCTTAATCTCTAAAGCATTCTTGGTTGAAAAGTGAAAGTGAAGGAATCAAAATGAATGAAGAGTAATACAAAGAATACAAAGCCAAAAGAGGTTTAATTGAATTTAAGAAAGTAATTTTTAAATGTGACAACAATAGGAAGTTGAAAGTGAAGAAGAATATGCTGATAGAAGTGAATCCCCTAGAGTAATCCTACCATTATCTACAAGACGTCGACATCACATATAACCAAGGGTTGTAGACAGAAAGGAAATCGACAGATCATTTACTGATCTGGGATATATTGGATTTGGGAATGGAATCGAGATAGACTTATTGGATTCTACAGGAAATTGGCAATTCATTAATTGATATATATATCATTCCTATGTTGTTTTGGGTACCTTATAGGAAGAACTCTTTTTAAAAAGTCCAATTTTTGGTGTTTAAGAATTTAATTTTTTAATGGCATCTTCTAATTGGGCTGCTTCATCATTAATACAGTCGTCATCTTTGCTCATTTGTTTTTTCTGATACGAGTTTTTCAATGCAAATTTATGAAGATCTTAAGAGTCATTTTTTTTATTTATAGGAGAGGCTTGAGAACTGCTATTCGAGTCTTGTTAAACATTCTTCATATTTTGACAGAATTAACTAAATTTAGATTACTGTTATTATGGTTTTTCCAAACGACTTGATGAATCTAAAGGTGAACCAAGTGACAATGATCCAACCGTATCAATGTGACCATTGAGAACAGGAGATCTAGTAATTAATTCCATTGAGCCAACTTGACTATCGAAACTGCCTTTCTTTTACAATCTGTTTTTGTTCTCATGTTCATATTCTAATAAATTTTCTTTGATTTCTATTAAGTCTTTTTTATTAAAGAGTTCTTTAAAATAAGGATGCTACAAACAGATTTCAGCACTGGGCCTGTCTTTTGGGTTTTGAAAGAGCATTTTTCTGAGCAAATCTTGTAATTTTTATGAGGACTAAAATTATGAATATATGTAGTACTGACTATATTTGCTTTACATTGTAATTGATCTCACAATTCTTATTTGATCTCAAAATGGCTTTATAATCAGTTCCTTAGAAGGGTTATTTGCCAGTGAGCAGAATATAGAAGATGACACCAGCACTAAAGATATCACATTTGTCATCGTAAAAGGGATCATCTTCCTTATAGTATAAGATCTCAGGAGCAACAAATCCAGGAGTTCCACACCTTTTGAAGATGATTTATTCATTTAGAAAAGTTGCCAGTCCGAAATCTGCAATTACAATATCGGTTGAGGACTCTTTAGTTTTTAGCAGTAAGTTTTCTGGTTTTAAGTCTCTATGAATACACTTCCTACTGTGAATGTGTGCCAGTGCCTTAAGAAAGTTGTACATCAATTTTTGTAAGGACTCAGTTGAAAATGGGTTAGTCTATGCTCTAGTTAATAATTCACCTCCTTAGATGAGATCCAAAACAAAGTAAATTGAATTTTAAGTTTCATAAACCTCATGTAAATGCACTAGACTTTCTTGATTTAATCTACGCATCACTCTGATCTCATTTTCTAGACTTTCCATGCCCTTGAATTATTCAAGCATGAATTCTTTGTTGAATGCCTTAATTGCATATTGGACTCCTGAAGATTTCTTGGATGCTAGATAAACTTTGGCGAAGCTCCCTTTTCCAATCATTTTGGAAACACTAAACTCTTCATGAAATGCAGTTTAAAGACACTTGCATTACAATATTTACTTGAGAGTGGTGGCATCCGAGGCAATAATATCTACATATTATCCATTTCTTGTTAATCTAATGGTCATTCCAAAATCAGTTTTATGGGTGATCATTATTACGACTGTTAGTTGCAACATTCCATGAGGATTATTATTTTTAAAAAGATACATCTATTCTTATCCTAATTAGATTGAGATAGGTTTGAGTTATTTCTTTTTTCTACTTATTTTCTGACAGACAGATTCGAAGATAATCTAATCATTCTAGTGTTAATTGCATTTTTATTTACTTAATAACATGAAGGTTGAAACTTAGACCAAATGTGTTTGATTTTATGAACAAGTTCGAAATTATTAAAGAAGGAAGAAAAATCAGTCAGCATATTTTTACTTGAAAATTATTTATATTATTGTTATCAAAACACTTGTCATACCACTTTCTACGAAATAGCAATTCTAAAGCACCTTGTTGATATTAGCCAATGTGTCACTGCTCAATGGATCCTCCAATTGGGTCAGGGCACAATAGATCCACATGCATTGATTGTAATTGCACTTTTGAGTCAAACTGAGCCACTTGATAATTTTGGATGCCGTATGGTAATCCAGGATGTGGAAGGTGAAGAGGGTTGGAGCAATATCTTTCGATAGTTCTTTGAATGAGCATTTCTTTTTTAAACAAGATTTAATTTTCTCTTCTTCTTCTTCATTATAATTTAACAGCTAATATGAGTTTTAATCTAATTATCTAAATTATTCGATATTCTAAAATAGAAGTAAAATTATTACCTTTTTAAAACTATAGTATTATTCAACGACATCCTTTTGCCACAAGGAATTCATGGCCCATTTTCCATTTAGTTTGACACCTTTAGGTTGTATTAAATATTTTGGATCTGTTTGTTTGAATTGAAAATCTTCTCCTTCTTCAAAATAGGTGCATTTGGGTGCTTATTTTGCTTCTTCTCTGACCTTTTGTAAATATTGAATGGCTTTTTAATTATCTGAATTTACTGACATCTGATCAATGTCAAAGACTGGCTAATCTGAACTGGAGGATAGACTGTCATCCTGACTCATGAATTCTTCACTCATTATTATTAATAAATAATTATTTTTAAATATGTCAAGTGAGGATCCAAGTACCAAAGAACTCAATACTTTCGTGTAGACTTTGTTGAAATAAATGTCAGAACGCTTTGAGGAAATGCAAGGCACTATAGTTTCAAGAATTGATGACATGGGTAATTATTATATAATGATGAATTTACAAAAGGAAAGAGAATCGATGACATTGAAAAGAGTGTTACAGAATTGATGAATGATTTGGGATTTTCAGATGAAGAAAATGAAAAATAAAGGTGAATTAAATATTCATTAAATATATTTTTATTTTTATTGAACCTACTCCCTCTATTTCATTATGACCTATATTTTTCGTTATTCCTATTGTATCTATTGCTAGATCATAGATTTGTATAATAAAGTATGTTGTTTAGTTTTCCTCGATTAGAGTTGTTATGATTACACAACCACTCTCAAAGGTTGAGCATATATTTTAGCAGCATCATGTTTAATTGATTTTTGTGGACTACCTGTAATTTTTCTAGTAGGAGGCAATTGCACCTTTTTCGTACCTATATAGAATGTTCAACAACGATAACCTGTTGATTCCTCAAAGATATCACTCGAATAATTCAGAAATTAAGTATAATAATCGGTCTCGTACTCCTCATCACATGGGTAGATCTTCTCGTATCCCCCAAGGTGTTCGTCCTCATAAGCATCTCGAATCAATTGATATTATTCAACAATGGCCTTTCTATCCTCCTGTGTCATTCGGATGTTTCGACCTGTTAGAATACGTTTTTGCATTTCTTGGTGTTTCTCCTATCTTAATAACAGATTTAAGAATACATTAGTCTGTACTTCTCTTCCCGGTTCACATTCATCAACACTAATGTATCTTCAATCAAATTAGCCTTGATGTATTGATCCAGGGGAGAATCAGTAGTGAACGAAGGACTGTGATTGATTTCCAACAAGATTGGGCTAAAATAGGAGACAATTGCTTACCTGAAGGAACTATCCAAAATGATATCGAATCCCAAGATTTCAAAACACATATTATTCATTAGATTATTCGGTTGACTTGTGGTGTATTGATGTTTAAGAAATGGCTGAGCAGAACAGAGTGTTTTTATTATGATTTATTTGATTTCCATCCACAATTGATCGATATCCCTACCTTCCTATTTCAATTTTTCAAATACGCTTGACATACTTCTCTTATGTCCAATATCCATTCTCTAGACATCCTCATTGAAGATAAAGTTTTCATTATTTTTGTTGATAGCATAATTAGTCAAGTGCATACAAAGATCATCAAAATTTGACGGATGAGGAGGCAGGTATTTCTCAGTTGCAAATCTGGCCAATCCTTCTGTGTATACGAATATTCTCAAAGGATCGCATCCTGCAACGAGGACGTATATTCTAAAATCAAATTTCAAACCGTCAATTAAAAAGGGATTACCCAAGTACTTTTACACCACATATCTCTCTGTCGGACTGATAAACTCAAGAGATTTCGTTAAGAAAATACCTTAACTTTAAGAAGTGTATTTTTACCTCTACCTTAACAAGAGGCTTCAGGTTTCACAATCAAAGTCTCATCTCTACCCTTACCCTTCATATATTCCCTCAAGTCTTGAGCATCCGAAGGCAGCATCCATGTAAAAGGAAAGAATTTAAATTCCTTTGGAAACCTTCGACGCATCTTAGTTAATTATTTACCTAGATTATTTTTTCGAGCTAATATGTACATTCCTGGAAAATGATTAACTTTTTAATGTTCTAAGAAGGATTTTAATTTTAATTGTACATTTCATTCTGCTCAACATTTCTGCTTGAACTCCAGAATCCGTCCAATAGACATCCCATTCCCAGGATTCGGGTTCCGCAATTAATTTCCACTTGAGTATTTCTTATCCCACATAACGAACCACTTAATACTGGGTGTCATAGACATTCATGATTATTTAAGGGAGCACCACCTTTTTTTATTGTTCAGTTTCACTATCTGACATTAGTTGGAAAATATATATTTTTATGAAAGGTTTAATAAATTATATATAATCAATTCTTGTTATTAACAACTTATACTACATGTGCATTTATAATATATTAGATGATAAATTAATAACATATTAAATTCGAAGATGAAAGAGAACACAAACTATATGAGATTTGGCCAGGCAAGAATAGATTCTATCTGGGTGGCAGAATCATGATTGGACCTAGCTCTGATAATGGCCCTAACCTTTTCACCTGGTGTGGATTAATACTCCTCCCTTTATTCTTTAGTATTTCGAATGGGTAACAAATTTGGGAAGCCAACAGACTGCTCTTTATTTGCACTTTGCTTTTAGGATTCCTAACCTTATTCTTTCTCTTTCTGACTTAATTTACAGATCCTGGAATCATCCCCAGAAAGAACATATTTGAAATCATGAACACAGAATGGGAAACTGAAGGCTCTTGGCCTATGTGCGAGACTTGTTTAATCAAAAAACCCCCAGGCTCATCCCATTGCAAACAATGCGATAATTGCATTTTGATGTTTGATCATCATTGTCCCTTTGTGAATAACTGCATAGGAAAACGAAACTACAAGTAATGGCACAGTATTTATATTAGATATTTTGCCTTGTTTTTGGCCAGTCTCCTCATGTAGGGTCTTTCGATCCTGGTTAGTTTAAATAAAATCGATCCTCAGGAAAGCAATGGATTAACAGATTTTTTATTGATTATAGTTTGCTTCATAAGTGCCATCATAGGAGTCTTTTGCTTTTTCCATTTGATTGTGATTTTGAGTGGGTCGACAACTAGATAAATTATTAAACACCTTGAACCAACCAATAGTTTCGATTGGATTGGTAGATCTAACTCTTTGTTTAATCCAAGCATGATTATTGGCACATAACAACAGGCAATTGATTTTTGAATATACACAATATGTTTTTGAGACCTAAAAATTAATAGTAGTGATGTCATTTTAAATAAGATTTAGAGTACGAAGCTTAATTATTAATTTATATTCAAAAGTTTTTTAATGATCAATAAATCAATACAATCTAATAGAAACATGATTTCTTCTTAGATTAGTAAGGTAGTTTTAAACAAATAACAAATTAAAGAGCATAATGAGTTGATTAAACGCAAAACTTCCTTAAGATACCCGTTTAAAGAGGAAATCAGCCTTCAAAAAAGTAGTAACCACTTTAATGGTAGGAATTCTATGGATTGTTTAGAATCAATTTCTAAGTTCCAAACAAGTAAAAAAATAAAAAGTCCTAATGTTATCATCTCAAACAGAAAACTTTTTATTTCAAGCAGAAATAGCAAAAAAAATTAAGAATCAGTAAGTCAAGAACCTGTGTTCTTTCAATAGGGAAAGAAAAAAGCAAATGATTATGGATACCGAGTCGTCATCAATCGACCCAACAGGATGTCAACCATGTAGATCGAGGAGGTCATGACGTAATAATCTCCAAAATTAAATACATACAAGGATCCTGAAACTTTCACAGATTGGGTTGAAAAACTCTACGGAAAACAATGGTTTTGCTGAATACGCCAACCAATGAATATAATTTGACATTAATAATTTGTTTATGATATTAGATATATTATATTCCAGAAAACTTTATTTTTAATTACGAAATAAACGAAAATAATCAATTAGGAGTAAGATAACAGCAATCAAGTACATATACTCTTTTTATAATAATTACAAATTTCTTCAGCCTAAGCAATTAGACTGGAACAAATGGCTTCTTCTTACATAGCATTTTTTAAGAATTAAACAAACAAATTAAATGTGCTTTCTCTAATTTTCACTGATTGATGAATGACCTTCAAATCATTAGAGTTATATATGTGTTAATCTTTAAGAATAAAAGCAATAATTCGATGCAGATGTAAATTCATTTGGTAGTTGGCATTCTTAAAATATTCTGTATAGTTTTCATTGTCTTACAATTTCATTTAAACTTTCGCTATTACAACTTCCACCTTCTTCTTACCAACGCTGCTTTCAATCGAGTGGCATTAGGTGATATTCTTCCTTAGTTTATACCAGATATCTTCGTAATCTTAGATGATCAAGGCATTTAAATTGAGACTCTTAATAAGTTGAAAAAAGTTATCCCGAAAGGAATCGATCCATTCAGTGGCTATGTTATACTTCGAATGGATAGTCCACAAATCATTTTTTGTGAGGGTTGGTATGTGTTGATGAGTGAGATATCTCAATATAAATTAAGAATGTCTCTCCAGGGCTATCAAGGGATAGTTTTACATTCTGACATCTCTTTTCAACAATTACACATACTTCTTCTGCTAAACCTACAATAGGGAAGACTGTTCCCCATAGTAGTCGAGCAAAGAGTCTTGATTAATGATGTAACTTCGATACCCATCCATTCTAGATGTCACCAACTCTATTTGTTTCTCTTGTATATTCAATTGACGCATAGACTCAATCAAATGCTATTTAAAGAGTGTGAAATGGACATTTGTGAGATGCATTCCCTTATGGGACTGTCTCATCTCAACCAAGATCTGATCATTGGTTTGTTCCCATGCCATTAATTGAGACAGGATCTTGCCCAATTTTCTGGCTTATTGTTTGATTTCGATGCCTATGAAGTAGGGTGCTAGAGAATTGTCCTAGAAAATCTTTTGATAGCTGCTCTGAGCTAATTGCAGGATTGCATCTGGGACGTCTTTTGTGTTCAACTTCTCCGTCCTCTGGTTGTAGATAATTGCGAATGGAGTATTGCTATTGATGATACAATAACGATATTGCTCAATCATGGAACTGAATTCAAACACAAAATCTAATTGTCCTTTATTGACTTTTAAGAAGCATGTCTATATTAGATGAGTATTGTTTACAATTAAATAGTTTTTGAATTAATTGAAATCTCTATTTTTGAGTCTTAAATCCTTATGTTTCTCTTTTAGCTGTTCCAGATTATAGAATATGGGCTTTCCCATAATGTATTCCAAGAACGTCCTGAATCGTTATTTATATCTTTCTAAATCATCAATCTCTAAATATATTTTGAGTATTTACATGAGATCATCTCGTGTTGAGTTGAATAACTATGGAATTCCTCATTGAGTTGATCAACAACTTCAGAGCCTCCAATTTTATAATAGAACAGACTCATGTCATCGTCCATTACGCTCCTACCAGTGATATTGTTGACCGAAGTTCGATGGATAGGCAACAATCTTTATTGAGGAACGAGAGACTTCCGAGTCTCAAAAGAATAGTGTCTGGGAGAGTAGAGGTTATGGAATTAATTTTAATGGGATTGTACACTAGGTCTATAAATAGGCGATTGGAAATTAGTGATCGGACATTTACCTACATTTACAACAAATCTCTTATTCATGATATCAGGATTGGGCAATTCTAATTTAGGGAGCGGGGGATTTCGTTTGGGCACTGAGTCTTTTCTAGGAGACTTGTTATGAGTGAGCAGATGATGTTATGATTCCGACAATGAATTCACATAGTCAGCAAATGTTTGTTTCTCCTTTGGATTCTGATTGATTTTACTTACTCCTCTCTATATGAGGTATCCTTTTTTTGGATTTTGACAATTTAGTGATATTGGTTAATTCATATATTAAATTATATTCATAAACAATCAGTGGAATTTTTAAAAAGAGATTGTTTCTATAAAAAATACTTAAGATCATATTAAAATACTCTGATCATCTTTTTTATATAATATACATTCTCTGATGGTTTGAAGCAGATAGCATCACTAATAGGTTATTCTTTAATTTCTTCTTACAATAGAAAGTTCTGGGCAACTCTATTAGTGCTCTTTTAATTGAATAGATATTGACAAGATTAGAGAGGATCTTTCTTCTTCCATCTCTTCGTAGATTATATTTGATCAGGAACATCCTTTGATTGAATAGGTCCCAAAGGAATCTATTATTTGTTTTGAAATTTGTGTAAGATTAACATGGCGTGTTTGAAGTCAATAATGTTATTAGTGGGTCGATGAATTTTACCAAAACTATGTCCCTTCTTATATTCCGTGGGTATCTTCTTGGCCATAACCTTTAGATCCTTGCGTTTGTTCTCCAATTCCCACTTGTTCAAATTGCCATTCTATAAGAGGACATCAAGATCGTACTCATCCTCAGAATAGGAATTCTAATCGATGAACCCCTCCTTCATTTTTGCATCCAATAGATAGGCAGCCTCTCCTACATTCCTCATGCCCTTGCCTGCCTCTTCATACTCTCCCTAAGCGAATTTCTCATGATAATAGATTGCCTTGTTCATATCCTACTTGTAATAATAACATAAAGATATTTTATCATAAGTAAAGATCTCGTAATTGGTATCGTTAATAATCCATGAGAGTTTGAGCATCTTCTTCAGATAGATGAGACTCTTGTCATATAATTAGAGCTTAATGCAAATCTTGGATATGTGCTTGTAGGCTATCAATTTGTAGCGGTGACAATGATTGCCTTACATATTACAAATACGCAAGATCTTCTTCCAATTCTGATATGCCAACTTCTCCTTACCATAAATCTCCAAAATAATGTTGTGTATGAAATAGCCCAACAAAAACATATTCAAACATCCGATTTTCCATAATAATCGGATCATCCTCTCTCCAAGTGGGGATATTTGGTTAATCTCTTCGCCCACAATCTTCTCATTGATCAATTAGAGTATTTGTTGTATCTTATCAATTAACTCATGCAACTTAGCATTCTCAAATACCATTTATTACAATTTTCCAGTATCCTTTCCCCCAAAAAATGATTATTTGTACTTCTCCGGATTAAATTTCTGGTAATTTGCCTCTCCAGGCTAATACAACTTCTGTAATTGCTGCATCTATGATCTACGATGCTAGTCCTTGTACTCCTACATCCCATTGTCAGCCTGATACAACACTTAAACATGGATGTTGTATGCTTGTAATTCTTCTACCACATCATTCTTTGTTAGGATCTCCCTTCCCCTTATGTGTCTTAGGTTGATAGGATCTCTCAAGAACAGATAGTCATCGAACCCTTGCCATCTAAGCAAAGATCTCCAATATTGTTTAACGACAAATTTCTCTTACTAATCTGCCTAATAATGGAAGGCATCCTGTTATAAAGAGAATTTATGATGGTGAAAAAAGTTTCCAAGGTTTCCAGTAGGAGAATCGATCTTAAAAAATCTTTAATAAGACCGTGATCCAGCTGGCCTTCCAGATTCACGAGTGACAGCAGTTCTTCGACTTATTGCTTATTATTGATAGAGTTATTCTCGTTTATCTGACAATTGATCCTCATTATCCTTACTCAGAAGGTTACGTAAATCTTTCATTATCGATGTTATTTATTTAAAAATATATATTATTCATATTTATTATTATTAAAAATGAATGTCTTATCCCTTTCTTGTGGTTACTCTTTTAAAAAATTACGGTGCAATCACACCATCAATTCCACTTGACAACACTACTCCATTTTTAGAAACATAAAATTCAATGCCTGCCTTCATTGCTCTTTCCATATCCACCTCTATAATGACTTCGCATGTGTTTCTCATTCCACTGATTACTGCATCATTTCCTGGTAATCCTACTGCAAAGTGTATATGCTATCTTGCCATCCTATTTAATCCAGTATTCTTAATCAACTCCCAAGCCTAGAAGTATGTACCATGTACAATGACAGGAAACTAGGCTTGGATCAACTATTTTCTCCCAATAGTTCTTCCTCATTTATTTCAATGGTGTGTCCCTAGACACATCTAATATACAATTATCCATCTATTTCTTTCAGTTCAAATCTCTTCTTGTCATTATTATCCACTACATTCCTGATACTTTGAACATTTGCTTTAAGATTGGCCATCGACTTCCAATTGAGTAGATCTTAAACCAACACAAAACCATCTTATCTGATTGGAATACCTTCCTTCTAGGCTCCATGTCTCAACAAATAACTCATTGCTTTTGATTACTGAACCAAGGGGGAGTCCTTCTTGTTTTTCTAGACATAGGGTTTCATGTTACAAATAATTAAAATATTATTATTAAGTCAGAATGAGAGTTTAAGCTTCATCGTTCAGATTGCCTGTTCTTAAATTACAACCTAAAGACCCTCAATTCAGCCTGAGTTATGGTGATAATAATCAATCAAGCTCTTCGATGATCAAATATTAGAGTAATCCTCAAAGATATTATGATCCATCTCCCGTCAAAAAGAGAGTGAGAGGAATGACCATTGCCATCTATAATAGTTAGGAGAAACTGAAAACAGCAGAATTTCGTTACGGAAGCGATTTGATCACTCAAACTTAACCTCTCAACCAAAGTGCATCAGTTGTTAATACTGTACGCAGATATAGAAACAAACTAAAACAATTGATGTACTAACCTCCAAAGGAAGATGGAGGACTATCTCGAGACCCTAGGATTTACTCATTTAAAGAACCTGCTGCCTCCATTCGATTGGATCGACTGGCTAATGATCGGGGTGATCAATAATTGAAGGACAAGGTCACCCAATTAATGAGCAAGGTGAAATTGCTATTATCCACTCAACAGTTTTATTAAGAGCCACAACAATAGGAGACTTTCTAAGTTACGATGGTACGACTTAAAGATGAATACGACTGTCTCTACCAAGACTTTAATGATTACTATGTGCAAAATAAAAAGCTGGACAACCAAGTCATTCAACTCTAAAACCACATGGAAATCATCAAGACATTGCTCAAGCCCAAGAGACCCACCATGACCAGAAAATAATCTGCCATCCTCTTCGACCAAGACAAATAGGAAGTCTTGATCCCAGAAATCTCAGAAAAAGTTGAAGAAACTCCACAATTGTCTGAAATAATAGACATTCCACCTCCACGTCAACAAACACCCATCATCTCCCAAGCAGAACCTGAGGAAAGTGTATTCACTCCTCTCACCTCCATATAACTTAATGAAGATCAACCTCCAAGTGATCTGGATAAAGAAGAAACCAATAATAACAGTCCTAGCAGTCCCAAAAAGAAACGCACCAAAAATAAGCGTAGTCCTTAGAAGTCTTAGAAATCAATTATTTTTTAAGTATCAGTGTAAGATCTCTCCTAATTGGATTTTAATCCTTTATCTTCATAATAGCAATAATTGAGTTCAAGATCTAAAATTCCTTTGGAGGACATTCCCCTTAAGTCAGTTCGCAGTACAAAAAGCGAGCAGTTAGTAGAAATAGACAATAAATAGGATGAAACTCCCATATCAGAAAAGACTCCATTGAAAAAATAAACCAGCAATTTAGGATCTCTTAACAAAAGAAGAAACACAGTTCTCGAAAATAAACAGGGAAGAAGAGTACAAAAAGGCGCAGCTGCTATCTCCGAATAGGATGACAGTTAATCTGAATTAGGCGAAGACGAAGATCAAGAAAAAGAGGAAGTGATTGAAATATAAGAAGAAGAACATTAAGAAAACCAAACTAAAAACTTTTACTATTATGATAGTCTATTAGACAAATTAATCGAATCTGAGAATATTTACAGATACCCCTTCTATTAATCGTGGGAATACCATGAAGATCAAATTATTCAAGGTGCAATTTTTGGAGAATTTGATTTATGATTTTAATATATATGAATTATTTTCTTCTCCTCTTTTTAATTTAACTTTCCATTCACCTTGAGGATCATATCAATATTTCATATCAGTATTTTATTTTCATCTTCTTTATTATTTCCCGTTTCTTATTTTTGTAACTTATTTTGACACTCTCTTATGGATTTGATTTATATTCATCATTCTAATTACATCTGACTCTCAAATAGATTAAGTTGCAAGCTAAAATGACCATAATAGAACGTTGGCTGTCAATTATTTTCATAAGTTATGTCTTTCAAATTATGTATTTTTATTAATATTTTATATAACTCTCTTTAGCTGAAACAAAGGATTACTGATAGTATTTAAATAAATTATAATTGATTTGATTTGATTTGGTAGTCTAAATAACTTAAATTATATAAAATAGCATATCATTAGATGAATCTTTTCGATCTATTGAAGTGGTTTAGAATTTTGTCTATCTTCGAATTAGAACTAAGTTTTGATATCTATTAAGTGGTTTTGTTATGTTCATATTGGAGTTCTCTAAGGATTTCTTTTTGATGTTCAATTTATTATTATAAATGCATTTTATGTTTCTAGAGATTTTCGATGGTGCTTTTGGTTTAATTCCAATTACTCCGAGATTCAGTTGTAATTGATCTTTAAGTGCAGCTGCTTTTTCTCATGGCAGAATTAGGTTTACTATTACTACAAGAGAGGTCCATGGATGGCTATTCTTAAAAGTCAAGTCCACTTTCTTATGTCTTCATCCTGGATTCGATATCGTCGGAATCATCAAGATAATTAGCGATTTATTCTTCATTAATTTGGATCTCATATTTATCAACGATATATTATATAAGAGCTGCCAAATATTATGAGTATTGATTATCTCCTGAGCGTAAATTGTCAATTGCAATTTCAATATTTTTAGGATGCATCTTTTGAATGTTAACCCTATAATTTTGAACCAATCTAATTAACTTTTAAGGTTTTTCTAATAAGGCCCATATTTTGTATTGATTCCATTTCTAACAACATTATATAATTGACAAATACATTGACATTGGCAATCCAAGGTTCGCATCCTTCAAATAATTGCAGTAGTTTCCTGAAATTTATCCAGATTTCACTTTGTTGTCTCAATTTGTAATTTGCCAAAGCTGTTAAAAAAGGTACTCTAAATTTATCAATCATTTCTGTCATAATTTAACTATATTATAATTTATTATTTTATAATCATCCATGAAGTTCTTTATGCAATAAATTCAAAGCATCTGAGTACTTGTACATTTATTTCGCATAAGATTGTTTTGGTTATCCCAAATAATTGTCAAGAACCTATTTCTTATTAGTCTCATTCAAATTAATAGTGTTGGCATTCCTAACATACTAACTGATCTTCGGCTGAAAAGTGCATTCCTTCAATTCATTTTCCACATCAAACATCCGCAATTTTTGCAATTTTACTTATTTCTACTCTTCATACTATTGACATCGCTGTAAGAAATCACCTTCATTATATTGAAAACATCGTTTCGAAAAGAGTTATGGTTTAAATGTGCACTCAGCCCACTCTTCCTCCTCCAACCTTTGCAATGTAGATTTGACTTGTTATTATTTTTATTTCCTTAAAGGAGACTTAGATCTACTCGGAGTCTGAGATCTCGCCTTATAATCAGAGTATTTCCAAAAAAAGAGCTATCAAATATGAGAAATAACAAGTTTACATGTTCAGGAACCGGTTATTCGTTAATAACTTTATATTGTTACATAATTAAAAATGAATATATATATTTCTTAACTCTATAAGATAAATACAATTAGTAGAAATTAAGACAAAGATTGTCAACCAATTCATACTGAAAATTATCATTTCTATATTTATACTCAAAGATGCTATTTCATTATAAATTTCTTAACAATTATTAGATCTAAATCTATTATTCAACTAATACGATAAATGATTTCTCTGTTATTTTTGTAGTAAAAATCATTAAAAGAATGATATAAGTATGAAATTTGCAATAAACACATTTAACATAGAATAGATTTCTCATTATTTCTATTAGTTGAATTATAACCGGGGTTTTGGTTTATTAAATATTTATGTTATTCCCCTTATTATTAATCTTCAATACTTATAACCTAATTTATATTGATTCCAGAGATACTTGCTATGTTTAATATTGTAGGGATACCCAGTTACAACCCTATATAAATATTTATTAATTTATTACTTCAATAAGTGCATATTAGCAATACAATATACATAAATTCTATAATTAGAAATACAATTTCTTAAGTTTTGATTCTATACTAAAATTATTAGTAATACTAATTACTATCCAAAATATTAGAAAATATTACAACAAACTATATTTCATATTGATATAATTTATTTGAAAATATAATTGTACCCTTTTAAATGAAAAAGACTTAGTCTCAATATTTATATGGACAAATCTTTCAAACAATATTTCTCTATATTATAAACAACATAACAAATTGATACCGTTAAAATATTAGCTAAGTGCTTTCTTTTGAAAAGAGAACACCCTAAATTAAATTAATATACTTTAAATCAATAAACCAATCCTTAGTAACTTTATTTGTTATTTTATGATTCATAGTTACCTAGATGATATATGCTTATTCAATTTAAAATATTATGAAAGAATAAATTGTACTTTGGTTTGCAGATGCCTAAATTTAATTGATTTCTTTTATTAGTTCTCAAAGTTGACATTAAAATAAATGATGATGCTTATAATTTTATTAATTCACTTATGATAATAATTTATAATAAAATAATAATTTTATTAAGAATAAGTTAATAGGAAATAGTTAATTATTTATTATTATGAAGTAAAAAGCAGAATGAAATATATATTCAAGGATCATCTAGCCATTTTATTCTTTTACCATCTTCCCAAATTCCTTCCTTAATGGTTCCATCATTAAGGTAATATTTAGCATTTCCATGTTATTTACCATTCTTCCAACCCCCTTCATATCTTCGACCATCAGCCCAGTAATATATGCCAAATCCATGTTTCTTATCATTAAGATAAGATCCTTCATACTTTCTACCATCTTGCCACTAATAGACCCCTTTGCCATTCATGTTGTTATCTAACCATTCTCCTGTGTATCCTCTTCCATCTGCCCATTTATAAGTTCCAAATCCATTTATTTTATTGTCTTTCCAATCTCCATCATAATAGGATCCGTCAGCCCAATCATACTTCCCTCTTCCATGTTTTTTACCATCGATATAATCTCCAGAATATTTTGATTTATCCTACCCTAAACTAAATAACTTGAATATTACAAGTTTCTGTTCCTTTTCCATGTTACAAATCATCTCTCCATTCACCTTCATACATGGCTCCATTCTAATGTTTGTAGATACCCCAACCATTAGCTTTGTCATCCTTCCATTCTCCTTCAAAAACATCACCATCTGCATGATAAAACTTCCCATGTCCGCATGCTTTATTATCAACCCACTACCCTTCGTATTTAGCCCCATCTGGCCATTTTTACGTTCCAAATCCATCTCTTTTTTTATCCTTCCACTCTCCATCGTATACAGCACCTGATTAAAACCTATTATCTAATTTTGAATACTGATAGGGTGGATTTTTAACTCGATTAGGGTCTGGAGGGGGTTGAGCATTTGCCATTTCTTCTTTAAAATACTATTATTTCATGTTAGCACCAGCCTTTACTTACTTTTTTTCCTTCTGTTTTTTGTGTTTCTTCCAATTTCTTTAAATTTTTATTGCTGCTTCCCCTTATGAGATTTTTTTTTATTTCTTAATACTATGGTCTGTCTTCTCCACTTATTTCTATTCTTATTGATGATCTGATTTTTCGGTCTTCTCTGACTTTTCTTGCTTCTCAACCTTTTTCTTAGGTTTCTTTTTCACATTGACTTCCGAAATGGATTCTACAGAATGATGTTAACATTAGCATCCATTGCATGTTTAACCCATTATTAATAATAAAAATGACTGATCAAAACATTCTAATACAAGTTGAGAAATCCAATATTATTATATAAAAATACAAACCACTCAAAAGGTGAGAAGAATCGAATTTTAAGATATTTAAATGATGGATAACCTAGAACTGAATTTCAATACAAGAAAATTAAAAATAACTGATCCATTCAATTCTTATTTATCAAAATTAAGTAAGTTTTATTACATAATACTCCTCTCTAAGTCTACGTATTGGTAATTCAAAAGTAACCAGTGTTGTTTCTGAACAAGATTAATATAATAAAAAGAAATATAAATTATAATTTTTGCAGAGTTTAATTTACTAATGGAGCACTTCCTAAATGTTTCTGTTGCTGATCTTTGATATTAATTTCTTACTGCATACCTCATTTAATTTAATGGAATCATAACTCAACTAACCATTACCAAAATCTTTATCTGAAAATTTATAAGTTTATTTTATTTGTAATATTTGAAGATAAATTAATTATTGTAAGAACTTATTATATTAGTGAATTTTTTACATGTGATGCGTTATTAATTATAAACAATTTGAAATTGTGATCAACTATTAATGAATTACTTAAGTTTTCGCTTAAGCTATCCCTTTGTAATTGTAAATCTTCACCTTTAGTTATAAAATCTAGATTAAATTAAGGGAGAAATAAATATGATAAATCCACTATAGTTAATATATACTAAGAAATCAATAGCATTAGAAAAATATCAAAATTTATTAGATCTAATAAACCGTATAAAATAAAATTTGTGATATATATTTTAATAATTGAAGTTCTATATTATATTATAAGTTAATTTTAGTACTTTTAATTGATAATAATACAAAATAAAATAAAAGAAATTAGAAACAATAATGCCTTGACTCTCTATTATAATAAATTTATTATTTAATAAAATAACAATATGATTGAAATATTCATAAAAAATTAAATTTATTCATCGAAAACTCATATTTTCTAAGATTAAATAAGCGGAAAAGTAAGGTTCACATTTTTAACTTAATTTTTAAAAGGCATTTAATTATTATTAATAATAAACAATGAGTAAATTGTCAATTTAAGTTGATTTCTAATTTATTAAATTGGGCATTCTCACAAAACTCGAAGGATTAACACATCCATATTACGAAGTTACAAATGAGTATAGAAACTACCAAATAAAAATTTAGCATAATAAGTTCAAAGATGTATATTATGAATAGTAAATTAGTTCATTGTTAATGAACTGAAAGTAATTAAAAAATTACTCGATTAAGAGTATCCTCTACAAAACGAGGTTTCGATTTGTGGATATGGATTGTAAGATCAGGAAGAGTTTACATATTATTCTGACATTTTTGAAAAAGAATTGGATTTAAAGTTAATTAAATAAAGGAGTGTTCATAATTCAATAAAAGCAATTGACTATTTAATGAGCAATAAGGAAGGAGCATTTTATCAATTTAATAACTTAATAAATTTAAGAGAAATTCATTTATTGAGAGAAGGCTATGAAATTGGGAAAGTTGTTTGTCCTTGCCCAAAATACCCATACCTGTATTTAAATGTGAACAAGAGTGTCTCTTTTTATAAGGTGCAAGCAGTAAATCAATTTGTGAAGCTGAATGGTTCTCTGATTACGGACACTACAATTGAAAAAATATTTTAATTAATTGGCTTAGATGGAGATATAAATGAATAATTAACACTGGCATTCAAAGAAGGCAATAATTTGAATGCAGACATGACTGTAGAAGATATCTATGGTAAGAGCTACACATCATTGGGTTTATCCAAAGACATCATAGCTGCATCAATGGGTAAGTTGCAAACCAAGGAACCCACATCAGTAAATGTTCTTGATGTTGTAAAAAGTTTATGGTTCATGTTCGCAATAAATTTGGGTTAGTTGGCTGCCTTAAATGCTTAATTGGAAGATCTAACTACAATTATAGTTGGTTCAAGTAAAATAACATATGAACCATTTCTGTTATCACTTCAATCAGTGTTAACATTTTTCGGAGCAGGCAAATTGAATATAATTTATATTGAGAACATGGAATTTTTGACTTGCTTAAGCCCATTTGAAAATTTATAATAAATTGATAAATATGTAGTCATTCATTTTTTATACGAGTTTTTAATGGCTTAATTACTAGATAGTTTAAATGGTTGACAATTTGTTTTTTCTTGATGTTTATTGTAATCGTATTGCTCGTGTTTTTTGAATAGTTTTTGTTCAACTAAATGTTATTGATCTTTCTTCTTATTCGTCATATCGACTTTATGCAGAAAAGATTCTAAGCCATACACTTCAATTTGCTTGTTGTTGTCTATGGTTTTTTTATTAATTTAAGGTTTAAATGTACACTACTTCAATTGTTCATCTTCTTACTCCCTTAGTCTAGTAAAATTATTACTTCTTTAATTGAGATCTTCTTTATTCTCTGTTAGTTTAATATTACTTGATCTTTTCATGACAATCATCGAAACTGTATTACGAATGCATTTATGAATATTTCATCGATGTAGACACACTTGGATAGAATGAGCATTCTTTATCAGAGTCGTCATATTTCTATAGCATAATTCAATCAACTTACTTCTTTTAATAACTATTTTCTATACTCTCCATACTCATTCTTAATCAAATCCTAAAGAGTTCTATCCACAGCCATTTCCATTGACTTAGGATTTAATTCTGGGTTAAAATTTAGTTTGCTTATATCTTCTTACTTCTTTTCTTCAATATTTGATTGTCTTGTCTAATATTCACTATAGAGTCTATCAAATAAGGAATCTTGAGAGATCTTGCGATTTGCAATCTGTTCACTTTGCTTATTTAATTTGGGTCTGAAAGTATAATCTTTGTATGCCTTGCTTTCTAAATCCATATTCTTTTCGAGTTATTTCCTGTTGAACTCTTCTTGTCTCTAACTAAAATCTCCTTTAACTATTTGCTCATTAATTTATTGATTAGTTTGAGGCTGAAAATCATAAGGGAGATCATCCGAATAAACAATATTTTGTTTTCTTATACCATCCTGTACTAACCTATCAACGACATTCATTCCATCTACCCTATTTTTTTCAGCCAAAAGTTATGATTATAAATTAATCCTAGGCTTGAATAAGTCCTCTTCCTCTCTTAGTTGCTTTGCTTTTAAATATTCAAGCAATGCCTATTTATCCTGCATTACTTATTAATATCTTTCATGCAAAGGAGGTTTTTCTCCATAAGGTCTAGGAACCTTATTTAAAGGTTGTTCCTCTTCCTGTTAATTAATCATCAATTTTAATTCATCAATGTGAGCTAATCTTTCTTGCTCTAAAATTTTAAGTCTTTCATAAATAGGTATTCCTTCATATTTACAATATTTAATTTATGCAAGCAAATTAGTTTAATCACTTAATTCAGGTCTGAATGGCAACTCAGCCAACTAAAATAACTTAGTGAATATACCATTTTTTTCTCCTATTCCTATTTTAAAAACTCTCTCTCTTCCTACACAATTGATTTTGGTTCTGCTAATTTATCAAAATATGTCTGTTTTTTGCTCTCTTTATTTTTCATTAAGTTCTACTTCATCTCCTATAATTTCTCCTACTAGACTTTCAGTATCTCTGGTGTTTGTCTACTATACTGACTATTTTTGCTCTCATCTGCAATTTACGATTAGGTCTCTGAATATTCTTCTTTCCCAATGCTTGGTGTTTCTATTAAAGATCTGTCAATATAAATAGTTTCAACATTGCCATCCTCTATCAATTTCTTCCTCTGCTCTCTCTCTTGTTTCAACCTTGACATAATTTCTTACCTCCTATTCTCGTTAATCATATTTAATTTAAATTATAGTATTAAAATAATATTAAAATAACTTCAATAGATAGAGATAATTTCATTCCTCAACTAATTGATTGTAATTATTAATTAAAATGAATTGAACTTCAAGGTGAACTAATTCAAATACTATCATGTTTCCACCTTTATGTCCTTTACATTTGATTTTGAAAATTATACTAGTACTTCAATTAATTCTAGTCAATTAAGATTAAAATAGACTTAAGAATTAAACTAATAATGAATCTGAGTAGATTATGAACTTTTTCAAGTTATTTCTAAATAATATTTTAAAAGCAGACATTATGTATATCATTATGCATTTGAGTTTTTCTTTTTACTTTAGTTATTATTTATAAACATTAAAAAAAAATACATGATGAATTGAGTATCTTAATTTCGGCATTAATCCTCATAGAATCATTTTATAATACAGAGATTTTTTATTTGATTAGAATCAATACAAAATTGAATTCAACTTAAATTATACCAACTAGAATTTAAATACTATAATGCAATTTTACAATATCAAATAACATTAAGAATTTTATCAATTATTAGTTTCAAAATTAATAAGATAAACATTTTCGACTATTAACTTAAGTTGCAAATCATTTTTATTATACACTTGATAATGACCTTTTAGTAAGATAGTATTTTTATGTTAAGAATTTGTTACAATATTCTTGAGTTTTATTTCAAAACGAAAATCAGATGTGATTTTTAATCTTATTAAGTTAAATTTTATAGTAAATTAAATATGATTCACTTAAAACGAGTGACTGGCTATTTTTGAGTCTTTATGACAACTGATCTCCCTCGAATAACCCCTTTAGTTGGTTTTGATTAAGTCTAGCGTTTTTATTCTTCTTCTAAAGTGCTTTCTCTAAACACAACTAGGCCTAACAACTTTTCATGCTATTTGAGTTATCTTATAAATCCCTCATTTGGAGATATGACACTTCGTTTTGCTTTAACATGTTGAAATGATTTTACAAAACTCCATTTAAATGATCTCATTATAAAATATATTACTATTGCAGCAGAGCGTGATACTCCAGCAGCACAATGAACTAATATTGGTCCTCTCTTTAACCATATCGACATAAATTCATAACACTCATTGAAATGTTATGACAAATCATAAGATGGATCATCGATGGCATCAATTACTTTGTGTACGATTCCTTGTGCTGGCTGTATATTCAGGTCCTTGGCCACAGTCAATACTGCAACGAGCTGATGTTTCTGTTGCCACTTCTTATCCAAAGCTGCATAAAAGTCTCCCAAATATAATGTTCCATTGGCGAAATTGTTTTCAAGAATCACATTAGCACAAACCACTTTGTATTTTTCCATAAAATCAACAAAGGTTCTCATTTATTTATAATTTAATAATAATAAAAAATGAGCTAATAAATTCAAAAAAAATAAATGCACATCCTTTCTAAATCAAAATTAGCGAGAGTAAAGGAGGGAAACGAAGAAGAGAGCATCTTTAAATCTTACATTTAATTGCACACCGAACAAAGAGCCAATTATCATAGAGACATTCGCGATTAATAATTAAAGTAAAGAAAGGAGTTCGAAAGACTTTGTCAATCCCTTAAAAAAAATGATGTGTCTACACGGTTTAACAAAAAACGACAGTCACACTCAGTTTAATAAAGTCCATTAATAAAAGTTTCGTTCTAAACACCTTTGTTAAAGAAAGCACATCGAAAATTTTAAAAAACACCGTTTCCCAAACAATGAATATCAATTATGGTTTTGTATCATAAAATCATCAATCTCTCCTATTTCAATTTGGATATTTCTTTAAGTCTCAACTGAATGCGATTAATTTCTTCCTAAATAAGTTTTGCTCTTGAAAAATAAGGGCGATTCAAATGATTCTTAGTTGCATACCTAGGCTCAATTCCTTCAATACTCTTGGTGATAGACGCATACTCGTCCCTCACTTTACTAACTAATCTCTACCTCACCAAAAACCCTCTTACTAATGCCTGTATTTTTATTATATGATTATTATTATTATTCATATAATATTCAAATTATTTATTTTTACCCTCTAATAACAAATGTAAACACCCTCAAATATTACAAATAATATATAACACTTGCCAAACAAAAGGGATCCTTAACCTACAATTGCATTCAAAATCATACTCCGTCTAACTGCATATTAGTGTCTGGGAACATTTTTTCAGGATTCCCTAAAAATTCCCAAGGCTTTTTTCTAATCCAATAGAACTTATAGGCAGTCAGTCAAGTTTTTCCCGTAATTAGAAATCTCTTCGACCTATTTCTTCTTAGTTACACAGTTCTCAAGGATGGTCATAAATTTAAATATTGATTTCTGTATTAAATGAGTATTCTCCAGAACATGACAACCAGCACAGTTGTGACTAAAGAATATCCTGCCTTTCGTCAAGTTCCCATTAGGAACTTCTATCTCAATCTCATCCTCGTTTTTTACTTGGCCTTTTCTTCTATATTTTTAATTAGACGAGCCATGCAATTCATATCCAAACTCTCCATCGGACAACCTTCTTGATCTCATTATATTTATACGAGTAATTACTATTTGCTCAAAATTGCTAATAAATAAATCTTAATATTTATTATTTATTAAGATTTCATTAATAATTTCACTCTCTTTCTCATAATATAATATCACCAGCTAAATATTAAAATATGGCATCAGAAAAGACTATACTTTCAAATAAGATATAATAACAAAATATTTTATCATTTCCTGTTGATAGTTCTATTATTATATAATTTTCTGTTGGATAATACCAGTATAACAAATAAATTCTACATTAATTCACTATATTTTTCAATAACTCCAGCACTCATGAAATAATAAATAAATATAAGATAATAAATGAATTTCAATTAAAAAAAAGTAATTTAGAAAATTAAAATACTTAAATAATTATATTTTGTTTTTTTAGAATATTAAATTCTTTTTAAATCTAATTTTATTATAACTGCCTACTATAACAGATCCCAAGACATGGACAATCATATTTAGTATTCGCGAAAAGAGGTTATGCTAGACAAGCTTGAGTGGTTCTTTAAAAGATTATGGCAGTTAATAATGCTTATAATAATTATTAAAGAAATAAGTAAATGGTTAGGGGATGGAGACTGATAAAAAATTCAAGAAAGAAGCTTAATGTTATTAGCTAATACTTTTTAGCTTAAAAACTGGTGTATTGTAGTGGAAGAAGGATTATAATTTGGGAGCTATGAATTTTGAGTAAGCGGCGAAATTGTATAAGGAATGCAAGAATTCTCAGAATGAAAAAGAAGCACTTAAATTCGCTATTGAATGCAATGAAAAATTGGATTATACTTGGGCTGTGGGAAGAAACTATGAAGCCCTTCTGAATCCTCTAATAGACAATTCAAGCTAGGATTATAAAGAGCTTGTGGAATGGACTCATTAGGCAGATGTGAACTTTAAGATTTCAGACTCAGGAATGAAATAACTCAAAGTTTTAAATGAAGTGGTCAAGTAAAAGTGATCAATTAACTGCAGGTATTTAAATAAAAGACAACAATATGAGTTTTCAGAATAAATAATCTTGGAAGCACTGGCTAAGGCTGGGAAAGTACACGCTCCTTCTACTCTATCTTACATAATCTGTTCGTTTTTGGAGATCTTGATAGAGACTCAACAATATCATAAAGTGGGTGATCTATACATGAATGATATCTCGAAGTTCAGAGAGGAACAGATTAAATATCCTTCGAGTTAATATGCTCTGGTTATTATTGTTATGCACATATTTTAAGATGAGACCGCCAGAGAAAATCAAGAATTGGAATAACTAATTTAGTATGATTAGAGCATTTATATATATTACTTAGAGTATACAATTTCCACAAGTCATCAGAATTTAGAGCAGTTGATTAGATGTTGAACTCTTATGAGAAAGGGGATTAGAATCAATTTAATGATGCTCTTTTGAAAGCCTCTGTGACATCTATATGTCCTCCAAATGTAAGATATAAAATTTAGACAATTAGATTGTATTTGAGTTGAGGAAGGTGAAAGTGAGAGTGATCAACATCCAGCCAAAGCAAGACAATAATCAATAACAAGTTGATTAAGGAAATGAGGAGGTTGATTACCAGTAGGAATTAGAAAAAAAGATCCTATGATTGTTATTATTAAATATATAAATGTGTACATTTAGAATAAACTATGAGACTTTCATAAAATATATTATTTAATGTAATTAGTTAGATTGACTACCAAAGCACATACGCCTAGGAACGTTCCTTTGAGATCTCCAGAAAAAACTTAACCCATTACTCTTCAATTCCCAAATTACATATTCTTGGGACCCACAGATAACATAAAGATAGTAAAATTTACGAAGAACATATTATCATCAAATATCAAGCAAATTAGATCGAATTCGCCTAGCAAAGATTAAAACATAAGTTTTAGTAAACAAATTAGTGAAAGTAAGACAAAGCATCAAAAAACTTCAAGTGTTTAAATAATAACTTAAAGTCCTGACCTTTTTGTTAAATTAAGATCCCAAAACAGTACTACTAATAAACTGAGCAACATAACAGCTTTGTAGACATCATCAACAAAACATAAACATCACCGATCCGAATTGACTCAAGACACTTGCAGCGAGTAACCAAGCACTCCCACTTTAACAGTTCCAATATTAAAATATGTTGAACACTCTGGCAATATGTCATAAGGACAGATGTTTAATAAATCCAATAAACTGGTAGGCTCTATTACATTTTAGAATGGTTTGTATTACGTAGGAGAGATGGTCAAATTTCAAGATGTTCTAACCATAGATGGTTCAGGCACCTTATATACTGACAACTCAAAATTTTATGTCGTGTATGAGGGCAGATGGAAAAACAATTGTTTTCATGGCAGAGGCAAATACTACAATCAGTATCAGATTGAATCTTCAAATGATTGGCATTTCAACTGGAAGATGATTCAAGGTATAAATTCCATTCTAACTTCAAGCAATATTCAACAAGGGTGAGATTATTGAAGGCAAAATTGATTTCTATTTGAATGAAGACAGCATTGCACATTAAATTGAATATTCAAAATGAAGATAACACAATTTCTTTACTAAATTAAATTTTCATCAATCATTTTTATTTATCATTTACTTGACACCTTACTTCTGTCCATTAGATCTATTGATTATTTTTTCTAGTTTCTCACTTATTCCATTATTGTTTATTAAATGACATCATGCCATTCATCCTTCAGAATTGCTGAAGTTGCACTAAAAAGGTATTCGTATTCTGAATTCTCATAACGAATCTAACCTAAAATTCATCAATTACTTTTAATAGATGATGCTAGTGAGTTTAAAATATGGGATCTTTTATTACAATGGCATCCACTAGAGAAACAAATAAAATCGGTTCGAAATCCCCTGGCTTCTTGAACAATATTAGACCCACGTTGGTTAAAATGACGAACACTTCCTTCCATCTTTCTGAATTCAAGAAATTCATCTTCAGCAAATGCAACCAACCTATTTTATTAATAATATTCAATCACCCTATTTAGTTGACACCTTATACGCAGATGCCTTACCCTGATCCTAATACCCTTATCTTTTTGAAACTTATGAAAAAATGACTTCATCATTCTACCCAGAGAATTTGATTCTGAAATCAGATTAAAATTCTATATTGTATGGCAACAGTCTTTGCGAATTGAATATCTCTGTCAAATATATATTCAACTCAGTTCTTTTGAATGTTTCCATCAATAAATCATCGCAACCTGCTATCTTTATGCAGCAGATTACAGGAGAAGTCTTCATAATAATCTAAATATATACTTCAGAAAAAATTATGGCTTTGATATCTTTGATTGCAAAATTTCTACTCAGCTTTTTAGGTTTCTTCTCTCCAAAGAACACAAAGAACGTGTATTCTGACAAGTATATAATTCTTCGAGCCCTTTTCCCCTTTGAATCAACTCTATAAATACTATCAGAGAAACATCTCTAGATAATTTATTTGTGGACATTATTTTCTATCCTTAAATACTCCTTCACCTTTTAATCGTTTCGTATTCCCAGAAAATCTCTTTCATATAATTAGTTTTCATCAATTTGAATCTATTGTGGATCAAATATTGACTCTTATTAATTCTTATTTTTCAATCCTATCCAAAATTTATCAAAATTTTATAACAATTAATTTTGTGTTTCCTAATTATTTGGCTCTATCTTATGAACTGTTTAATCATTTTCCTCCTCTCCCTCATTTATTTATTCAAAAACACTTTCTTCATATTTTGGATTTATTCGTATTACGATTTTCTTCTATTAATCAGTTTGTTATTAATCAGGCTCCTGTTGATCAGTCTCGTCAATCTCATTTATTTTAAGACCACCACTTTGTAAGTCATCCAGAGGATTGAAGTAACTACTCCTAGTCTACGGATATCCTCTAATTGATGACATTCTCGCACTCGACATCCTACCTATCATACAACTTTTTAATGGGAAACCACCTTCTGCAGAAGATAATTTACTCATTCTTCCCAACCCTCCTAAGTTGAATTACTTACCAAAAGCACTAGGTCTAGGCATGATACTGCTTCTTAATTGTTGATTCTCGCAGTTTAGATTTTCATAAAGCTTCTTATAATGATTGAGCTCTCTCTTCAAATCAATTATCTGTGATTCATTTTAATTTAGTTATTTTTCAAGATCGGTATTTGTTTGTTCCAATAGATGATACTACTATTACAAGCTTAAATGATAATAATAATAATTATACTCATTCAATTTTTCTTCGTACCCCTTGATTAAATCCTTATTTTAATCTTGGACATTAACTTAAACATATTCTTATTCTGTATTTTGTTTGTTCTCATACTCCTAAATAATGCTCATTAGGGATTTGTTATTTTGAGTAAGGCGAGTGATTTCACTTTTACTCTTAGATAGTTGTTCATTTAATTTCTTGTTCTCAATATAAGACTCTTTCAATTCAGTTTCAATTTTGGTGATACTTTTCAATTAATCATGATAATCATTGATTTATTATTACAACACTGTACATTATTCTTGATATCTCTATTAATTACAAATAATTTACATTGCTCTCCCCCTAAAACATATCAATATCCTGCAAGAATATCTCAATTTGCTAATCCTTATTCACAATATCAGACTCAAATTATCGCAGTTGTGTCTTGGCCAACTCCTTCTCAATCATAGCTTCTTCGATCTTTTTGGCATTTTCAACCACTAGACTTTCCAATTTTTGATTTTTTTATTTAACTTCATCCTATAAAATAGATATTTGAGCTTCCATTTTCTTGACAGCTTGATTGATTTCATTCAAATGCTACTTGCCTTGTTAATTGACATATTTTTTCTGTATGATGATATCAGTTTATTGATAAACAATGTTGGCGTACTCTTTCTTATCAACAACTTCGCTCTGCCTCTGAGTTCCTTGTTGCAATTCATCGTCAGTTGACACATGCTGATATTACGGTACAATTTATTAATTTTGTATTAGTGGCTGGACTTCTTTGTTTGATTAATTGCTATGTTGATTAATAATAATTCTCTCTAAATCATTGCACAATTCAAGAAGCTCCTTAATACTCACCTTCTAATGCTCATCTACGAGGGGCTGTATGTATCTCAACATTTCAACAGCGTTAATCTTCATGGTTCTCTGCAATTCTTTACAAAGGTTTTCTAACTCCTCATATTCAATATCAATTCCATATCTGTTCTCTATCAGTTTATAGAGATTCTTAAATTGAATTAGGAAGTCATTAGTCAAAACTTCCAGCATATCCCTAGGTAAACGCTGGGCTTGCCTTCCAAGAGTCTTGGGGAGAATGTTAGTTTTGTATGGTGGAATTTCTTGTTGCAAGAGAAATTCAAAGACCAGAGTCTCAACTGAAAGAGTTTACTAGAGAAATGAGTACCTGTGGAATAGGTGACGATTCCTTCTTGTTTTTCTGAGATGAAAGCATATAATTATTTTTTGGTCTGCTCATCCAATTGGCATCTGACATCCAACTTGGCAAATTCATCGAGGATCAGAATGAAGTCTTCAAAGGGGAGGTTTCTGTTGCTGTAGAAATTCCTGAATTCTGAGATTACGTCTTAAAACATATGGAAAATAAATTAAATAATCTATTAGTTGGTTGAATATAAATGTTCTGATTTAAATCAGTTGACAAACTTAGCACTTGGAGGTTTGTTTTATTAGGATGCACCCTACGCACCCTGTTCAGCTGGTTTTAGTATTTGGAATGAACACATTAAGGATTCATCAATAGTCATCATCGAGCCTGATTACATAATCAAAATGCATAATACCGGCATTGTCAAACTCGCCACAATAATTCGGCGCTGAGAAGAGAGTCACCAATTGCCGTTTGCTAAAGAACTCGTAGCCATCCTCCACCACCTACAAATATGTCTATGCTGAAATACCTGATGGGCTCTGCAAATCAAATCGAGTTCGTGCTTTTTGAGAAAGACCTGAACGATTTCCTAACTAAAGACATAGGAAACTCCTCGCTCGTTGTCTGCCCACCCTTAGACATCTTTATCGGGGTCTGACCACAGCAGATCGCATAAGAGACCAGTGTCAGGAACATCCGTCGGTCTCATAATCCTCCTGATTTGCTCCAAATTAGAGAGTTCAGGAGACAGTCCTCCATGCATACAAAGAATCTTTTCATCAACCAATGCAGCCACGGGTAGACAATTAAAACAATCAGTGAAAGTCTTCCATAATTTAATTGTGTATCTCCTCTTGCCTATAAATTCATAGGGGTGACTTCCTTACATTCATCATAAAACCCGTATATTCTATTGATGGATGCGCATTCATGATTGCCTCTGAGAAGGAAAAAGTTTTCAGGATACTTGATTTTGTAAGCTAGAAGTAAACAGATGGTTTCCAATGACTATTTCCCTCTGTCCACATAGTCACCCAGAAATAGATAATTACTCTCAGGGGGATAACCACCATATTCGAATAATCTCAAGAGATCGAAATACTATCCATGAACATCGCCTATAATAACATAAAATAAAGTTTGGCACCACAAATTTTAAGAGGCGCCTCCAATTCTAACAAAATTGGCTGACTGATGAAGATATCTCTAGCCTTTATACAGAGACCACGAACTTCAGATTCAGTCAGATTCACATTCTTTCCTGGTTTGCTACCTCTGACACTGAGTAATCTTTCAATAATGTTATCCACATCTATTTCACCCTATTTATCCTTCGCCATGTGTGTTATTTTCTTTATTTATTATTAAAATATATATATATATTGAATAGTAGCAAAATTACCAAATTTCAATTCAAAACAGTTGTCATAAATTCCCAAACACTCAGAGAATCAACTAAAATTGAAATAGCAATTCCTTTAGTTTTATCGAAACTCAAAACAGACTTATTAAAATTGTAAATTATTTGTCTTCCTGAAAATTCAGTGATGACAATACTGCAACATACTCACGTTCACTTAAAATTAATTATTATATAAAATGGAACTTATAAAAATTGAAGATAAATTTAATAACTATAAACAACACATTTTAGAGTTAGAAGACAACATATACATAATCACAACCACTCTTGATTTTAAGGGACAAGTACAACTCTACCAATTCGTTATCAATTACAAAACCAAGGAAGTGCTCTAAAAAAAGTAACTCAATATTTAGTTCAAAATGGCTTTATTCATCCAAACCTCCATGGTTGGATATTACACTATAAATGGTCTCCTTGGCTGTCTAATTGGCATTCACAATGGAAGACTCTTTTAGATAAGAGAAAACAAAGTCGATGAAATTTGTATTAGTGCAGTAGCAATCAATCAGATTGAATTGATATCGGATTCATTAGCATTACTCAGTTCTGAGAGTGGACAAATCAACTTATATGACATCTACACTCAAACTACTATCTTCTTGTTTAATGAGTACCTAAGCACTCCACTCAAGTATTTTCGCATAAGATATTTCTATGATACCGTAATCCAGGGGAAACAGGATGGGCAAATGACTTACTTCATTTTCAATGAGAATATGAAACAGATTCTAGCCAATAGAGACAAAAACATACAGATGAACAAATTTGTATAACATCAAAATATACTCATTTCACAACCAAATTGCAGACTGTATGTTACAGGTCAGAAATTGCTGGATTTCGAGTTGTATGGAGATGTGATGATAATTTTGGTTGAACAACAAATCGAATATCTATTAATCGACGTGAAGAATCAGGAATACATTCGATTGAGAGTGTTCCAAATTTCTCACAACATTACTTATTTTTAAGTGTGCAATGACTCCCTACTATTACACAATGAGTCAAGTGTTTTGAGCATGGACATGAACAAAGGAGAAATACGAAATCAATTAGATCAGAAAGGTACATTTATGAATTTACTTACATATGTAAAAGACAATAAAATTTTATATAAATGATTATTAATCAATTAGGACACTTTCTTTCTATTATGCTGAATCTGCCTGACTCCTAGTATTCATTCTTAGACACCCAAAGAGACTGAAAAGAACTTAATGATGCCAAAATGGACCCTCCAATAAACACTGAATGATAGCGATTTTACTAAAAATAAGTCAAAATGAATACTTACATTAGAAGGATACATTACTAATTTAACTTTACACATTGGTGGTGCCAAAGCAGACAAGGTGGTTTGCAATTTATTCAAAAACCCAGGAATATTCGATGATCCTCCAGTTGAAATCACAGTAGAACACAATTATTATTTGATATCATTGGCAGAGTTGTTAATTATGTCTAATAACATATGTTGGATGCCTTTGAAATTGTCATTACTATTAAATAATTTGTCTGCAATCTCCGAAAGCTATGCTTACTACATGGTAATAAACTTTCCATCGGGCAATTCGTATTATTATGACGAATCAATTTGCTCATATGTTAATAGACCTTATTTAATGTCTCTGGCTAAACAGGTTTTTTTGAATTGATTATATTCTCCAACCACAAATTATCTAAATGGCTCATTGAGTATTTCTCCTCCGATTGGCGCTTAAATTTGGGTTTTTAATAATGTATAGCCATCATGAACAGCAGAGGCAGTTGTTGAATAGGCACCAATATCTAAAATCAATGCTGTTGAACGCCCTGCTGAAAATGTTGACAAGGTTGCATTCCTAATGGTGAAGAAATTAGGGATTTCCACACTCTCAAATAATATTTCGACCACCTTTTATAAATCATGTTTAGTCTGAAAATTATTGGCCAACAACAAACTATAATCCTTCGATTGAACTCCCACCTTCTCAAACATCTTCTTCAATAGATTCTCATATAAATCAGGATTGAATGGTTGTAATATGTCCAATACCTGACCATTCCCACACCCTAATGCTTCATCTCCGAATTGCATTGTCTCAGTGCATTTTGTGAAAGTACTCCATCTGGGGAAGTCATCTCCTGTAAATCCTGCTCTTGTGTAGAGATTGCCAATGTCAGCAACGACAGATATTATTTCATCGCTATTCATTGAAATTAAAATAATAATATGCTTAAAGTACACGAATTCTTTTCAATTGCCACTCAATTAGCTTACAATGCGGCAATAATTATTAATCAAGTCCGATTATCAGCTGATATTGGCCAGAAATGGAAAGGCATCGATGATCCAGTCACTATTGCTGATGTCAAAGCCTAAACCTATATTGTGTAGCAATTGCATAAGCATTGGTAATACTCACCTTAATATATAAGGCCATAATTAAAGATTGTTGGAGAAGAATCCACTGTCTATGAATAGCAAATTGATATGCCTGATACTTTTCACAATCTCTATACAGAGGATATTTTCAGCAAAACACCCAGTAATCTAAAGGTTAGAACTCAATATGAAATAGAAGATCTATGTGTTTGGGTTGATCCTTTGGATGGCACTCTTGATTTTGTTTAGGGTGACTTTGATTGTGTTACCACCTTGATTGGTCTCTCATATAAAAAGTAAGCTTTAATGGGCATCATTTCCCAACCATTTGTTAAGGTTGCTGATAAACAGTATGAATTCAAACCCAAGATATATTTTGGGCACCATCCTCAAAGAAGGGTGTTCTATACCTATGACACTCAATCGTTGATTCCCTTTGAACTCTTGAAACCATAATATGATCCTTCCAACCTCACTTTGTGCATATCAAAAAACAGATTAAATGAAGAAACATTATAAAAAATCTAATCTCTCGGGTGTCCTCTCCTACAAATGGGAGGTTCTGGCAAGAAGAGTCTTTCAATCTTAGAAGGTAAGGGAGATTTGTATCTTTATATTGGAAGTAAAACCAGCAAATGGGATATCTGTGCACCTGATGCTCTAATTCAAGCATTTGGAGTATCAAATTATATAGAAATAGGGTCGTTTTGTAGGATTAGAGGGATAAATTTATAATTATAACCATGAAGATAAAAATTATAATAATCCATATGGCCTTTTAGCGAGTATTCACAGTGATCTAGTGGACAAATTCCTGCCAAGAACCACTGGAATGTTATGATAGTATATCAATATCAATAAACAAAATATTTGTGTATTATAGAAATTAACTACAATATTTAAATATTCTAAATGAATGAATAAATTTCTTTGAAAATTTATAGTAAGGAGTTAAGTTTTTTATAGTTTTAAAATCCACTAATATTTTAGAGAATAATTAATTAACTTATTTAATATACCATGTATGAATTATGAATGAGAAAATAGAAAATGAATAATTACAAATTTGAATTATTAGAAATAATATAAATTTTCATTAAATTATAACATATTTAATTTCAAATTTTATATTTATATAACAACACCCACCAATGAGTGATTATCAGATAAAATACTAAGAAATCAAAGGAAGTCTAGCTATTCTCATGTAATAGAATAATGCTCTCAAATAATAACTTAAAGAAGCTTGCGAGGAATTGTAAGAAAAATAATTGCTAAAAGAAGAATGGGCAGATGAGGTCTAAAGAGTCTCTGAAACGATTAACATATTGCAAAATGAAAATTCTTGTAAGTAATAATTATATGCTAGAGTTACAATAAGAAAATGAACAATTGCAAAGAAACTGTTCAGAATCTAAATACTTAATTGAGCAATAAGTTGAATAAATCACTATTTTGAAGGATTAGAATGACAAATTAATTAGTTAGTTGGATTAATGCAGATAATAAAATTTACAAAAGGAATTATATATAAAATAGCAAAGAGATGATAGTCTTAAATCAATAGAGTAATTGCAATAACAATAATTCGAAGAAATAAAAAAATTACAAGGAATAATTGATAATCAAAGTGGTTTAATCTAATCTTATGAGAAATTAAATGAAATTGAGAAACAGGATACTCATAATTGTAAATAACAACATTAAATTTTGTTTGAAGATTAACTTATTGAATTGAAGAATAGAAATATCATTCTATAAAACAAAATTAATGAGGAGAAATAAAAATATGAATAATTATATGAATAACATAAAGATGAGGTCTAAAAACTGTAAAGTGTTATCAAGGAATAAAAGGAATTATTGAATCAATACGAGAGAATTATTGAGAGAGATAAGAAACAGGTTTAATAGCAACAAAACTAGAACATCACACCTGCTCATAAATAATACGAAATAACATAAGTGCAGTAATCTTAGCACATGAAACAGATGCATTAAATACAATAAGTTCCATAATAACCCTTATATTCACAACCTAATTTGAATCAAAATATCTACCAATAAACTTTGACATCGCCTGTCCTATATGAAAAATGTAATTAGCCATCCCTTTATGAAAAATGCAATCAGCCATCCCCAACTTATATCCACACTTAACCTAATTATGCATAGCCTCTATCATAAAGGCCACCAAAGACCTTTTTCACCAATAATAAGATAAATCATCAGTTACAATAGATTACAAGGGAAAAATAATAAAACTCAAGGGAATATTGCTAAAAACGCAGTTTTCATTTTGATGATTAAGAGGATAGTAAAAGAGTTGAAAAAGAATTCTAGGAAGAATTTTTGAATAAGTTTTAAAATGTAATTGGAAGAATGGAAGACAAACTTTCCTAAATGCAAAGCGAACTCAACATTTCTGGCATTTCTGATAAACCAAAAAAATTAAGATGAGATAAAATTATATTATTATTTGTTTTATTACAAACATCATTTAAAAAATATTTCAGAAATTTGTTTAAGAATATTATCAATTTCAATTTAAGATGTTATCTATATCTTAAATCATTTAAATAAATACTGCAGTTTTTTACAATACTTATTTAATTACATTATATTTCAATTTCAAATTTAATTATTCATAAATCAATAAGAAATAACAATTAAATTATAGAATATGTATTTATTATATCTGATATTTTTAAATGTTTCTTTTAGAAAGTAATTCTCATCCAGATTATAATTTATGTGAAGTCTCATTTTTAGATATTTAGATTATGGTACTTATTATTATAGTTAAACCCGCTTACAAAATAATGACAGACAAAAAGTTATAAAGCTATTACAGAGATTCAGAACTATCTTTATTTGATATAGATTGAGTAACATAGTGTTTGCAGAGATCACTATAATCCTATTTGTGAAAAAAGCTAGAATGATTGAGATGATAGTAAATATTTAAAAAGAATGTTAATTAATTATATTTGTGTGTATGTGTGTACAACAATAATCATTATCTAAAAATTAAGTATGGGTTGAACACTTCAGGGACAATGAATAGACCTGCTCCAACATATGTCAACACAGTGTTACGTGTAACTTTGATGAAAGAAGGAGAGACTAATAACTTTTGTATTCTTAATACTTCTAGCTGTCAGAGCTGCACTGCTCAAAGCCCCTAAGCACAATACTACAAATCTTGTATTAATTGTTGCCTTATCCAAAATGTATTGCTTTTTAAGACCTATAATTCTTCTTAGAATCCTTTACTTGTTATTTCATTGGGTAATTGTTCAAAGTATTTTTTGAATGCTTCGTAATTTTCGCACACCTATTGTTTGGTTTCACACTATGGGAGTAATATATATGACATTTTACTAAAACATTTTGCTGTTCTTTATTTTCCATTTTAGGATATCCGATTGAATATAAAAATAATTATGTAGAAAGACTTTTACTAAAAATAATTACAAGATCTAAAGAATTAATAATAATTTAAGGAATTAAAAATTATTTACCTTATCTTTATAAATTATGATTGAATCATATGATGGAGAATTGGAGAGTTTTGTAATTTCTAAATGTGCATCGGGAGTTTTACTTTTACCAAACAGCAATGTCGACTTATCATTCCATCATTTAAACTTTAATATAAAATTACTGTAGAAACTCATTATTTATAAGTTGTGTAAATATCACAAATACTATGATAACAGTTCTTTTTTTAATGGCTTGGCAAGCTAATCATCCATACAAGCACTGATACATGCTGCCTTTGTCTTGGGATTACCGTCTTATAAATTGAAATTACTATGATATTTACCTCCTCTAAGGCCAAGAATTTTGTACCTGGGTAATCCTTTTGATTTTCATGAAGTCTAATTTATTTTGTAGACTAATATTTAATTAAACAGTTACATCGTATCCCTCCTTCACTGGCATATGTATATCCACGAGAATATGAGCAAAATTAGGTGATTTTTGGTATGCTTCCAAGGCTTCCTTTCCATTAGCCACTACTATGCACTCTACTTTCAGAGCACCGTATATCATCTTCATAAATTTTGAGCAGAAGGGTCATCATCAGCCACCAACACTCTCTTTCCTTCCAAAATATTATATTTTTATTAATCAGTTATTATAAATTTCACAAGATCTATATATCAAATTTCATTATCAACCTATAAAAGTATATTTGGTTTTTAAAAGACTAAATTAATTTAGAATCGCCATAAAAATTTTAAATAGTTATTATTAACCTTATAATTAATCGTAATCTAACTATACCCATTTCCTTTCATTGATTTATATAATGTTTAAATATAAATTCAACCCCAATCAATACCGCTACAAATTAAAGATGAATATTAAGAATTAATAGAAACTAACAAGAACTTCATAAAATTAGTAATTTATAATAATTTAATTCATTTTGAATTGATCTATCGATCAATTTTTTGAATAAATGAATTTGTTTAAAATTAAATTAGTTAATCTATTTTAGTAACTAGTTAATAATCTCCTAAATAAAAAAGAATCAATTAGCAATCTAAATAATAGAGTGAAAGTAATTCAAAGTGCATCATTTATATTCAAAATTGAGTTTACTTATTCAATTTCTGGTGATTGAAATTGTTCATTGTAAAAGTTAGTTGATTAATTGTTGTTTTTATGTCCATAAATAATAATTAAAAATGGAAAGAGCTGCAAATCTAATATTAACAACAGGTTCCTTACTTGTTGGTGGTGGAATTCTGTTTAAGTCATTCTTTTATACAGTGGATGGAGGCTAAAGAGGATTAATATTTGATCGTTTCCAAGGAGTCAAGGAAACTGTCTACGGAGAAGGAATGCATTTCTTCATCCCCGTTATCTAAGTACAGATCTCAGAATATATGATAGTCTCCAATTGTTGCAGAGGTTAGGTTGTAACCTAAAACAGTGGCATCTCATACAGGTACAAAGGATTTGTAAACAGTGGATATTGCAATTAGAATGCTTCATAAACCTATTGAATCCTATTTGCCTGAGATTTATAAGTAAAGTGACTGATTAATCCATTAGAACTATCGGTTTGAATTATGAAGAAAAGATTCTACCATCAATTGCAAACGAAGTCTTAAAAGCCGTCGTTGCTTAATATGATGCAGATCAATTAATCAAAATGAGAGAGAAGATCTCATAAGAAATCAAGGAAGGTCTGATTGAAAGAGCCAAGGAATTTAAGATAGTCTTGGATGATGTGTCAATCACTCATTTAGGATTTATGAAGGAATATGCTTAGGCTATTGAAGCAAAGCAAGTGGCATAATAATTGGCCGAAAGACAGAAGTTCATTGTGTTGAGAGATGAAGAAGAAAAGAATGCAAAAGTCATATTGTCTGAAGGAGAATCAGAGGCAGCCAGATTGATTAATGATGCAGTCAAATAATACGGAACAGGTAGAAATATTACTTAGATCAATAGCTTAAATCGAAATTAAGAAATTGGAAACAGCTAAACACATTGCCGAATAATTAGCTAAGAGTCCAAATATTACATGGGTTCCAACTGGAAATGGAGTTTCTAATTTGTTGAATTTGAAGACTTTTTGATGGATTATGATCATTATTATTTTGAATGGATATCTAAATTTATTATGCTTTGTTTAATTATCTAATAATAAGAACTTATTGAAGAAGAGATCACCTTTAAGTTTTTAATCTAGATTTTTCATTGAATTTTATATTAATTGTTATTCAATTTATAATTCTAGTTGATAAAATTATCTCAATACTTTAAGTTTGACCAATGACCAAATTAGATTCATAAATTCATTAATATCAATTACCTTTATTATTAGCATTTTCTTTCCTAACGAATTTAATGATATGCTTCTATTCTTACCTTTTGAAGATGTTATTCCTTCAAATCAATATTTTGAGCTTCATTTAATAATTTTTCTCTTATAAGTTATACAGATTATAATCATAAAATCTTATGCAATCTTAGTTCTGTTAATCCAATAATTATACTTTAGATAATCTACTTTTTTCACCACCCCTAAAGGCTTTTAGGTGTACATTATAATTAGATGTATTTATTAATTTATAATTTGGAATATCAAAAATATCTAAAATAAACAGATAATATTCATTTAGTTTCTAGCAAATGGATACTGTAAAATAACTATTTGGACCTCAAGTAACTATAACTATTATCAAATATAATTCTGTAAAGCCCTGGATTGGATATAACTGTGACTCCAATGATAGGTTACTTATGAGATTCAATTCTTTATAATTTGATTAACGACTTAACTCCATTCCTTTCATTTACATAATCTATGATTCCCAAGTCTTCAATAGTTTACAATTTAAAGAGTCCAAAAGATACATCATAATCGAGTGTTCTGAAGCTCCAAAAGATGAGTGAATTCGGTTTATCCACCATGAATGAATAGCAATAGATGGATGCTGCTTAAATGATGACATAACAAGGGAAGGCTGCTTGAATGTTCAAGTGTCTCAAAGATGAAACACTTTAAGACTCATCCACATAGCTTAGAGCTTTAACAGAGAAATACCTATGAAAATGATAATTGTATATACTTGTTTTCTCTTAGGTATGCAAGATCTTCGTCATCAAGAAGAGACTACTTGAATCTCTCATCGTAATCTGATGAGTGAATAAGTTGATACAAGAATATCGTGATTTCCTTGTATTCCTGAGCATCTTTATGGAGAAACAAGGAGAGATTGCGCATCACCAATTGTATTGGTCCCATCAAAGCTATCCTCAAGTCTGGAATGTATTTGTATAGGACTTTGATCATCAAGTAGGTTCTCTTTTGTAGTCCAATTTCTTCGGGCAACACGAGAATCATGTTTAAGAGTTGAGCACAACTTTTATACATGTTGGATATTTGATGCAGGATCATTTACTTCTCTATTTTAATATAGTAAGTTCTTTGTTGCATTTCTTATATGGTATATTGTACATCTAGGATGTACCTCTCATATATGCCTAAAACCTGAGTCAAGAAGTTCACCTACTGTTTTTCTTCCATCTGCCTAATCATTAAAAGATATTCGTAAATGAGTTCTTGCAAAGGACCTCCAAATAAATAATACTAATCTATGATGCTTTCACAAGAGGATAAGATTATTTGCAATTGCTTGATGAACAGATTGTTATTATCTTGGAATTATTTCAAGGCCAATTTCAATACGCTCAAGTCTGTCTATTTCTTGTCGACATATTTGACCTATAAACCAATGAGGAGATCATCGATGTGCAATTCTAAAGAAGTATGTCGCAATTATTATTGTAAGTTCAATAAACTATTTGCTAGATCCACCATGGTTCTTTCGGCACCTCTTTGATGGAGAAGTCTGTTGGCTATGATTTTCCGTTGCATTATTGCATCCAGTATGATTACTGAACTCCTCACCTGTTGAGGATTGGTGGAGGAGAGATGCTTCATCAATTTCCTCAATAATTGCAGATTCAGCAGATCTTAGAGTTGTGGCTCATCCTTTATATCCTGTCCCAATTAATCTATTAATTGCAGCATTCCCTTGACTTCATTGTTTTCAAAGCACTCATTCAACCTTGCCTGCAATTCTACTTGATATTGTTGTAATAGTGGTGTGATTAATGATGGTGATTCAGACATTAATTAATATGAATTTAAATGAAAATGCACTTGCACTAACTCAGTAGTCGAGTTGCTGCACCCAGGAGAGCCACTGTGTTTAGTTACACCAAAAAGGGGTTGAATATAAGACCTGACAGTCCCAAAACCAGAGAGGCATGTCTCGCCTTGGGTTATGATTCCTCGATCTTCAAACTCAAGTATTGTGACATCTTATTAAGAAAATTGGAGGAGTTTGGTGGACCAGATGTCACTGAAGCAGTTCAAAAAATGAGATTTGATCATTATGTAAAAAAAATGGAAAGTATATTCTCCATCTTAATCGACAGTTACATTCAAGGAGATCTCACTAAAGAGGAAGTAAATCACCAAGAAGAACAAAGGGTTACAAAATATTTAATTAGAAAAATCATTCCATCGAGATGAGGGGTATCTTCAAATTATACATATACACTTTTTAGTTTAGTCAACGATTTGATCGAAACCTACAATAAAAAGATGGTTAACCTGAAGATAAATGAAGAGGAGAATGCTGATTCCTATGAATCCTTTGATGAAGAAGATCCAGTTCTGGTTTTAGAGGAATAATTGGAAAAAGAAATCAGAAAATATCAAAGAGCGCTTGGAGTTAAAGCTAAGGAAGTCCATCATCAGTTGGAGAACGAAAAGAAGAGACATCTATTGTAATAAGAGATGGAAGAAAGAGAAAAAAAGATTGCTGAATTAAAGGAAAGAATTACAAAAGAAAAATTATTGAAGAAAAAAAAGAAATCAGATGCAGCCTAAAAGAAATTTAATGATATAAAAAACAAAGAAAAACAGTTTAATCTGAAATAAATTGATGAAAGAAAGAGATAATTAGAAAGATTTGAAGAATTAGGAAGAAAATTATAATTTGATGATCAAATAAAGAAAAAGGAGATTGAAGAACACGATAAAGCATTAAGATAAAAATTTGAAACTGTAAAAGCAAACAAAAGAAAATATGATCAATTTATGGAAGAAAAAATGACACAAACTCTAAGTAACTTGTAAGTTAAATGTAATTCTATTCTCTATATTATTTAGAAAATGAATGCAATTCCAATAAAGAGAGGTTTACATGGGAAAGCAAGTTAGAGAAATTAACCATGAGAAGTTCTCATTATGACGAGAAATTGAGAAAAATTAAATTATAAACTTAACAAAAGGAAGCAGATACTATACAAAAAGTTGTTGAAAAAATGTTTAATAAAGATAAGGATCTATAAGGTATACTCTATCATTTACATATTTTAGCGTTAGAAAAATAAAAGTAAATGAGTGAATAAGCCAAAGTTAAAGAAGAACTTACCAAACGCAAAAAGGCCTAAGATACTTTGAATAGAATTTAATCTCTTTAACTATAAAGAGTTACAAATCTAGAAAAAAAGTTCTTAGATTAAGATCAATTGAGCAATAGGAGAAAGGATGAATACGATTATTAAAAGAATTTAAGAAAAGAAAAATTGAAAATTAAATAACAAGATTTAATTGAAAACTATTAGAGATAAGAAAGGCTTAAAGATTTAAGATTTAAATAAGTTATAAAAGACAGTCAATAATTGAATGAGCAAAAGGATTTAGAAAAACTCTCCATGGAATTGGTTAGAAAGGCTTAATAAGAATTGCAACGAAAACTCAAATAAGAGAATGAAAATCTAGATCGTAGTTTAGTTTCTGTCAACCAGGCAGATAACAAATCTATGGGGTATTATTTCTGACTATCATTATAGAAATCTTGTTCACCAATTAGAAAAAAGCTTGATGCAATATTCCTAATTGATTTGACCAAATTTTTATTATAATAATGAAGATTCATTCTATCTCTTATTGTGTTATATAACTTATAAATAAGTTCATATCATTTTATCAATTCTATTTTGCCAACTTAATCAAATCATTTCTGGGATTGACACAATTGATTGTTAAAGTATAGTAATTTATTAAAATCATTGATGCAATCATTGTTTTAATAAATTCAATATATAATTGAATAATGGCATTTTTAAAGAAATTTTTTGGCTAAAAAACCGATTCTCAAAGTTCTCTATATAAGACTAACCTAAATGAAATTTATAATAAATCGCCATTTCAAAAAAAATAAATTACCTCAACTATCCAAGATTAAAAAAAATTAGAGCAATTTGAACTTGTACTTGAATAGCAAATAATTGATTTGGAAGCTCTTAAAAAACTCACTTGGAGAGGAATACCTAATGGTATTGATTTAGATATATATATTTAGAATATAGAGCAAAAGTATGGAAACTGATAGTAAAGTACATTCCTCCCAATCACATGAGTCAGACAACTATTTTGTAAAAGAAAAGATAAGATTATTAACAATACATTAAGAATTACTACTAACATATGAACGAGCAAGAAAGGGATGAAAACGAGAGGAAAATCATAAAGATCATATAAAATGATGTATTGAGAACTCAGCCCGATTATAAGCTTTTCAGAGATCCAAGGATACAAGAGATGTTTAAGAGGCTGTTGTTTATATGGAATATGCGACATCCAATGAGTGGTTATGTTTAGGGCATAAATGATGTGGCATCTCCTTTAGTTGTAGTATTCTTGAATGAATATGTTCCAATAGATTTCAGTTCTTTTGATGTTCCTTCTAATTTTGACAAATTACCAGAAGACATCTTGATTGATATTGAAGCTGATATCTATTGGTGTCTCTGCAAAATAATCGAAAATATTTAAGATTATTTCACTGCTAATCAACCAGGAGTTTAGGAAGCATATGTAAAAATCAGGGAATTGATCAAAATAGTAAGAATCTTGAATAATATTAAGCTCGATTTTCCCTTATTTCAATATTTTGAAGATCAGTAAATAGACTTGAATCACTTCGCCTTTAGATGGGTGTTATGCCTATTAATAAGAGAGTTCCCTTTATCTTTAACCATCAGATTATTGGATACATATTTGGCTGAAGGAGATGAGATGGCCAATTTACATGTGTATACTGTAACAAACTTAATTCTGAAATGTGCACCTGAAGTAAATTTAAAAGTAAATGTAGATCAAATCAAAGAATATGAGTGAAGCAGTCATATTTTTATAGAATTTACCCACTAAAGAATGGACAGAAGTACAGCTTGAAATGCTGTTGTAAGAAGCATTTGTTTTTCAGGATCATTTCGAAAAAACAAAGGGTCATTTAAAATTAAATTAAGGCAATACAAATAGAAGTAGCATTCTCTGATTACTATAAGATATAAAGAGAATATATTTATAATTACATCATCCTTTCTTTTTGGAATGACTCACTTCTCTTAATTTCCAATATGGTTGATTTTCATCTTTAATAACATTCTTTTTAGATTAAATCTATTTGTATTAGATGAATTCGTCGTTTTTCTTGGTTTGTTCATCACACTTTAGAGTCTTATTCAATCCATCACTTCTTGGAGAATAGCGAATTTCACTAGAGTTCAGTCCAATTGATTCAAAGATTCGATCCTATTATGTATCTAAAATAGTCATAATTTTTCTACACTCTAGCTTACTTTAATGATCTTAATTCCCTTTCTTAGATTAGAAGTAAGGCTTTTTGGTCTGAACAGTTTTTTAAACAGGCATAAAAGTTTCCTCTTAACAAGATAGCTTACGTTAATAAATTTACTAATCTGCATAATTTTCAGTATTTTAATACACATTCTCATTCAGATATACAAAATTATCATCCTTATTTGATTACATAAACTAAGCTGTGCCTGGAGTTTCAATTGATTTGAGAATCAATTTTTCATCATCAATATAGCTAGAGGCTTAAAAAGTAATTCTATTTGATGGTTAATCAAAATCCTGATTAAATATCTGTAAATGATTAGGAACCTTTTATCTCGGTTTTTTTTGTAATTCATTCTCTTTGAATAATCCTTTTTTATTTTCACTCACACAAGTTCTTTTTCTATTAATGAGAATGTTTTATAAAGGTGAAGCATCTTGACTTATTCTTTTTGGAGAGATATCCAAATTCTGATATGTCTTTAGTTTTTTGGATTAGATTTCGTAATCCTTATTATCTGGTTCATTATAAGTTTGAGTGTGACATTTTATAAAGCTGTTTTAGACGTATAAAATATCTGGAATTGAATTCTGTTTCTTTCTTTCCTGGAACTAATTTTGAGCTTTAAGGTTTTATTTCTATATGATATGTTCAGATGATTTTTTTCTATTATTTTATGTTATCTGAAATTTTTAAGAGGAGTCCTGATGAATTAATTATTAAAAAGTCGAGTTACAATTGGCATGGGTACTTCTTATAAGTATCTGTTAATTTAGTTTAAGCATAATTTTTTATTAAAAGTTTAATCAAAGTATTTCAATGAACTTTTGATTCAGCTACTTGCACGATTATCTACTATTTTGTTTGCTAATGATATCTTCTAAGTCAATACCGTAAATTTAAAGAGAAATAGGGGTATATTAGGAGACTAAATTTCAATTTGATATGTTGCTTTATGTGTAACCATCCTACATAATTCCTTACCATATCAGTCTCAAAATATTGATATTTGAGGAAGTTCAATATTCTGCCCTCTTAAAAAAGATAAAATTAGATTTCAAAATTATGCTTTTGATTATATATTACAAATTCAATTAAATTATTAAAATTAGTTATAGAATTGAGTACAAGGTTGTTGCCAATAAAACCTGTCTAACCTAGAGATACAAACTTTATTATATCTAATAACATATAATTTATTTCTCTAAAGTGTTGAAAAAGTTAGTGTATCTTCACTTTTGGCAATATTGATTGAAGAAAACAATAAAATACTCATAAGTAATTTCGATATGATTTGGTTATTATAACCCACTCTATTTTTCATCTTTCTTATTTTTAATTTCAAATATAATTTTAGAAAAAAAAATTATATTTCACTTAGATGTTTTTACTTCATACCCACACTTATCAAGTAATTAAATTGTAAAAATAGTATAAATTTTTATTGATCATTATTAATTAGTTTAGCCTTGACATTTTGTTATAGTATTTAATGTTAAAATTTGAAATGTTCTATATTTATATTTTAATATATATATATATATAAACTTAAGTCATAGCATCCCTATAAATTTATTGTTAAGATTTCTACTGCTTCGATCCTTGATCAACAGAGATGGACTTTGAGCCTACCTCAGATCAATTATGACTTCTCCTTTTATTTATTCACTTTATTATCTATCTACTCTACTAAGTTATTTCTCTCCTAAAATATTATCGACGCAAGTGCTCCCTAGCCTCTCTATGCAATCGATATCTCCCTTAATCAAATTTAAGGAGAAGGGCTCCATTTATAAAGTTTTTGGAGTGAATTCTTATTTGATACTTAATTGAGGGATTGCAATGGTTTCAGTTTCTTAAAGACGAAGATTTTAGCAGCAACCCATTAATTAATTTATTAATTTGTTCAATAAGATAGAGATGATTATACTTATTTATAAACTATAAATATTTATATTAATATGTAGTCAGTATAAGTTAAAAATATCTTACTTTGGTTGGCTCTCTTAGCTAAAGAAAGATATAAGATTACCAACCAACATCTGAGCATAAATCATATTGTTAATATCAATTATAGAATATCTTTCAAGTTTCATTTGAGATTCCATAATGTTACCCTTTCATTGTCTTTTCAAATTGAGAATTGTCCATAGAGGAGTTATTAGATAAAATATCGTAATTTTTTATATTTTGAATATAGGAAAATAGTATTCAATGTTTTAATTCTAAATTAATTTAACTCCTGGTCAGGTTAATTAAAATGAAAACATTAAATATTTTTTTAAATCTTTATGAGTAATAATTTGTTCAACGCTCTCACCTTCTCCGATAATGAAGAGGCTCCAGAATAACCACAAAAAAAGAATAAAAAACACACCAATAACGAGTAGGTTATCCCTGCCGAATAAGTAGCAAAAGAAAATACTCAACATCACAATCCCGCTCCTAAGACCAAGGGAGTCCCTGCTGAGCCTCATCCAAAGGATAGACAATCAGGCACAGGAAGAGGCAAAGAATAAAGAAAAGAAGGTGGAGGCAGAAATAATTGGGGCAATTACAAAGATGACCTTCACGAGGAAAAATATGTGGCAAAAGAAAAAAAGACAGGTGATGGCCATTAAGAAGTCAAGGCTGAGTAGACAACTCAACCTGTTTAACCACCAGCCCCAGAAAAAACACTTGCTGATTATTACTAATAAAGAGGCGCTGTATCAATTTAAATATTATATTCAGAATGTTGAGGAAGTACTAAAATAAGTTGAAGTCAAACAATAAGTTCCAAAGAAGCTTGATGAAGAGGCTTTGAAGAAGGAAAAACTCTTTGTCATGAAAACTAGAGAAGACGAAAAGAGAGAACAAGAATAAAAATAAAAAAAACAAAAATAATAATAATAATCAACATACAAATCTGAATTGAATCCTTAAGCTGCTGAGTATTTGGGATTTACTAATTAAACCCAAGAAAAGAATGAAAGAACAGGTGAAAGAAGAGGGGAAAGAAGATAATATGAATAAACTTCATAATATTAATAAAAATAATAATAATAATAAGGTGAAGAACAAGAAGGAAAAGGTGAAAGATAAGAAAAACAATAAGACTAAGGATAATAAAGAGAAGAAAGATAAGATAGAGGAGAAAAGTAATATAGAGGAGATAGACAATACAAAGGAGATAGATAATATAAAGGAGATAGACAATACAAGGGAGATAGATAAGAAAGAGGAGACAGATAAGAAAGAGGTGATGGATAAAATAGAGGAGATGGATAAGATAGAGGAGATGGATAAGACAGAGGGGACAGATAATATAAAGGAGATAGACAAAATAGAGGAGAAAGATAAAATAGAGGAGATGGATAAGACAGAGGCGATGGATAAGACAGAGGGGATAGATAATATAAAGGAGATAGATAAGATAAAGGAGATAGATAATATAAAGGAGATAGAGAATATAAAGGAGACAGATAATATAAAGGAGACAGATAAAATAGAGACAATAACACCAGAGATTAAGAAAGAGGTGAAAAGTCTAGAAGAGGAGGTGATAGATAAGAACAGAAGCCAATATAAAGAAAACAAGTAAATTTAATTTTAAATTATGTAGGAACAAGGATTTCAATTAGACGATAAAGATTTCCCAGCTCTATGAATGTGATAAGTATAATACACATATAGTACATTTATAAATCTTAATTAAAATAAAATGAACCAAAATCTCGAAAATGCCATAGACATAGAGAATGATGAACTCAATTTTGAAAACTGTATATGTATTCTTAACACATAGACAACAATGATGATTAAGACGACTAATTAGTTTCATAATTACAAGAGATTCTTATATCAGAGGATTTTGAAAAATTATCTTAAGACTTCTTAAGAGAGAAATGCTTAGTTTTCGATGAGACAGAACAAAAGGAATACCGAGAAATATTTAAATTATATTAAAGTGCTATTTAGTTATATTTGAACGAAGTAATTTTAATGCTTGATTGAATTTAGAAACTTAAAGTTGAATTTACTCTTGAGAAATTGTAATCCCTTCCTTTAGATGAGGCAATAAATGAAACTTTAGCTTCATTATTTGACTATGAATTATTTAAAGATATCATGGTAGAAACAAGAATAAGAGTTGAAGAAGAGGAAAGGACAATTAAAAAAAGCACTAATAAAGCTACTAAAGGGTATAAATAAGCACCTTAATAAAACATATTCAGCTCAGGATAAGCAATATAATTTGAAAAGAAACCATTAAAAAATGTAATAACCTCTTATTATCTTATAGTAACCTCCTTAAGATTTAAGACCAGACTTATTCTTTAATGTAGTGCCTTTGAGTACTCCCAAAGTGAATAGAAAATAAGCTTGAGTATATAAAAAAGATTGTTTATATTTTAATCATGCCTATTTAACTAAGACTCTATGGGATTATGATTGCCATTTATTTTTGATAAGTCTTTTTTATGGAGCTGTTCCTGGTCTTAATAAAGGTTTTATTTATTGTCTATCAGATTTTATGCAAAAAAGATTGATCTTTTTATCATCATTAACTTAATTCAAAGGAAGTTTCTTATTCATCCAATTGTCAGTTGTTTGTCTTCTCAGCTTGGTTGGAAGTTATGTATTCTAGTTTTAAACTTAAGTTGAAGGTTCAGGTTAAAATTTTGATAGATTTTTGAATTAGCTTAAAGATAGCAAAATTGATTTACATTTAGAAATAAGGAGGGATATATTGGGATACGATGATTTTATTCCAATGAACTTTTTTAGAGCCTACTTCCTTTTTTAGTCTTGGTTCACATTCCTAAGGTTTTTAACTATTAAGATAAGTGTTTCTTGCTACAACCTCATCTTAATTTTGAGTAGAGTCCCAATTGTTACTCAGTTTATTGATTTGCAGCCATTTTTCAAAATTCACAAGTTGCTGCATCACATTTTACTTGATATCATTATTATTTTTTAGGTTTTACACATACTAAAGGGTTTTTTACAAGGTCCATTTAAATCTAGATTCTGTGAATAAAATAATGATACTTCCTCATCAAAAATACAGCAATCACAAAAACAGATCGATTGAGAGCTTTAATTGAGTGAACTAAAACAGCTTCTCCTGCTTCTAGGTTATCATTTATAAATGAAAAACAACGAGAATGGTCAATTGCAAACTGATTATCACTTTCAATCCAACCATAAGTTAAGTATTCTATGCCAATTGATTCCCAATGATTTGGTATTTACTTTCCAGCGCAATTAATAACTTTTGTAATTTTATTCGTTATCAAGAATTCAAGATCCTTAAGTTATAAAAATCTCTTACATGTGCTGCACTCTAATCTCCAATAAATAAACCGTCAATGATACGAGTTGGGGATTACATTAATTTTTTAATTATATTAAAAATAATTGGTTGATAATTTTCAATGAAATTACTAGAATTACTGAATCAAATTTTGCTCATCCATTTGATACATGTTATACTCGATTGCTATTGAGTTGAAAATGTTTGATGAGATGTTAGTTCTAAACATACATAATGTTTAATAATCTTAAAAATTAAAATTATATGAAAAATAATAATTATATAGTTAAAGACATCTATTAGGAGAAAAATAAAGGGAGAATCTATGATTTCCATAAAAAGAAATTAGAGGAGATAAATTAATAGGTAGTCGATTAATAATTATTGTAGTATCCAAAATTGGAAGATTAGAAAATAATGAAGAAATTAATGGAGAAGCACAATATGATTAAAACAGTTTCTAAATTTTATAATTAAGAAGCTTTTCTTGAACAACAGAGAGTGAATTAGCATCTAATTCTGAAAATTATGTAACCTCAAACTAGCAAAACCAGATCTCAACATAATCAATCAAGAAAAGAATACGCTAAAATAAATTTTGATACTAAGCGAATTAGTGAAGAAAATCGTAGTCTAGCAAATAGAATTACTAATTTACCTCCTGTTATTGATGCTAAAAAACATGACAAGGAATATCGAAAGCATTAGAGTGATGTTGTATTAATGTAGAAGTATCACACTACAAAATTTATCGAACAATAAGATCAAAAAACATTTCAAATACTCAATAAATTGACGAATAACAAATTCAACAAGAGCAAATTTGGCAATTTCAAATTCCTATCAACCATAAATAAACAGACTAAGTTTATGATGATCATAATATAAGAGATGGAATTGTTCGGAGTAAAGAATTGCTCGTTTATGAGTAAAAACACTCCAACTTATTAATGCTCCGTATTTTCAGATTAAAAATGTTTATGCAAAAGCAAACCTTTAGAATATAATGAATTTCTGGAAAACATAATTGGATTCAACTGCTAAGATTTTACATCAATCTATGTGGTCATAGAAAAGATCAAATAAAATGAAGAAGTAATTATGTGATTTCATCTCATAGTTTTAAGTAGGAGAGGTAATATATTGTGAGAGTTACTCACACATACACACACATCCTCTAAAGGATAATATAATTGCTAGGATTTCGGATGAAATTGATGGCGAAATAAGAAAGAATATCTCAGATGAACAAGTAGTCATAGGGAGACTAAAATACAAAATACTATCACTATGTCAATAAAGCCATGATAACAAGTTATTAGTGCCTCCAGCATCTTATGCTATCTAAATTAAACACTCAACTCCCTAACCTTCAATCAAAGAACCTGAAGAAATTCCATCATAATAATTAATATGATTAGTAATTTAATTTACGTGTTAAAATGGAATAGTGGGTACAGGAGACATAAAAATTGTACTTTTCTGGCTATCCATATATTGAGTATGGTGTAGGTGGCTACATCATTCTCATTTCTGTACTTCTCGCTCTCAAATGTCTTTTTAGTTGCGATACCAAACATCCTGCAAAATTCAATGTATCATTAGTATATTTCATCTAGGTTGTGAAATTTAAAATCCCAAATAACAACTCTAATACTAACTCATCCAATCAACAAGAACTAATAAACAACTAAACAAGGGCAGTTTAATAGTTAAATGAAAAATTAATAACAATGCAGTAAGGATTTGATAAATTAGCAAAGGAGCATATTTAGTTGCGTTTAAGTATCAAATGAAATTAAATCATTTAGCTCTATCTGATTTATAATCATAAGTCTTTGACATTTTGACTAAAAAAACTAATTCCAGCTCTACATAATTATCAGCAAAATCCATTAAATCTCAAATAATTATACAATAATAATAAGTAGAGAATTAAGAAGCAAAATAAAAATCAGACTTAGTGGAAGGTACGGATTAATTGAAAACGGAAAATTATTAATTACAAGAGGAATAGACTTAAAAAGCATAAATATAGTAGTAATAGGAAGTTAAAGAGGAATAATAATAATTGTAATAATAATAGCAATAATAATTATTATAATAATAACAATAACAATAATAATAATAATAATAACAACAACAATAACAATAATAATAATAACAACAACAACAACAACAACAACAACAATAATAAGAATAATAATAATAATAATAATAATAATAATAATAATAATAATAATAATAATAATAATAATAATAATAATAATAATAATAATAATAATAATAATAATAATAACAATAATAATCTTAGAATGAAGAAAATTTATAAAACAATTCTTAAAGATAATTTAAAGAATAAGAGGACAATACTTAAAATACGATTATTGCTTAACCATAAGAACCTATGAATCAATCCTAAACAAATCCATTTGCTGCAGAATAACCTCCTATTGTAAGAAAAACCTAAAACCCCCCTACTCCAAGAAGAATACCTCCTTAATTGAGACCAAAGTGAAAATTTCATATAGTAATCATAACAATTTATTGAATTCCAATGTTCCTTATAATTCTTATAGCTACCGGCTATATGATAAATATTTTTAATTTTAGTATTATTTAGCAAATGCAACCTCTGGTGGTTAAGGTTGACTTAGCGGAAATCGTTTTTTTTATCTTGATCTTTTAATTATCTTATCAATGGTGCTTGTCTTGAATTCAATGTGGGTTTCTGATCTTTCTGGAAGGGTTAGAAAATTGATATTGGATTATTATTGAGACATTCTAGTTTTTTCTCTTCGACTACTTGGTAATGCTTTTGCCCTGAATTGATATTGAACTCTATCAGTTTATGATTGTTAGATAGATTCTGATTTTTAGAGTCTGGTTGATTCCATAGATTTGAGTAGATATTTTCTTTAGCTAAGTGAACCAACTCTACCTTCATCATCTGTAACTCCTATCTATTTAACTGAAAAAGTCAATTTATCATAATTCTCTTTGCTTAATTGAAGATTGGCAATCAGTTCTTATTGCTTTTTTATGTAGTCTTGTCTTCTCTGAAGGTAATGCATATATTCAAAAGGACTAAAGACTTTGACGACCTTAACATTGAGACTAAGATATGAGTTCTTTAATACTCTTGGGTATTGTAGAGTACTTTCGGTTGGACTTTGGATATAATTATAGGGGACTTAAATTTTTGAGACATTTATAATTAATTATTTATATTAATCTTATAAGTTAGGAATATTAATTATAAACACTTTAATTCTTTGTATTTTGTATACAACTGTAGATTTTAAAGAATAATAGCTTTTTAGGTGAAAATGATAGTTACATTTTTGATTCTCTAAATAAAGAAACTCTGATAGGAAATATATAAGATATTAAGTTATTTAAAGCCATTCATTTTTGATTTTTAAAGGATGTCTAAATTTTGATCTATTTTTATGGAACGATTTTTGCTTCTTTGGTTTAATAGATAAATTCATATTATTCTATTTAATTTGGAAATTGTGAATTCAAATTCCATTAATTAATTTCAAATTTGTTAACACAAAATATAAGAATTAGGTTAATTCTCATCAGATACATTTACACGTTCTATTTCAAAAATAGGCAGAGGATTTAGTCAACCTTTATCAAATTATATTTAATTCAATAATGTGTAATAGAACATCTCTTATGAAACGTTAGATTTTGAAATAATAATAATATAAATATTTATTATAAATGAGTAAAGGGATAGGAGCACACCTTGACAAGGCTGTTAAATAGAAAATCTATCAATAGAGAGCCAACAAATACAATTCTGAATTTGATAAATTGGAGGTATTTTTTATTCTTTTCTATAATTTCCTTCAAATAGGAATAAGGACATGATCCAGATAAAATCCCTGCAATATTGGCTGAGGAGGAATACTAGAAACGACATGCCAATGATCCACAAGAACCACTACCTTTTGAGCGCAGTGATAAAGTATTGCCGATAACTGGGTCAACTCATCTGGGATTTGATAAAGCTCATACGAATCTGTCTGCAACCAAATAGATGATGTAGATTTAGGATTAGAAAATGCAAAAAATAAAAACAATAAAATAGCAAGGAGGAAAATTGCCTGTCGATGGTAAACAGTTATACCTATTAGTTAAGAGGTTCATAGGGCATAAAAGGAACATGAGAGAAACATGAAGGCACGTATCCAATATGATCATATTAATGATTTACATCAAATGTAATAATCGGATCCAAATGCCAAGAAGTCCTCCTATTAATAACATCATGGTAAATAAGTGGTTTGATTTAGTGTTTACAAAATACATGTAAGATGAATGCGATCATCAGAACTTCGATTACCATTAGATGAAGAATGACTTAAAACAATACCATGAGGCTTTTGTTATATGCCAAAAAACACTAAGAAAATGAATTATTCATCATATTAATTATTTTTATAATGGTTTTCAATGTATTTATTTTTGTTAATATCTCTTAATTCCTATGTCCAATAACAATAAAGTATAGTAGACTAAAAAAAAATAATAGGAGGCTTATTTAAGATAGTTTGCCTAACTTATAAGTTTGTTTTTCATACATTTTTATTAGGATCCACTTCAAATAATTTGATTGCTCTATAATTCCAAAAATACAATGACAATAATCCTGAGATACAACTGATAAATTTTAATTCTGGCTAAGAAAGCTGGGATGCAGTTCCAAACCAACTCAACCCATTTATTCCTAAACAGATTTTCATGTGTTTGCTAGCAACGGCACTGTCATTTACCATTTTGAATCCTGCTCTCAAATAATCCTTCTGATATTTCCAGTAAATTCCATAGAAATGATTGATTTGCCATGAAAACATGAATCCGAAATTGCCCCACATTCCCAAATTATACAAACTGTCATTATCTACACAAGCAGCTCCTAAAACTACTGGAAGTGCCCCAATCACTGCTCCAATTAAAGTATTGACAGGAGATCTTGTTTTCAAAGTTGTATAGATTCCCAAGTAAGAAAAGAAAATCAAATTGTTAATTAACACAGCATTGCTTGGCAAGTACTAAATCACTAATAAATATACATTATACATCAGGAGATTAGAGGCTGCATAGAATGCAAATCCTATCATACCTCCTTACAAACGAGTAAGTCGTTGGATTGGAATTGGACGATTACAAGTGCGTGTCATTATTTTATCCTACTTCCATTCAATTACTTGATTAAAAGCTTAGCTTGCCATAGCCTGTTAATAATAATACAGCTAAATACCATAAAGAGTGATCCAGAAATCAATGAAAATGACTTCAACGAGACTAAGTTTTCATCTCCCAAATACATGAATGAAATAAATGGAATCACTGCATTCCCACTTGCCAGACTAAATTTACACAAATTTTTCAAATCTGTGATTGTTATTTTCATTAATATATTAAATATGTGTACATTTATAAAATACTAAAATTCCCATCCATTCATAACATTTATACAAACTCCTTAATATTACTTCAATGAGATATGAAACTAAAACAAAATCCATAAAAAAGAAAATACACAATTCTAAAATAAATAGAATTGGCAGAATTAGATTTGAGAAAATCTTAAGATGTTAAAACAAAAGTAAAGTTGAAAAAGTATTAGAGTTATTCATTTATTACTATTAACAATATTTCATTTAAATATTTTATTGTTTCTGGAATCTTAAGAATTCTTACTTAGATTTATCTCACAAAAACCTTTTAAATTCTCTATCAATTATGACCATCATTTCCTCATCATTTTATTTCTACTTTAATTTAGATTCTTAATTGAAGTCCTTATTTCAGTTGTTGGCTTGACAAAATTATTCATCTGGTAAATTAACATCATGAGTTTACAATGAAAAATTATTTATTAATCTAGCTGAATTTTTAAGTAAATATTTAGATTAAATTATTTCTTCTTTTATTATTCACAATAAGGTTTCTAAGTTTGTAGATGCTCACTTTTTGAGAATGAATATCTTAAGATTTTAAGTAATTCAAAATTAAACAATCCTAAGTCTATTGTTATAATATAATCAAAGAAATTCTTCATTTTAGAATTTTAACTTCATCTTCTTAATAAAACTTTCAAAAGAATTAAATAGATCTCTAATAATATTGTATAATTTCTAACAATTTATAAAAGTTTAGGATCTTATTTATATAAAGTTTAGATAATGAAAAAGTATTCTAATACATTTAAATATTTATTCTAATTGAGAAAATAAATAATTATAATAGCTATGGAATTTTATTGTTTGGGTGTATAATTCAAGTAATAAAATCGAAAACCCACACACCCAGAAAGATAATGATTTTCTACTTCGAAGAATTTAAGTAAATGAAATGATACATCTGATTTCATCACTTTATTCATAATTTTATATTGTGATTATTTTATTTAAGTTATTTCTTAATTTTATATTTAATCAATAATTATTTAAACTTTTAAATAATGTTAAATTAAGAATTCTATGACAATGCCTTGAAAACATTGTAATAGTTGTCACCTGAAATATAAGAATATTAGTTTCCTCACTTAAGTTTGTTTACTGACGGAGATGAGTTTTATTGTATACATAATAATTATGCAAGAAAAATTATGGCAAATGATTGATGAATCAAAGACATATTGTTGGATCTTGACTTATGCAATGGACAAGAGTTTGGCAGCCAACATAACTCTCTATAAATTAATTAACGCATAGTAAAGAGGAGTTAATGTAGTTTTATTTGTGGATGATCTTTAAGGACATTATAATAACAAATTAACTAAATTATTTCAATCTTATGGAGGTGTATTTTTGAATTTGAACCCTTTGAGTGCTTTTAAGATTTATGGGTAAGAGTTCTTCCGAAGACATCATGAGAAAATGGCAGTGGCTGACCATAAGGCAATATTTGGTACTTCAAATATTGAATCTCATTATGGCGGTGTGAAATGGGGCAAGTAGACATTTCACGATATCAACACCTATACGGAGGGCAGACATTTATCGTACAATCTTTAAAAGCACTTCATGTATTTGGCCAGTTTATATAAAATTTAATTGAATCCACACAAACCTACACCTAATGAGGATTTACTTTATACATTTAATGCATTCCCTCCTTATTACGAATTCTTTAAGACTCATCCCCCTTTTAATAGACAAATTCAAACTCAGATTATTGAATCAATTAAAAATGCAAAAGACAACATTAAAATTGTTTAGGCCTATTATTACTCTGTTAGAATCTTTGAAAAGCATCTACGAGAAGCAATGGACCGAGGAGTGAAGGTGGAGATAATAACAGCAGACAAACGAGATTAGCCTGTGTACAGATATGCCTTCAATCGAATATTATTTTAAGGTGTCATTCACAGAAATCTCAAAGTTTATGAATTCCCTGAATAGTTGTTGCATATGAAAGGATATGTTTTTGATAACAAACAGCTATTTTATGGCTCGTTTAATAATGACAGATGGAGTTGGAAATTGAATCATGAGTTTAACATACTTACGGAGGATGAGAACGAAATTAAAATGTTTATGGATATCTACAATGATACTAAACTCAGGACTAGGCAAATTGATTACAAGAAAACGGGCACTCCTTTAAGATGGATAAAGATAAAATTCTGGGAGTGGTTCATATATTAGAGTGAAATATTCATGAGTAAGAATTAAGGATATCATCCTCATAAATATAAATACAATTATTTACTAAACACATGGGATGATGGAATTGGTAATTATTTTTGAGCTTATTTATTTTTATATTAATATTATTAGTATTATCAAAATTTAAATGTAGACATCAATATTTATAAAATTAATAAGAGTATTTCATTTAAATAAAAATAAACCAAATTAATTAAACAAATAAAAATAAATAAAAAATATATATGAAGTTAAGCAATACTCCTCAACATAAAACATCAAGACTTGATGATTCTACATCTACAGACATTCATAATATGTGTTATAGTAGAGTTAACATACTTACTAATGAAGTTGAAAAACTTACTGATGTTCTTGGAACAGCCTCACAAGAAATGGAAGTCCTTAAGGAACATAATAGAGACTTGTAGAACTAATTACAAGAAATGGAGCAATCTAACTCAATTGTAAGCCCATTAAATATATTTAGTTAAATTAAGAATATGATAACTTATGCGATAGATTAAAATAGAAGAGCATTGAGTCAGAAGAATACGCATTCTAAGTTCAAAAGTTAACTCTTCAGAAATAAGTATTTCTTATAATGATTTCGTAGGAACTTAGTCAAAATCTCAATAAAGTCTTAAATGAGTTAGAGCAAACTAATTAAATTATTGAAATCAAAGATCAAGAAATATAAGCAGGCAAACAATAATTTATTAATAAAACTGAAGAATTATAGAAGAGCTTATAATAAACCTATCATTTGGACCAAGCCTTAAGAGTTGTTAAGGAGGAAAAATTAAAATATATTTATGAGTATTAACAACTATAGAAGGTTGTTAAGGATCAATCAGATTAAATAAATGAATTGTTGGAAATTAAGAATGCTTATGAATTATTGAAAATAGACTTAGATGTACTTAGAGTCAATTATTCGAATTTGTTGGATTAGAATCTTCAAGAAAAAAAAGAGTTAGAAGCATAGATCGACGTATTACGTGACATGCATGGCTATACTATAGAAGATGCTGAGACGAAATTTGCTGTAAAAAATTATAAATTATAATTTAGAATTAAATCAAATAAGAAGTTGAAAATTATAAATAATTATATGATGAATAATATAAGGCTGAAAGAATGAACTATGAATCAATCACCGATCAACTGAAAAATCAAGTGAATACCTTATAATTGCAATTATAAAATGCAGAATTATTGATAGCTACTCATAAATAGAATCTAATGAACCAAACTTAATTGACTATGTTTGAAAAGAATAACCAAGTCAGCGAATTGAGAGCTTAGAATTTCGTATTATAAGAATCGTTAAGAAACATGAACAGAGAACTAAATGAATTGAAATTGCAGATGGAGAATGGAAATATCATAAGATTCGATGATGATGTTAGGAAATAAATTGAGTATAAATTAGATTTATGTCAACAAATGCAAAAAGAGAGGGAGGAGTTCAAAAAGGAAAATGAACAATTAAAAAGAGAGAATCGCTTATTAAAAGAAAACAACGAGTTGATGTCCTAGTAAATGCATCAATAATCAAGTATTAGTTAATTGCCTTAATCAGTATTGATCAGTTAAATTTAGCCTTAAGGTACATAATTCAATAATATATCAAAGGTGTTTCTCCAGGGCAAAAGATAACTGACAGCGAAAAGATTAAATATCTACTAAAGGCAGTTGATCAACTCTAAATTGCCATAAAGGATAGAGATTTGGAAATTAATAAATTATCACATCTTGCGAGTACTAATGCAGGGTTGTCATAATTGGTGAACAAACCAAAGTCGTAAATTAGATTTTATCATCTAAACTCAGGGGATATGAGTTTGGATGACAAATAATAATGATTTATATATTCTATAATTAATGAAAAAAAATAACAAAAAGTCCTCAAGCACAAAAGTCAAAGTAACTCCTTGTTCCAACGATCGTTATTATATGGATCAGTCAATCGATGAGGAGGTCTACCTGAAGTAGAATTATAAGGTTGTAAGGGAGATGGGAAGAGGAGGTTATGGAGTGGTATACAAAGCGTATAAAAAATGATCATTAAACTTAGTCTTGGACTCAATTAGGGTCAGGTTGACAAAACAAAAAAATATGCCATCAAGGTTAATTTTTCAACTGTGTCTCCAGAGTTGATTTTTGCAGAGATTGGATTTTTAAAATTAGTGTATGGTAAGGAGAACATGCCTCAGTTGGTGAACCTATTTTTGAAGGATCAAAAAATCTACATTGTAATAGAATACTTTACCTTTAAACCATTTATAGTACATATTTTAGGTTAATAAGACATTTTTTGCAAACTTTGACATGATGCAAATAAGAAAATATCTTTATGAATTATTGAAGGCTTTGAATCTTTTGAAATAGAATGGCATCTACCATCGAGATGTGAAACCTGGCAACTTTCTTTATAATCCCAAAACCTGTAAAGGAATTTTGATTGATTATGGTCTCAGCGAGATAGACAGGTCGTTTGTAGCAAAGTTGATTGAAAAGGAAAAGGATTTGTCGAAGAAAGTAAGAACTTATGAAAATATTTATATAAGAATCCCTAATCAGATGAAGTTCAGGAGATTAGAAGGAAGATTAATTTATATAATGAAATTCAGAAAACTATTGATTAAATTGGATAAAATAAGATTGGAACAGAAAGCTTTATGCCATTAGAAAGCATCCTACATTATCATGTATAATATATAAATAGGTTTAAATAGGATCAATCCTACGAGGTGGACATGTGGGCAGTTGGAGTTATATTTTTATAATTTTTAACTAAGAAATACAATTTATTTAGTAATGTTAGAATGATAAATAAGCCGGTTCCAACTAAGAATTTTTTCTATGTTAACTTTATTTTGGAATTAGCAAGTTTATTTGGATCTGAACAAGTGAGGTAAATTTGCGATTTGTTTGGTACTATTTGTTAATAATGTAAGAATACGATTTAAAGTTACCATCAGTCACAGCAACTAAGCCAATTAAATGGAAATAGATAATAAACATGGAAGGCTTTGATGACAATGCAGAAGATTTATTATCAAAACTCCTATGTTTACATCCAAAATAGAGAATTAAAGTTGAAGATGCTTTAAAGCATCCTTTCTTTCAAACTGTAGTGTCTAAAGAATAGTAAGCAGACACAAACGTCTAAATAGAATAAGAATTTAATATTATTAAATAAACTGAAATATGAATTAAATTTATCTATATATTGTATTAAAGAACTCTCAATCTTATTATTATTCAGTTTTAGCAGTCTCATTTGTATTATCTTAATTCTCATCTTTTTATTGTGGCTGTTCCTTCTCGTCCTCTTTAAGTTGTTATTCTTCTTTTAGATCATCTTATTATTTTTATAACTCCTCCTATTTTGCTAATTCATCTTATTTCCTAAAAGAATAACTACTTTCAATACTTAACGACTGTGATTTTCAACGCCTTCTCCTTTGGTTTTGTAGATTAAGGAGGTATTTTTTATTGCATTTTAGAAGGATCCGAGGATTTGGCTAGAATCTAATCTACTTTTTATCTTAATTCAGTCATATCTTTTGGAACCTCTCTTGCATCTCGAACACTAAAATAATAATAAAATAGTAGAATACATAATGAAATAGGAATCTTTTAAAAGGAACCATGGACTTTTGCTGACGACATTTTAGTTGAATTTAAGTAATTACCAATCAAAGCTTGCAGTCACTAAATCAGTAATTGTAAAACTGAAGATATTATTTATTTTAATTGCTTCAATTGCATCTTAATTGATATTAAACATGCTTGAAATAATAGTTGATACATCATGCATAGTGTCAGTGCTATTCAAAAATATCTCTTAAGGAGGAAATGAAAGAGTAAAGTCTTTTGGATTATAAAATCTCACATATCCTAATAGTTAATTTTCTTTTATTTAATCTTCCTTATCCAACTTTTCAATAATAATAGTTTGATTATCAAAGATTCGTATATTTTTTAATATTTAATCATTATGATAAATTTAGCTGAGTTTTGTATTTAGTTTGTATCTCAATCTCATAAAGTTTGGTTGTAACACAATTTATTTTTATTCCTCCAATCTTTAACAAAGTTTCTCTTTGAGTTCCCGAACATACCATTCTGAATTGATTTCCATTTCGAACAAGTCTTAATATTCAAATTCAATCGTATCAGAGTATTTTGGAGAAAGACCTCCGATGCCAAACTTTATTTTGTATGTCCCTTTAGTGGAAGGTTTACCCATCATTAGACAAAAGGCAGCTCGACCTATGGCTTAATTGTTTTTTATTGTAGTAGTCAAATCTTTTATTTCTTCCCCATATCTATTACTCTTTTTAACAAATGAATGAATCAATATCCAAACCCAAGAAATCACTCATTCTCTCTTTCAACTCTTACATTGTTTTTCTATTATCTATTTACAATTCAAAACAATAATCAGGAGTTTCTGAGTGTAGTAATTGTTTTCTGGGATCATTAAAAGTCACTCGACATTTATGTTTTTCGCATTCAAATTTTTAATCCCAATTTAATGGAAGATCAGGATCATCTTGCTTTTCTTCCAAATACAATGTCACATTTCTTCCGATTTTAAGATCATAAAGGGTGTATTCTAATTAATGTTACTAATTCATTCTAAATGAATAATTGGCGGCTCCATTAATTAAATTCTTCTGTAAGATTATTTATTTATCTTTGGGTACTCCTAATCGTTGAGTTATAGCATCCATAAATTATTCAACCGTTTTATCATCCCTTATGAAAAACTTATTAGGCTTCAATTCATGTTCATCCAATGACTCAATATCATTTCTCCAAACGCATAGTTTTATCAACATTAAATGAGCATCGTACTCCTAGAATTATTCATGTGGAGCTTTGGTTTCTAAAAGTACAGATTTGTAATCATTAAAATATAATCCTTGCAGAATTTCATTCTCCTTATTTGTAAATGTATCTTAAGGAATTGAATCAATATGATTAAAGAATCTTATTCTTGTATTCTCGTCATCTTCTTATACTTTCAATTCTTGCCTTACTAATTATTTGAAATCCTTCAAAAGTGTATCTTTCCTTGTTTTTATAACAGCATCGTTATTTTTATAGAAACATCTAATTTTTAATTCCATTTCCCTTTCTTTCTTTTCTCTTTCCCACTTCTCCTCTTTTTCTTTCTATTCTTGCAATTCTTTAGCTAATGCTACTTTCAAATGCTCTTAAATTTCAGGCTTTTAAGTGCTTAGTTCTTCACCAGCTCTTCGATACATCAAGAAGTAAGCACTACTTCCCATATTGTATTTTGGATATTTGTCTCCAAACATAGATAAGATTGTCTTCCATGATATTTTTGAGACTGTAGAGTCATTAAAACAATACCAATCTCCATTTTCAAAAGATTTGATATATGCATAATAATGTCCTCCTAATGCACCTCCTGAATGAATCATGACTGAATATAATTCGTAAACATTTGGTCCATTTTGCAACAGCTCTTAGATCTTCTATTTAATTGATAAATTGTGTGATTCATTTTCAATTCTTTCTTGAATATCTTTTTCCTCATAATTCTAAGTTTTAACACTTCCTTGTACTTCCTTAATAGCCTTGACTGTATTGGCAGCAGTGCCTTCTCCTAGATCGCCTAGTCCATCCAAATTGCCTCCAAATAGAAAATCATTATCAATATCATAGGCTTCATCAGCTGTCAAAATTAAATTCGGATTATTTGGTATGGTTTAAGAAGTAAATTGAGTTTGAGAAGTATTATTTGATTTTAGACTTTAAAACTTTTGTTAGAATTCTTAATGTGCTTCAAGCAATTACTTTTTGAATTAGGCTTTATCATCAGGTGGAACTATTTGCGGAGTGTCATTGAAATGGACCTTCTAGCCTCTCTCTCGTCTGGAGAAGGCTTTCTATTCTTTCTTCTCAAGGGATCACTGAAGCAACTTTATAATTTCTCTTTTTCATATTGCTATTTCAATTTCTCTCTTTCTTCTAATAGATCTGGATGATCTTCAATGAGGATTTAATCATATGGTTTGAGAAAGTTGTTCATATCTAAAACAAAGGGGAAGGAAACATAATCATTGACCTTCTTTCTCTCGAATGTATTCATATCAAACTCAAAACGATTTAATTGAATGGTGAATATATCCGATAGTGATTTTAATCTAAATCCTTTGTTGGCGTCGGTTTTATCATTGCAATTTTAGCAGAGGTATTTGTTATCTCCTTCCAATTTCTCAGGCTTTATATAATAGTATAGTGCTCTCTCAAGTGACTCGTTGTAAACATTTAAAAAGTCACTTTTGACAGTGAGTGAAAGATCCAAGAAAATTTCATTCTGCACACTCTCCTATTAGCATTTTAAACATTGCACGTAGGATTATGAGCAAGATTGATATAGACGAGTGATGAAATCCTAATCATCTGATTATTAGATTGCATCAAACAGTACTCTGCAAAATTCTGAAACATCATGCTAAGCAAATGATTCTTGTGGATCCCATTGAAAAGATCTCACCAAACCTCTAGCATCTGCTGCTCTATTCTCATCGCCCTTTCTTGCATCTTGGCGAACAGATACTATAATTGATACGGAATACAGTCTTTCCCTCTTGGGATGCTTCGTTTTCATCATACTTCCACTTAAAAAGAGCCTCTCTAAATTGACGAGTCATAAAGAGAGTTTGGAGGAGAGAATTTCATGTAACATGTGTTACCCAAGTTATTTAAACCGCAATACATAATTATTGTTAATATCATTCATAAAGTGATGCTATATCACAAAGTGCCTACTGTTAACAATCTTTCATTACCAATTGATATTTGGACGAATTGAGTAATCTCTTTCCAATCAGGATGCCTTTTCCCATCAAGGACAACGGAGTGGGTGGGTTTGGAATCTACCCTATGATAGTGGAGATGAGATAATCAAAAACTGGGGCAATTGAAGTATCCCCAATGGAACTAGTGTTAATTTATATAATTTACCAAACTTCAAAATATTCCATCCCGTATTTACGAGCCATGCCGATGGCTTCTGACTTTGATACACCTCCTTTGTTACTGGCATAGAGATCGATCTTGTTTCCAATGAGAACCTTGACAGGGATCTCAGTTTTCTCATTTTCAGTTATCCAATGTTCTATCTTTTCAAATGTTTATCTTTTTGAGACTATTTATATGAATGTTTCACTTACCATCGAACATATAGATGGCTGCTGTAGCTCCAAGACAGAAACGAAAGAAGGTATCAGGACTACGATGCTTCCCAGGTATTTCCCAATAGGCTATCTTGTAGAGAGTGTCATCATCCATGTAGCCAACAGTCTTTGATTATTTAAATCAGAGTGATACCTTCAAATTTAATTCATCTGATGCTTCCTATTCTATTATCTTACCAAAAGTTATTGCCAATACTTTAAATTTTATGATTTAATTTACCATCTAAAAAGGTTGATTTTCCAACTGATTTCTCACCTTAACATACAATAAAATGGTACCTAAAATGACGATGCGGAACTTGAAATGATAGTCTTCAGAATCCATTTAATTTATTTATAAATATTTATAATGGCTTCCAAGTGAGGATTGAATAAAAAAATTAAAAATTAATGACTGACCAAGAAAAGATTTACGATGCCAAACTGACCTCCGACTTATAAAAAAAATGTTCAAAAACAAAAGACAGGATTAAAGTAGATCAATCTTGATAATCTGGTGTACAATAAGAGAGAGAGAAAGCAAACTGGCACGCAACGTAATTAGATCTATTATTCTTAGCAACTCAACCAATACCCGTAGTCCAGCAACACAAAATTACACACCTCAAGTAAGATCGCAAAAAGAAGAATGCTGAATTACAGACTCCCCCAAGAGAGGAGTAGTAGCAGAACCAAGAACCAACCTTACTCAAATAATTACCAATATCCTGCGAATAATTAGTTCTCCCATCCGATCACTCTTCTGAATTCAATCCTAAGATCAAACCCAAGAAATCCAAAAAGTTTCGTAGACCTCACAAACATATCGATTTAGAAGACTCCTCTGATGAAGCTCAATACAAAAGTAAGCTCATCCTCAAGAGAGTCAACAAAATCTTCAAAAAGTCCTATGAATAAAAATAAATCCTATCTTCTGGCAGCGAGTAAGAAAACTTAGTAAAGGAATTATTCAGAAATATTTATGTCAAGATATTTGAAGGTATAATATAAGAACTATTTCAAACTTAGACATTCCAGTGACTGCTGCAGAGTTGAAACAATTTGCCCAACCTGAAAATTCTACAGGATAAGAAGGCGAGGGTAAATTATTGGAAGATGAACAAAAATTAGAAGAAGAACCCTTAAGAATTTTAACTGAAGATGGTACAGATTTTGAAACTAAACGCAATTTGAAACTGTTGGGAATTGAGAATTAAAAAATACTATCAAAATTAGGTGAAAATTAAATCTTACATCAATTGTGATATAAGATACTTTAACATTGATTTCCTAGTAGAGAAAGTGGGTGGCTTTGATGGTATATTATATTAATTTGATGTTTAGTTGTTTTGATGGATCCTCCCTGGAGAATCAAGGGAGGTTAATAGAATGACTCTTCATTTATGTTCACGAATAGCAAATTCTCTCTAGACTACAACACTATGAGCAATCAAGAAATTATGGATATTAAAATAGAGAAATTGAGTAAGAAAGGATTTCTGTTTCTTTGGATCCTCAATACTCAACTCAATATTGCTTTTGAAATGGCTAGTAAGTGGGGATATGAAATAGTTGATCAAATTATGTGGGTAAAATTGAATCCATAAGGCAATAACGTTTATCTTTCTACAGGATATTACTTTATGCACTCATTTGAAATATGTCTGGTTGGGTATTAAAATAGTACTTACATAGTTATAAATGTCCTCCAGGTGAACATGTGGAATATCATTCAAAAATATCAAACAACGTCATCTTTAGTTCTATCCGAAATAAATCTTAGAAACCGATCGAGTTATATGAAATCATAGAAATGATGATGCCAGGTTCTAAGAAAGTAGAAATCTTTGCTAGAAATCATAATCTAAGACCTGGATGGTTTTCTATTGGAAATCAATTGGGAGAAACCTTTTAGAAGTGGTTGGTCTAGATAAGCTGTAACATCTGCGGGATCTCTTTGTAACCTGGTATTTGTAGATACAAATCTAAGAAAATAGCCAATTTTGACATCTGTTAGAATTGTTACAATAAAAAGATCAGGTAATATTCACTATTGATTCTAATTTAGCGAAGGAGAACTCACTTAGACCGATATGTTCTTCTTAGCGAACAAAGCTGATGAAGAAGTATTGCATCAATATCATTAATGTAATGGTTGCGATTAGAATCCCATTTGGGGAGCTAGATTCGAATGCATTACTTGTGACAATTATGATTTTTGTGAGGCTTGTTTTGATAATCTACTGATAACTGGAGATCCTAATCATAAGGATCATGAATTCAAAGTGATAGAATTGCCTACCTTTGCTGAAGGTATACCTTGTCATGATTCTAAGTGCAATGGGTGTTTTCAAAAACCCATTCTTGGTGTCTAGTTCATTTGCAAGCAATGTACAAATTTTAGTTTATGTAATTGATTTTCTTGCTATCTAATAATAGGCTAGAATTGTTTCTTCACCAGAAGTTAAACAGAATTGAATGGACCAAGACATAAGGCTGATCATCGTTTCGAGCCTATATATGAAGTTTAGCAATTTCAAAAAAAAACTTATAAGTGTTAAGGTTGCGAAATCGAAAAATCTGGGAGTGTTTATAAATGTGAAAACTGCTTTGGCTTTTATTTTTGCGAAGAATGTTATACACTTAAAAAAGATGATTGGAAATGCTATGTGGCAACCAGTCATAAAAATTATCACACATTTATCTAGATATGACATGATATCAATATATATTATCAAATTTCAATATCCAATAGTTTATTTGAACACCAAAATTCCTGTAATTTATCCAATAGAATTGTTAATTCTGATTGTATTATATATGAGAGAGAGTCTAGTGAATGATTATCATCCAATATGTTATAAGATTTTACTCATTCATGGGGTAATTTTTCACAGGGGAAGTGAAGCGAGAACATAAAAAATGGAGATCCAATTAATTAAATACTAAATATTAATATTAATTAAATTAATATATGCCACCAAAAGGAAATCAGATTCACGTAAGCAATATTCAAAGTTTGGCCAAAAATGAAGAAGTAGAATAGTTGCTATCAAGTATTGGACCTTTGGTAGAATGGGCACCAAAGTATTTGAATGATTTAAATTGATAGACGAGAGGGGGAAGTGAAATTCTCATGTACTGCAGAGTATTATGATGAATTTACAGCCAATATTGCAGTGGATACATTGAATGGGTATAAATTCTAGGGGAGGGAACTCAAAGTGAAATTGCATACAAATCTAAGCACTTACAAAATATGTATGATTTCATTATTATATGTTTTTTTATTACAGTACCTTATGCTATCGAGAAAGTGAATTATAAAACATCGAATACATATAGTATGGGTTTGCCTTTGGAGGAATTTTACGCTAGTCTTACAACCACTAAAAAGTTGGCGATTGTCATAGATTTGAAACAAGCATTCTAAAACAGAGAGGATTTATTGGAGAGACTTTTACTGGAGAATCCAAGAATGAGTGAGTTCATTCTCAAAATTCAGAAAGATGTTATGAAAGAATTTAAAGCAAGTAATAGTAAATATTGAATAACAAGATAATACTAATAACGATGACATTTCGCATCTTAATCACTATCAACAATTTCAGGTATATTCTATTGTATTTTTAGAATCACCATAGATATTGATGAATCATATATTGAAAAACTTTATTTGTTGTTGGATAACATTCATTTATTAAATAATACTAACCATAAAGCAAGAGATGGCAATGATATGTGTATTAAAATGGGCTTTTTAATATTTTCTTTTTTCCTTCTCTTAAATATTATTTATAAAATTATATAAATATCCCCTTCTCCCCTCGTTATTATTATTTATATATACATTTATAGTAATATTAAACATTCAAATTCACTCTTCACTTTTGTCTATTCTTTAAACTAGGCATTAACTGAGTCTTCTAAGCTATAACCATATAGAATTTAATACTAGTTTTTTTTTAACTCCTTTCGCTTATGCTAACCTTCTTATCCAGAGTCTAATTGTTGCTAGTATGACAACTCGAATCAGGCTTTGATTTCATCATGTTTTGTAGTTATCTGGCTGATTGTTTTTATTCCGGTTGTTGCTATTTATATTGCGGAGTAGAAAATTGATTCTTCTACTCAGTGAACTTTTAACAATAATCTGTTAGAGTTTGGTTCCCCTAAAATTAATATTCTTGATTGATGGTTTCAATATCTAAATCGCTAGAATATCCCTTAATATTTTTATCACCATTTTAAAATGGATCATATGATTTGAATTGCAAAGTGTCCAATTTTATCGAATTCAGTTTCTCTATTATTTCAATCAATAATTTCAATGTGTTTTCTAATAACAGAGGCAATAAATTATTCTACAAATCTAATTAAATTGAATGGAAAGAATTGAAATATTATTTTACCATCCAATTCAACTTATCATTCACATCACTTATTTGAAACAGCTGCTTAAATCTATTCCCTATTGTTTCATAACTAAACATATATATGTGGGTATCTCATACCTATCTGCTTTGATCTATTCCTTTTATATAGGTTCCTAATGTTTAAACTTAATTGGGCATTTGACATAACTATTATCACTACTGCTACTGCTATTTCTATTAGAGGACTATTCACTGTCGATTGATTAAGATCGTCTGCGTTTTGGTTTAACCTTTGCGACTGGGGATTGTAATTGACTTTTCATAAAATCAATGTCTGATTTTATTGATGATAATTGAAACTTCAATCTATTTGATTCAGCCTCCTTTCTTCTTTACCCATGTTGCATTTCCAACATAAACAACTCGTTTTGGAATTCAAGGTTTTTCAATTTTTTAAAGGCCTGTTGACTCCTATGTGTATCATTATCACACTCTTCAGTATTCAAGGAGTTAAATTAAAATGGCATTTTTTGTTATTTCTAATGCTATTAAACTTTTTATGTACTCTAGTTGTACTTTGATTTCCGATTTCAAATGTTAATCCCTTATTTTTTGAATTAGTACTCAATGGTTCTTCAGTCCTGAAACTTTTCATTGGCAGAATAATTGATAATTATATTTATAAATTTTATTTCCCTATTTAATTAATGGTGACTTTTATGTGTTATCACTGCGACCGAACTCTAACTAAACCTCAAGTCGACAAGCATGTACGAACCTAATGCAGAAAACCACCTTCCCTTATCTGCATTGATTGCAAGAAGATGTTCAGTGATAACCACGTTGATCACGTCTCTTGTTTGAGTGAAAAGCAATTGTATTGGGGACCCTATGCCAATGTATTAATCTCATCAAAGTCTTAGGGCAAAAAGCCTCAATAATAGCAAAACCCATAGAAGCCATAGAAGGACACTACAAAGCAGAAGGAGCAAGAAGCTACGAAAGAAATAGAACCCAAGGAGGAATGGAAAGGGTGGAGAAAGTCAATCGATGAATTCATAAAATAAAATTAGTTGGAAGAAGTCCGATTAAATGAGGTGAAGGAAAAACTAGTTTAAAGATTTTAATCGCTTTTCCCAGAATACGAAAAAGAGTAGGCTGAACAATTGTTTGATGAAGCAGTAATTAGAATTTTATATTGTAAATTTAGATTAAATAGAGTAATAAATATTAAGTTGAGTATGTGGGGTTCATTGTTAAGAAAGTAAAATAAGAATGAAAATGCTATGTTTATGTTTGTGTTATTAGTTTCGTATAGCTTTCATAAATATTATAAAAGAAATATATATATATATAGATATTGGATGTTGAAGAAGAAAGGGTCAGAATAGTTAGACATTATATTCGAGGCAGGAGAAGATCTATTGAACATTTCCAAAAATCAAGTAATCATGATTAAAAACAATTCAATCAAATTGCCAATCATCAGGCCTAGGACATTTTTATCATACAGTCTTGAGTTTTGTGGGATAACTAATCTTAATTATAAGATGTTGAGATTTCAATCCTTAGGCAGAGACATTAGAGTAAAATACTCAAATTTAGTTTAAGCCTGAAACAAGTATTATGACAGCTTGTTTAGTCAAAGTCATACATACTACCGAGTTTTCTTAGATGGCCTAAAATCCTCTAAAGACTTCCTTTTAGACTCTCTTTAATCATGGTGCCCATAGCGACATACTACTTTAAATTAATGATGAACAGGTACACAATATTTAAATATAGCCTTTACTTTTGCATAAATGTATTTTGGCCAGTAGATCACCTAAATTTAATGGAATGTTTTCTATGAATATGATTGAGAGCAATTAGAGTGTATTAAGGGTGGAATGCAAAAAGCCTGATTTATTCAAAGTCATGTTACAGTGGATCTACTGCGGCTATTGGAAGGAAGTATTGAGAATGTTATAATTTAGTTTCCAGTTGAGATTGAGGATACTTGCGATTTAATGTTATTGGCTGATGAATATTTGATAGCTGATTTAAAGCAAAAATGTGAAGAAGATATAATATCAAAATTGAATAGCAATAATATTTTGTAAATATTGTAGTTTGTTGAGAAGCATTCAAACATCATTTCATCAATGTTATTGGAAAAAACAAATTCCATGTTTATTGATGATTTTGATAAAATACACAAATTAAATTCTGATTTGGAAAGAGAGATAACTAAAGTACCAGGGTTAATGACAAAGTTGTTCTAGAATTTGCATCAAAAGAAAATTAGGAAAGGGAGAAAGGTGCATTTTGTTGTGGATGACTTCGATAATCAGGAATCTGATTCTGATGATTATGTTAGAAATTATACATAACATTTTTACTAATGATTATGAAATTATACAAATTTAGTACCTCTCATATTGTATTTGGGAATAAGGCAAGGCAAAGATTGTTGCAAGGAGTAAGTGAAGTAAAAAAAGCTGGTGTTCTTACTTTAGGTCCATAAGGTAGGAATGTTGTCATAGAATCTGAGACAGGAAATCACAGAAGCACGAAAGATGGAGTGACTGTGGTGAAGAATGTGATGATGAGTGATAGATTGTCAGAAATGGGTGCGGCTATGATTAGATAGAGTAGTAGTTAGACGAATAAGTTTGCAGGAGATGGCACAACTACATCTGCCTTAATTGCTGCCAATATCTTTGAAATGGGACAAGCTTATGTATCAGCTGGTCACAATCCCATATATATCACAAGAGGATTGAAGGAGGCCAAGAATAGAGTCTTGGAATATTTGGAGGAAATTAAAACAACTGAAATCGACGATCAATTACTGTATAATGTTGCAAAGGTTTCTAGTAATTATGATGAAAATCTCACAAATATTGTATTTAAAGCAATAAAAGAAATAGGTATCAATGGGATTGTCACAATTGAACCTGGAGGTACAGAATCTGTAATTCAGATTCAATAGGGAATATAAATACTCAGAGGATTTATGCATGAAAAATTTGCAGACAAAGGAACAATCAAATGCATTTTGCATTATCCATTCATTCTAACATCAAAAGAACCTATTTTATAGATTAAATAAATTCTGCCCATACTAGAATTGGTTAAGAATACCAACTCCCCTCTATTCATAATGGCTAGCGATATCAGTGAAGAAGTGATGTCTTAGTTGTTATACAATCACACCAAGGACATCATTAAGGTGTGTGCAATTACAATACCAGGTATGGGTTAATCATTTAGCAATGATTTAATTGATGATTTTTCTATTCTTTGCAATTCTTAGTCTGTTGAGAATGTCGAAGGGGTGAAATAATTATCACAATTAGGAAGAGCAGTCAAAATTGAAGTAAGCAACACGGAAACCATGATTATTGGAACTTAGCCTGATGAATAGGAGGTAGAAAATAGAAAGAATTTCCTAAAGAATTAGATGGAAAATGCAAATAATTATAGTGCACAAACTCTTAAGGATAGATTAACTAGATTTGATGGAAGGACAGCAATAGTGTATATAGGAGGGAAGTCAGAGATAGAGATGCATGAGAATAGAGATAAATTGGTGGATTCTCTAAATGCTACCAAGTCCACTTTGAAAAATGGAGTACTTCCTGGCGGAGGGACAGCTTTATTGCATGCTTCTAAATTATTGGATTATCTGTAAATCGATCCTGAATATTAATTAGGAGTTTCATTACTATAAGAAACTCTTAGATAGCCTATTAAATAATTATGTAGAAATGCTGGAATTAATGATGGTCAGATTGTGAAGGTTCTGTTAGAAGAAGGCGATTACAATGTTGGATTCGATTAGAGGAGAGGTACATTATTTATGTAAGTACTTTAGCTTGTTTGGGGAATATGATTGATTTGGGAGTGATTGACAGTTTTGCTGTGGTGAAACATTCATTATTGGATGGAGTTAGTCTTGGTTCCATGCTTCTGAGTACGGAGGCTGCCATTGTTTTAGATAAGAACTATACTCCAACAGCGTTGAATAAATATAAAAAAGAGGCATTTTGATTATAAATTTGCTATGGGTTATTTTGCATATCTTTTATTAATTATTTTTAATGAGCAGAAGAGATCAGATAGAGAAGGGTAAATAGACAAATTATTCCAAGATAAGTAAGCATTGCTTGCCAAGCCATGGGTTAAGAATCATCCCATCTTCACATATGATCACATTGCAGAATTTTATGAAATGTTCGTTCTTTATGCTGAACCCAGAACAAAGAAAGCAGATGTGAGAGATATTCTTGTCACAGCCAAGACACTTGGTCTCACTGATAAATTCCCAATTATTGCACATGCTCTTGATGATTTGGCCTCTAGTTATGATGATGCAGTTGATTTTGAAACATTCATCTCAGATTTGACAGCTAAATTAGTAATCTTATTGAGTAATACTTCCTAGGGTCACCCATTCGATTAGAAGGGAAGAGTCCAATTATTCAAACTCATCGATGTAGATGGCAAGGGAACACTGGACAAAGGAGATTTACATAAAATATCCGAGGAATTAAGATTCAATTTGACTGAGGATGACATTGAAGAAATCATTCACAACGTTGCAGGCTACGAGGCTGAGGATGTCTCAGAAGAGAAATTTGAAAAATATTTAGGCAAAAGAGTTTAAAGAAGATAAGTTGAATAAGAGATCTATAGAAACAAATGAAAATAAATAAAAATAAAAAATATTATCAATATGACATATTTTTATTATATAATTAATATATCATTCCTACTTGTTTACAAGGTACTTTAATAGCACTTATGTACCAAAACCAGTGGCTCCTGGTGGATGAATACCTTTGTCTGCCTTGCTATCCATAGGCCCTGCAATATCAAGATGAGCAAAGGGTGTCTATTCTATTCATAATCAATACTTTCTCATCCACAAAATTGAATAAAAAGGCTGCAGCCTTACTAGCTCCGCAAACCTTGGCTTTTCCAATATTACATAAATCTGCAAATTGACCCTTCATCATATCCTTATGTTCATCAGTCACAGGCAGTCTCCAAAATGGTTCTTACAATTCCTTCCCTATTTCCAACAGTTCCTATGATAATTCGTCATTGTTGCTGAACAATCCTCCTGTGTTTTCTCCTAAAGCTGCTGCACAAGCACCTGTTAAAGTTGATATTTCCAAAATGGAAGTTGGATTATGAGTAGCCTATGTCCAACTTAAACAATCAGCCAACACTAAACGTCCTTCAGCATCTGTGTTATTGATTTCTACTGTTAATCCCTTGTGACTTCTGAAAATATTGGATGGTTTATAAGCTGTATTTGAGATGGCATTTTCAGCCATTCCCAAAGTGACTGTCACATTGACTTTTAATTTCAAGTCTACAGCTCCCTTGAAAGCAGCCAACACATTGCATGCTCCAGATTTGTCAAGGTGCATGGTTTCCATGTTGCCGTAAGACTTTAAATGTAAACCTCCAGTGTCAAAGGTAATTCCTTTACCAACCAAGGCATGCAAATGCTGAGAATCCTTATTGCCCCTATATGTCAAGTTGATTAAGGTCGGTGGGTGAATGGATCCTTGTCCAACTGCATAAAAGAGATTCAATTAACTTTCTTGTAATTATTAGCCTTCTAAGATTTTTATCTCAACATTGGGATTATCTTTAAATAGCGTTTTTACTTCATTCACAAAGAATTGGGGTGTTCCTTCTTGCCTTGTATTCGCCAAATCTCTTGCGTACAACTTTATTTAAGCCAGTTAAACCAATTGTTAAAAGTAGGGATCCTCAAAAATATTTTCTTAAACGTGCAAGTCAGAAATATAAGTATATTGATCATTATTTTCATCACTTTGCTATTTCTCCTATGCAACATCTCCTAACAACTTATATTTGTAATTGGCTTGTATCAACCCAGAAATTACTTAAGATGTTTCTTTTATGTTTAATTCATTTTGAGTCAATACAACTGTGCCAAAGCCATATTATCTTGCTTTCCTCACTACTTCTCCTCCTGCATTGTAACAGGAACCCTTTACTCCAACTGCCAACCCAACTTTCTCCTCTCCGAAGATAAAGCTCTAGCCACCCTTCACCACATTATTGACTTTTAGTCTATGCAAATGGCGAGAAATCTATTAGGAATTGCATCTATATAGGTTCAAAAATAAGCTCTACGCCCAGTTTTAAGATTAAACTGGAGGCTTATACGAATTAATACACAGCTATTTTACTTTCATAATTAAATTCTTAGAAATTATATATCAAAATTGATGAGGCCTATTCACTCTTTTGAGTTTGGTTTTGAATCTAATCGGAAAAGACTACGTATTTAAATAGGGGAGTCAAAATAGCGTCTCTATTTAAAGGATAATTATTCCAAATAATAAACAAAAACTCAAAACGTAGATTGAAGAATAGACTTAATTTCCAATTTAGAAGAAAATAAGAACTCAAATGAATAGATTGTTTCAATATCATAGATAATATTAAAAATTAAGATTGCAAATTGTATTTTAGAAAAAGTAGTGTAAGAGAAAGATATTAAAAATTGGTTGATTAATTTTTATTCATATAATACAGTCAAAGTCCTTTAAGTCTTAAAGCATTGGCTCTATTGACTATCTATTAATATTTATCTTAAATTCTATTTAAGTAAGCTATAAGAATATAGATATTGATTTAAATTACAATTGATATCGTTGTTATTGTTATTGTTAACTGTTTAGGTCAGTGTTGTACTATTAATTTGATCTTATGATTGAGAACGGGATAATCTTTTCGAAGTTATCTAACCATCCCTGTTACTCTAACATTTAACCTACTGTTTAGATTCATTTTATTGCAATCTTGACTCAATTTATCGAGATTGATTATTCATTCTCTTTTGCTAGCTTATTTGTGGCTTGAAAGTACACTCTTGCATCTCTTTTAGCTGCTTTTCTCTTTCGTGTAATTTTTTTTTAAACTGCCTTAATTAATTTATTAAATGGGTACTTTCTATCTTCGATCTGCAATCCTTATAGATATAAATCATGACCTTTGTTCTTAATTTCAAATAGACAGGTTTGGTGTTCGCCCTAGATTTCTTTATCAAGTTTAGCTATGTCTTGCTTTAGCTTTTTTTGCATAACCTTCATATTGTCATGCTAGCCGTCTTTGGATTGTGGGGTGACGTCTTGGATTTTGGAAATGGAATCCTATTTTTATTTTTTATTAGAATTTTTAGAGAGATCAATTTTTTGAATTTACTTTTCAACAGTCTTCTTTTAACTTTATTTAGGTTTCTAAATTATTTTACTGTTTGATTTAGTTCTATCGATTTATTCTTTTATTTATTTTTTCCTTTGCTCATACTTTAATTCAGCCTCTTACTCATTCATTTAATTGTAAGTCTTCGGTTAACAGATCTCTGGTGATTCAATATCCTTAAACAAGGATTTATATTAAATTTGTATGGGTTCTGAATCTTCGGTGTGTTTGTTTTTTTGAGGACTGCTAACTGGATTGGCTACAACTCAAATAAAAAGTTACTTATCGATTAGACAACGATGTTAGAATTTGAAAGTTGTTTTTTTTGTTTTGCTTCCTTGAGTTTATTCAGAGTGTTCTGCAAATCAATGGCTTGTTTGGACAGGGCCTGAGGGATTTGTCCCTATTTCCGCATTGACAAAGCCGAGATTGGAGAGAATGCCGAAGTTGGTACTTTTGTAAGAGGGGAATTAGACATAATATATTAATTAAAAATAAAATAACAGAATGAGTATTAAACATTTCGCTGTCTCATTTATAGGAGTTGGAATTGGAGTTTTTGGAATGCACTTCTTGATACGATCACTCTTCGGCGGCTCTCCATAACAATAATTCGAATAGCAATATTAATAACCAGTCTAACAATAGCAATAGTCCCAAAATCCATTCGATCAAGTGGTATCCAATATTAATAAGAAGTGATGAAGGTCAGATGATTTTATATTAAATAAAACATGAATATTGTGACATTTTCGAACTTGAATTCAAATTTTGAAGAATCTAGAATATTTCATTATCACTTATCAGAACAAAATAAATGGATCAAAACATAAACAGATATCAAGGGAAAGATATCAATTAGAATTGCAAATACCATAATTTATTTATATTAAATTCTCTAATTTTATGCAAGTTCCGTGTCGAACCAAAAATGTTAACAAATATTACAAAGTGATTGCAGAGGTAGGTTCAGGGACATATGGAAAGGTTTATAAGGCGAAATGTTTAAAAACAAATGATTTTGTTGCATTAAAGAAAATTGATACCAAAGATCAAAAAATAATGGCAGAAGGTATTCGTTCATAATCACATCATTTAGGATTCCCTATTACAGCCATAAGAGAAATCAAATTGTTAAAAATAATGAATCACAAAAACATTCTGCGATTAAGAGAGATCATAGTGAGCAAAGCATCTCATAGGAATAATTTCAGAGGATCAACATTCTTAGTCTTTGACTACTACGATCACGATTTTGCTGGTCTTCATAGATAAAGAAATGTATTCGCATTACCATAATTAAAATGCATTTTCAAACAACTATTGGAAGGTGTTAAATATCTCCATGAGAGTAAAATTATACATAGAGATTTGAAATGCGCAAATATTCTAATGAATAATAAGGGGTAAGTAACATTGGCAGATTTTGGTTTGGCTAGAACGCTATCTAACGTGAGTAATCCCAAATACACTTACAAAGTAGTCACGTTATGGTACAGAGCACCAGAACTCTTGTTGGGATAGACTAATTACAATACTTAAATTGACATGTGGAGTCTTGGCTGCATATTTACTGAGTTAATAACGGGAGATGTACTTTTTAAAGGGGACATTGAGTATCGTTAAATGGAAAAGATCTATGAATTATGCGGTAGTGCTAGCGAGTAGAATTGGCCTAATTGTGTCAACTTGAGGTAATGGGAGGAATTCAAACCCAGGAGAAATTACGAGAGATTACTTACCAAACACATCAAGGAACTTTGTCAAATACAAAATAAATAGATTGATCAAGTCACTTTGGATTTAATAGAATAGTTGTTGATACTTGATCCTACTAAACGGTTGAATGCAGCTCAAGCTTTGAATCACGAATTCTTTAAATAAGACCCGAAACCTTGTTCACAAAATGAGATGCCTCAATTCGACAAAGAATTTCATGAGACTCTCTTGAAAAATGACATCAGATTATAATAACAGAGAATTGATAGAGCTTAGTTCAGACCTCAACAAAATACGTCTTAGAAGTTTTAAAAATTGATTAAGGATGAAAGGAACTAAGCAAAACCACAAGTTTAGTAGCAGTCTCCATAAAGAGATGTCAAAAGTTTTTAAGAAGTTGATATTAGTGATTTAATTAAATTTGAAATAGAGAAGAAAGTAAAATTAAATTGACAATAGGATTTATATATCAAAATTAACATTGCTTGTAATATTGCTTACCCATTTCTATACAATTTTACGCTTCTTATGTCGTTAACATTTCGAGCGTTATTTTATATTCTGTCTTAATCATTCTTTTTGCCTCATTGATGTAATCATCGTCTATGATCACATGAAATTCTTTAAACAAGTTAAAAAATCGATGGTTGATATTTTACTAAGACTAAGATAACAAATGAAATATTTACGTTCACAATTGGTTACTTAAAATAAAATGAGATAACATTGCTATTTAATCGTTTACTGCTGATTCGTTTTAAAAATATCATGTAATAAAGATATTGAATCGAAATTGATTGACTTTATTGTTCTGTTTTTAAGGATTGTTTTGATTTTAATTATTAGATTCCCTATAATCTGGAATAAATTGAATTATCTTCTTTAACCAAACAGATGAATCCCTAATTTATAATCAGTATTCTTTGTTTTTGAGTTCCAATCAGTTTACATCTAAAAATGTGGAACTTAATATTATTGAGCTGATTTATTTCCATAATCACTTTCTTGAACAATCCTTTGTTTTCATATCTTTTGATTGGATCTTACTTTAAAGAGTTCGTCCTTGAATCCTTCTTTAGAATAAGTGGTTGGATCTCAATAGGTGAACTGTTATTCAAATGTATATTCTGCAAAACGTTGGATTCCATAATCGATGATTATCTATATGATGAAGATTGCTATTAATTTGTCTATTCTTAGGATCGAATAGAATCAAATTAATCATCTGGTTGTTTCTACAACTGTTATTGCAATTGCAGCTTATTGAACTTAAAAGGAACTATAATTTAAGAGTTATAAAAACTATTCTATGATCTAGTACTTATAGTATCCTCTTCAGTATTCTAATGCGATGATTGTTATTGTTGAAAACAAACATAACTCTGTTGGATATACTATTCATATTGAAACTTTGAATATCTAATTATCTGAATTATATTTTGTAGATTCTGGACTTTGTCTACAATCTTGCATTATTTAATGGGTCCTCCAACATATTGAACTAATTCTTGTAGATGTTTGTTTGACTAGATGAAGCATTTCATTTCAGGAGGCATTCGTACTACTCTGCATTGAGCACACCCATTATTAGAACAAAAGTGACATTAATTAGTCTCCAGTTTTAGAGATTCAGTGAAGTGAAGAGTCAAACAATCGAGTTATGAGTAGTAATCCATTAGTATTTTAATCTCTTCTTTTGGTAGATCAAATATTTTGCAAGGAATACATGCAGAAGAGGGAGTGTTCAATTTTAAATCGACTGCTCTATTTATAACTATAATGCTTACTTTTTGTAGATGTTCTTAACTGTTTCAACGTTGTCTATGTAGATACCACTTAGGGTTTATGGCAAGAGTGAGGAATCTATGGATAGTAGTTTCTATCTGAAGTAGATCAGAACGGCAATCACAAAAAAGTATATCATGAGTTAATCCTTTTTGATATAAAGCATTTCCCAAAGAAGATAAGTGCATTCCAATGACATCTTATTTGCAAATAGAGTCAGCAACCAGGGAGTAGCATAAAGTTCTGGTGATAGTAAATTTTTATCCAAATAATCATACAATTGGAAGTCATGAAATTTGAGTAGCAAATTAATCCACTAGAAGGCCACTTACAAAGGCAAGAACTCTTCATCTTTAAAGAAATTGTTATCAAGAATGATTTTGCGAGAATATTCGTATATTTTCTCCCATGATAGTCCACTTTCATTAAAGACTGCTACCACTGCAAATATTTCATTCATTCCTTATTTGTAACTAATATTTTCCTATTAACAAAAGAAAACAATTATTTTTTCTAGAATGCCATGCATTTGAGGTTAAAGTAATTAAGAACGAGTCCTTGGGATATCCATTTTTAAAGTTCGATATTGTGGTTGGTCAACTAATGTTTTATTTATTTCATTCAATGAAGGATGTGGTAGTTAAGGCGAATATGTGCCTAATAGAATCTAAATTTGAAATCATTTGTATACATCCCAAAAGAATGCTGTTTTTGATTACTCTATTTTATTTTGAAACATATAACTGAATATAAATTAAATAAATTATCATTTAACAAATTGCAAATCTAACTAAGTCCTAAATTAGCTCTTTACAATTAAAATCTCATAAAGCTATGCTTTTGAACTCTCATTCCTATATGAATGTTGGGAATTCTGATTTAGATGCAAAAATCTTTTGTTCACCTTCATTATCTATAATAATTTGAAATAAAAAGAATCACTTAGTATACCAAAATAGTTTTAATGTTTTAATTATTTTACTATGACTGAATTGTTAAAAAGGAAAAGAATTTCAAGAGATGTCAAACACAAGATAGTTAATTCTAAATAATTAGATGAAAACATTCACATAACTATTAATTAATCAACAAATATTATGGACTTTTAGAAATTATTAAATTGTAATATTTGAATCTTAATAATATATATCAGGGTTCATGTTTAGTAGATTAATGATTGGCTTTGTCTTATAAATAGTTGCTGTGATGTATATCGATAATCTTCTTTTATAAATAAGAGATCTGAGATATCTTTTCTGCTAATTAGTTATTTTGATTATCTATCTTCTTTTATGAAAACTCAATCTTTTATGCTAAATCTCTCTCAATAATGTTTTTTTCAATTTGCAATTATTTCACTTCTGATTCCAATTGTTATATTACTTTTTCTTTTGCTCTTTAGTCCAACTAGAATGATTGTTTAAGGTATTGTTCCTTTTGCTTGACAGTATGATCATACTCTTATTTGATCTTTTATTTTTCTTTATTTTGTTTTTCAGCCAAATGACCCATTTTGTGTTCTAAAACTTGTACTGATATCAACTGCTACTTTTATGAAGTAATGAGTTCAGTTTATCTCTTGATTTCATCCTTAAGTATATTGAGACTGCTCTCTCTTTCGGATAGTAAATCTATGGCAAAGGTGAATTCACTTTTCATTTCTTCCATGGCCTTTTGTGTGTAGGTAGTGAGTAATTCAATTTATTTCTCATTATTGCTGATTTTAATTTCCAAATTCTAGATCAATAGCTTCAGTTACTAATTCTCTCTTATCATTTTTCTCATGTCCATTTCACTCTTATGCAACAACCAAATATAATCTTATTATTCATCATCATTGCATAACTTATACGATTAAACTTCTTCTTCTGTTTAAATGATACCCCTATTATTAATATCAATAATTTAGAGTACTTAATATAAGTGGCAAGCATTTCCTTGATCAATTCAATCAATCGATGAGGATCCAATCTCGTATATCCAAATTCATTTGATTTTCGATTCAATTTTTCATTGATGTCATTAAAGTCCTGTTTCATACTTAAATACTTACATAATATCTATTGTTGATCTCCAAAAACAATGCCTGTACTCTCTACACCAACTCATTATATTTCTTTTCCATCTTCACATAATCTTCCCTCTCGACATACTTTTCAGGATCGAAAGACATCTTGTAGTGTTTAGGAGATTTCTACTGTTTCATGATCGAGGGTTTCTCAGTCAAACTGATCGATGATAAATTGGGTTTCTTGGATTTCTTTTAATCTGACATTGTTATTATATTAATTGATGATTTGCAGGCCAAGAATAATGAAGGAACAAAACGACCTGTAGAAGTTGAATGACCCTACGATGATCATTCAAATCAATGAGACTGACATCCTAATTTGGCATGTCTATCTACATGGCCCTTAAGACTCTCCATTTGAGGATGGAATCTTTAAGGTAAAAGCAATCAATGAACCCTAGATCAAAGTTTCTATCCCATCCAATTATCCAATCAGTGCCCCCACACTTCATTTTCAGACAAGAATATTTCACCCTAATGTACATATGGACACTGGTGAAGTATGTCTAGAAGTGCTTTCGTAAAAATGGGAGCCTCGTTGGACAATCGAAAGTGTCTTACGAGCTGTTAGACTAATGCTCCAAGAACCCAATCCTTATAGTCCATTGAATTGTGATGCTGCTAATCTACTCAAAGCTAATGATTTAATCGGATACAAATCTATAGCTTAATACTACACTTCGAAATATGCTATCGATAAGCATGAATACATGAATAAAGTGAATGTTAAAGACAAGAAAACTTAATGAATTTAGAGAAAATGATGTAGTAATTTCATTTAACATTTATTATAACAATTTTAATGTGTGTACTTACATAAATGGCACACTGTTTGTCATAATATATTATGTTTGAAGACATTCAGTGAAAATCCTTGGATAGAATGGAAACTCAACAGATCATATCAAAATTGGGAGATATTAATGCGAAATTCTAAATTTAGTTTAAATTAATGATTGGAAACGCTCAAATAAAAAGGAAGGATTTCAAATGAGAATTAACAATAATCTAATAAATATAAATTATAGAATTATATTCACAATTAATTATTATGTTTTTTTAGAGGTGTATTATTATTCAGTGATTAATGAAGCAAAAATTTGATTCATTATAATATTATATACATGAAGGAAGTGATTGACAATTCTAAGATAGTTGATGGAAAGAGAAAACGCGTAATGTCTGCAAATGGAGTGATGTACGTTGTAACAAAGGAACTAATGCGAGAATAGAGAACTTCAGTTCCTTAGGTTTAAAAGACAGTAGTAAAGAAAAAAGAAAAAAGTAAGGAGGTCAGAGAAAAGTCGTAATGCAAAAACGATAAAAGAGTGAGAATAACAAAGTCAGCTTTGAGAGAATTGATACAAAGTCACTTTATAGTAGTCGATGACGATGAAGAAGCAATGATCTAAAGCAGCAAGTATTAAATTGTACGATTTTAATAGATAATTTTAGAACTCACTGGTTGGAAATAAAAATAGACACAGTTCATCATCTAATTCTGAATTTGATTCTTCATCATCATCTAGGTACTTATCTATTTATAATATAACAAGTTATTGAGCAAGGGATTTTTGATGTTTAAATTATATATATATATATATTAAATATAGATTATTACGAATAAGGCACTAATGAGATTAACTCTCTCTCCGAATAACATGGTTGTACAAATCAAAAGAAACCCTTAATTAATCCTAACATTCAATCAAATAGAAAATTCTAAAGAATTGATTATAAATAAAGTTAACCTAAAACTTTTAAAGCTTTAGGGAAAGTTGACTTAGGATTTCAGCCTATAAGTTTATTGTTAGTAAGGGTATTTTGAAGAATGCAGAAATTCTGAATCTATTCATCAATTATTTTATTTAAGTTATTGAATGTGTATGAACAGATCAATCACACTATTAAATATAATCAGCTAAATAGAATGCCAACATTTTTTAACTGCTCTTACCTTTCTGTTAATTGTAAATTAAATGTGACAAATTTCGCCATTTTTTGAATTTAAAAATTCCTCTTTTCTTTTGGTGTTGAACAATTGGAGAATTTAATGCTTAAATTTGCTGTTTTAGAGATTCTATATATTCACGATTATCCTTATCAACTCCAAATCGAAATGGAGAAAATTTAAGAATAATTTATGAAATCAATAAATAGAATTATGATTTTGAATCCTATTGATAAAGGTATATGGAGAATAAAGGGAAATAACTTTAGTGGAATTCTAAGAATCCCTGTTTCTGAAAATTAATCGAATTAAAATATATTAATGCTAGAAGAAAAAGAGGCAAAAATGAATACTCTCAATTGTATTATAGAGTTTCTTTTCAAAATTAAGGCGTTGTGATTCTGAATAAAATCGAGTTATATAAGGATTACTGCTTTCGTATATATTCATAAAAGCTCAATTAGGTTAAAGTTATTGGGGCTAAAATTTTGAAGTATGAAATTCAAATTAAATCAAACATAATAATCTGTAGTGACCTTATTAAATATTCTTAATTCAATATATCTGATGTCAAATCAAAAATATATTATCTTTATGAGTGCGATTAATTGTTTCTAGAAAATTAAATCCTATTTCTAACATAATTTTCATAGGTTCATAAAAACAAATAGTGTTTTGATAATTGTAATAATGAAAAAGTAGAGGGATAATCTGAATAATAAGGTTTCGAAAATTTTTGGTGACTATTTACATAAATGTATAATATTTGTTTTATATGCAAAATACAAATATCAATATTTAATATATAATGCATAAAAAATAATTATAATTTTTCCATTATTATCCTCAATTAATTTACAAGTTTGTATTATATATTTACTATTAAATGATACAATATATTGAATCTGATTATTAAATTATTACGTATTTTTAATTCTTAATAAATTTGTGATGATGTCATTTCTTACATATTGAATTTTCAATTAGAATAATTATATAATAAAAAATGCATATAAGTCCTTTATTGATAACAACGTATATATTAAATCAATCTTTTGGAATGGGCCCATCATAATCTGCAATCAAATACATAATACTGGCAATGGCTACTACATTGTCATCCATATCATCTGGATCCATCATCCACATAGAATCACCAGCAGTGTGATGATAAGCGAAATAGAAATCATGATTTTCATTATCAGCTATTCTATTGTTCATCATAGGAGTTCCTGTGATTTCAGCCAAAACCCCACTATCAACAGATTCTCCATCATTTGGGTAGACTCGCTCAGCTCCAATACCAGTTAAATACTCTTAAGCCATATATGTAACTAACTGACTATAAAATGAATATAAGAGGATGTTACGTAAATTATTATCCAGCTGTAATGCCAAATCCATATGGTTTGGTAGATCCTAAGTCAGATTCGAATGCAATTATGTGATTCTCTTTACCATGATTAAGAGCATAGTGAAATCCTCCATTGTTTTTCTGACCCATCTCTTCACCACTCCAAGCTATAAACCTTATAGTTCTCTTTGGTTTGAGTCCCAATGAATTTAGGATTCTAAGTGCTTCTAAGCAGACGATAACACCGCCGCCATCATCATTGGCTCCTGTTTGTGATCCAACATCCCATGAATCCCAATGACCACCCATTAATAAGATCTCATCTGGATATTTGGATCCTTTGATTTCTGCAAAGAAGTTATCACTTGTTGTCTTATATTACTGTCCTCCTGTCTTAATCTCGACTACAACCTTTTGACCTCTCTGTCTCATTCTGTCTATCATATCTGCATCTTCAACAGTAATTGCAACTGCAGGTTTTTTGATATTTTCATAATCCGTCATTCCCTTTTAAATTTAATAAAAATTCATACCGTATGTGGTGATGCAATTGAAACGCTGGCCACACTTCTGATCATTGTACCAATTGCTCCTGCTTTTTCTGCTTCTGTAGGTCCTGCAAATCTGAAGGCTATGGCTGATCCATATCCATTCCATTCAAAATTGTAGCATACAATCTTTCCTCTCACATCCTTCTGTTTTAATTCCTCAAATGAATGAACAACCTCCACTTCTCCCTTCACAGTTCCAGCAGGTGTCCATCCAAGGCCAATCATGTTCAATTTTTAAGGAATCTCCCTTGGCTCGTACAATGTGACACTTTCCTCTCCTCTCATCCAAGATGTGATCTCCCCCAAATTCTCCTTCCACACTCTGTCAAATCCCATTTTCTCAATCTCCGAATAGAGTGCATCGACTGCATCAGCCATACTCTCTGATCCCCATAATCTGGGACCGAAAGTATCGACATAATATGCCAATCTATTGTAAGCTGAGTGGTAATGTTAGGTTTGGGGATTCTTTATTTATTCCCTTATTTACTTATATAATTATCATCAAACATTACCTAAATCACTCCTTCTGTCATTTTGTCCTTTACACTCCTCAACATTAAAGCATTCACACAAAATGTGAATACTAGTAATATAATAAATTTCATATTAAAATATAATTCTAAGAATTAATCGCAATTAATTCAATACTTTATTCAAGGAAATTCTGAATGGAACATTTAAGAGTTCTTTAGATTCATTTTTTTTAAGAATTTATTGTTAATATTACAAATTATGATTCAAAGGTCGTCGAGAGCAAAACGCTTAATAGAGGAAGGACAGTAAAATCTCTCTCTGAAAAAGTTGGTCAAATTTTCACATTATGAAACAATTTTCAAGTTTGTTTTCTTTCTTGTCATAAGTAAATTTATACCATTTAGCATCCCTAGTTGTTATCTCCCTATATAGTTTCGATATCATCTAATTTTAGCAATTCCTTCAAGAAAAGAATTTTCGAAGATTCGATTGGAAAGACATCAAATGGCTTTTTATTGGACTGATTCTGATACATGTAAAGGTGTATTCTTAGCATTAGATTACGAAAGAGATAAATAGGATGCTTGCCATTGGCTATGTTGAAAGAAGGTTAGATCCAAAATATGTAGGAACTGATCGATAATTACGAGTATAAAAAATTGTCAAATGGATTTATGACACTGTGTATTACAGCAGTGCTACTCTCTTCGCATTCATCACATTTCGAAATGAAAAATGGTTCCCAACCGAATTTGGTGGAACTAATTTTAAAGAGACTTTATATGATTTTCCTAATATCCCAGATGTACAATTATAAGTTAGTATCATATTAGAATCCTTGGGTTCCTGTGTATTATATGGTTCAGGCCTCAAGTCATGTGCATGCCTTATTGTTACTCATGGTTTATGGTACAAAAATAGAACTGAAGTATTGGGAATATTTATTACACCATTCACTTGCTGTTAGTTTACTTTACTTTTCAACAATGTATAATTGTGAGAATATTGGAATTGTGGTTCTACTACTCCACGATATCAGTGACATATTCTTGGCCTTGGGAAGAGCATATGGGGATCTTGGAAAGAACAAGATTTTAGTCTACCTTGGATTCTCCTCGATATAAATCTCTTGGTTGTACACAAGAGTCTATGTGTTCCCATTAAAGATTTACGATTGCATATTGAACCATCCATAATTCTTGCCTTATTGGTAATACTTATCAGATATCTTTAGGGATAGAACAAAACACGCCTATTACAATCAAATTGGACTGATGGTATTACTCTTCGGAATGCATGTTTATTGGACAATATTTATGGTGAAAGTAGGATTGGGCATCTTCTCATCTGGTCGTTATAAGAATATTTATGATAATAGAGAAAATAAGTTAGATCACAAGAAAGAAAATTGAAATATAATATTATCAATTCTTGATTTTCAATATTAAATTAATTCGTTAATTAAAATTCTATACTCAATTACTAAATATAATTTAATATTTCACTGTAATTAATAAACATAATTGTTTTGAAATCAATAGTGGGATTAATTAATGTTTATCTTTCTTAGTATTTTAGTTGGAATAAGATGGAGACAACAGATGATAGTCCACAAATTATTTAGTTTTTTGGTCGAAATAATAGAGCATTCTTTTTTTCATAGATGCTTCAATAATGAAACCTCGATAGATTCTATTCTAATTAACATCCACTAGTATTTATTTTGATGATTACTATCTCTTACTTTCAATAATTTAATTTCTTCAACTATGAGTAAACTATTGTAGATGAATACCCTCTGATAGCTCTTTCGATAATATGCATATCATAGATCTTACAAGAATGTAACTCTGAAATGAACAAAAATTTCCTCCTTCTTGGAATGAGTGTATTTAAATAAATATAAACTTTAATTAAATGAGTAGTACTAATCGTGCCTTTCGGATGAAATAAATGTAGAGTCCAAGGATGTTTTCTGATCACCCGCTTAAAACATTGCCTGATGAAAGAACAACGACGGTTTTCAACCAATCTCGAAAAATGGAATCACAGTCTAGTTATGATAATGTTAACAATATTCACTTATGCAAAAGGCTATTGAAAATAGACTCTACCACATCGAATAGTTAGCAGAATCACTGAAGTCAAGCACTTCAGTAGAATAGACCAGAATTATGAGCAGCTTACAGGAGATCGCCAAAACTCTTAAAAGCATTTCCAAAACTGAGATTGAATTAAATTAAAAGAACAAACAACTTGATCATGTTACCATGGAGGCTGTCATGTAAAAATAAACAATACAAAAATTAAAGGACTAATAAGTAAATTGATGAGAATGTATATTTAGAATCATTACAAAATCGACAATGAGGGATATTTAAAACAGTTGAGTCTCTCCTAGCAGGATTAGCATAAGTTATGCAGAGATCTGTTGCAGTAGAAAAGAGTGGGGGATGAACAGTATAAGAAAATCAAGTTCCTAGAGAAAAGGATAGAAATGATGTTGGAGAAAAATCTATATGTAAGAATTTCAATTGAGTTTACGATAGTCCCATTCCGAAGAGCTCAGGAATACATTGTCAGAATTGATCAGGGATAACGAATAACTCAAACGGGATCTAGTAAAAAAGGAGAAGGAGAATGAAAGACTCAAGGATTTAAATTCCAAATTACTTTAATAAAATAATAGATTGACAAAAAAGTTAGATTCCTTAAAAACCAAGAAAGTTGGGGTTAAAGAAACTGTAACTGAAAGTTAATAGATTTCCAATTATGCCTTCAATCCCAACTCCTTACCAAGCAATCTAGAATTCAGATTGAACGACCTTGATAATGACGATTGTGATTTCTTATTGGATTTAATTGAACATGGACCAGAAGTCTTTACAAATCAAGTTGTCACACTCGAGTCTGTTCAACAAAAAAAAGATCTAATCAATCTAGTGGCATGTATCCCATTATATGTAATCCAATAGCTCAATTTATAAGTGCAAGAGATTTCTCTGAAAAGATAAATTAAATAATGAACGAATTTATAACTATGATCAGTTACAAGAGCATTCAAGATTTTCAAATACATGTAAGCAAAGCATTTCGATCTATTTTTGGAACTGAAATAGTTCATCTATGGATAATTGACGGTATGACCTGTAGAGCTCAGACTTATGATTGCAATGGAGCTCAACACGTTGCCTTGCTGACTGATGGTGTCTTTAGTTAATTGGTATTTGAGGATTACGGGATAAGAAGTCCATCGAAAAAATAAGAACTGCTCTATATAACAGAGAACAATGAAGTTTTTGGCAAAAACTTTCTCTTACTTCCTATTATGGGAAATAGTTCAAAGCCTTGTGGAATTCTAGAAGTATATTCTACCATCATATTCATAGATTCAAAACATTTAAGAAAATTTATTCCTAGATTCTCAATATTATGGGTTATTGATCAATATGTTAAGTAAGTCAGTGGTTTAAAGTATTTTGGATTTCGAAGCCTTAGTTAAAGAGCTCAATTACAGGGATCTCTTCTATAGATGCTTCAATAGGTTGATCCAGTGTAAGGACAAAGACCATTTTTGTGCAGCATTACAAGAATCTGCAATGTAAATATTTCAAATCGCTTAAACCAAATTATTATTCATTGAGAATAATCAGTTTTCGATCTAAGGCAGATCTTATCAATTACAGGCTGGGTGTGCTTATTAGATTTATTTAAAAGGCAAACCTCAAATATTCACTTAAATTACTAGACAAGATCATTTTGATGAAAATACAGATATCTCCTCAATATTACCTGTGTTCATTGCACCAATCTATTTGAATGACTAAGTTTCAGCCATCTTACAATTTATACTAAAGAGGAAATAAATGATTGATAAACATCCATTTGGAAATTAGGCTAATATTGGGTTCAGATTAGACACCATTGATTAAGACGCCCAGAAATTTTATGAAATAGTATAGAATGCCTTTTAGATTGTATTTAGATGATGTTATTTATATATATAATATTTATTTATTTAAGTATCTAAATCAAATTAAAATTCACTTTTATTAGTCTTAATTTTATTCAATCTATGATAATGAATCAAATTAGGAGGGTTATCTTATACTTCTATCTAGATTCTTTTAACTCTATCCAATTTGTAATCTCGAGAATTCTGATTAAGCATTTGACAGATCCAGATTTCTTTTGCTCATTGGATCAAACTTAGATTACTATTTAGATGTGAGATCATATTTAGATTGTTAGTTGGATGTAGGATCATTATTTTTGAGATTTCTTTAAGATGTTGGATCCTTATTGGAGAATACTAAATTTGAATAAGCTTGAGATTAAACTTAAGGATTCGACCCATGTGATATCACGTTATTAGAATATCGATTAGATTGATAAGGTTCAGGTATATTTTTATTTTGGTACAACTTCTATAGTTTTTCAAGTTCTTCATCATAATTATAGACTGATGATCTTGAGAGACTGCTTTTAGAAGTTTCAAATTTCCATGCATTCTACATCTCTTTAATTTCAGTTTTAGATAAATCTAATTAATCCAGAATGGTTTTCTGTTTTCTGATTTCATCAACTTATTGATCAGTCTTGAATTCAAATGGATCAATAGTTAAATTGACATTTGCAAATTAGAATTTATACTCATGTTTGTTTTGTTAAATTTAGAATCTTTAATAATCTTCTTTCCTTTCTTGAAGCTTGTTTTTAATTGGGATGATATCTTTCAGTTCCTTCTTTTGATTGTATAAAGCAATTTCTAACTACTGATTTTATTCTACAATCTTTTTTTTGGTAATAGCTTGCAATTTCAATATTTCTTGCTTTTGTACTTCTACCATCCCATTCAGAGCAGTGTCTTTCAATCGTTAATTATATTCATCTATTAATTTATAGTATTCTTATTTATCATTATTGTAATAATATTCCATTAAATAATCTAAATATTCCTTATATCTTTGGAATTTAACTTAAGTGAGATATTCTTGGGCTATCTATTCATCAAGAGGATTATACTTGGTTTATAATTTAGTCTCATATTGTTGCATCTTCTCATCCTATTCCCTCTTCAATTCTTCTAAGACTTCCTGTCTGATTTGTTATTTGGCATCTCTCAGTAAGTTTTCAAATTCTTATTTAGTTATTACATCCTCATTAACTCTATGATCTCTTCTTGGAATTTCTTGATTGTAGATTTGCTATTTCAGAAAGGATTGAGCATTCATGGATATCCCTGACTAAGAACTGCTTAATGATTGATTCAACTGGTTTTATCCCATAAGTGATAGAATACTAATGGAACTATCAGGACTGGTGGGTTGATTAAACTTAATGATTGATTCATTCCTCGATTTGAACTAGTCTTTTATTTTATTCACTTTTTCGAATGAATCCGAATTCATTTGTTATTTCCATTCATCATAACTTAACAATTTGTCCATCAATTTCGGTTATTATCTCTATTGATTGGTGATGTAAATATTATCATTGTAACATTTTTGGATGAACCATTTTATTTTCTCTAACAATTATTTAGCATCTGATGATCTGATCTTGATATTTTCTATTCTCTCCACATTGTTGCTCTCATCCATATATTTATAGATAAAATCCAGCAACAATGCTGATCTAATTAAGGCTGTAGCATCCTACTTGATTTCCTTTAACAGACAACACTCGACAGAGAAGGTCTACTGAAAATAATGTAGGATAGTTCTTGTCACTATCTCATGGTCATTAAACCTACTTTGAGGATGAGTCTAAGGATCCAAAATGTAGCATTTCCTCGTTGAAAAATGTATTATATATAGAAAATACATGTCTTTGTAGGAAGTGATAGCTATGACTTGATCGATAATTGGCTTGATATTGAAATTTTCCTTCAAATTCTTCAGCTTGTAACCTCTTTGAATTGGAATATTCTTTATTCTATCAAATTGAGGCAACAATTCAAAATAGCACATTTAAAACTCAAGATGATAACTGTTGTCCTTAGTTTAGAATGCTTCGTAGTAATTGAGTAAAAAATTAATGTAGTAATGCTAGCAATCCTCACTGTATTTCAAAGCACTTCATAAACTAAATAATGAAACTTACAAGGACTTGAATGTAACATAGTTTGGCCCCAATTGTAAGCAGATAACTACATTCCCAGGAATAGGCTTATCTACTTTGGAGAGTGGCTGAAATTGATTAAGTTTTAATAATTACATTATATAATGGACCTTCCAATAAATAACTTCAAGGGTGTCAATCTATATAACTAATCATATGAAAATGTGATTGTTCTCAAAGAGAAGCATTCCATGCAAATAATCAAACACACTTTCCTATTTTAGAGTTAAATCCTATGATTAATTGGATTACTAGAAGGTATGAGGAACTATAGTGTTTAGTTCTCTAGTTATCCAATTTTAGGAAGAAATGAGACATTTTTGTAAGAATTCAAATTGATAAATTCACTAAAAGGGATATACAAAAGAAGAGTAATAAGTTGATAAAATGAAAATTATGAGAGTATTAGACATAGCATAGCAACAAAAAATAGAATGATGAGATAAGATAATAAATAAAGGAAGAATAATCGAAATTGAATAATGCATCAAGATCTGATTGATTAATTCTATTGCCATCGTAATCCATCTATTTGATAAATTTGTTTTAATTATAATAAATTAATGGAGTTTTTCGAGTAATTCAACAAGAAGGAAATTACAGAAGTGCAATTTGTAGAATAGTTGTAGACTCTAACCACAAAAATATAAAAGAAAAGCACATTGTCTTTAGAACAAATTCTTTAAGTAAATTAATAAATAGATAAAATCGATGATTCATGTTTCAATTCTAATGTTGAATTATTCATTAAATTCGCCCTCTATTTATCAAATCGAGGAGTCTATGAGCTTTTGTATTAGTTGAGTTGGGATAAGATCCTATATCAAAAGGATAATGCAGATGCAAATTTATTAGGATTATACATCATTAAACGAGTATACCATTCTGAAAATCATAAAGTCCTCATTATCTTTTTAAACGAGTAAAATTACTATAGATAATTATTAGTATATTACGGTAATAAAAAACAGTTGAAAAGAAGTTTGTACTTCTAGAAATATTTGTATAAATACTTCCAAAAATAGAGAAAAGAGAAATTCATTTAGCAGTTATTTTTCCTGTTATACTAATGGTAATCAATGAAGGATTACAGAAATTCTTGAAATATAAATAATAGCAAATTCAGAACGATTTGAACGAAGACAATAAGTTCACTAAATTGTACATGAGCAATTTTCAAAATTGGACTGTCTCATTCTTCAAAAGAATATTCGATTCAATTAAGAAGTTCCCTGAAATCAAAGCTTAATCTGTAGCCATACGAGAATTATATGGTATCGATACCAAATACGATTACTTTGATAATTAATTAAGCAGAAAACCTGAAGATCCAAAGTTAATCGTGAAACACTACATTTTGTTATTCCTATCAGATCTTATCTAGGGAATCTTGGAATCTGAGTAATCTATGAAGGACTCCCAATTGGATCCAGAGATAATATAGACACTACTCAAACAAGCCAATCAAATGATCTACGAGATTCATGACAACAAATTAGAGATAATAGAGAACTATATAAATTGGATCAGGTTTAGCATTTAATTTGATTAAGAATTGCCACAATAATATTAACATTATTCAAGTGAATAAACATACAATCCTGCATTTGTTTGTTATTTAACCAGAGAATTGTTGACTACTACTAGTTTAGAGTCAATATTGACTGTGGATTACAAGTTAAAGATTCTGATAGGAGTGCTGTATGAACAAAAGAAACTATCAGCTTTGAAATGTGATATACAGACCAAATTAATTGATTTGATAGTGAAGTACTTGAATTTAAGAGATGTTTCAATTAAATTGAGGGCAGCTAATCATTTTACAACTCCCTTTGATATCATTATTATGTTAATAATGGAGAAGGCAGGATCAGGGTTGGCTGATGAAACACCTTACCTTTCTGCCTGGAAATAAGCTTAAAGTTCTTTTTTGCCTGAAGTTTGGACAAGGATACTAGAATAATGCATTAATAAATCTCAAAATTATGTTTTGCTTTCACATCTAGTAAATCATTTTAGGAGTGCCATTACAAAGTTAGACAACCAAATATTATTGAAAATCTATGATATTCTCATACAAGCAATTTACAGAAAGGAGATAGGGAACATAGATGCTAAAGTGTTATTATTTGATTCAGCCACGCTTTTAATTTAATAGTTGGTAATTATTTGTATAACTACTATAATAGATTTTGAAAAAGGCTGATTTAAAAAAGATATTTGATTAGAAGTGGAAACCTTTGTTAAAGAAATACGAAAAGGATCTACAATCATCGATAGATTATTTAGAAGCAAGAAAGAAGGAAGGGGATGAATAAAAGTTAAAGGATGATTAGGTATTTTAGTCAATTTTGGGATAGGAGAGGAATTTAAAAATTGCTTATTATAATTTGAGTAAGGTATTGGAGTGAAAAGATGAATATATATATATATAAATATCAATCATTAATTCAAATAATTTCTATTAGAAATTTGGACTCCATGAAGATGGAAGTCTTTAGTTATTATAGCCAATTCAATATGAATGTTTCCAGTTGATTCAACTTTAAAACCAAATCTGCTTTCCCCAGAAAATAATAAATCTCTATGAACCAATTCAGGATAAGCACCAATGAGTTTGTCGAAGAAACTAGCTTCTGGTCTCCAACAGGCTAATGATGGATAAATATAAATTGATTACGAATATCAAATTAATATTCTCCAGGTTCAATGGGAAGAGAAGTGAGACCATAACCGCCAAGAGAATTCCTGCCATGATCATCAACTTCCCAGACTTCCACAAGTAATTTTGGCCATCCTCTCACTGATTTGGTCACATAATTCAAATCAATTGGATGCTCAAGAGGTATAAATTTTGAATTCTATGAGGATGATTAAAATGTTTCCCCTTCTTCCTATCCTGATATCTTCTTCCAGTGATCTCCAGCTCTGAAGAAATATTTGACATAGAGAGAAGAATGATTAAAATTGGTGGCCCCAGCTATTTTGCCAACTATGAAAACTTGTGGACTGTCTGCAGACATTTTAATAAATTGAATAAAAAATATATTAAATCAATAATGTAATATATATGAGATATGGTATTCAAACTTTATGTATGACAATTCTCATTCTTATTCTTTATTGCCTTCATATTCGTAATTTGGTATTTGATCATCAATATGTTGAGCCAAGGACACACTCAAAGGCATATCACCATATTGAAGAACCCTATCTGTAATATTGAAATTCTCTTAATCCTCAAGTACTGATTCTGTTCTATTTATAATTGTAGTAGGGGTGTTTTTCTTTCTGTTTTTAATTTCCTATTTCTTGAAATAGACTGCAATCAACATAAACAGCAATCCAGCAAAAGAGTAGTACATCAAAGTGATGACAGCCACCTTTGCATTATATCTTTCCATGAGAAATCCATAAATCGAAGGTGCTGGTAAAAAGCCAAACAAATTCTAAAACATCGTAGTATTTGAATTCGCAAAGGCCTTCAAGTGTTTAGGAACAGATGAAAGCATGATTCCCATCAAAGGAGGAACAATTGCTCCCCCGAAAAACAATAGGAACCAAACACATAATGCTCCGAACCAGAATGTCTCTGTGAATGGAACTGGAGTAGCACTCAAACAGCAAATAAAACAGTAAACTACACAAATGTAAAGTGACTTGGTTCTTTCATAACCTCCTAATTTCTAAGCTATCAATCCTCCTGTAATACAACCAAAAACTGGCCCTGTTATTGAAACTACTGCAAAAACTATATTAACAGTTTTCTAATTTTAATGCATCTCTATTATCATATAATCAGTCATCCAAAATTGTATCCCTGTTACTATGAAGTACAATATGCTGATCACTATTGTGCAACACAACCATAACCTTATCGAATATAATTCTTTCATCATCTGCCAATATGACTTATGAGAGGCCATACTCAAAATTGAAGCTCCCAAGTCCTCTGGGTTCACTGAATTTTTGTCTACCTTGCTCCTTTTGGCTCTCTTTATTTCGAAATCCTTTGTTCTTACAAACAACATAAAAAATATTGCACATGGAAGTAACAATACCACTTAAGCATAGAATGCCAATTGCCAACTCCATATATTCGAAATCACACTTGACAACACATACCCAACAAATATTCCCAAAGGAATCACTCCTTACAATATTGTCAACCAAATGGTCTTTGATTCTTCACCAAAGTTGTCCACCCACACTGGAAAATAAATCATCATAGGGGCCTAATCGATATATCACCCTTTCTTACCTAAGCACAACCTGTTAAGAATCTACTCAAATAAAACAACCAACTGCTCTTGTAATGTTGAGGAAACATTAGTAAAGAACCCAACATTCCAATGTAACTAATTGAGATTATCATCTTGGCATTAAAATGTATAAAAAGTTTCCCTCCAAATAACCCAACCAACGATATACCGGCGTAAACTAGTGATCCCAAGTATCCTAATTCTTCAGCACTCAAGTCCAGAGACGCCTCTATCTATTGAGTTGCTAAGAAAATTATATTAACATGGAAATTACCTGCAGGAATGATACCGTGGTCTAAGTTTATAAGGACATTTGTGCTAAGGATTAGAGAAAATATCCACTTATACTTAATTTCCATTATTTATTTTAACTAATTTTAAAATCACGTTATGAATTGCATAAATTTCATTATAAAATCCATTACTTCTGAATCACTTCATTCGAACATCTACTATTACACAACTTTATAACTCCTCTTGACTAATATATAACTGAGAAACAAATTGCAAATATGTTTTTATTAAATCTTTTAAATATATAATATTATTAATCAAATATTAATCAAAATAAAACTAAGAAGTTTTCTCTATTTAAGGTTTTATTCTCTTTAATTATTTTAGAGACTCCATATTCAGTTTCATTAATGTCTATTACAAATTAACAGCATATGAAAGAAATTCCAATGAACACGCTATAGAGATTGTAATATAAAATGTTAGTCTCAATGTCTAATAGTTAAACTGATTTTCAATGCTTCACCTATTATTTTCTAATGTAGTGGAATGTAATTCTTATGGTTCTTTAAATGTACTATGTTCTTCATTGCAGAAATAGTCTTAAAAGGCTAAAGAAAATTATAATTATATTTATTTTAAATGGGAGATAAAAAGAAAAAGGGAGATCAAGTAGAAGATTTCTCAACAGAACAATTAAATAAATTATATCGGAAGCGAAGCGAAATTAATGGAGTTCCTCTATGCAAAATTTTCAAAGAAAGGTTGGAAGCTGTGTGCTCGGAAGGGGAACATTTATAAAATGTAAAACTTTGGGAAGAGATGGGACCTGTCGGGGTTAGAGCAATGATGGAGTCATTTACTGAAATAGGCTATAAACATCTGAAATAATTGAGGTTATGGAGAGTGAAATGTCAGGATGAAGGAGTCAGAACAATATGCTTATATATTGATAAAGTTAGATTACTCGAAGTTTTAGATCTCTTAGATAACTAAATCGGGGTATTAGGTATTAGCCGTTACTATTATAGGGTGTAAATTCTTAGCAGACATTCTGCATCCTAAGTGTGAAAGCAAATTAGTAAAACTGAAATTGGATCACAATCAGATAGGTTCAGAAGGTTTGGCTGAGCTAACTAAAGGGTTAGCCATGAATAATACTTTGGAGAGCTTGGCATTGAATTATTGTGGTATAGAGGCTGATGGGGCCAAATACCTTTAGGATATATTGGCCAATGTTAATAGCAAGTTGTATAAATTAAAGTTGTGCGGAAATCGTCTTAAAAATGAAGGAGCATATGAGTTATTTAGAGCATTGGAAATTAATAATACTCTAGAGAGAATTAAGTTAGCCGATAATCAATTCCATTCAGATCCAAGTGATCCAACCTTGATAAATAAAATCCTCTCTACTTTTGAATTAAATAAAACACTTGGATATTATGATCTCAAATTCAATTTACTCAGTGATTAGGGTATATACATATATATCACTAGATGCCACTAGAATAATCCCATTAATCGAAAAAAACAAATCTATATTCTTCATTGAAATTTCAGATTAAATATCCAAGCCTTTGACTGATAAATTAAAATCACTCACGAAGAAAAGGAAGCCAAAGAAGAAGAAGAAGAGTAAGAAGAAGAAGTGAATAAATTATAAGAAAAAATAATATGGATCATGTTATTTTTTTGTATCTGATAAAATATATCTCCTCTAAAGTTTCATACTATAACCGACGTGGCGAAACCTTCTTTATTTACTCAGATACCCTTTTTAACTGTAATTTCAGCATCTGGTTTTTTCTTTCGATATTTCTCATATGCTAAGGTTTCTTTTAATATCTATCTGAAGGTATTTGATTTGAATATATAAAAGAAAAGTACTTTTTGCAATTATCCTCAGTCGAGCATGTAATTTCCTTATTTAAACTTAATGATCTGTAATCATAAATTTAAGGTAGCGATAAATGTTCATCATGTTATACGGCTAACTTTTTTTTATAATAATTCATAAATAGTATGAATATATATAATTATCATATAAAGACAGCTTATTTTTTCATTGGTGCATCTGACTAGGATTATTATTGTTATTGTTATTGCTATTATTATTATTGTTGCTGCTTTGGCCATTTTTACTTCTCAATATCGACATTCATACAACAGTCCTTATAGGTTTTATTTGAGCCACAATTGCATTTTTTATTCTTTTTTTACTTTAGTTAATATTTTTGGAGCTCTGCTTATTTCATAGCCTCTTTTGCTGCCTTTTCAGCTTCTTCCTATTCTCTTAGGGTCTACAAATATTCTCTTTCTTCAGGATCCTCAATTTACTCTAAATCATCGAATTAATCAAAGTTATCCTCATTTCCCAAAGGAGCTTATTAAAAAGTATCCAATAATCCTTCAAATATATCCAGTGGGATTGGTTCTGCTCTTGTATTACTGTCATCTCCTAACATTCTTACAGAACTGTAATGCTCAGCAACATTTTCTATTAGATGATATGCTAAATGAAGAGCGTCTTTCTAAAATTTCTATGATCAAGACTTTACCTCATTCAATGGTCTTTCATCAGTCATTGACTTGATAATCATGCATGGTCTTCCTTTCATATGAATGAAAAAATTCACATCCAAAGCTTAAGACAAGGCTTGCAATTCCAAATTACCTCCCCATTCTCCATCAGATGACATCTCTTTCAAGTATTAATCGAAGGTCATGTCATCCTCAATGAAGAGTCCAAAGAATTCTTAATTCTCTTGCATTGTTTAAACTGCTAATCTTCGTAATTATTTGTGATATTTTTCATCTCCGTGGAGTACGTCTGCTATCGATCTAAAAAGACAATTTCCATCTCCCTCCACATCTCTGATTTAGAGTCCCAATTGATTCATTTCATCTTAAAACTCTTAAAAGTGTTTGGCATATCCTAAGCGATTATCTTTTATTTATGATACCTTTAAGTGAACGAGCTTATCCTCTCTGTTTTTTTAGTTGCTTCTTTGTTTGTCTTTGTTGTTGCTTGTCCTTCTTAATTTACTACTGTTTTTCATATTTTTACTAGTTTTTGTTTTTTTTCATTATTCTTTAATATATTTAATGAGTAATATTTATAAAGGGACTTAGCTTTTTTATAGAAGGATGCTCAAAACTATGATGAAAACGTTTAATGGGGATCCAGAGATGTTCCATCGAGTGAGGATTGAATGTCGCAATAAAATCAAAGAAAATGCAAATGAGACTGATTAAATCAAAATACAGAATCACATTTTTTTTGGGGAGGAGGCTCGAGAATTCTTAGAGAATCATTTGATTTCTGGAAAATTAATGCCAAATGGAAGATATCGATTTAAGGCCTAACCTCAACACAGCATGAATGATCCAATAAAGCAATGAGTTTTAATTTGTTTGATTAACACAATTAAGAATAACTAGAATTACTATTTCATATAATTTATAAAAATAATTAGTTTATTGAAATTCTCATTTTCTTTATTTAAATTAATAAAATATCTCAAAATAGTGGCTCATGTAAAAAGGATTTCAAAAATAAATGAATTTTATAAATTATTTAAATGCAACAGTTGAGGGGTAGCCATTTCTAATTAGGACAGACGGATCAAAGTAAACGTTTATAGATTTTCCTTAGAGAATCAATTCACATCAATAATGAAAATGAATTATCAAGGAGATTAAGTGAATAATCCAAGTGGGACAGGAGACAAATTAAATCTGAAGGGAGTTCATTTTCAATTAGGAGAATCCAAACGTAATTTTTATGTCAAACAACATGACAGCATTATATAGAACAACCTTCAAAACTGATTTTTAGGGAAAACAAATTGGAGTACCTGCTACATTAAATTAAGAAAAAAAAAATGATTTAAGAACCAACCATTTTGTTCTTGGCCATCAAGATGCTCAATAAGTCTCTGTCACCAAGGCAACCTATAATGAAAAACCATTGCAGCCAGGTTTATAAAATGAATAAGAAAGTACTCTCTCAATCTATCATCGTTAGTTCAAAAGACAAAAATGAGATCTCATCATCATAACTTTGCAGAAACCACTCATAAAATGATGTAGTCCAATTACTATGAGCAATACTAGCCTCAATAATTAGAACCAAAACAAGATGTCACAGAGAGAGCAAGATAACTTAGAGTTTCAAACATATTTCTTGGCTAAGAGGTAATAGTTCTATATCAAACTAATTAGTAACTTCCTATGATTACTGCTTCACAAGAATATCACAACAAGAAAGAAGGAGGACTGTAGCCTTCTTATTAATCAGCCTTCCAAACAAAGAATTTCAATTTAGGAACAGCACTTCCTGAATACCAAACTATCAATTAAGAATATTATTAGAGATACCAAGTAACTTCAAATCCGTTTGCTGAAGAGAATAGATAAAATTTGAGGGGTAACCGATTTATGAATATCATATTAGCCACGCATTTCACCTTAGGGAAAGACAATCAACCTTACTCATCTGAAACTAAGTCTCATTATAGACCTTACTCAGAAAATCATGTCAAATTTCCAAATAATACAGTTGCATTATCAGGAAGTCATTTTACAATAGGAGATCCTAGATTTATGAATCACAAGACTTAATCCTTGTATACAAGTACAATGAAACCTCCTGAACTATCATCCAGCTTTCAAGCTCGTGATTAGTAGATGGACAGAGGGTCCAATTTCTAAATTGGCAATGAGAATATAAGATATAAATCAGAAATGCAATCCAAGTATCTCTATAAATTTGATTGCATTTTCTAGTTTCAACAATCCATTAGGATAAGCCGCTTAATTAACAGATAAATAATTGAAAGATTTGAGATCCTCTCATTTTGGATTGAATGATCATAGTGGCAAGAATACTTATGTGACAACTAAATAGATGGAAGCTCTCAATTATTAATAAGGATATCCTAATAAATTAGATCCCCTTGCAAGTGCCAATTTGAGGTATAAATAGAGGTTATTGAGATAGATCACATCATTTTACCTTAGGACAAAATAGAGGTGATTTAATATCATAAACACATGATATTCACAGATATTTGGATGGAAAACCAAATGTTCTAAATTAATAGTAAGCAAATAACTTAAGAAGACATCATTTTTCATTGTCATGATATCATTATTTAAATAGAACTACATTCATCTGTTATTAGGCTTTGGTGTAAGCTATTGTAGTGTAAAATCAAAATGCTATCTTAATTTCTCTAGTGATGTATTTGTTTACAAGGCAAATTTGTCTTGAAATCTTTTCTATTCCTTCAACAATTTATCCTCCTATTTCTTCACTTGGATTCTCCTCAGTTGATCTTAAGAATCTTAAGCTAATTTCTTTTAATCCATTAATGACTACTGTAATAATACAACCCTTTGTTAATGAATTTCTAATTCTTCTAATAAATCAGTAATCGATTATTTCTATATTCAAATATTAAATACATTGTTTAAGTTCTCTTATTTCAATCTTAGAACTTAGTCATCCATATCGTTAAAATCATTTCTATATGATAAGGCTTTCTTATTATAATCTTCCTCGTCCTCATCTGAACTATTATAATAATATATAAGTGTTTTAGCATGCTTTTCTAAATGCATTACAATATAAGTTAATTAAACAATTATATATATTTAATGTATATATGTCAATAACCCCTTCATAGATCTAAATCTTATTTCTTGTTCTTTTTAGACTTTTAGTTCCTCTTTTCAATTTCCTGTTTCACTCTCTCTAGGTCCTAGAATATTTCATCCGTTATACCTTATCGACCTAATGTGAACCAGCTTGATGTTTTTTAGCCTTTTCAGCTAGAACCTTTTTGATATCCACTTTGTCGTTGCTATTTCCTTATTCGGTTTATGGTTAGACTTGCTATTGTTGTTGCTACTGAGGTTGTTCTGGTTACTTTTCTGCAGGTGCTGATTCTTTATTTTTATTTTTCTTTTTCTTCTTCTTTTCTTAAGCTCCTTCTTCCTTACCGTCTTCCTTATTATCTCCTTTTTAAGTAAATCCTAATTCATTTAATATTGCATCTAAATCTTCAGTCTCTTTCTTTTTTTATTCTTTCTTTTTTGGTTATTATTTTTCCTCTTACTATTGTTTTTATTTCAATACTTCATATTAACAACAAATATTACTTTGATATTAGTCTGCTTATTCTTGTTTTTGCTCAGCCTTTTATTCTGATTATTGTTCTGTAACAGTTTCCTCTTAGGGTTTTTATCCCTCCTACTCCTATTATTCACTTTCATCATCACTATTATACATCAAACCCTAGAAATTGTTTTTCTAAGAATATCAATGCATCATTACGCTTGGTTTAATTCTTCTTGCCTCTAATGCTGCTTATTACTCTTTTTGTATTTATTCTGCTTATTTCTTTTGCAATTCCTTTAACTTGACCCACTCTGGCTTATTATTTTTGTGATAAGGCTTTTTAGCTTATTTCTTGAACTCCTTATTCTAATCGGATGGTTGAGTCTCTGCTTTAATTTCTTAATCTGGAGCCTTCTCAACAACAGGCTAAACCTAATCTTCATCATCAGAGATTTCTGCCCAATTAACATTTGTTGCTGTGGTATTCTCAGTCATTTTAAGATATCAATTTTTAAATATTTATAATACTCAAACAAATTCAATTTTAAATTATTTTATCAAAGAATACACACTCTAATATACTCAATTGTGTAAATCTTTATCATCGATTGCTTCACTCAAGCATTGATCAGACTAGGAGGGTAGAGGATTGGTATTTCATTTTTCTATTTATAATCTTTTTAATCTGTTTTGAGGAAATCAATTGCGATTTCATTTAAATTTACATAGTTCATCAAATATCAATCATCTGTCTAAATTAAATAAAGGCTGAAGTTGTCTTAAGTAACAATTTTTTAACCTAAGTATTTTTGCTTTAGCATTGTAATATTATATAGTGTTTAACATAAAATCACTTATGCTAAATGATCAATCCTATTTTTATAGTTAGATGACTTGGAAACAGCATCAAGCACTGTTAGTATAAGGGTAGTATACAAGGTTGCCATCCTTGTGACACGAGTTCGAGTCTCGTACAGTGCAATTTTTTTATTAATTTTTTAACTATTCTTTTATTACTTAATAATTTTATTACAAATCCCAACACTGATGTCTTGTATTTTTCTTTTTTTTATTTTTCCTATTTATGTGCCTTTAACTTGAATGGTTAAATCTAATAAAAATTAGACATATTAAATACTTTAAATTCTGAATTTTGAATAGGCAACTAGAAGAATTAATTTTGAATAGTGAGATATTAAAATATAGTAAAGATTAGTTATATGATGAAAATTGAAGAATTATAACAAATGAAATCAAGAAGATATTTAAATTAATACTAAAATATATTTATTTTTTTAAAGAACATACATTTATCCTCCTTTTTTATTACACCAATATAGCATATAGTAATACTATTTAGAATTCTAAGATTTAACATATAAATGACATTTTAGTAAAGTCCTTTATATTTTCATAAAATCAAATTGGTAATTCGAACTGATATTATAATGCTTTTATAATAAATACCAAATTAAGGAGGTTATGAGTAAATCCCTAAGTTATTTTATGTGTTTCAGCAATATATTGTAAAATTAATAGTTTTAATATTAGACAAAAATTAACAAAATAAAATAATTATTATAATTTTTATAATAATTATTATATATATTATAAAAAGATATTATGCCATAAATATATTACGTATTATAATGATTATTCATATCCTCTCAAAAATATCTTGAATATATTATAATAAAAATTCAAATTCATGTACGTAAAGCCAATATCCTCTCTTACACACATAGGCAGATACTATGTGCGCATCATAAAGGACTTGAATGTCATCAAACAGATTCCAGCTGGATCTACTGTGCTTGTTGGTGGATTCGGATTGTGCGGTATACCTGAATGCAGCATCAATGCCTTAAAGGAGGCTGGAACAAAAAATCTGACTGTAGTTAGTAACAATTGTGGAACAACTGACTTGGGATTGGGATTACTTTTGAACAATGGATAATTGAAAAGAGTGGTTGCATCATATGCAGGAGAGAATCACAACCTTGCCAGGTAATATATAATATGCTAACAATAGGTAATACTTTGATGGTACCTTGGAATTGGAATTAGTCCCTCAAGGCACTTTGGCAGAGAAGCTAAGAGCAGCAGGCGCTGGTATCCCTGCATTTTACACTCATACTGGTACAGACACAGTTGTTGAAAAGGGAGGAATTCCAATCAAATACCACAAAGGAGGTGATCGTGTAGAAATAGAATCTAAACCAAAACCTGTATGAAAATTTCATTATACTTAGGTTGAATACTTTAATGGAAAGAAATATATTAGAGAAGACTCAATCTGGGGAGACTACGCAATTATCAAAGCAAACATGGCTGATACGAATGGTAATCTCAAGTTTGTTGGGACAGCCAGAAACTTTAATCAAGATATGGTTAAAGCAGCTAAGGTGGTTATTGCTGAGGTCGACACAATAGTGCCTGTTGGTAGCTTTGGTTTCGATGAGGCCCATGTCAATGGAATTTATGTTGATTACCTCTATCAAGGAAATAATTACTTAAAGACAGTTGAAAGACTTGTGTATGACTAGAGTGTGTATGACAAACATAAGGGTATGATATTGATTATATTGTTTAGATATCAAACCACAAGGAAAATTGAATTAGACTAGAAATAGAATTGCTAAAAGAGCAGCCCAAGAATTCAAAGATGGAATGTATGTTAACTTAGGTATTGGAATTCCAACTCTCATTCCTGCTTTCCTTGATAAAAGCATGACCATTCACTTCCATACAGAAATCGGAGCTATCGGAGTAGGATCCTATCCTAAATTGGGACAAGAATTGGGAGATCTCTAAAATGCAGGAAAAGAATCATGCACTCTCAATCCAGGAGCCACTACTTTTGAAAGCAGCGAATCATTTGGTATCATCAGAGGAGGTCATTTGGATATGACTGTTTTGGGAGCTATGCAAATTACTAAATAAGGTGATATTGCTAATTGGGTCATTCCTGGAAAAATGGTTAAGGGAATGGGAGGAGCCATGGATTTAGTTGCCTCAGGATCCAAAGTACTTGTTGTGATGGAACACACTGCCAAAGGAGAAGTCAAATTTGTTAAAGACTTACAATACCCAGCCACAGGAATGAATAAAGTCAGCTAAGTTATTACCGACAAGGCTGTCTTTGTTAAAAGAGATGGACAATTAGTATTGACTGAAATTTCAAGTGACACTACACTAGAGTGGGTTAGAGCTAATACAGGATTTGAATTAACAGTTGCAGACGACTTAAAATCCTTCTAAGTTTGATTTAATATAAAGTTTTTAATATATTGATAAACTCAAAAAAAAATTGTTTCTTCAATAAATTTGAATATGATAACTAAATAATCATTCATACAAAAATCTTAGATATTATTGAAAATCTGTTTGAACTAAAATTTTCTATATGTTAGCTCCATAATCATTATGCTTCTGAATCAAATTACTCAAATTATAATTCTCTATTCTTCTGTACCCTTTTTTCACCTCATTTAATCCTAGATAATTCTAAAAACTTACCACAAAACTAATCTAATAATCTAAATGATTTGTACATCAATTTAATTACCATGTCATTTTTACTATACACATTGCATATCCTACCTTAAACACAATTCCATCTCCGTTTTTGAAGTTTTCTAGTGTCCACTATTCCCCCTAATATCAATATTTCATTAATAGCATGTGAAGTATTAGATAGATTATCAAGTTCTTTCATCATTTCATACATCACTGTTGAACCTACTGAATGAGCAATAATGTTAATTTAATAATCTCCAAATATCTTTTTACTAATTAATAGATGAGCCAAGTATCTCCCAACACGTTTTGCTTCTTCCTAAGTTTATTCAAACGGGGCGCTTGTCAAAGCCTTAAATCCATTTACAACTGCTTCCAATGGAGATTTTAAGATAATTTACTTAACAGCCTCTACTAGTTTCTCTTTTACAGTATTTTCTTCTTTTGGATTATTCCAATTCAAAACTATAAGATTGTAATCTCTTAATCCTTCTAATATACTGTTCTATGCCTCTATATCTGTAAACCCTGAAATGAATAGAGTGATTACAGATGATTGCACCAACTCAGGAGTTCGTTTTTCAAAATACATTCTCTCTGGGATGTTGATACTTGCTAAATAATCTTTTTATATCTAACTCAATAATATCTTTATTTGGTTTATCTAATTCTCCATTTACGAAGCATTTGTCAAATGATATATCTCATTTCTTTTATAAAATGCTTCCTAACTAAATTATTATGATTGATCTAATTTGTCATAAAGTTAAATGGGAAAGTGTTGATCTTAAATTTCTACCTATATCTTAATTTCTTATTTCTACTTTTCAAGTTACTTACTTATTTAATTAATAATATCTCCGACTGTGCTCTCGAAATTATTAATTAAGCGACAGTTAAAATACCCATAACATGCTTCTTTCATTAAATTGATTATATTCATCAAAATAATTTTTTTGGCTGCCTGATATTAAGAAATCAATAATTAATCATTCACAAAATGAGTACCATTTAAGAGAATGAATAAATCAAAAATTAACTATAGATTTTACTATTCAGTTATCGAATTTTTCCAAAATTGATTAGCCTATTCTATTTCGTTCCTGTATATATTTCTTAATTTAATTAAAGTTTATTTTACATCTTACGAACAATCTATTTTTGTAATTTCAGTATATTAAGATAGTAGAGCCAAAATGTTCAAGATTTCCTATTATTCCAAATCAACTTACAACAATAGGTAAAATAATTAAGAAGCAAATTCTTTCTCCTTAATTAAAAGGAACTCCTTTTTCTAAAAATATTAAGAGAATAGCTACCAAGATTTCAATTACAATTCCTCATATACCTTCTCATGTCTCAAGAAGATTTGAAGAGATGATCTCACTTTGAATAGTTAATGATCAATTATTTTTGATGCATACCTTGATATTACAACATTGGACAATTAAAAATTATAGAAATTTTGTAATTCATCATGTAAATATTTATGGTTTTGTACAAAAAAGTTACATATTAGATTCCTAACTTAAAATAAAGGTATTTTGTTTTCTTTTATTATTGTACAAGTTTCATCTAATATTAAATTATTTAATTCATTTTTGTAAAATTATTTTATTGAATTGATTAACTTATTATAAATCTCTTTGTTTTGTTTTTTTGCAGCTTATATTATGGATTCATAGACTGATGTGGAAATCTCCTGAAAGTTCTCACAAAACTCTTCAATAATGCTTTCCTAATGGAATTAACCCTTAATGTACTCAATAAATAGCAATGAGAGTTCATCAATAGATTAATTCAATTGTTCTTCATTGAATTATTTTCTGTCTTCATTTTATAGGTAATTAGCTGGGTCTTTTGAAATCATTTTTAAGTTTATGATGCAACATTCAACAGTTTCAGAATAGAATTCCTTGCATATCTTAATTATGCTTAATTATTAATTGAAATGATAATTAGACAAGAAATCTTAAATATCCTTTAAACAGGTGTGAATTAATGATATTGACTTTCTTTTAATAGTTTCTAGATTAAATGACCCCTAAAATAACTGAGAGTATAATATAGGATCATTCGTTTAATAATTTTCAGCATTCTTCACCGATGCAAATTCAGGTCTGAATTTAGAAGCAGCAATGTTATAAATTTCATATGCTGACTTTGTTATTGAGATGTACTTGTTGAATTTAGCAGGCAAGAATAGTGATGCAATTTCAAAGTATGGATTCATATAATGTGTAAAATATATTATAATTTTTATTTTTTAATCACTAATTTCCAATCTAACTTACTCTAACATTGGCATATCTGCATCTAACAATTAATGTCTAATCTTCATTCAAATAAAAGGATTCAGGATATTGATCAACTTTCTTATAAAATGTACACTCTTCTTTACTCAAATTCAATGTCCATTTTTCATTCTCATATTTTAATTACTCCCAAATAGCCGTGTAAATTGGAATTTACTTTTTATACTCTTTATTATATAACGATTCATCAGTATCATTATTTAGAATCTAAAACCTTTTATTGTTTGGTAGAACAATAACACTAATTATGAAATCTTCAATCATAATCTTAGCTTCTTTACTTGAATAGATAAAATATTACTCCTGAATTGTTATAGAAAAATAATATAGTAAGCGTTCATCTATTTTTTCTATTGCAAATTTATTACAATCAGTTAATGTGACCTTATTAGTATTAGTTACCTAAAAAACTAAAAATTATTTACATATGAAAATAAATTATATTATGATATATCTTTAAGTCGGATATACTTCTGATTTGCTTACTACACCTTCCTTTTTAAGTTATTAAAAAGTGTGTTATTTTTGAATTGTTCTTCTATTTTTGTCAAATGGCTATCATGTAAAATGCAAGGCAAGCTGACCTAAAAATGAAACTCTTAAAAAAATTCGTTGGGGATATCACAAATTTTGAATTATTTGTTTTAAGAACCATCATTATATATAATATATTAAAGCTAACCCATTAAATAATCTAAGCCCTCATAAATAAAATCATACAATAATTTTTGTTAGAAGAAAAACGTTTTACAACCTAATTACTTTATATAATGTTGGTAAGAAGTTTTTAGTTTTGGAATAAAATTACTTTAGATTAGTCTTAATCTTTGTTGTTTTCATCATAATGATTTTGTTACAAATAATCGTTAAAGAATTTTTCCCATCTATTGTATTATTTCCTTCCTCTAAAGTAATCTTATTAAATCTTTTCAAGAAAGTTATTTGGTACCCTTCCATTATCCAAATTCAATTAGTTTTAATCCATTTTTCTTATTAAAATTCTTCTTTATTTTAGTTTAAATTAATTTATTTAATTATATTCTATTATATTTTTATACTAAGAAATATTACAATAATAAACATATTTATGATCTAAATATTTTTAATAAAATAGATGATATAGATTCATTTTTTCTATTATTTTCTTTCATGATTGACTCCCCAAATTTCAATTTATGACAACTAGAGATAGAATCATTGAATTACATTAAGAAATTCTACATGTGGTTCTAATAAATATCCCATTTCATAAGTTTAATCACATTAATTATTAATTCTATTCGTTGCATTTCCTTGAATTTTTTCATCAATCCAAATTCTAAAATTACCTTTTCCATCCCCACCGAACCCAAGTCCATATGGTTATTACGTTTAAAGATTGAACGCTCTATTGTTTATATAAGCAAAGCACTGCTTAGAGTTGATATCAAATGTACTCATAAATAACTGATATTTAGGTAAAAAAGAGAATAAAAAACTCTTTTCATCTCCAAAATAAAGTGATATTTAATCTTTAGGGTTGTACAAGATCCCTATCTATATGAGAAATACTTACCCATTGGATCCTTCAGCCTCTTCCTGATGAAATGAGTTTCAATAGTTTCATCAATGCTAATATATGCTCCAAATATTTATTATTAAAATGAGTCATTTTATGATTCATCTTCTCGATTCCTAAACAAAAATAGCAAAGGCTAATCCGAATACATAATGATTTCAGTAATTTATTCCAAATCATCTTTTGTAACTGAGGATTTGAATTTACGATCCAATTCAGTAATCCTATTAAAGTCAGGAGAGCTCATTTGTAATAAGGCAAGAAATTGGTCATTCAAGATGAAACTGGAGGATGTTAATTTTGGAATTCCATATTTCAAATGAGGATTAATGAATTTCTTAGTAAAATATTGTTTGCACAAATTATTTGCGTAAATCAATTGTTATTTTGCTTTACCAATAAATTGGTTGAAAGGGAGAGTAGATTTTTACTCAAAAATAGAATTAGCAACACTTCTTGCTGCTAGATCATTTCTTTGGCTGTTCCTGATTTGTTTATTGTAATAATACATATTCAATAGTTCTTTAATAACCAGACTTCCTTGTGAGTAACTCACCGAAAACCTAGAATAGAGCATGGATAACATACCTATTGATTGATTCTTTCTGATTCTCGAGACACCCGAGACTAATAAGGGCAAATAACTCGAATTTCTCAAGGACTCTGAATTTGTAGTCGCTTAGATAATATTCTTGTTATTCTTTAAGCAAGAGTTCCACTAAGTAAATAGGATTAGAATGTTACATGTGATGACAAAATTGGTGTAATCGATTTATTAATTCTTGCATCTTTCTCTCATCCAGTTATACAAATTAACCGAGAAGTCTGGATTCTCAGGGAATTCTGGGAGCATTGATTTCTACGTAAGAAATCCGTTTCTATGTAATTAGGATAGTTTATTCACATAGAATCATGGCATTTCAATAATTCGAAGTAGACTTCGAAGACTTCGAGTTCATAATCTGTGAATGCCACATTTGCGTGTTTCTTTATAGATTTAGATTTAGATCCTCCCATAAATAATAAAAAATATAATTATTTATATTAAATATGAATTCTCAATCATCGTCTGATCCACTCTCATCTTCATCGGAATCCTACTTCTTTTACTTCTTTTGAACTTTTTTGGATCCCTTGCCGTCTTCCTTCTTCTTCTTTCTCTCATTCTTGATCTTTCCGTATTTATCTTCGTAGATTCTATTAAAAATATATATAGAAAGGAGAACTTCTTTTCTTTTTCAAATATAGCCTTGCTGTCCTTGTACTTTTATTCGTATTAATCAATTTTATCCTTTGGTAGTTGCTTGTACTATTCAGAGATGATCTTGGTGATATCGGTCATTTTCTTGCCGGGGTGAGCATCTTTGACTTATGAGTACACCTCCTATTTGTAAATAAAGAATGCACATTGGGGTCTTTTTGGTGGAGCTTCCTAAACAAATTATTAATTTATATATATACCTTTTTAGTATTATCTGTCATTTGTTTTATGCTAATGTATTTTTTCTTATTTAATTTGAGATCCAATACTTTTGTTTTAATTAAAATTTCAATAAAAAAATATCCCAATATCCTCAGAATCAACCAATGAAAACGCGACACCTTAATTTCTCAAGAGATGAACTTCCAATCCTCCCTTCCCGAAATCATTCGCACTAATAATCTCATAATTATTAATCCAATCGATTCCGCACGAAGCTAGGATTCATGTCATCCCAAAACCAGACACATCCCCCTCGTTTCGAATCAGAATTAATATTGAAACAGTAATAAAAGCAAATCAATTTTTCGATTCTTGATGTCTTTAGAAATAACCAATTTCGAACATTATCATAATACACTTGTTTGTAATTTTATAAAATGCATCAAGATTTTAAAAGCTGTCCTAATCAATTTGAAAATGCAATAAATTTTAATCTCTGTTTTTAATATATATATAATCGCCCTCCTGAACCCAAGAAGTAACTCGCATTGTCCTACCTCTCTCTCTCACTCATTCACTCACTCTTAACGCATTTATTTATAATTAAGAATGCAGCCATTTGAAATATTATTGTAATTTCTAAACATTAATTTCATATATAAAAATGAAAAGAAAGGAGTGTGTAAAGGTGGTTGTGAGAGCTAGACCATTATCAAGCAAAGAAGTAAATTGAATCAGTTATTTTGAGGTAGAAGATGGCAGAAGGAGAATAGTAGAAGTAGACACAACCAGAAAAGAAATCATTATTTAAAATATAAAAGGAGATGGCAATGAAGCACAAAGATCATTTGTTTTTGATGAAGTTTTTGATATGAATTCACAACAAGAACAAGTCTATCACAACACAGCCTTGCCCATAGTTGAAAGTGTCATGGATGGGTAAATCAAAAATGTACAACTATTATAGTTACAATGGTACTGTCTTTGCCTATGGATAAACAGGTACTGGCAAAACTCATACCATGGAAGGCAAGAACGATCCTCCCCATGAAAGAGGTATCACTCCCAGAACCTTCGATCACATCATCAAAGTTATTGAAGGGACACCTAATATACAATTCTTAGTTAGATGTTCCTATTTAGAACTCTATAATGAGGAAGTCAGGGATTTGTTGAGTCCAAACCATCTCACCAAGTTAGAATTAAGAGAAAAACCAGAACAAGGAGTATTTGTTAAGGATCTCTCTAAAATAGTTGTAAAATCTGTGGCTGAACTAAATGAATGGCTAAAGGCTGGTAGAGCCAATAGGAAAGTGGGAGAGACTAAAATGAATTAAGAATCCTCTAGGTCTCATTCAATATTCACACTCACCATTGAATCAAGTGAATTTGGAGCAGACTAATAACAACACATTAAATCTGGAAAATTAAACCTTGTTGATTTAGCAGGTAGTGAAAGACAATCAAAGACACAAGCAGTTGGTGTCAGATTTGAAGAAGCCATTAATATCAACTTGAGTTTAACAACACTTGGTAATGTTATCACATCATTGGTTGATGGAAAAAGTCAACATATCCCATACAGAGATTCCAAATTGACTCGTCTCTTATAGGATTCCTTGGGAGGTAACACTAAGACCGTCATGGTTGCAAATATTGGTCCAGCTGATTATAATTTTGATGAAACCATGTCCACTCTCAGATATGCCAGCAGAGCTAAGAAAATTCAAAACAATCCAAAGATCAATGAAGATCCAAAAGATGCCATGATTAGAGAATTTTAAGAACAAATTAATAAATTAAAGGATGAATTAGCTAGGAAGGCTGGAGGAGTTATTGGGCCAAATGGATAAATCTAAAAAATCAAGGAACAAGTTATTGAAGTGGAGGATGATGAAGAACTTACAGAATTGTAAAAGAAGGCTTAAAAGGAGAAGGCTGACTTAGAATAATAGATTATGCAATAGAGAAGACAAAGTACGTTGTAGGAAGAAGAAAAAAAACAATTGTAATTGAAATTAAAGGAGAAATAGAAGTTGGAGCACAATCTCAAAAAAGAACAAGAGAACATGCAAAAGAAACTTTAAGAACTTCAGGAGTAATTGTTGCATGGAGATAAAATGAAAGAGGAAACTAGATAAAAAGAAAAGGATCTATTAAAAGCAAGAATGGAGTTGGAGGAGAGATCATAATAAGCCAGAAGACAAGCTGAGGAATTGGCAAAAAAAGAAGCCATGTAAATGGAATAAGAATAGAAGTATAATTCAACCAAAGAAGAAATTGAAGCCAAAACATAAAAGTTAAATAATCTAATCTAAAAAATTAAGGAATTAAAAAGTCAAGCTTAGGAGTAGACTTAATTTAGATAGAGGTAGAAGGAAGAATTAATAGAAGATAATAGAGAATCTCTGAGATAGTTAAATCTAATGAATCTTATAATTGAACATTTCATTCCAGAAGATGAAGGTATTCAAATAATGTTATTCATTTAGAAAAGAGATTAAAGGAGAAATTAGAATTCTCAGAAGAGCAAGATGATTGGGTTATTAAGGAGTTTGAAGCGAATCCATTGAAAAAGCCTGCATCTGCATTTTTCTTCAAAAGACCCATTTGCAATTTTTCTAAAATGGCAATCAATTTCGGAGATACTAACCCGAGATTTAGACCAGAAAACATCTTGCAAACTGATTTAGATCTACCCCAAAGAATGACTGAGGATTTTTCTCATGAACCTTCATAAAAGATATAGGAAGTATTGAATGTGGCTTTGAATGAAGATGAAGTAACATTCTATTAGAAATTATATTAGGAAGAACAACAAATGATTTAAAATGAAAAGCAAGCCAATGTCTACATTGAAGATCCTTCGATAATCAACAAGGAAGCCATATTGAATCCTCCATCTAATCCCAATAAAGTTCGCTTGTAATCGGCAATCAAGAAAAACGCTAGAAGACCCCAAAGTGGATTCAAGAAATGAGAATCTATTATAATACAAATATGCATTATAGTATTTCAGACCTTAAATAATATTAAAAGTATTTGTCAAAACAATTTAATTTAAACATTTATAAGTATTCTAAAAATTATAAATCAATTTCATGGATTAAGCTATTCTTATTAATATTGAAAATGATGACAATAAATAAAATGAAACTGAGCTATCCCTATAATTCAAACCAGAAAAACAGGATAATACTAATTCAAATGAATTTTGTAATTTGTGCTTTGAATAAAATGCTCATCTTTTGAATTACTCTACTATCGAACGAGAACTAAGCATTTGCTAGATTTGTTGGGATATCATTCATGCTTTTTAAACAATTAACAAAGAGAGTGCAGGCAAGTTTAAGGATTGTAAATTCAGCAATGAGATTGAAATTATTGTCGAAAAATAAGGGAAATTTTACAACTTAGATTATGGAGATTGTATTATTTGTACATCTGCAAATTCTATATTAATAAAATTAAACCTATGTAATCATTATTGTTGTGATTCGTGTTTAAGTTTTTATATAACCATAAACAATGATAATCGTAGAAAACTGATGTGTCCTTATTTGGGTTGTTCATACGAAATAAATGACTATCTGATATTTTAGTATTTATAATACAATGACATTAAAACGTGGAATAAATTTTAATACAATTAATTTTGCTACTAAAAGAGATGCAAAGCAAAATTTAATTTGTAACCTTACAACAATTTATAGCAATTGAATATCATTTCAGATAGTAATCAAAATCAATGCGAAATGTGTAAGCAAACATTTTGTGCCATTTGTTGGACTAAGCATATTGGAGCATGTGATTTTGATAAGTTGTTTTTAAAGTACATCAAGGAATAACAAATTATATAGTGTCCTTATTGTCATTCTCTGTCAGAACCAAACAAATGCTCTGTAAGTTCAGAACCTTGCAGAGATTACAAAGCAAATTGGTAACAATGTTTTGTGTGCAATCATTTATTTTGTTTGGATTGCAAAGGACCTTTGGAATTGTTTGAATCCATTCCAAACTCAGAAACATTGACATGCATTCCTTGTAAAAAAAGAGAAAGAAATTGTTTTCATCTATTATACCGAGTTATTAAATAGTTGTCGTTTAGGATGCTCTTTGTTCTCATGTTTTACTTATCCATTTTGTTTATAGTTGCATTTCTGGCTTGTGGCTTTGTTATAGTACTAGGAATATACATCGCCTTGCATTAGTTTATATAGGTATCTAAGTGGGTTTTTTATTTTGTCAAAAATCGAACGAACAGTATTAACAATGGGATTTTGATAGCATTCTCTCCATTAATAATTATATTAATGCTGGTGGCCATAGTAGTTATTTATGCAGTGGGATTCATACCTCTCTTAATATATAACATCAAATAATACTTTTATATAGATGGTTGAATTATATTGATATGAATTAATGGTTTATTTTTAATGATTTAACTCTATTAATGTTAATTTGGCATGTGACAACCACTATTTATATATAAATTAAAACAAATAGATAAAGTTTTAAACAACAATAATAGTTTAAATATAATCATCCTTTAGTTGTTAAATATTTAGTTTTCAACTAATCTATTTCACTTTAAACATAAAAATGCTTTTTATTTGTTTCATTCTACATCAGTCTTTTATGTAGTTCAACATTCTCTTATCTCAACACATCGAGTTCCTTATTCATTTAATGAATTCTCAATTCATACTTGCTTTCCGCATCAACTATTGCTTATTTTACTGATTGATCAAGCTTCTTTTAGTATTTGTACTCTAAATCTTCTTTTTGTCTTTATCTGACTAGGTCTTCCATTTATGATTATTATATTAAATTTTGTTTGCTCTGTTCCAAACTAATTTGAGCATCATTTGCTTATTTCAATGCTTATTTTGCAACATCCATCTGTTCATTCAATTATTAGTGGAGTTTCTTCTCGTTCCCTGTACTTTGCTCTAACCTTGTTTTATACGTATTAATCGTTAGAAGCTATTATGGATAAATGAGACTATTACATATTGAGTCTTCTCTTCTTTTAATTATTTCTTTTGATCCTTTAATCTTTGGTACTCTTCTTAATACCATTTTAGCTATTTCCCCTATTCTTCAAATTGCTCTTTCATCTCTTTAGTTTTATCCTTGGTTGACTTAACTCCACTTGGTTCTTAAATCATACTAGGTTATCATACTTTTAGATGTTTTTGAAGCAGTAGATTTTGCTTATCCTTTGACTGATGTTGCAATTGACTTTTTGGCAGAAGGTTAACCCTAAGTAGCAACCTACGGGTAATTTGATTATCTTATTGGCGAGTAATTGATTATGTCTTCCTCATCCGATATCGAGATATTCACTAATTATTAAGCATAATCCTGTAGGTTTTGAGTCATAAATAAGCTGTTATTTTTATTTAAATTATTATAATCACTCCTTAAATCTCTTTTTCCTTTTTGAGATAATGCCTTCCTTTTTTCATCTCATTAAGGAACTCTGAAGAATTTAAGGACCAAGGTAAGGCTTCCTTAATATGGTGACAGTTGATTTATCTTCATATATTTTTTCAATGTATTTTTAATTCAAGTTTTAGGAACTAAATTCCTTTTATCAGTAATATAAGATATATTAATAGTATTATAGTTTAAAAAGAAGTACACATATATTATCTACATACACAGAGAAAAATAAATTTTATTTAAATGTAAAATTAATCTATATTGATTTGTAATGATCTCACGGACATAACATTAAAAAATAAACATCATTCAAATATCATTGATAGGTTTATGTTAAGAAATTTTAGCTATTACTTCTGAATTGTTAACAGAAAATGTGAATTTCAAATTTTCCGAATTTATTACCTCTTAAAACTACACTTCAGATATGTATGAAGGCAGCAAATTTCTCCATTTATCTTATTTAAAGAATTAAACTATTTTATTTGTAAAAAAATCATTAATGAGTTTGTTAAAGAGATTCAATAATTCATTGAAACCTTTTTTGATTAAATTGGAAATCACACCTTCACCTTCCTTAATTTTGATTTATTTAATAGAAAATTTATCAAACTTTTCGTTTTATACGATAATCTAATTCTTTTGAAGCAATAAAGTTGCTTCTATTTATAATCCGAATATTTCTAAATCCAACTAAGTTGAAAAGTTTAACAACACTTTTGTGGTAATATCAGCGTTCAATCTGAGTGCAAAGGAATCCAACCGAATAAACACCTTCATTGATTTCGATTCCTCTATTAGATCAATTTAAATTAGATCTTCGTTAAATATTAAATCAGAAATCGCTACATTCTTAGTCAATATTGTTCCGAATCCCACACTTAATTCCTAATGTTACAGAATGAATTATACTTTATTCCATGGTAATAATAAATTTTATAGGCTTACTTTCTTCAGATAGGCTTTTAGAATTTCCTAAGCTTCCAATTTGGAAACCTGCACTTCCATATTTAGTGAGTAGCAACAAGCAAATACAAGGAAGAGGATGAACAACTTCTTCATTTGAGTATTAAAAATTGTTTTATTTAAATTAATAGAATATTATAATGTGTAGAAGTCTGATCAATTGAATTACAACAATAGAAATAACATTAGAATAATGAATTATTTATTATAATTGATATTCATTATGCCATACGATTATTTTAAAAGGATCTAGAATTTTATGCTTGTTAGACATTATTTGGACCAACAAGAGTTTGAACTTTATTTTTCATATCAGTCAATTTTTGCATTAAATATTCTGGTGTTTTTACATTTTATTATTGTTGTTATTATACTATTTGATTTGAATTCATTTGGTATTAATTAACAGACATATATTGGGTTGAATTATTAGCCATTTAGAGTATCGCTATATTATTATTATTGATCAACTTCTCTAGTCGATTTTGGATACGGAACCAATTGTTGTAACATTTATTATTGCTGTTATTATTGCGATTGTGATTATTATTGTGATTGTGATAATTGTCGCTATTGTGTTGGTTATTGTAACTAGGGCCTAACTGACAGTTAGGAGTCTTATAATTGTGATTATTGTAATTAATTCTATAATTATTGTGATTGTTATTATTGTGCAGGGTATTGTAACTAAGGTCTAACAGATAGTTAGGATTGTTGCAATGGAGGTTATTGTAGTGAGTTCTATTATAGTTGCGATTGTTATAGGGGCAATTATTATAACTAGGATTGCTATAGAGTAGACTGATTACTAATATAACCTCCCAGTACGGGTGCCTGTCCATTAGTCAATTATTACTATATGAGTAATTAGATCTATTGATCTTGAACGTACTTCTACCATTGGATAGCTAAATTAGATTGAATATGATACTTGGATTTCTTTTGATTTTGTCTACCATCTTTTGGATGCCAGTATCTAATAAGTTAGGCGATCTCAACATCTCGGCAATCTACAGTAATTCTTGATCAGGGAGGTTGTTTTCTTGTTAGGCATTTTACAAGGAAGGATTGCCCAAATAGGCTTGGATCCATTTATTCAGATAATGATCTTATTGGGTGCTTCTGCCTACAAGATGGTAGTTTTCCCAAATGGTCTCCCCCCTCATTTTAACTAATTATTGGAGGACAACTTTAATTGTTTTGACTCCTTACTCATCAACAGCAAAGTTAGGATAGTGTTAAAACTCATTCAAATAGTTATGGAATTTAAGAAGAAGTAATTCAATCTTAATGTTACTATTCTATTCTACTTTTGCTGTTAATCTGGCTATGCATTTAACAAGCAAGCCTATCATTTTCGACGAATTGTTTCTCCGTCTATGCTTTGTTAAAATGTCGAATAAAATAGAAAACATGATATCCTAGCTTGTATTTTCCAAGATACGAAGAGTGGTTGAGTTGAGTTATCTAACTGTAGCATCTCCATTCTCATGCTGGGCTTTTATTTCGTCCTCAGTCAAAAGTCTTTGCATAATCTCCTCAGTGAATCCACACAATAGTTCATATGGCAATTAATTTACATATGGCTTTAGTTAATACAATTTGTTTAAGGCTTAGAGGAAGAACTGTATGAATTGTGCAGGGTAGGTTTCTCTTTGTGTGAAGGTATTCTGTAAGAGAGTTTAGAAGCATTTGCAAATGGCCTCTGCATTGTCAACAAACAACTGTTGATTTTGTTATATATTTTGAGTTAGCAAATCACTGATTTACATTAGGGATTCTATTTTTTGAGAAGTTTACTCACTCAATAGAGATTCTAAAATTGATAAGAAGTATTGTGATCTTGGATCCTTTGCTGATTGCAACTATACAGTGCCTTAGACAATTGGTTACTTCCCTGTTTAGTATTGTTATTATGCTTATTAAGTTACTGACTACGGTTATGGTTATTATTATTATTATTAATATTATTATTACTAATATGGTTACTATTGTTAGGTATATCTCTTACATAGTATTATCTCCGAATAGAGTAATAAATTCATTTTGTAATTCTTTAGTGAAGTATTATGAATATTCTGGGAAGAGATCCAGAGGAAAGAATTTGGCCAATTGACCTTGAATGATCAAATTGCATAATTAAGTATCAATTCTCTCCTTCTGATCAATCAAGAAGGGGTGAATACTTTAAGGATTGATCCTAAACAAAGGAAGGAGTCTTTTAATCATAATTTCAGCTGGGAACACCAATTGCAGATTTTGAATCAATTCTGGATGGACATCAACTCCAGCATAGACTAGTTCTCTTATTAAGGAGATTATCACAATTTATTCTACTTCAGTTAAGATGTACCTCGATTTGGATATAGTCTAAAAGAATGCATCTAGGAAACTAATCAAGGCATTAATTAATAGTTGATTGGCAGAACACCCATAGATTTTAACTAGTACAAATTTTAATAGTAAGTCGCTTAATTCAATTATGTCTGTCTTCTATTCAGGATCGTTCTAAATAATCATTAATTATTGCAAGCCTTTCATAACATCCTTGTAATTGTATGACATTAATTGATTGTAGAGATCCTCTCTTAGACATACATACAGATCACTGAATGCACTGTTTGGAAAACAATCACTGGCCCACCATTATGCTTAATCCGATTGCAATCTTAACAGTTTCATTTCCTTGATGCTTGCACTTCTAGCAATCAAACTATTGCCATCTTAGAAGATGGCTTTTTCTTTTTATTGTCTTAATGGAGTGTTGTCTTATGGTAGAGTCTTGTGAGATTTTTAATGTAATGATTTCTTTGGAGTTCTTTCATTTCTTTATTTTGGTTCTTGAGAGGTATTCAAATCGCTTTACAAATCCTTTGTAGTCAAATTTCTTTTCATATTTCTGATATCTTGTTATTAACTTTATTGTAATTATTATTGTTTGCCCTTTGGTGTTTTACCTGTTCTCTTTGAAGTTTCTTCTACCTCGGTCATTCCAAATTTGGCAAAGAACTGCTTCACCTATTAAACAACAGCTGGTTTCAGATCTTTCATTTAATTTAAAAATGGATCTATGCCCACATCTTCAACCATCCTTTCACAAACTTACTCTGCTGCCTATCTTACTTCTTTGACTCTGTCACAAAGACAATTAATTAATGGTAAGATAAAGGGCTTGTAATCCAATTTGAGTAAGGCCTCGATGTATTTCATAATGAATAACAGAACTTCTTGTTTCAACTCAATGGATTCCATCTATAAATAAGGTGGCATTTGCAAGATCACTTAATCTATGCCAATGGCTATACAAAACTTATCTAAACTAGCAACTACATCCTGTCTAACCAACACTTATTTATCACTAAGAATTGAGATTAATGGTGAAATCAATTATTTGCCTGATGATTTAAAATCCTTTCCACAGGCTTCAACTACTCTACCCACTATCTAAACAATGGGTCTAACCAATTATTTATTGTTATCACTCAATCTTTGTTTGAGCATGTTGATCAGATCATTTAATCCGTTTATCTAAATTCTATTATTATTGTGTGTTAATAATTTATCCAATTCCTCGATTCCTTCCTTCCTCTTATTCCATTGGACATCAGCCATTTTCTTTAAAACTGATTGTAACTAGTTTGAGATGTCAGCTCTAGGCAAGTTATCATTGATGGATGAGATTGTAGATTGCATAATTGATTAAGACAAGGGTTGAGACTGGATCACTCCACATTCTTTGGCTGCTTCTCCTGTAAAAGTGACTGTTGGTTCATAAGAAGTTAACACTGATATTTTTTCGAATTCAGAATTAAGAGTCTTCATTATTGGGGGCTAGACATCCTACAAAAATTAGAGCAATTCTTAGCCAATATACTTGTACATTGTCTTGAACAACTCTACACAAGAAGTCTTGATGATGGCATTTGTTGATTGTAATTATTCCTTACCGAAATCAATAATTTCTTTGGTGGGCACATTTCGAATAGTAACGATATCAATGATTTTCGAAATGTTATTAATCACCTCTCCAATCTTCTAGGGAGGCACAATCGTAAGTTTACCACTGTCCTTATCCTCCTTCGGCACAGCTTGAGTCATCAAATACAACACAATGTATTTAGGATTCACACATTCACAACATCCCTTCAAAATTATGTAGATGTCCTCTCTGAATTTAGAATCTGTCATTTTTTCAACCAGCAACTTGCACAAAGGTTAAAATGATTTTTGAGTAAAAGGCTTTGGATCCAAATTATTAGCATAAATCAATATGGCAAACAGCTCCTTATTTATTGAAAGATTGGCTTCCTTCCAATCCTTCAATTTTATCCTCAAGAAGTTCAAAACGTCCTCAAAATGATGCTACATAGTGTCAGTTTCATTTTCAAGCATCTTTATAGCTTCAGCCTTCAACTTAGGCATTCCATTGATGTTTTCAAAAAATTGATCATCAACCCCATAACTTCTTAGCAAACCCTCTAATTGATCTACACTTTGTTCTGGCGATTCTGTAATTACAATATTACTCTTTTGAGAAAGAGGAGGCTTCTTAGCTGTTGCCTATTGTATTGAACTGTTTTGTATAGTGGATTATTGAACCTATGAAGCTGCTTATTGTTCTTTGGCTTGTGTAGGCTACTTTTTAATTTGTTCCTTCTTTTTCTCTTCTTCAATTTGACCAGAAATTTCATTGATTTTACTTAATTTTTATTGTCCAATATCTGAGTAAAAGGAATTAATCAATTAGTCTGATAAATATGGTTTTAGAGTGCCTAAACTTTGTACTGATGCTTCTCTCACATCTGGAACACTGTCTTCAATTAATTTTTTAGCCAGTGGCAATAATTGCTTGACACAATCCACAAATTTAGGTTTAGGTGCTCCTTGAGGGAATCCTTTCAACTACACAAGTTTAGCAAATAATAACAGACTTTAAGCTCTCATTTGTGGATTCTTGTCAGCAAGTCCTTCCTTGAAATCTTCAACAACGTCTTCCACTTATAAACAGTAATGGAACAATTCCAAAGCAGCTTTGGCTTCTTAGCATATATTTTTTTTTTCTCTCAATTTAACCATCAAAAGTGGAAATAAGAGTTTTGCTTAAGCAGTAAAGTTTTTTCTTAGTCCTTTAACAAATGCTCCACATAATTTAATAGCGCATACGTTTATAACCTAATTGGAATCTACTAGTAGTTTTTTAATCATTGCTATCATTGGTACATAATTGCCAGGAGCTATTTTAGGAGTAGCTAACTCTTTTAACAATTAATCTAATAAGGCTTGCTTTTCATTCCATTTGGTTTGGGCTAAGACCTTGTCACACCACTTCTCATTGTATTTATTGAAAATATCAACTGCATCAACCAAGTCATATGCATCTAATCCATTATTGGCTCCACCTCCTTATCCGACAGTTACCGCATCTCCACCTCTTGTAGGAACCATGGGAATAGGTTGCCATTCCTTTTGGAACTTTTCCAGTTCCTCCAATTATAACTTTTTAAGTCCTTTGATAAAAGGGGCTAAGATTGGTTCGCCCAACCATTTGTGAGCTTCCTTGTAAAAGTTCATGCACTCGGTTTTGATTGATGAAACAGTAGATTAAGCTAATTTCTCGATTTCTGGAAAGAAAGGTTTCAAATAATCCAATCTCTTTGGACCAAATGTTATCAATAATTCAACCAAGCTTTGGATTGCTGCGCATTAAACCTTTTGCACTTTGTTTTTCAACATTTCATTAACAACATCAAACATTTCTTATTTATCTCTTCTTTCAAAAATATCAAAAAAGATTTCTTAACTTAGTTTGACTATTTATTTCTTGCCTGGAGCAATACATTTGTCTATTAACATTCGAATCGTCTCTTTAGCATCAAATCTTGCTGCGAATTAGCCCTTGTTGGACTTGGAAATAAATATTTATAAGGCTATCAATGCTTTTTCTTAACTTCCAGGATTGTTATCATTGATCAGCTTGGGCCACTCCTCGTAATATTCATCAAGAGATTCGTCTTTTTAAAAGAGTTCTGCCATTTCTTCGAAAGCACTTTGTCTCAATTTCCATGCTTTTGACTTCAAACGCTGGGCAAGTGGAAGGACTGTCTATTGCACATCTTCTCCTCCCCCCTCCATTCCTTCAGGGTATTCACTAATAGCGAATTTCTTGCCTCCTCCAACAGGCTGCTCATCAAGCACACCTGCCCCAGCAGGTTTAATTGGGATTTCATCAGGGTTAACTACAACTTTGGGTTCATCGTTTTAAACGGGAGGATGTACAGGTTTTTTGGGTGCTTTTTTGGCTGCTGGCTTTTTGGGGACAAAATCCTCAGGGGGAAATTCATCGAGCATTTATTTATTTGAAGATTTTCCGATCGGCACATCATCATTCCCATAGACAGGTTGAGCTACTTTGGTTTCAGTATGTTGTGGATCGCCCTTGAAATCAACAGGTTTGTAAGGCTCAGCCGCTTCTTTCGTTTCGTTAAATTGTTCTTCTGACATTTTTTTTTTGTAATTTAAATTTTAGAAAAAGAAATTATTATGTTAGATAGATGTCTCCGATACTATCATAATTACATACTGTCGATGTTCATCTCGCCCACCAGTAAATCAGATTATGTTGATTTTAGTGCCATCCGAACTGTGCTTCATATTTTCCATCATTTTCGCAGTGCTGCAATTAATATTCGCTCAGAACGCCTTTTTGACTTTGAGCTTTTAAACTTGGATGGCAGGAAGAATGCTCAGCTGTATCGGAGCAACACACGTATCTGCCAAGAGAACCTAAATCATCGCTGATCAATTGGCGTATTTGGCATTCCCAATTATTGTGTTCCAACATGGATTCCTTACAGCCCTCTTGCTTAGCGTGAACAACTATATGGAAATGTATTCAGAAAAATATAAAGATGTAACATATCCCTATTCAAAGAATCCAGCGCTGCATAGTGGGACACACCGAAATATTCTTGACCTACACTGCTTGTTATTTGTTTCCGGAATTTTTTGTAAATCAATATTCAATTATGAAAGGACATCATCTTGCTCAACTTCATGGGCTTGGTTGTTTTATCAATCATAAGCGGTGTCTTAATTGGTTTCCAATGTAAGATGTGATTCTTGTTATCTTGATGTTTTTGCTATTTCATTCATATCAATATTATATTCAATATATTTATAGACTACCACCAACACTACAAGCAAACGCTAGCCTTCCCCACTACTTAAGATCACTCTTAATGATTGGCCAAATCCTAGAGAAGAAGTAGGAATCAATTAAATTTATTTCTGACCATTGTAGTTAATATTAATTCAAAGACTAGATGAGAAAGCAGGGGACTCTTCAATTTGAATAAGGAGAACTTCAAAAATGGAATAAAAAGAATATCATAATAAACCCACCACAAACTTATTGAAATATATAGAGTAAAATTCATTTTTATCTTTATTTTTTTTATAACTTCTCTTCTTGCTTTTCTTTTTGCATTTCTAACATCTTTTGTTCGGCTTCTTGTTTAGTGTTGTGTACCTGCTGTGTCATCAATGAGATGAATATCGGAACCATGATGTAGGATATAACTAAGATTATCAAGTATTGTAGCTTAATCTTATTGATCTTAAATACATATCTAGTTTCGAAAGAGTAGCTTATTTGTTTCTAATAGTTATTTTCCAGTCCCAACTCCGACAGGTCATTATGCATTCCATATTTTAAACTGCAACGTAATAAGCCAAGAAAATCATAGAAAAAATTTTCTTAATACATCAACTTCCCTTGAATGGTTATGGACCAAGACATTGCACTTATACTGATGATGAATATGAGGACTAACAATAAAAATGAAGATTATTTGTTGAACTAGAATATTACTAAATAGTTTACCCTTATCATCACCAATCCGTAACATTTGAGGTAAGGACTCCAATTCCCTAAAAACCGTATTATTGATCCCATTAAAAGTAGTACCTACACTCCTGTGTATATTTTCAAAATAAATGCAGGAACATATAGTTTGTCAGTATCTTAATATACATTTGAATTCAATTAAATATCATCTAACGCATTAGTGTAAAGATCCTAGATTGATTTCCTAACTAATAAAGTAATATTGGATAGAATGTCTATTTTATTTGTTATTATTACAAACAAAGTCAAATATCAAGGGAATTTTAATCACAACATACACAGAGGATATTTTTAAAATAAAATAATCTCCCATGATGAGTTCTTTCTACTGTAATTCTTGCAATTCTACACTTTACAATTCTTTTTTTTTGGATTATAACTTTTTTTATTTGTTTTTTAGTTCACAATATGAGTGATAGAAAAAAATAAAAGGGTTCTCAGATGTCTTTTTGTAAATGGCGAAGAAATCTAGAATAAATGTGATTAATTCTCTCACCTAAAAATGATAAAGACAAGAGTAGGATAGATAAATAAAATATAATTTCGTCATAAAAATCCTCAGTTTCAGAAGGTTTGTTAAGATTAAATGATTCTAAGGCAATTGTGTTATAATTTAATAACATCTAGATAGCAATATGTACATACATCGTTAAATAGGTAAATAGTTGTAATAACTACTTAGATGAGTCTTTTTGAAGGAGAGTTAAAATAATTTAAGATGAACTTTGAGGATTTGACGTTATATTAAACCCATTGCTTCTATTAAAGCAATTAGATGTTTTCATTGAATTCCTCTTTGGATGCTAAGTTCAATTCCCAAACATACCCTCCAAAATCTTGATTGTAGATAGTAGGATTAAAGATGTTGAATTCATATTCTCCAGATAAATTATCTGTCAGGAGAGTAGAGAAGTCTAAACAACTCTAATTGTTATCAATGAACAACTATTTCTAATTAGGATTTAGGATAGAACAATTTTGTAATTTTTCCTAGATGATATTAATTTTTACTTCTTTAACTAGTGTTTATATCAACAATCCAGATACTAAAGGATAAGTTGGATACAGAGTATTATCAGTGTCATCGTTGAGAGTTTAATTAATAAGCTAGGAAATGTTCTAGATCGGCGATAATAGTGATTTAGAAATCTAAATCTGTTTTCCAAATGATGTGATCACAGAGGAACTAGTAGTAAATTTAAATGAATCAATTTAAACCACGAAAAATAAGCCAAGTACCATGAGAAACAATATTGTTTCAATAAAATATTTAAAATTGTTTAAGTAGCCGAAATATATATTCCAATTAACTTTTTTTTAAACAGGTTTGATTGTTTGGAATCTTTTAATGAAAAATCTTGCTCCATCATCAGATAACAAACTTTCATCCCCACTCTAAATAACTTCCTTGAGTTTAACTTATTTCACCACTTGGATTCCAATAATAGGTTGATAGTTCTTCATTAAATCAAAAAGAGGAGGATATATTTCATCTAACAAAACCATATTATCTTGGAACAGATTGCCCATAAGATCTGTGCAAAATATCTCATTTTCTTCTAACATAAAGCAAGATTTGATGATCTACTTCAACTCTTTAAAGGTTTTAATGGTTGCTGGTATTTTAACATCCATAGAAGTGTCTTCAGATTTCAATGTTACATAATAACCATACTCATCTTCATTTAATTAGTTATCATCTTCAACTATTTTTTATTCATTGTTGACATGCTTGCCAAGAGTTAGATTCAGAGAAGATTGCCTTTTCGCTATTTCTCTTTCCTAAAGTGCTTCCAGTTATTCTTTTCTACTATTGGCTAGCAAGTATAAATTCAATGTCTCAATAACAGCTTTTTCAATCCGAAAATCTGCATCTTAGGCTTAATCTGTTTCTCCATTCTAATTATTAGCTATCTTCTTGCCATACTCTTCTAAGATGTGGACAAGAGTTTCATACTCCTTAAATGATAAATGATTGTCATTTTTACTTTTTCAACTCTTGCCAATTGATCAAAGTATTAATCGCTCTAAGTTTCCTCATCCTTTTGCTCCTTCTCTAGTTTTTGAAGAAGCTGAGTTAGTTCTTATTTGGAAGTGAGAAATGGCTGAAGCTTCTTCGAAATGTATCTACTTGTACTCATTAATTATAATTAAGCTTAATTGATTGACGTAGTGTTGAACAAAAACTATAAATCGATTATGTTAAATATTGAATTTAATAGCTAAGAACATACTCTTCCCAATTAGCAATTGAATAAATAATGAGTATTTATATTTCATATATATAATTAATATTCATTTCGCAAGTCAATGCTTGTTCAATATCAGCTCAAAACCACTAATGCACCCAAAGATGTGAATTTAAGTTCAAATGACCATTCATTCCAATTAAATAGGGTGAACAAGAACAAGTTTACTTCATAATTCATTATCCAAAATAATGAGATTGTCACATACTCTTTGGATGATAACACTAGATTCGAGAGGAAAATTAGCTTCGAGAAGGACTCTTATGTAATTATTAGTATTTTCTATTTGTTAATGTAGATGACAGTTTGGATAAGATGCAAGTAACACTTGGCTAAAAGCAAGTCACCTTTGCTTTAAATAAACAAATCAATTGGCCTTATGTTCCTTGTGTTTTAGGGAGTATCTAAGAACTTGGGAATTGGAATCCTTAGGATGCTTAGATTATGATTTTAAATGGAAATACTTGGTATCTCACGATATCTGTGTCTAAGTCATTTGAATACAAATTTGCCATCACTAAAATGTTCAGCAATGAGATAACTTGGGAACGAACTCACAATAGAAATTATAACATTTTAACTGCGCCATAGTCAGTGGAATTAAAGGCTGAATGGGAAAGGAAAACGAACGAGAAGTCACTTGGGAAAGTTCCTAGATTCGTCCACTTTTCAATCAATTATAAGACCAATTCCTGTAATGATTATTTGGTTGTTGTGGGTAATACAGAGTAATTAGGTAAATGGAATCCAAAGCGAGGTCGATTAATGAAAAGATACCTCGATTACAATTGGAAATTGGGTATGATAATTTAGGACGATCAATTGGAGTATAAGTTTGTAGTAGTGAGTGGGGACAACTTTATTTGGGAGGATGGTTGTAATAGAGAATTGGAGGTGGAAGAAAGAACGTATTGCGATATAAGTTAGGATTTGAGTATATTATGTAGCTGCATTTTGGAATTATCAATAAAATAGCAAAACAAACTGGAGAGAATACAATACGGAATGCCCTGTTTGTAGTTAACAAATGAATGAAGCTTCTGTTGTGATTGGGTAGTTATGCGGACATCTGATATGTACTCAGTGCTGCAGTTCAATGGGCCAAAGGTAATACATTTAGGTGAAGTGTCCATTATGCCGTAAAGCATTTTTGATTTGATTTTATATATATATATTTATATTTAAAACTAAAATAGCGGAAAGTTAAAATGTATTGTTCATCGTCAGATATGCCTAATTTCTTGCCTCTATTCAAGACTTGTGCGTCATTAAGCTCTTTTGACTGCGATTCGAGTCATTCTACGAAGAGATTTGGAGATGAGTTGTTATTGTCGAGTCCGACAAGAAGCCAGCAATTTTCAAATCCAAACAAAAGAATTGTCATAGGAGACGATTCCTGGTTGAGAAGAGGAGTGTCGATTTCGAGTGAAACCAGCAGTCCTGAAAGATAATTTGAAAGATAAGAATTTTTCAGTTCATTCAGAGTTCCAGTTAATTTCTGCGAAGAGCAAGAGGGATCCAATAGAATATAGCACTTTGAAAAGGATGCTGTTAATTATATAAACCCAGAAACTTTAGTAAAATTGAGTAATTAATAATTTAGTATAAAAATGCTAATGATATTACATTGTTTGATTGTCGTTACAAATTTGAGTTTGAGGGTGGTCACATCCAAGGTGCAACTCATCTTTGCAACCCCTTCGAGATAGAGTCTATATTTTTTAAATAAATTCCTACCGTAAAACCAGTAATTGTGCTATACTGTGAATTCTCCGAAAAGAGAAGTGTCTAAATGTAATTGCTCCCTTAATTTTCCTTTAGTTATAAACAAATACGAAACACCGATCGCAACCTGAACGACTATCCCAGGCTACATTACCCCGACCTCTACATTCTGAACAAGGGATTTTCAAACTACAGTCTAGAATACCCTTCTTAAGTTGAGGGTAAGTACGTCCGAATGGATTCAAAGGAGTACTCCACTCAATATAAAGAATAAAAATCTTAGACTGACAATCAATGGAATTCATTAAAATTGAAAAAAAGACTATAAAAAATAAATATATGATTTCTGGTTATTAGGTATCGAATCACTCAGAATTCTCAAAATACAATTTGGGATCTGGGAATCTCACTTGCAATGATCTCTTAAACAAGAATTCAGATAAAAAGTCAATCACATTTTCTGGATTCTGTTTAACAATCTCCACTAAACCCTCTGTAATAAATGGTACTACATTGTCATTCAAATATTATCTATCATTTAATTAAATGTCTTACCTCAATGGCAGAGACCTTGAATCGAGTAATTCCTTCTCATAATTCACACTATGCTCCTGCTTGATCCTGTACTCCTCCTCTTGAATCTTCCACAACTCATCTTCCTTCTTATCCCTCAACTCCTTCAATTTTTAGTTTTGCTCCTCCTACTTCAATAACTACTCTTTCTTGTCATTCAACCTACTCTCTTCCTAATCCTACTCAATATGCTTGTAATTCCTATACTTCCCATTCTAAAATTAATGTCAGAATCATACCCTCTCAATAAAGCTTCTGCATGTATCCTAAATATTAGTCTACTTATTGAACACAGAGATCTCACATATGTCCACCTTCAACTCCTTATAAAAGTCAATCAAAATAGTGTATCCCTTTTTAGTATTGAGTACTTTGTAATTCTTCAATCTTTTGAGGAGTACTTCTTCATCATATTTATGAGTTTTTGAGAACTTAATCCTGTCGATTATTTATTCATCATTGCCAGCTAGCACTATAAAGTGTTCAGGCAATATCAATTTATTAAGAGTAAATTTTTACTCCTCACCCTCTCCTTCAGTATTATAAAATAATTATCTGGCTTATGCATGTGTTTTTGGGTAATTATCCAATATAAACCCTCTATTCTAGCAATCATTCTACATCAATCGCCATTTATAAATAGTAATCAATTATTCATCTGTCAATCTTGCTTCTATTTTACTGTCATCAAATGGGATGTAAGGTTGTTTCAATTGTTTTCTCTTCTCTCTTTAAATATCATATTAAGCTCTGGCTTCTTCAACAAGTTGAGCTCTGTTCTCTTCCAAGTTTGTCTTCAATTGTTCCACTTCTTCGCTTGTTTAATTCAAGTATTCCTATATCAATTCTTTGATGGTGATGTGAGGAATACTAAAATAAGTGGATATTTAATTAGCAATAGTGCTTTTCCCAATTCCAGGTGGACCTGTAATGGCAATCCGGATTGGTTTTAAGTTATGATAATCAACAAATTCTTATCTTATCTTTGCGATATTAGCTCTAATACCTTCTTTACACCACCAATTAAATGTAAACTTATCAACTGCCTGTTCTTCATCTCCTTGATCTCCTTATTCTTCAAGGAAAGCATCGAATACTTTGGTTGGCTTCATCCTTAGATCAATTTTGAATTCAGGGATTGCCACATTAGATTGCTGAATTTTCTGGTTTCCCACTCCTTTAGATATCGATTCTATGATGGCTTTATGAGATGGATTTTGATTGTGATCAATTGCAAAAATATATTTTTGATTGACTGGTTTCTCAACCAATTTCGACACAAATAAAGCCAAATCTTTAACGTGAATGCATGGCACTTTATTTTTATTATAAAATGTTATTGTATTCTATAACCAAGCCCCTTTGAACTTGGTGTAAAAGTGATCTTCTCCCATTCCATACAAAATACCTGCGCAAAGTATAAATGTCCTGAGATTTGGTCTATTAATACTCAAGCAAAGACTTTCGAGAGAACATAAGCTCTCAAATTCAGGTAAAGCTTTCCTCTTAGGATAATCACTTTCATTAAAACGTGTATATTCCTTCTTAGGAGGTGCATCCTCACCATCATCTAATGGTTTGTTATCTTCTTCTCCAGATTCTGGAGGGTAGCCTCCGTCTTCATCTTCTTCTCCAGCCTTCTTTTCTTTGGGATCGGTTGCTGACCAAGCCATTACTGATGAAACGAGAATCAATATTTTTTCTTCGTCATAAGTGCCTAATTTCAAGGTTTTGATTGCATATTCGCATTCACTGTGATCACATGTGTTAATGTCATAGACTATCACATCACTATCTAAGATGACTTTTTATAAAAATGACATTTTGGATGGCTATTTAGGTACTGAATGTTAATCATACATCGATAACTTTTCTAACTGCTGGATGCAAAGGGTATTTGCTTTATAAGATTGTGGTGCCTACAATAAGATTTGGATCTTCAGGATGCTCAATGTCATTGCGAAGTTATTAAATCTAAATGAGTACACAGTTGTACTAATTGATAACCAAAGTAAGTATTCAATGAACTTAGGAAGTATCTTTTTGATTTGTAGGGTGCTTTCTTTGGTTTAGGAGCTTCGTCAGTTTCCATAATTTATATTAATAATTAGTTAAAAAGAGTAAAATGAAACATTCTTACATAATTAGCGTATGTGTTTAATATTGATATAAAGAGAAGTATTAATATTCGAGAAGGAGTAAGAAGTACGACCTAGGAGGACAATCCATAACCTTAATACTCTATCTATCCTATGAGTTTTAGCATAATCAAATTTATTGTCAAGCTCTTTGGGTGATTAAATATAAATAATTTTTTTGATTGACAAAATTTATTTATAATGGATTACAACCCATTGAAGATGCCTTGTGATTGGAATGTGGCCAGAAAGCATGCATTGGCCAGACGAACTGCTCCTGATACTAAGGCTCATATTGATTATGAAGATGATGAAGAACCTAAAAAACGTATTTATGATTTTCTATTCAGCTGAGACATGTCCTTGTTGTGGGTTTGAAATAGAGAGAAAGGAAATTCCATATTGTGATGATATCAAATAACTCAAATTTTTGGGGGCAGGTTTTCCATTGTTTTACAATTTTTTGAAATTCTGCATCCTGTTATTATGTCTGTAAAGTCTTGTAGCCATTTTCAATATTTTGAGCAATTATCATGGTGAATTTTGCTAGTAAATCTGATGGTTATTTAGATAATAATCCCTGAATCCAATTTCACAGTAGATGGAACCTAATTGTCAAGAATCCGCATTCCTTAAATTGTCTATAGCCAATAAACTAAAGTGATTGTATTCATTTTAAATTAGCAACTCAGAAGTGGTGGTGTTCATCCAAAAGGCCAATCTTATTATGCTAATTATAATGATCATTCTACTCCAATTTTTCAGAAGACACCAAAAGAAATTAGACAATCAAATAGATGAATCATAACTAACTCCAAGCGATTACACTATCATGGTGACCAATATCCCAAAAACTTTGAATGTCAATTATAGATGGGAACTAACTAATATATTTTAAAACTACGCAGTATCAGATACTAACTTTTAAATAACTGTTACCAAAGTTGTTTTAGTCTACGATATTACAGAAATCTTGGCTGAAGAAGCTAAGATCGAAAAGTCTCTACAGAAGAAAAAGATCGCTTTATAAACATCGAATATGAAATATGAATGTTAGGATGTCAGAGATTGCGAACTCGAAATTGAAACTTCGTAAAGGAGAATCAAAGATCTATAAGAGGAGTACTTTTGGACTAATAGATAATTCAGCGGCATCGCTTTTGTATCGTTTGAAAGTGAAAAAATGAAGGACCTAGTTCTTAGTTAAAATGCACATACTCTGATTGATAAGATGAAGACGTTTTTATATTCTGGTAAAACTCCAGGTTTGGATGAGATGGAATTGTAGTGGCAGGCTTAGAAACTTTTCATCGAGTAGGCACCTGAACCTAATGATATCTTGTGGGAAAACTTGGCCACTTTGACTCAAGATAAGATAATCGCCAGAATCAAGGGATTCTTCATTACCCTTGCTTTGTAAGGAGTTACATTCTTTGTTATTTATTATTTATCAATCCGATGCATTCGACTAGTCTACAACGAAGAACTCGAAAAAAGGAGGATTGGTGTAGACGATAAAGAGAAGTTGAAGCATGTTTAAATGATTTCATTTGCCATTGCTTCAACCATTGTCTTGGTCAACAAACTATTAATTGAACCCTTAATGAAGTGGGTCACTAAAATTGAAAAGATATCTACCAATACCAAATTTTAGACTTCTTACGCTAACAAATTAACCATTTCCTTATTTGTAAATGCTGCTATTGTTAGCTATGTTATTGACATCTTGATTTTCAGTAATGTGTATGGCTTTGGTGGATTCTTGTATAATGAGTCTCTGATTTTTATTATGAATGCTGCCATAGCACCATTGATTTGGTTTATTGATCCTTGGACTCTGATTAGAAAACTGCAAAGAGACCATCAGATTTAGAAAGTGAATGATTGTTTACTGACCCAAAAGGAGGCTAACGAAATCATGGAGGAAGTTGATTACCAATTAGCCATGAGGTATGCAGACATAATCAAGACTATGTGGTTCACCTTCTTCTTTGGAACTGCAATTCCTATAGGTGTATTCAGTTCTTTAATCGGTTTAAGTTTATTTTACCTCGTTGATAAGTATAACATTTTGAGAAGGAGAACAGTGAAGGAGAGCATATCCTAAGAGTTATCATGGTAAATGATAAATATGCTTGAATTCATTGTCCTATTCAATCCGTTGGGTAATATGGCAGTCTCATTATTTCTTAACTAAGACTTTGATATTTATTCAACAATTGGAGTAATCATTGGATTGAGTTTTTAAGTCTTACCAATACATCGTATTGTTGACAGCATGTTTCCAATCAAGAACTTTGAAGAAGTACTAATAATATATGACATTAGCCTGTTTCATATAAAAAAGCATAGATCGACTTTGATACTGATTATGACAGGGAGAATCCTGTTACGAAATAGAAAGCAATCGCTGAGTATTCTTTGTAGTTGCAAGGCATCACTCAGGAGAGAAAAGTGGAATATTAAATTATGCATGAAGATCATTATTGATTTATTTATATACTTAATAAATGGAATAAAGTTTATTCATCTCATAACAAGAAATAGAGCAAGTCAATAAATTAAATACCATCAACATTAATGTTGGTGTCTTAGGACATATTGATTCTGGCAAGACCTCTTTGGTTAAGACATTGTCTAAAGTAATTAATATATCTACCATTTAGATAACATCAACAGCCTCATTAGATAAGAACCCTTAGAGTTAGGAGAGGGGAATTACTTTGGATCTGGGGTTCAGTGCCTTTTACACTCGTAATCCAAATGAATAGGGAAAGTATCGACAATAAATCATTTAAGATATTTTCAATTTACACTAGTCGATTGTCCTGGACATGCATCATTAATCAAGACCATCATAGGAGGAGCATAAATTATTGATATGATGTTTTTAGTGATTGATGTGACTAAAGGCATTTAAACTTAAACTGCTGAATGTTTAGTAATTGGCGAGATATTGGCTGATAAATTAATTGTGGTCTTGAACAAAATAGATCTAGCAACTGAGGAAGTAATTAATAAACAAAAAAAAATTATTTCTAATGTGCTATCTAAGACAAAGTTTGGAAATTAGGTTTCATTAGTACCTGTCTCAGCGGTTTAAGCAATTGGAATAGAAGATTTATTAGGAATTCTACTTCACAATATCACCATTCCCAATAGATAGGCTTAATTGAATAAGGGTCTGTTGTTTATGATTGATCATTGCTTCTAAATCAAGGGATAAGGAACAGTCACTACTGGTACGATCATCTAAGGATCAATGAAACCAAACGATGAGGTCTTTTTTCCTATGCTCAATTTGAATAAGAAGATCAAAAGTCTATAGATGTTTAAGAAACCTGTTCAGATTGGAGAACCTGGAGATAGAATTGCTGCCTTATTCACCAATTTAGATGCCAAAGAGATTGAGAGGGGAATCGTATGTTAACCAGGGATTGTTTCATTATTAGAAAATATAGTTATCGATTTTAAGAAGATTAGTTATTATAAGGGGTAATTAAAGTCTTAGAATAAGTTTCATATCACTTCAGGTCATTTGACTGTAATGGGATAATTGAAATTGATCATTAGACCAAAGAATTTATAATTGGAGATCAATAGCGAGGGGGAATACCTGGAGGATTATGAAGGTATGTATTGATTATTATCACTTTTAGATTATATAAAACTTCAAGAGAAGTATAATTTGTATGGTGTACTCCAATTGGAAAAGCCATTGATTGCTTCTATGAATTCGTTGGTTATAGGTTCAAAATTGGACACTGATTTAGAAGCTAATATATGTAGAATTGCATTTTATGGAAATATACTGTTCTCTTATACAGCTTAATAAATATTTCAATAGAATTTCTTAAGAGTTTTCAGAAAGAAGACGAAAAATGGGAAGGTGGAGAAGGTGATCGACAATTACACCTTACTTATTAAGGATTTATTTAAGAAAGAAACCAATATCGCTAATTATATAGGGAAGTTGATTGTTATCAAGTAAGGGAACATTCAAGGGAAAATTGATAGTGCTTTTGGGAAGAGTGGGAAAGTGAAAGTATTTGTTGAATCAGGAACTAATTAAGATATGGGGAATAGTGATGTTGTTATGATTTATAAGAAATATCTATTTCATAAATGAAACCAAATAATATTCAAAGATTTGTTAACATGTCTTCTATTTCTTGGGTATGTTGTTGGAATTTCTTTTCAAAAAGCTTGGCTTCTACTAACACCAATGAACTGTTGAATTGTTTCGATCGAGGCTGAAGATCATAATTGGAACTTCTGTGAGTATGTCGCTGTTCTGGTTTGAGAGATTGCAGAAATTTCTCAATTTAGAATGCTTTTGCAGATGCGTCAATATTGGCATTGATTATGGATCTAAAGCATTCGTAGTTACTCATTATTTAAACATAATCAGGATTACTGCTATCAATCAAATGAGTTATAAGAGCAGTGAGTAGGTTATCCATTAAATATATAATATATAATCATTTTATGGGTTTTTAATCTGAATAACTAACATTTATGGCTTTAACAATAATTTCTTTGAACTCCTAGAAGCTGATCTAAACATAGCAATAACGCAATTACAGATCCATCTCCATTAGCATCCACTTCAGCCAACAGCTCCTTCCACACTTCGTCACTGACTGCAGTTTCATCTGATCCAAAAATGCCTTTGATTTCATCGATCGATATTGATCCACTTCCATCCTTATCAAACAATCGAAACGCCTGTTCTAATCGTTTGTCCTCCAACAATTTGACCTTGTTGAAAGTAGCCAACACAAATTCTAAAATCTATAATAATTTTTACAATACCTGAATAATCAATACTTCCATTCTTATCCTGATCAATTTGCTTCATCAATTTGGTTACTTCCAATTCAGCATCCGTATAACTCATAACCTTCGCATAACCTTAAATGACAGCTGAATATTACCTAAAATGAGTTCATCCTTTGACAATCTTCCGTCTCCATTTAAATCCAGAGCCTAAAACTATTATAACAACTCCTGTTTCTCCTGACTGGTAGCCATTTGATTGACCATGAAGGTTAATGCTGCCTCCTAAAACTTCTTCTCCACTCTAAAATTCCTGAGATTATTCAAAACTTTGGTTAGTTGTGGCAAATCCATCTCTGTTTTTTTGACATAGGTTGTAATCCAAGGATCCCTTAAGGCTTGTTCCGCACTGATCCTTCTCTTTGGATCCCTCTCCAACATCTTAGTGATCAATAGTTTAGCTTCATAAGATATCTGATTCCATTCTTCTCCATCAAATGTCAATTGACCTTCTCTCACAGATTCGAGGATCTCTTCGTCCTCTTCTCCATTGAATGGTGGAATTCCACAAAGCAAAATGTATAATATTACTCCACAAGACCATACATCACATTTTTCATCGTATTTCCTCTCCAAAACTTCAGGTGCTATATAATATGGCTAAATTTAAGAATCTCTAATTTACTGTTCCTAGTTTTTGGTTCATCTTGTAACCTTATTCAAACATGCGACTGGTTCCGAAATCCACTATCTTTAACAAAGCTTATGGTTTGGAGGACTCATATAGAATATTCTCTGGTTTAAGATCTCTAAATCAAATCACATTAATCTCGTACCTGTGCACTATTTTACTCTTGTGCAAGTAATTAACTGCACTCAATATCTGCTTCAGAGTCTCAGCAGCCTTCCTTTCAGAGAAAGACTGTTATTCCTGTATCTTATCGAAAAGTTCTCCTCCAGTGCATAATTCAGTCACGATATAAATATTTTTACTATCCTAATAGAACTCATAGATCTTAATAATATTGGGATGATCCTATTTTCGAATTGTAGATTTACTAATCTTTTGAGAATTTCTATTTCGATTCGTAATCTTTCGACTTCCATCTTGCTTGCTTTTTCCTTTGAAATCACTTTTATGGCTCTGATTTAATTTGTGACCTTATGCACCCCTTTTCTAACTTCCCCATAAGCACCTTCTTTTATCCTTAATTATACCTTTTCCGATGGGAGGTTTCAGGAGAGTGTAATCATTAGTGATTAATCCATGTTTTTCCGAAACCATGCCCGAGGATGAAATTTTGAAATGTGCCACATCCTTTACTAAACATAGAACTCATAGCAGTACTTTTATTCGGATTATCTACTTCTTCACCTTTGCTTGATCCACACCCCATCGGTATAATTATATAATATATATATTATTAGAAATTGAGATATTTATACAAATTAATCATCGTTAACTTCAAATATTGACTCGCTCAGATCTTCCCTAAATTTGCCATCTTATAAATTAACACCCTTCAGTTAATTGGTCCTCCTCCAAATGCTCTTTTTTTAATCGCACATAATAAATATTTAATTATTTTTCAAAATCGTATATATTTGGTTATTATATCTATATACGTAAGCTTTTTAATTCCTCAAAAAGAACATGAAATACATTCAAGAATAAAATATAAGTAATTTCAAATTCATCTCATTTCTCCGACAATAAGCATCTCTGACCCTTGAAAGTGGGACTGTCCTCGTCCAAATTTTACTTTTAAATACTGTTCATTTTTTCGTAACAACTACTCTCTTACGATAGAGTAGGAGGTGGCTACTGTTAAAATGTAAATATTATTTGGGAGCTCAGTATTCTGCCATGATTAGAATTAAAGTCATTTGAGTGAATAATATCATCCAAATTTTCACAAAAATTAACACCCTCGATATTTTAACACCAATCTGTCATTTATTCATTACTCAATTCTACAGTTTACTTGTTGCAACAACTCTATCCCATGAATAATTATTATTTATAATTTTAGATGAAAAAAGATTAAAACTGCTCAAATATCAGCAATTACATTAGCATAACATTTTATTTGAGTATAAATAAGGTGCAAATTTATCGTTTCTCAAATGTTTAATTTAATCTTTATTTAATAAACTCAATATTATTTTCAGTAATTTTATTCATTCATCATCAAATTCAACCTAATTCATTTCCTTAATTTCTTCCTTCTCTCTTATCGTAGATTCCAAATCCTCACCTATCGATCTCAAATTGTCAGTGAATACTATGGCCTATTTAATCCTCTTGATCCATGGGGCCTCAGGATAATTTTCTACTACATACGGCTAGTCCTAACATAGAAAAGATACCGAAATTTTTTGAAGCACTTTTTCATCGAACACGAATTCTAAAGAGGGAAACTCAATCCTAGGCAAACAAAAGGACAATTTGGTTGTTACATTGTATTTCTTCAAAGGCAACTGCAATACTGGAAAAAGTGAACTAAGCCGATTTTTTTACTGAAACAAATAAAATTCATCGTAAGTGATTAGTTTTTTATTCTTATCCGTATCCTGCAAGTCGTCTTTTATCTATTTTATAAATATCTACAATTCAACTTTCTCTTCCATATAATTTAATTAATCATATAAAGTATTTAATAATTCTATAGCCACTGTCATTTTATTCATCATTAAATTTAGTAAAGCACTATTAAACAGATATTCCTTGAAGGTGTAGATCTGATTCCCAAAATCATTACTATTAAAATTTTCTGATTTTCTCTCCAATTCATAAGAAAGATTCAAAAACTCTTGGGCCAATTAATATTCCCCCTTATATGTGAGCAATACACAATAATAAAACCATATGTGGGATTATTTGAATATTTCGCCTTCCTATCCATTCATTTATATCCCACTTAACACAGAGATATTGTCTTATAAATTTGTGTAAATTTCACCCGAACACATTAAATTAAGAATTCTTACTAATTAAAAATCTGCCATAGCCTTCTAATTCTTCTCTGAAATCAATTGCAACTCTGATTGAGCCAGACTCAACTCTTTGTTGAAAATTAATACCTTAATCTTTAGATATTGGCCAACAATGCTTGAATCCATGTTTAAAGAGAAAATGGCTTCTTCGAAACTTCCAATATAAAAAAATAGCATTCCAATCACCTAATAATTGAGATTCTCCTCCTTGCAATTCTCAACATACTTCATTAGATCAAGGTAGGCATTTTCGAGATCACCTATATGAATTTCTGCTCTGCATTTATTCAAATAAGATTATAAATTTTCTGGTTCCATATGCAAACAACTTTTAAAGTCCAAAATAGCCATTTCATATTATTTGAGACAATTACGTAATAGTCCTCTTACATAGAAGTGTAATGCTTAATTCTCATTAAAATTTTCAATCGCTTATTCTAAATCCTATTCTGCCTAATCAAGATTGCCTAATGCAAAGTTCAAAATCCCTTTATAAAATAATACATTTGGTGATTCTCGAATCGATAATGCCTTCTATAGACTCTCTAAGGCTTAATTTAAATAGATAATTCGATTATCCTCATTAATATTTATACAATATTTTCTTATTAATAGTGTAGCTTAATAAAAGTATGGTTCTTGCTTAGTTTTGAATACCTCGTATGCCTCTGAAAAAAGCTGATAGCTAGAATCCAGTTCCTCTGCTTCAAATTTTAATATGGCTCGACACAACAATATATTATAAACAGATGCCTATGTTATTACTGGGAGATTACTTTTTCTAATAAGTTTTGATCACATTCTAATAAATCTTTTAGAGCTTGACGATAATTTGACAAGCAAAAATATCCATAGGCTCGAAATTGTAAAGCTAAGACTTTTAATGAATCCTCCTATTTAGTATATAACATCATTTAGGAAAGAGATTCGACACCTTTATCAAATTATTTTTTCATCAGGAGTAGAGTTCCTTCTACAAAGAGATCGATTTATGTAAATTAATCATTAAAAACATCTAAAATTACCTTTCTTTCTAAATAATGAGAAGCAGAATAATAATTGTTTTTATCAATTTCAAGTTTTACTATTTCTAAAAGTGCATATGTAGTGCATAATTTATTATTGTTGTACTAAACTGCCTATTCAAATGCAAGATAAGCTTCCTAAGTATGATCTAGTATAGGATATATTCGTACTTTGTTTCTTGAACCAAAGCCCTTTTAAATACGCGGATTCTGAATCTTCTGAATACATCTATTTTAAAATGTCCAAGTAATAGTTTGACTGTCTGTAATCTGAGACATCAAAAAATAACCAAAATAGTTTTATTATTATTGGTTTAGGATTGGACACTAAATCTAATTAAAGAGCTTTATTCAAATTGTTGAAAGCCAATTGCAATTAGTTCAATTATGCAAAGCAATCACTTAAACCAAGATACGCGATTGATTTTTTTGGGTTAATTAAAATTAATTAATTAAAATCTTATATAGCTTTATGTGTAAATTTAGACTTTAAATACAATTATGCTCTTAATAATACTGCATCATAAAATCTATTAAAATTACTGATTGCCAGCGTTAAATTGTTGATAGAATCTTGAATTCTATTCATTTAAGCCAGAGTGTTAGCCAATATCAAATAAGCATCCCTTTGGAATGTTGGGAATACGGAAATCAATTTTTCTAATTATTATATCAATTTATCATATTGATTCTGTTGTTGATAACAAAGTGCTGATAAATAAAGTGCTTCAGGATGGATTCCGTAAGATACCAAATAATTTTCGAATATTATCAATGCCTCTTGGATTCTGTCTTATTTAAACAAGCTCTTCCCTAATTTTAAATCGAAAGGGTCTATATTATTTTACTGTTGATTTGAATCAACTAATAAATATATGAATAAAATTACTAAACTGAAAATTAGTAGAGTGATTATATTTTAGTAGTTTTGAGTTCGTCTGGTTGAAGGAAGAACATAGTGAGATAGTAGAGTCTTTATTCTTGTATTTGTGCGAAGATAATGAAAAGTGAATTTGTTGATCGGTCTTAATTCTGCATCTATTTTAACTTGTTGATCTTAGGTTCTTCTTGATGGACTAGTTTGACTAGAATACACTAGATTGTGATCCTGAATTGATTGTATAGACAATGAATATGTTACTTTGATTGTGAGATGGAGTTTCACTTGTAAACACAATGATGGGAGGTTCTTTGAAGGGATTCCTGTTTTATTTGAATTTCCTTGATTTTGGAGATTTGAATTACCTAAACTTAGCATTGATTATACATGTATGTTTTTATTTGAAATTGATTGCACAAATATATTGGGATAATTTATTATTTAAAAATAACAAATTCAGATATGCGTAAAAGATTAGGAGCCTTGCATGCAGATTCCCTTGAAGAGTATATTTAACTAGCCAAAATGTCCTGGCAATAAGAACTAGTATATTATGGGACACAATAAGAAATTGCGGGCTAGTAGAGAGGACTTGATAATTCAGAAAAAGACACAAATGTAATTTTATGTGATTAACATTTCATAGACTTCATCCTTTGAGGAGGAATAAGAGAAGAAGGAGCAGAGCAACATCAATGTATTAGTTGTAGACAATCTCGATAAAATTGACCAAGTGTTTAAATATTGTGGAGCATTTAGAAAGCCTAAGAAAAATTATCATTTGGAGTATTGTTCGAAATTGGAATTTTCAGAGTCCAAGGAGACTCATTTTCATTTTTGGATAATAAACTCCTCGAGTGTCAAATATTCAGAACTGATTGACGGTATGTGGCTTCATCAATTATATTTAGTTTATTACAGAACCGCTGATTGTTATGTTTATTTGAATAAGAAATCTAAGGAACATCAATTTTTAAGATTTCTTGAGAAGGTTAAATTGCTAAATAAGAACAAAAATAAAAAGATATTTAAAATTGGAAACTGTAGAAGAATTAGTGTATTATATAATATTATTATAATAGAGCATTTAAAATATATAAACTATAAATGAGAACCAAGTAGTAAAAATTCGAAATTTATAGGAAGGATTAAAGGGAGTAAGAGAATAATATTTTTGATTGAGTTTGTATTAGTTAGGCATTTTTATCAAATGTGGGATGAAAATCTACTTTTTTTTATCAATTATATATATATAATTTAATTAGAAATGGATTTCAATAAAGAATTTGAAGAATATATCAAGTTTAACTATGTATCCAAACTATAAATTGGTGAAACAGTGAATACCATCACAAAAGTACAGATCATTACATTGGAAGGGGAGGAGTTGGATTTAGAGTGCGACATTTATAAAGGAATAAAGGTTTTGAAATACAATGAAGTATTTGAAAATATGGAATAATTATTAAACAAACATTCTTAGTTGTATTCCAAAAAATTTGAATAAGATTTATCTTTTAAGTTGGGTTAATTAGCACAGGAAGTTGAGGATGATGATGATGAGGAAGATGATGAATTTGATTGAGATCTTATAAAAACATTTAAAATTAATATAATTTATTGAATATTTTAATAAAAATATGGGTTCTATTCAAAATAATTCTTGTTGTACCTAATTATCATCTAATAATTAGGAAATCAATTTAAGCAACAAATAGGAAAATATGCTCTCAGCACACAGCTCCCCTAAAAACTTTTAATAAGTCATCTCTAATTTTAACTATGAATCACAAAGAAAGAAGGATATTTAATATTCAGAAAAAGCAATTTAGATTCAAAAAAATTGGAAGGGATACAGATAGAGGAAAAACTATTAAAAGAGAAAACCTGGTTTTACTATCAATTAGGAAAATTCGTTACAGTAATAGCCGGTTTAAATTAATTCTTAAGACAGTTTAACTTTTATAGAACTTGCATAACCTCAATTATCTAGTTGTAAATTTGATGAAATGGAACCACTTGAAAGTTTTGAGATAAAAGACTTTGCAGTTTATTAATATAGGGATGGATCAATTTATGCAGGGGAAATTGTAAATTGTAGGAGGAATGGAAAGGGAAGATATTACTACAAGAATGGCTCCATTTATGAAGGGTATTGATCTTGCATATACATTTAATTAGAGATTGGAGGATGAATTAACCACATGGTTATGGGAGATTCCTTCATTAAAATGGGGATTTCTATGAAGGTAATTTCAATGAAGGTAGATTGGAAGGGTATGGAGTTTATAGAAAAAATAATGGGGGTGTCTTTTAAGGAGAGTGGAAATGTGATAAATAATACGGAAAAGGAAGTGAAGTGTGGGCAGATGGAGCAAAATATGAAGGTGATTATGTGTTGGGAAAAAAACATGGTAGAGGCACATTTATTTGGGCTGATGGATCACATTATGTTGGAGAGTTTGTTAATAATTGCATGGATGGATTTGGTGAATATGTGAAATCAAATGGCAAAAAAGTATATAATAATAATCATAAAATTAGTATATTGGATAATTTAGAGATGATATGATGCATGGTGAAGGAGAATTTAGTTGGCCAAATGGGAAAAAGTATTCAGGATGGTATTTTAAAAATTAGAAATGTGGTCTTGGAACATTTGAATGGCCTGATGGTAGAAGATATGTTGGTTTTTGGAGTAATGGTTTGATGCATGGAAGAGGAATAATTTTTGAATAGAATGGTAAACAAACTCAAGGAGAATGGATTAATGGAGTTCTGTAAAAATGACTTTCAATACTTCACTTATACATGTCCTTTCTTTAACGTTATTTTGTGGGAGATTCTTTTGAAAATATAGTAAGATCAACATTAATAGTCTTTGGTTGGTTTGGTTGTTGCTTAATCCTATGACTATTTTTGATAAATGTTCTGTAAAACCAATTTTGATCTCTTTCCTTTTGTTCAATGATTTGTGATTAAATTTACTCTCCCATAAAACATTGTCTAAATTTCTCTATATACATATAAAATTAAATTCATAAATACTTAATGATTGCCAAATGATACAGCTTGATAAAGGAGGATATGAATATATTTTCCTCGTTTTCTTTATTGATCTTCTCAACATTAGCATATTCAATCGGTAACTTTATCAATAATTCTACAGCAATTTCAATGATATTATCATAGTGATATTTTGCTGCTAAATACTTCAAAATGTCCATCCTTATATTTGGAACTCTTTCCAATTCAAACATAGTTAAAATTCTATTTAAATTTTATATTATAATATCAGAATTGTAATGTTGTTTGAATAAAAACTATTTGAAAGTTCTAAATGACACCTAAATTAACAGCACTAATTACTTTATTATATTACTGTATCCCCAACCAAAATGATTTGAAACATGCATATATATCAATATTCTATTCAATTGGTTTCTCTATTAAGAATAAACTAAAAAATAAAAACAACACTTAATCCTCACACAAATATCCAACTTTCTCATCATCTAAAATTATATAAACTTCCTCATACTATTCCAATTACTTAATTTTAAGATTTAGTTATTAATGTATCAAGGATAGCAAATCTATTATCTTTCTAATTTATAATTCAATTTTATCAAAGTTCTTATGAATGACTTCATTATACACTATATATGAATCTTATATGGATAGTTCATTTTTGTATAGATATTGGTTATACTCCTTAATGAATTTGAGATCATCAATCTGGGAATTATTGTAATTTTGTATTAGCTTTAGATATTTGAATAATTATGTTTACGTCTAAAAATGTTTATGGTTATATCTTTTTCTCATTATTAACTAATACTTCCAATAGTAATGAATGCTTAAATTGATACTTCTGAATTTCAGCTTTTAAATCAAAATTTTAAATCATTATATTTAACAATTATTGTATTCTTGTTTTGTATAAAATGAGGCGACTTAATACAAATAGTAATGCTAGAGAACATAAAAATATTGATATATTGTATATTATTTCAACATAATATTCAATTCTGCTATTATTGAAGCAATTGAACAAATTAATCACTTGTTATTTGATTCTATCTTCCTAAATATTTCATAATGAAATTCAATTGATCATTGCTGTAGCCTAAATTATGACTCTTATTAAGAAGAATGAGATCGTCAACAGTAATATGGCTTTAGTCTTTTTTCTAAATGGATTTGAATATTGCAAGACTCACATCTCTCTCTTATATTTATTAATCTCGTTACATTTTTTATATCGTTTTAAAACAATTGCTGTACTTCTTGCTTTGTTAATTGCTATTTTTTTAATTAAGCTATTCTTTCCTATAAAATCTTTGTGCTTTGAGTCAAGTCTAGATCATTAACAATTTCAATACCTGCTGATTGCAATGAAGCAATAAATTAGTCAACTGAAAATAGCTTTGTCTTTTTGTCTTTAAACAATTCAAATAATTAATCTAACTCTCTATCGACTTGTGACATATTTATTTTATTATAATATCAATTAAAAATAATAAAATTTCAACATACACAAAAGCTTTTTATATTTATTATAATAAGGACTTAAAGACATAGGTGAATGAAATTAGCACTACATTCATGAAGAGAATTCGATATAATCGATATTGAAATATTAGATATAATTTGAATAATATTTGGATCTCTTTTTTCAATTATCATTTTATGCATCGTCTTCCTTTGATTTATTGAATACTTTAATTTAAGAAAAATAATCGATATTTGATGCGATTTTTAATTTTTACTCTTTTAAATAATAATAAGTAGTTCAACTTCCACATTATTATTTTTTCAATTTATTGCATTTACTTTAAGTTGGAATTGATTCTAAATTGTAAGGAGCGAAGTTGAATTGATGAAGTTGTATTTTAGTTCAGAGTAATAAATTAGATAATTGTACTGTTTCAAATAACTTATGAATAAATTTAATTATGCAATATATTATATGTTAATTACAACCAAAGAGCACTATGTGATGATTAAATCGGCCAAAATGCGGACAGATCGTGAGGCAAAGCAATCAACGAAAGCGAACACAAGCAGCACCAACAAATCATACTACTAAGATGAACGCAGTCGACTCTAATAACTGATTATGATGAGCATGCAAAACCCTAAAAATATGGAGGTAAGAATCAAATGAAATGAAGACTTACTTAACCTAATTTCTAGATCAGAAACATCCAATTTCCAATAGTTTCTAGTAAAATAGAGCAAGAGTATTATCGCAACCTCATTTGGGCAATAAGGCAACTAGGTTTTAAAAACCTTTGCACAATCCTTATATATCAAGACGATAAAGCCACATACCGAAAGTAGACACATCTCCAAAATCTCCGACACGCACACCTTCGACAAATAGTCGTTATTTACTGTATTCGTTTAATGGAGACTCTGATAAGAAAGGAACTAGGAACACTCCCATATCTAAATTATCTACTAGTGCTCTTATAGACTATCACAAATAATTAGTGTTGAAAGCATAAAAATTGATTGGTTCGAATAAGAAGAAATAATGAACTATATGTTAACAATATCATTTTTTCAGTATTGATTTGCCCATTTCCTTGATAGACTGATCGATTGATTTTGATTTCACACTGCTTATAGGCTTAGGACTCTTGGTTTTCTTCTTTTTCGATTAAGTAACTTTTTTTACTGACTTACTTTTTTTTTTCCTTCTATTCTTTGAATTGGATCTCGATTTTGACTATTTAGCATTGTCTGCCTCTTTGGCTTCTTCCAATTACTTAGCTACCATCTATTCAGATTTTTTGGCTTTTTTATTCTTTGAATCTACAAACTTTTTTATGTTCTTTAATAATAGTAGCACTCTTTATTTAATTGATTTTTTGGTTAATGATCTATTAAACAATTAAATATGATTAAATACCTCATATAATTATCAAAGAAGCTCATCTCATGATTCAGTATGTATTTCTGAATTTTGTCCCATCTCCCAAATCCCTCTATATAGGTTGCATATACTATTAATTAATCGCTCTCCAAAGTGTAATAAGTTTATTTATACACTTAATTGAAATTCATTTCTAGTAATGGATCATCAAAAAATTTCATAAATTTGTTGAGAAGATCAGTGAACTCTTATTCTTATTCTAATTACGCTTCAGTCTTCTCAATTCTTACCATGTATCTATTAATGTCTGGAATTTCATCATATCTGTGATTAAATACCTTCATATATTGTTGAATCTCCTTTTGTGTTTTGCCCATGCTATTGGCAATATTCATAATATCACTTCTACCATATTTGATACAAGATTGCAAGAATACTTCGAATTCCTTTGCTCTCCACTCAAATCCACTTTATCTCAATTTATTCAATTATTTTTCCTCCATTTGAGTTAGAGGCAATAATTCAATGTCTAATTGAAAATCAAGGTTCTTTTGTTTGTATAACTCATAAAGTTTGTAGTTTTCATCTCTTTACATCAATTCTTTATATTATTGGGGATCTGAATAAAACTTGTGGGCCTCAACAGCAACTTCTGTACATAATTTAGAAAACTATGGCAATATTTCCCCTTTATTGGATTATTCAACCTACTTACTAACCTAATTCAATTTAATCTATTATTCTATGACTTGTAGATCCTTTTCATTATTTGGATCTTTAAAGAAATCGAACACTCTAATTGATTTAACACCTAGTTCTACTTTATCAATTTTATCTTTAATTATCTTGAATTTCTGATCAATTTATTAATTCAACTGTTCTGTGAGTTCCTCTCCTCTTTTCAAGAGTGTCTCAATATCTTCTTCAGTGTAAGGTTCATCTTTCAAAATTTAACTTGCTCCATAAGTGGCTATGCTCTTCAAATCTTCCTTCTTATTCATCATTCCAACCATCTAAGAATGTCCTTTATCAATAATCATCTGCTCCCATCGAAGTTTAATTTATTGTCTCTCTATAATTTTTTCTTCCACAGTGGATTAACAAATTAATCGATAAACCATAACATTCTTTTTCTATCCAATTCTATGAGCTCTATCCATAGCCTATTGATCTAATTGAGGATTAAAGTCACTGTCGTAAATAATAACAGTATCTGCGGCAGTCAATGTTATACCCAATCCTCCAGCTCTTGTTGACAATAAAAATATAAACAAATCTGAATCTGGGTTCTAAAAATTCCTAATATTTTCATCCCTAACTTCAATTGGTGTTGATCCATCCAATCTACAGTATTTATATTTTCTATAATTTAAGTAGTCTTCCAAAATGTCTAACAACGATGTAAATTAGGAGAATAATATGACTTTATGATTCTCATTATATAATTTCTTGAGAAACATATCGAGTACTTTCAGTTTTCCTGAATTTTCAATCAAATGCTCCCCTAAAGATGGTTGGTCTCTATCTTCTAATTCTGGGAACATATACAAATGCTAACAGATTTTTCTTAATTAAATAAGGATGTTCATTAACGATTTCTAAGTTGTGACTCCAACCACCTTCTTATTTAATATCATATTTCTGTAATGAGACTTTTACAAAGGAGTCATTTAAACATAAAGATGTATTTCCTTTTTGGGAGGAATATCCAAGGCCACTTCAGATTTCGTCCTTCTTAACATAAAGGCTTAAATTATAGATTTCGCCTTTTCTATCATATTCATATTTCTCTTTTCGTATTTCTCTTACAAAATTTCCTTTTCAGACATCAATTTATTTATGTAGAACCACTAATCAAATGCCTCACTTGAAGTGAACAATTGGGGCATCAAATAATTGAGTAAACTCCATAATTCATGAGGATTATTTTATAAGGGAGTACCTGTTAATAATAATCTAAACCTAGAACTGAGCCTCTTCAATGTTGTAAAAAACAAACTCTCCTCATTCTTCAATTTATGTGCTTCATCTATTATTAAGTATTCAAATCTGTATTTATTCAAGATTCTTTCATTATTAATCACACATTCATAAGAAGCCACTATAACATCATAATCTTTCTTGCTTAGATGTTTATTGAAATCGTGTCTCCATTCTTCAGTGGCCATCATCTTTAAAACACTGCATTTTGGCAACCATTCTGATAACTCTCTCTCCCAATTAGGTATAGTACTTAATGGTCCTACTATCAAATGAGGTCCAGAAACATTTTTGAACTATTTCATGAACCCCAAAAGTGCAATTGTTTAAATTGTTTTACCCAAACCCATTTAATCTGCTAATATTCCATTTAACCCAGCCTCCTACATACTAATCAACCAATTCAATCCTTATAGCTAATACCCGGTTAGTTTTCCCTTTTTCAAAATACTTGGTTGTGTTTTGAGGTATGTGTTCGGCAAAGAACTATTTTCGTCACCTTGCTTTTTGTTTATATATTAGACATATTATTTGGCTTTAGAAATCAAATTATCCATTTCTTCCTCCACTTCATCAAATAATATGGATAGTTTGTCACTCACTTATTGATCTTTTAATTCCTGTTTTGAAACACTGGTAACCTTAACTGGCTTCTCACAACTTAACTTGTACAAAAACTTTTCTTGTTCTCTTTTCAGATCATCAATCCGCAATAGCTATTTATGATCTACAATATATCATACTTCCTTCTTAGCATAGAGTTCTTCCTCGTTTTATTCAACGTCTTCGGACTATTATACTTTGTTATATATTATACTAAAACACTCTCATCTTCACTTTCACTCATTTTAGATGCACAACTAATATTAATTATTTAAACTTAAATATTAAGTTAAATTTTAGAATATGGTTTTTTTAATCAGAATTTTATAAATCTCCAAAATTATACGATGAAGAAACATAAGGGTTTACAAACTTAATTTCATATTTCAATTAATGGTTCAACTACTTTTAATTGATCTAAGGGCTGAGTGATTGGAGTTTATTCTTAAGAATGCTTTAGTTTCTGATGCTGCTTTAGAGCTGCTTTTGAAGAATAAGTGTGTGCACAATTAGAACATTTGAAAGGTTTCATTATGCAATTCTTTCTCGAGATTCGTTTATGTAATACCTAATATAAATAAATTAAAATAACAACAATAATAATAACGAGCAATTAATAAATTAAAATATAAGTTATACAAATACCTCATTATTGGATACTTATTTTGACAGCCTTGCTATGCACCTATGTGTATCATCTAATTTAGCTTAAAGGAACTAGGCGAGAAGATGTTATTTCCTAACCTCGAGTTTATAGTTCATTTTTAGATTATATTTTGGTTCTAATCCTAATTAATTAAAATTTAAACATTCACTTTCACATTTTGTTTTATGAGTTGACTAATCCATTGAATCCACCAGCATAACTTTTTAATAAATTTAAACAATAATTTATTAAATACATTTTTAATATAAATATCCGAGATTATTTATTTAATAATTAAATCATTATTTATTTCTTTAATTACGATAAGTATTTTTATCCACAATATATACACTTTTTCATATCATTTCTATGATGAATAATCAACAAACTAAAAAATAAACATATCAATCTTGAGCTGTTGACAAATCCTATTCAGTCTCGAAAGATTAGCCATAAGATGATTAACTCAAACTTCTCCCTTATAAGTTAAGGGTTTCAATAAATCGATATTCTGAAATAAATTTAAAAGGTAGAATCCTATCTATCAAGTAAAAAAATTAAGTATTCATAGTGAAACAACCATTCTATAAAAGACTCCAAATAGAAATTTAACCCAAATATTTTTGCTTGCTTTAAGTTTGCATTTAATAAAAAGTATTTTATTCTATTTTCATTAATTAGCCAATTAAGAATTAATCCATTATTTTGAATAATAAATATAAAACTTTTGCGTAATTAATCAAAGTTTGATGCAAAAATTATTATGTATTTATTTTATACCTCTGATTCACTCTCTTGCTTTTCTGGTTTTGTTTCTTTTCTCTTAGTATGCTGTGCCTTAGATGTTATAAACATTTATAATTTGATTCCTAATCAATTGTGGTTTGTGTAGATTAATTTTTTCTTCTTTGTTCAATTCTCAAATTCATTTATGATTATTCCGGTTCCTATTCCATTTTTTACATGATTCTGCTCTAGCTATTCGATTATATTTATTTTATTAATTTATCCTAATTTTACATTCATTAGTATTAAATTAATCGTCGTCTTCTTTTATTGATATATTAATAATCTGTTTCATTAGTGAGATGTTTTCTGAGAAATTATAGTTTAATAAACATTGCAATAAGATGTTAGAGTATAAGAATAGAGAAGCAACATATCTAAAATTCTATATTAATTAAGATATCATATGTTTTTTGAAGATTATAGTATTTTTTATTAACTTTTCTCCCCTCATTATGTTCTTTTCATGATATGATTTGGATATCCCTAGCCAAACAATGACTAATTAGAGTGAGATATTAAAAATAGATCATTAATTTATGTTTCCTCTTACAACGTCTCAATAACTTTTAATTACTTTTTTGGAATATTAACTTTTAAGTTGTATCCCTTATAGCATCCTCTAATAAACCAATGAAGTTTACTCAATTTATTATTTTTGTTTTTCTATTTATTTATTATAAATCTTCTTTATTAAAATAATTTCTAAAGTTAAAAATGAGTTAATATTATATAACTAAATGATTACCACTAGCAGTATATATTTGATACATAAATTCTATTGTTTTAAGTAATTTATTGTTTGCTTCTATTTCTCTTCAATTTCAGAAGGAGTTTTATTTTCCTACAACAACGCAAACAAAAACTACTTAATCCACTTATTTAATGATTCCTTCTATAATTTTAAAGATGAAATGTTTTCTACTAGAATTTAAGTAAATATTAATTAATATTAATTTCACTTGTATTAAGTTATAAAAAAAATAAAAATTGCCTGCTGTCGGATTCGAACCGACGCGGAGTAGGCTCCAGCAGATCTTAAGTCTGCCCCCTTAACCAGCTCGGGCAAACAGGCTGTGATACAATTTTGTATATATTTTGGCTGATATATACTGTCACTCATAATTAAATGCATTATGGAAGAGCTAATAGCCATATATCTATCTCCAGAAAGGGAAGGTATTATTTTTGATGATTCATCTGATGTTTATTAATCATGTTCTTACTGTATTTCATAATCAAATCCATAATGTGAGGGAATGTATAATTCATCTGCCACAAGAACTGACCAATTAAATTTAATGTTGGTACCTTTGGATATTAAAAATTTTGCAATTACAAATAAAGTGCCAATCTTCCTATTTGCAATGAAACACACAGGTAAAGTGATTCGATAATATCATGCTGAATTTAGAGGTTTCTATGAGCTTTGGGGGGTAGTCTGCATCTATGGGAACAACAGTTTTTATTATTTTGAACCTTCACAATTGAATTAGCAATACATATACAATATTAAAATATAACTAGAATTTATTCATTCAAATTCAGTTATTAATTTCTAAAATATGAGCTACTCAACTTCCAAGTTTTCTTCTTATTTAAGATCACCTTATACTGCTCCTTCAACTGATTCCTCAAGGTGGAAATCAACTCCTTTAATAGGTAAATATTGATATTTGAATTTGATTTCAGGCATATCATTGATTGAGCGAATGCCATACGAAAGATATAACGAGCATGTACCTGAATCCAAAATAGAATATATGCCTATAGAAAAACGATACAGGGATTACTTATAAGACCGAAAATATTTCCAAGATCGTTACAACAATGTTGTTGCCGTTCCAAGACTGGAAAGAAAGGAATAGATTTTTCCTTTAGAATATTATCAAGATACTTTGAATTACATTCCTTTTCAAAGACAATCAGTTTTTTCTAGATTTAATTATTGATTAAACCATCCATATAAAATTTTAAGATAATTGTTATTTTACAAATAAAGAAGATTGGAAATAAGATCCTGAAATTCTAGAGCTTTAGGAAAGGACAAAGCAATTAACACATGATAAACAGGTTTTCAAGATACCTAAGGTTGAAGAGAAGGTATTATGAATACAATCTGGGTAGTCATTATTATAAATTGAAATTGATACTAACTATTTTAATCTTTTTGTAAATTATAAAAACAAAGACGGAAGTTTGATGCCAAAAAATTGAGAGCAAATATTAATATTAATTAATGCATGTACCTATTTAATAATTTCAGTTTTTAGAAGGAGAACAATAAGAGATAGCTAAATTCGATGGCAACTAACAATTCTTTATAAGATAAATTAGATTCAATAGAGAACAGAAATCATTTTTCCATCATCACTAGAATTTAGTTTTCGTATACAATAATTAATCAAATTTTTCATTAAAAATATCCAATAGAAAAATCCAATTATAAATTATGAATATCATATATAACAGATATTCATTATAACAAATTATTGGGCCAATAAAGTATCATTAAGCAGGAACCAATCAACCATTCAGGAATGCATATAGCTGCTTTTGAAGGATCCTACAATTAGAATTGAACAAGAAAATGAGAAACACGGTTTACTCTTGAGAGGCCATGAATTCTATCTTATGAGTGATAGTAATTTCTTAAAAGAATGGTGTTAAGTAGTAATTATATAAAATTAAGTTAATTAGATTCAAATAGTTAAAAAAAAATTAATTGATCTTTCAAAAGAACGAATTTAATAAGAACAATGTTATTATAATTTTGACTCGCGATGCCATTTTGAATATGGGTAACCAAGAAATGCATCTTCTCTAACATTTGGATCAAATCTTCTCATTTTAGGGAGTGAATATTATTCTGAAATGTAAACATAAGTAATGTTAGGTCAGATTGGAATGTTATTTCTAAAACACCATATAAGGCGGCTACAAAATCCAGACATGATTTCAGAGTTAATTTTTTGACTTCAGAAGTTTGTCGAGTTACCAAGGAGATCTCATTAATATGTAATTTTCCTAATTTCAAAAATCTACCTTATTCAAAGTAAGAAAGTTTTATACGAATTCCGTCACCTAAACATATTAATTTTTAGATATAGTTCATCTTCAAGAGTAAATGGCAAAACAAATCTATTTTGTTATAGATTGTATAGTTGAATTAAGAAAATTAGATAAAGGAGCTGTTCATATATACTTAATGATAGTTAATTGGTGAAAATGAATTACAACATCAATCATCTTTTATAAGTGAAGAAAGACTACTATTTGACTCAGAATACTTTTAGAATCATATTATACCATAAATAATTGACACCATACCAAAATTTTGTGTAATCCAATAGTTCAATCAAAAGGATTCATCTAAATACAAGATAGCTTTAGTAGAAGAATTCAACTAAAAGAGAGCTGTATCTAGAAAATGTAATTTATAAGATCATTTGATAATTTAGATACCTTCCAAAACTAATAATATCAAACCACCAAAAGAAAATCTTAGAAATCCACTAGAATTTTGAACGATGATCATCAAAATGCTTCTAATATTATAGAAAGTCGAAATTCATTCATAGTCAATCGATAAATTAATTCTTGCAAACTACTTAAAAAATTAAGTAAACTAATATATAATTTAGAAAAAGTTAAAGTAATAATTATATCCAATTTGGACATTAAACAATGAATTCCTGAATAAGTTCTTGAATTGTAAAGAGGTATATGGTGATATTGTAACTAAAAACATAATGAAAAGGACTCCATCGTAAACAAATAAGGTTAAAAAACCATAAATATTAATAAATGATTTATAATAAATATAAAAAATATGTAAAAATGGTTTCGGAGGGGATCGAACCCTCGACCGTCAGCTTATTAGACTGACGCTCTAACCAACTGAGCTACGAAACCTGTATTGATGGAAATATTTCTAATTTTCATAAATACATCTAGGGATAAAAAATAAAATATAACGATGAAATATATCAATTCCATTAACTTTAGGTTTTATATTGTTCTAAAAAAATAGCATAATGATTAAGATTTGTTAAAAATATGGTTAAAGCTTTGAGACCAATAGAAAAAAAAATGATTTCTTTGTTCTCAAAACAAATTGGTTAATAGTTTCTTCTATCACACATAAATAATTTATAATTAATAAAAAAATAGAAATAAATATTATTTTAATGATTATTTGATCGAAAAAATGAACAAAAAATTTGGATTATAATGCTAGAATTGAAAATGAATTCCTTCATTTAAAATACACTTCGACTTTAGCAGATCAATATTTATTTTGAATCTTCTTTGCCTTAATCTGTTGGAGTCTAATCTTCTTTAAGTAACTTGCATAATTATTCTGTTAACTTAAGCAATCACTAAAAAGAAAGTATTTCAAACAACTTATAAAACAAATTATATATAAAAAGAATGAATTATTCTTTGATAGTTTGAAACATACTCAAGGATACAAAATTAAATTTGAGAGAGATAGATTAACAAAAATTAACTTATTTAAATCCTCTATTAGGATTAAAGATACACTTAATGCTGATCTATATCATTCTCTTAATAGAAATTATGCTATAAGAAAGCAACAATTTATTAGTATTAAGGTTATGAGATGAAATAAATAATTTAGGATGGTAACATTAAATCGCCTAGACAAGTCTGCGAAACAATCTCTATATATAGTTTAGTAATAAAATATTGTGAGGTTAAAGATGCAAATTATTTCTACCATTTTCATTCATTATTTAATAAATTAATTCATTGTATAGGCCAAACAGCCTATTAATCCTTTCATATAGTTCAAATCTAACATTTCATTTGCCCCATGAGCATTTGAATCAGGCCCAAGCACTCCTAAAACAAGGAATTCGGCCTAAGGAGATCTTTCGTTTAATTAATTTAAAAATGGAATGGATGCCCCTTCATGAAAAACCCTAGATTCTTTATCATTAAAAAAGAGTTTTGAGGCTGTATTTAGGATATCTTTTAATTTTGGGCTAAAAGAATTAATATTTAGCCCTGTTCCTGCAGAGATGATATTGGCTTTAACATCTGCATTAAATGGTGGATCCTTTTCAAGTAACTACTTCACAAAAATGGCAGCTTCTTTGGCACATTTATTAGGTGGTAATCTAATTGACAATCTTATAATAAGCTCTGGAATTATTTAATCATTGATTTATCGAACTGAAGGAAGTCCATCCTACCCTATATAAGACACAGAGGGTTTCCAATTTCGATTAATATATTATTATATTTTGCAGGATTCCATTTTATCACACTATCTAGAAAACTCAATTTACACTAGATCAGCCGATAGTAAACATTCTTCATAGCGATCAGCTGGAATGATTGTTTGTAGCGATTTATGAACTTAACCAGTGACTGGATCCTCCAATCTGTTTAATAAAGTTCTCATAATGTTCAAAGCTTATGGAACTATTCCACTTTCATCTGAACTAATAGGAGCTTCTAATACTTTCACACATAAATCAATTTTCATTGAACCTCTAAGGGAACTCGTCAACCATAATCTCTCATAATCTCCACTACCTGAATCTAATGCTACCATTATATCAACTCTTTTTAATTCTAGTTTATCAAAATATTGCATAAGAAAATTGCTTCCACTTTCTTCCTCACCTTCAAACAACATCTCTATGGTTGGATGTTCCAGTTTTTATGATATCAAAGTTTATAATGCTGCAATAGCTGCATAGGGAGCATAACCATCATCTGCAACTCCCCTTCCATACATTCTATGCCCTTCTATTACAGGTGTTGTAGGGCCAAAACCCTCCCTCCATCCTGGGAAATGAGGTTGCTTGTCATAGTGACCGTAATAAAACACAGTTATAGGATTTTAAGCACAAATTCTAACATGTATCGCTTTAGGCGCCCCTTTTATTGACAATACTTCTACTTTACAATTCGGGATGCTTTACGACTAGATATCTAAAAAATAATACTTCAATCCAAGTTACAATGTGATTACAAGCTTTATCAAGAAGGCCATTTTCTAACCATTAAGGGTCGAATTGAGGACTTAAATTTGGAATGCGAATAAAATCAGCTAATGAAGGCAATATTTACTCTCTGGTAAATTGTTCAATAAATTACTCCATTAATTATTTATATATAGTGCAAAGAAAATCGTCAAATTATAACCAATGATCCCTTAAAAACTCAATTATAAGTCATAACCTAAATAATAGTTTTAGGAGTAAATTGATTTTGATAAAATAATATGTAGTTTTAGTTTGATTATTAAAAATATAATTTGAATAGAATTAAAAGTCACAATTTATGGTATTTTGGAATTAAAAAAAAATAATTCAAAAAAAAATATATAAATTTTAGTTCTCATCCTCTTATCTCAAACTAGAGAAAACAATAATTTGTAAGCCTAGGTATTTACAATTTCAAATATATATGAAATAATATCAATAAAGAGGTTATTTCAAATAGGATTTAGTGCTGATTAATTCAGAATTTTTTTTGAAAAGACATAATCTTACTTTAGAAAAGGAGGCAATCTAATAAAAATACAATTATTCACTTCAAGAACCTTTTAACTAATCACAAAAATTATGATATCCTGAAATGGATTCTATTAAATGTATGGGCTACTGATGTTAAATATTCTTGATAAAACTCCGAAGCTCCTATTCTTCATTTTATATTAATGTGAGTATGCAGTATATCCAAAGATATTTAATACATAAATGCTCAGCTGAGTGAGCTGAAGCCACAGGTATCTATCATGAGCTCGAAGGTTTAAAATAGACTTTGTAAAACTCAAAAAGATAATTTGCATCCCATAAATATTGTGTGTGTGATATAAGTTGAGTATGATTTTAATTTCCTTAAGCTTAAACAGAGGGATGTAGATCTTGGGTTGTGTTACTCTTTATAAAGATTCTAAAGTTGCTCAAATACCTCCAATGCATACTTCTGATAAGTGTGCAACATAAATTGGTGCAGAATCTCTGAATTTAATTTTTAATTGTAACTAATGTTTTTTTCAAGGTGTGTTTTTTTTTCTGTAGAGAGTGAATCTTCAATTTAATTATTGTATAAACTTAACCTGTCAGCTCATGTTAATTATTAGATTCAAGCTTAACCACTTTAAGAACTCTATGTGTAAGTACTGATGGATGAAAATTCGTTTAAAATATCTAGGTGACCTAAAATTCAAGATGAATTTACGATACCTGCTCTCTAGAGGTAAGCTTCAAAAATAAATTCTATTTTTAACTTTGCTTAGAATCCTCATCATTAGTATATGCGGCGATAAATTGAGAGTTTCTTCCTCAGCACACGATATAAACTATAAATGATCTTCTATGCTGAAAAAGACAATGTCTTACTATTCACTAAATTATTTATATGGATCTCATTTGCTTAAGAATTTGATTTTCAAACTATCTCTAAAATGTTTTGATACAACTAATAATATTAAGTACTTGATTGAGCCATTTCTAATATTCTTCATGTCCATGATATGTAAATCCATAATCAATGTGACATACACATTGATTATGATAAATAGCTTCCTTTTTTTCCTAAATTGTTTTTTATTCCTCAACTATTACTAACCAATTCAATACAAAATTGATTGGTTTACTAAATTAAGAGCAGTCACAACTACATAAAGGTTGGGCTCCCTTTGTTTATAAAATAGAGATATATAACAGATACTTTAAATGTAGAGAATCCTTTACTCCTAAAAAGTTAAGTCGGCAAACGCAATGTGCTAAACTTTGGAATATCTTGAAGCAGCACAGCTGTTGATTCTAAATTTTTGAGTTTATGATTGTGATGCTGTTTCTGTCTAAATTTCAAATACTGCATATTGAGCATGCGCGTTTGTAACTGATAGCAAGTAGCTGAACATTTTGAAATAGTTGCTCTACTTTTTATAATAATAAACAGCGTCCTAAAGCTAGTTTTCAAAGAATGCTTAATTTGTTGATTCTAAACTATATTTTTTATAAATGCATCCTTTACACAGAAATTAATTTGTGCTTTGGTCATAGATATAGCTAACCTTGCATTTATGTCTGGGCAATTGTCTTACTACCAAAAATATACGTAATGACTATTGTGGTTACTCACTGTATAATAAATCCACTCTTAAAGGTAATAGTAATTGTGCAAAATTGATTCAAGTATGAAATATCTACCTACATAATTTCTATTGCTCCTTCTGTTTGAAAATAATGTGAAAAAACCATTATTCAATGTTATTGGCGCAGCTATTTTATTTTGATTGTAGTGATTGGGTCATATATTGTGTTGAAATTGATATTAACCATATTCAACCCAATTGATAACAACCTTATCATTGGATCTAAATTTAAAAACTGCCTAACCAATAAGTAGAAGCAACAAATGATTAAATCAGCCTTGTATGTTTTGATTAATTCAGGAGATCTACTTGTACTACATACGGTGTAAATTATATATGATTCACCAACTGCATCCTTCAACTAGAACTTATTATTCAAATTTAGTCATTCTTTTCATCTTCCTCTAATAAATGAAAGAGTATGAGAAGTGTTTTAAGGATGTGTTACAAGACAATATTTTTCGCATGAAATTGTTCATGATGTCTAACTGAAGAGATGAACCAGTCAGTCAAGCATATTTCTAACTAAAGAGTGTTTGCTTGTGCATTAGTCATCTTATGTGTATTGCTTTTGATTATTTTATTACATACCCCTAAAGTCAGGAGGTTAAATTTCATGTTTTACCCTATGACTATATCAGTGTTTTACGTCATCATCATTACATCTAATGGTTTTATTACTCGTTCAGCCATATATTACATTTGAACCTGCAGCTTTCTCAAGTGTAATTTCAAACTTGTATAAAGTAATTGAGAACTATTATATCACTAAGGTAGTATTTTAGAATATTTCATATCTTCGTGAGCTTAAATTATAATTGTTGTATACTTAATGCCTTCCTAATCTTGGAGATTATGAACCTTCAGCGTTAGGTTATGCTATTATATCAAACATTATTGGATACCTTGACTTCAGTTTACACTAATTGGCATCCAGTTTGTATTAATTGATTCTATGACTTTATCAACTCCTAGAAATACTTAATAATGCTAATTGCAATGCATCAGCATTTTTAAAAACATTTTGGGGAGATTTACAAACCTGCTAAAATAATTGTGTTACTCATGATAGTCTTCAAAGCATCTTCGTCACCTACTTCTTCTGTCCTACACCAAATATGTTGAGGAAACTAGAAACTACCACTTGTGTCTAAGCATAATTTTACAACATTTCTGTGTATTACACTATCCATCTTTTTAATACAGCTGCTAAAAGTAGTGATTTTTAAGATGGCTAATATTTAATGGTCCTATAAGCTCACTCATTATAAATAGACAATTACATCCTTTTGTATGTAACTCATGTGTCAAGCTGAGCCTTGTCAATATCAAACTTTTGTTCAAAGTTAAATATAATTCGAACACTTTTAAAGCTGACAATCTTCCCCTTCTATTATAAAATTCAGAAGAATATATAACACACACTTTGTACAAGTAGTGGATTCAAATTTTGCTTTAAGGCTGATTTATAACAACCTTGAAATTATACTACTTCATTGCAATTGAAATACTTGATTTAACAATAAGGTAAACGATATTCTGACAGCAAATTTGTTTCATTCTTTTGTGTTAGACCTTTATAACTCGCTACCTCAACTCTAATTGTGTGCTACTTTTTATAGACCTTTCTGATTTCCTTAAAACTATACAAATATGCAGAGAATAACACAATCCAATAAGATAACAAGGTAAATTAATACTTCTAATCATTTTAATCTTATAATGTAGACACTGCCAATCTTGCATAGTTTCAAACTTATTATTATAACTTAGAGTTGAAAAAATTAAGTACAGCAGATGATCAAAATTTATTGAAAAATTATTGCGAACCTTGAAACAAATCAGTATTCTATAATGGTTCTCCTCAGCTAAGGAAATATTTCTAGTAAGGATAATAAAAGTTACTATTTTAATTTTGATAATGGCTTGATAAACAGGAGATCCATCTGTTAATGATACATTTTATAAGATAATTATTGATCCATTTTGATGGATCTTGTTTAATTTGAGAGCCACCTTCTTCTTTGAGTCGACGGGACGATTACTGCTCCACATATTCTATGTGTACTATTTATTTCTCTTTTCCTCAAATATAGTCTCTATCATACATAAAATATAGCATTAACATAAGTTGATCTTAACCACAACCACAAAATTCATTATTGGATTTTGGAGAGCCATATCGAGACACCCTGCGTAAATAGATAAAGAGACAGTACAAATATGATCGAAACCGCTTACACAGATACAACAGAGTTTTCGAACCCCCTTATGGTTTTATAGTTCTTCCTTTTTCCAATTCATTATTTGATAATTTTCTATCTCTAATATATTATATGCTGACGATTTAGCTCGATTCGACTATTTATCAATTATTGATCCCCCATGTAAATGTTGTACTGTCGACGACATACCATAATTTGAGGGACATTTGCAAAAATATAAGCCATTTTTTAATTCTCACCAAAACAAAATAGACTTACTTGTTAATCAGAGCTACTTTGGTTAGTTAATAGCATAAAATAATAACTGCTTATTCCAACTGTTATACATTCAAAATCATTCTAACGAGTACTGTATTGATTATTTTGCAGAATATTACAATAATAATGACATTTAAAATTTCAATTTGTTATTGAACTTTTCTAATACCCAACCCTCTCCATCTTCATACTTAAGTTATAAATGGTTGGTGGTTTTAATAATTGTGAATATTTTTAATTATACCATGTTAAATTCTGAGATTTGAACTTCAAGTTCTACTTCTTCACTATACGTACAGCGTATTGTCAATTCTATCAAATAGATTTACACCTATCTATGCCTTGCTTAAATCAATCATTATCAAACTTTTTGGGATATCTGTCTCTGTCTGTGTCTGCTCTTGAAAATTTTAAATATGAATCAATGCTTTAACTGATAATTAATAATATATGATTAGAGCCAAAGTTATTTTGAGAAAGGTTAATTAATTTTAGAGGAATAATTGGAGGATTTTCGTAAGGAAGTAATTTTAGGTAAAGAGGGATATTTAAAACTCCCCTTAAACGAATCATTATGGATGGGTTATACATTTTCTATAATTTAAAAGATATTTTTGGACTACCTATAAATTTCAAAGGCCTTCCATTAAAGCATCAAATTAAATTTGATGAAGCTGTAGTTTCCTTTGACTTAGCCCTAGAGATCAACCAAAAATATGAAAGTGCTTACAACAAACTAAGTAGCCTAAAATTACTATACAAATATAATTAACAAAGGCAAATTCACAAAGCCCTTTAAATAATAAAAATGGTAATAGAGATGAGAAAGGCTATTATAACAAAGGTTTTTATTCTAAATAATGGAAGGATTTGCTCTATATAAATTGGAAAAATATTAAGATGCTTCAAATGATGATGAAGAGGCAATAAATTATAAATATATGTAAAATTTCAATAGACAAATCATTACTCAAAATTAATTAATATAAATAGGCTCTTTAATGTTTGTAAATTGCAATTGATCTAAACAACAAATAATGATGAATCTATTGAGAACAAAGGTTGAAATTCCTTCGTTTTTCTAGCTCCCTCTCAAATTTTTTAAATTAAAATTACTTTATACATCCTTTGTAAAATTCAAGGATTCATAAATCGCTTGTTATTAAGCAATCTATTTAAAAAAAAGTCCGATTAGATTAAAGCTCAAGAGTGTTCTTTACCTTAAAATTAAGCTAACACATTAGATTCATCATGATAATTAAATTAGATATTATTATTGGTCTAAAAAAAAAAATGATTCTTCCATCAGTGCTTTCTCTATTTTTCATTTCATTAAAAAGAATTAAAATTTTAATGTTAAATAACAATTAAATCATACAATCATGTTTCTTACTTAAGAAATGCCAGCCTAAGACTAGGGATCATTGACATAATCAGTTTATCCATTTCATATCCTTAAATTTTCCAAAAAACTAATGAATTAATTTATCATTTCTGATGAGCAAGTTGTGATATTTTTATAAATGTGCTATTTGAGTAGATGCCATAATTTTTCAATTGGATTCAATTGAGGAGAATATGGTGGCAAAAAATTGTTCCTAACTACAATCAAAAGCTTCCTAACTTTTTTGCTTTTATGAATAGGTGAATTGTCCAAAATTAAAAGAAATTGTTATTAAGAGAACATAAATGTTATTGATAAACTTCAGAATTTACAAGTCCCTTAATCAGTTAATATGCTAAAAAAAAAAATCATTCATTCCAATGGCTCCTAGAACACAAAGCATGTGTCTCTTCTTCTGATATATTTAATATTTTTTATGTCACCCCTAAATTTCCAACATTTTTATTATTTGTGATGATAACTAAATATTGTTTCATCTAAAAAACAAAATTAACGTTATTAATGCTGCAATTTAGGTATTGAAGTGCATAATTGTATTTAATATCTTAATTATTAGTTCCCCTAACATCTTTTAATAAGGGAATTTTATAAGTGGCTTTGCAATGCTTTTTCATTATTTAAATAAAATAGCTCTGGCTTAGTGCCCTTTAATTTAATTTGAATTCTGATAAAAATTATTAATATATTTGTTTGCTCTCATACAGTTGAAAACTTTCATGAGTGATTATAAATTGTTTTATCCATGTAATATGGGATCGTCTTAAGTTAAAATAATCTTCCTTTTGCTATTCAAACTTTGAATTTTAGTTCAATTAGTATACTTACTAAGGGGTAATGCTTAGGGATGCTGCAATGGCATTAGTTGAATAATTATACTACTGTAACTTTTTCATGCTGTCTCGCAGTCTTTGAACCGTAAAAAATCACAACTCTATCTTAAAGATGAGGTTTTTGATCTTCCAAAATTTCTTAATTCTTTATTTGTTTCTTTATATTCAAGAAATTTAGCTAGTTGCTTTTAGCATTCCGAAGTATTGTGTTGAGGCAAGGATTAAGGCTCTTAGTAAAGAATTCTGCTTTAATATTAGCCAAAAATTTGATAAATTTGACAACCAATACTACATTTTTCATACCTGACATTTAGGGCTTAAACCATTACTTTCTTCTGTTATGGTTTTTTTTTTAAGGATAATTTTATTCTTTTGTTTTTACATGTTTTAATTTATTGCATTTATGTTATTTATGTCTAGAAAAACTACATAGAATGAGTTTTCATTTCAAATAACAATTGAATTGAAGAAATTCTTCTTGAATTAAAAAAAAAAAATAATGTTAAGAAAGGCATCACATAATGACAAATCATTATGTGAATTGCATTTTAAGGCTATTTTCCTATGATAAATTTTTTATTCTTGAATTCAAAAAAAAGAAAATAAACTCAAAAATACTTTAAAATGGTATGAAAAACGAAGTTGCTCATTCCTTTGAAATCAAAGGATTTAAAGCAATTTTACAAGACTTTTATATCGATCTATTTAGGCATCTGTATCGTTTTAAGAGGCAAACTAAGCAGTTGGTTCTGTGGAATCCTTGCATACAGCTCTTGTGTTGTAAAGTTATTACTTGCCTGATCTAACATCATCAGTTATCACCTCTTAATATCTGTTGAACGTGGCCCTCGGTAAATGTTTGAGACTTAGAAATAATGAAATGAAAATTGGTCAACTATTTAAGAAAGTGAGTAAATTAAAGCTTTTTGAAGACCTATAAAAATAGCCCATGAAAAATAACTCTCTCTAGGCTTCATTAGTGATAGATTACCTGATAAGAAATGGCTTCTTCATGTGTTGTTCACCCTCAATGACATGAATGAGATTTTCAAGCAGTATTTAGACTCAGACAATGCAGTTGGGTTAATAAAGGATGATTTAAAGTTTCCTAATTTATTAACATCTTAGCATATTGAAAGGATTAGACACCTCATTCGGAAGAAAGAAATGCCTAAAATTCTTTAAAGCGAGATCAACTTCCGTGAACGGCTAGC